ATTTTAGTAAACAATATAGCTCGAACTCGACTCGACTCGGCTCATTAACGAGTCGAGCTCGAGCTCAGCTCGTTTATTAACGAGCCGAGCTCAAACTGGGATAAAAATCGACTCGACTCGGCTCATTTGCAGCTCTAAGTCATACTAGATGGAACCTTCAGTTTGATAAGACTCCAACAGTTGAAGCCTGAAGGTTTCGATGAGAAGCGACAGCATACAGCTCAGGTCCTTTCCGCAAGTGTTGGTATCCACGGACCTGTCTTTCCAAAATGAAATCGCCGCCCGGTTTAATGACTGCATCTTTCCAAAAGTGGGAGGAAATCTTGATTATACGTCGTCAAATTCAAATATAGAGTCTCATCTCATTCTACCTGTATGAACATCAAAGTTCCAGCAATGTTGAGGATAATCAAACTTGATGGTGGTGATAAGTGATTTCCACCATGAGTGCTCCTCCTCGTTGAGGAATTGAGAGCCATTTTGCTAATAGGGAAAATGTTGAATTAATAAATTTTTAATTCTTCTTTATTAACCAAAATATACTAGTCTGAATTCTTTCTACAACACAAAACAACTCTACTGTACAAAATCATATCATTGATTATACAAATTAACGATATAGTATGAAAACCACGTTATAAAGTATATATACATATATAAACCATCAAACAGATGTTCAAAATCAAAACTCACCTGCTTGCAAATTACTAAATCGGGGTTTTGGTATTCATCAAATCGGGATTTTAGAATAGAGATGAAGAAGAAGATGAGAAGGCGGCATAAGTCAAAGTCGAGAAATGATAGGGATAAAGAGGGTGAATGGAGAAGGTTGGTCAATTATAATATTATGTTAGGGGTACAAATGACATTTTGTAACGGTTTGATTGAGGTTCAATATTGAATGATAGAATTTGGAAGGAAATTGTAGCGGAAGGATACATTTAGTATTATGACCATAGTAAGACTATAGGTATGATAAATGATCGTGTCGAGAACGAATAGTAAATACTTACTACCGTACTAAAATTATTTTAGCATTTACCCACTCATATTCACACAAGAACTGGGTAGAAAATCAAACCATGATCCCACCCAATTAGGTTTTTGAGTATCCATGGGTATATATAAATAATATTTTCCCTTTATAACTCGTCCGACATTTTAACAATTAGATGTTGACATTTCATTAGTAAAAAGTATAACAATAAATATAACTAAAAAAAGTAGTTAAAAAGAATAGAATTTGGTGTAAATGTTATATACTTATAGTAAATATCCAACAAGTTGAAAAAATAGTGATGATTTATAGACAAATTATACTTACAAATACACAATTTGATAATTTTGGGTTGGATAGTTAGCAAATCATGTCACCGTTATTCGCAATATTCGAATTCAAGCTGTACCTAAATCCATAGAAAATCTTTTAAATTTGTACTTTACCCTACTCGATTAAATCGGATCCGGATAGATATTCACATATAGAGTTTTACCCTAAAGCGAAATATAATATTGGAACACCTATGAGAAAAAGTCATAGTAGATCACTTGATTGGTAAATTTTGCTAATATCCCTAATTCTTATTATTTATAAATTTATAATGAAAATTAAGAACGTGTAGGAAGATGTAACATATTCACACATTTTATTATACAAAAATATGAAGTAATAAAAAAATTGCGCATGCATGATACCATCTATGACAAAGTTGTGAATTTTCTAGACACAACCTTTTGGTGCAACTTATCATACAAAATGAATTTTGTGTTTGAATTTATTAAGAGAGGTTGAGAATGCATCAATCTTGTATTTGAATGTCAATTTGTTAACAAAAAAAAAATTGTGAATGCATGATTCAATTTCTAAATGAAAAAACAGTGAACATCATGTTTAAAAAGACTGTGAATAATTGTCAAGTTGTCTATCGAAAAATTTCTTCATCTAAATAGACCTTGAGTACAAAAATTCTACGAACCGAAACTCAAACTCTACCACTTCTTCCCTCTCCATTTGAGTAATGCCAAATTTCATAAAAAGTAAGCATGCATGTATTTTAGTTATTTGATTTAGTTGATTGTTTATTGAACTCAATTTGTGCCTAACTTCTTTTACTGTTGTTGTTTTCGTCTACAGAGATCTACAATAAAGTTGTCAAACCCAAAGATGGAAGAGGGACTAAGAGGGAGCCTCCTGCATTGAATGTTATAAACTCTCCTCCACGTTCAAGTCGTGTTTCTTCACAAGAGGATGTAGAAGAAGAGGAGAGGAGTGTTCGTGATAGAGTTTCAATGAGCACTACCTCCTTTACACAAAATGAAGACCTCGAATTTCTTACGAGGAGCGAAGGGAACCAAACCATAGACAATCTAGCCTTCTTTCGCTACTTTGAAGACGGTACTCCCCACCCTACTACCTTCTCCCCTTCATCTTCTTCATCAAACAATAGAGTCTTTACCTCTTTCCCTTCTCCACCGAGCAACAATATCCCTCATCACTTTCATCACTACCACCCACACACCTCTTTCCCGTTTTCTCAACCGAGCTACAATACTCCTCACAACTTTCAACCCTACCACCCACACACCTCTTTCCCGCCTTTTCAACCGATCTACAATATACATCACCACCCAAACACCTCTTTCCTGTTTTCCCAACCGAGCTACAATGTTCCTCACCACTTTCAACCCTACCACTCACACACCTCTTTCCCGTTTTTCGAACCGAACTACAATATCCCCCACCACCCGCTTGCCTCTTCCCCATCCTTTCCCTCGAGCAACAACAACCTTCATTTTTTCCAATATCACACTGACGGTCCATCTACCTCCATCCCTTCTTCTGAACTGAACAATGATGAGGTCTTTACTGATGAGAGTGAGGAGGAGGAGGATGTTGATGATGATGGAGTTGCTGATGACAAAGTTCGCTTCAGTGTCAAGGACGAGGAAGTTTATCGGGTTTTGGAGATCCTCACCAAAGAAACAAGCTGTCCTAGAAAAACAGCTAAAACAACATGGAAATGGGTCGGGTTACGCTATATGTTCGAAGACGATTTTATCACGGAATTTAGCAAACTGAAACCCAAATTCAAGGATGCTTATGTGGAGTCGATAATAAGGTACAATATTCTGATTATACCACCTTGGGATGCACTCACAAATAAGATTAAAAGGCCCTTTAAAAAAGTCAAGTTGGTGAAGAGGAAACTACTACGACGTCAACCACTCGAAGTTGGAGGGTATGTGTCAATTCTTTAGCTTCTCATTGCTCTATAATTGAACTTCAAACTTTCTACTTTTCATTTATCTTAAAGGTTTCATCTATAAAGCATGCATGTCTTGAAAGTCAGGGAATTGGCTTCCTAAAATTGCAGCACAACTAATTTAACTTATTTCACCATTAATTTGAAATAATTTGGTTACTACATTTTCTCTAGGTACTTCTTGGATACGGATTCATCCATAAGAAATGGCTACATATACGTAGGACTAGTGGTGAGGAACCATGTTGGAAAAGTGTTATGGACACACACGGTAATCGAACACAACCCAACTTGGGATATGATAATCCATCCACAAGTGGCAGAGCAAAATGGGATCTTCATTGCATGTAGGGCATTGAAAGAAGAGAAGCCAAATGAAATCTACGGATGATCACGAAGAATGGGCAAATGAGTAAATCTATCTACCTGTCATTTTAGTTTAATATGATTGCCTTCCTCACTCTTAGATCATAATTCAAAATTTACTAATTGTTTGCAGGGTTAGAAATGCTTTGGAGAATTGGGAAATAGAAGTAACATTTCGGTACGCACCTAGAAAAGCGATGGCATTGGCAAATGCATTAAACCGAAGGGAGCTTGCAGATATTCTAAACAAGAGGCATCCTACAATCAACGATCTATATCCCGATCTCCTCAAATATGTGGAAGATTTGGGCATCATGTATATTGAGGAAGACGATATAGAAGGGGAGGCAAAAGATTACAATCGATATGAAAATGAACCTCATAGATATTATGATGTTCAAAACAGAAAAGATGCAAGCGAAAAGGATAAGTGTGAGGAGGATACTTATGAGAAATACAAAAATAGGTACGAAACTCACTCCATTTTTTAAAAATTTACTTCGAAAACTGCCATCTTATGGTCCAACAACGACTTATATGAAAATCACAATATTTCAGCACTACCTGATGGGAGTAAGCGGTCAAAGGAAGCATGGAGCTTATTTTCCCCATATTTTAATTAGTTACTTTTTCACAAAAACAAAAAGGAAAAAACTGAAAGAGAAAGGAAAAAAAAAAACCAAGCAAGCAATGAGCTATTTGCCTATTTTTCCCTTTCATAATTTAATTGCCTCTTTTCTAGAACAAATAGTTTTCTGAAAAACAGAAAAAAATAAAGACAAAAGAAAAGATCTGTCGGATTAAATCTCTGAAATCGAGGATGATCGAGGTTAGTCAAGTAAGAAAACTCAACTATCAAGAAGAAGAAACAAAAAAGGTAAGTAAACCCTAAAATCTCTCCTCTCAAAATTGGTTGTGAAACGAGATTACCGCAACCTTTAGAGAATGCAGGTTGGGTTTCCTCTGAGTTGTTATGGCTTTTATGTAATCAATTGAAAGTTCGTGTCTTGCTTTTTGACTGTTGGGTTTTCTTTGGATGCAGTTCTCCTCTTTCCAAGTAGTCAATACTATCCTTTCCCGCTCCAAGTCTTACTAACCTGGCCAAACAACAATAACAGCTCCAAGGCTTATCTCGCTCAAACTTCTCCTGCTCGTTGACACTCAACAATATGTCTTCTACCTTCAGTACAACAGGTGGAAGCTCTTCCTGAGGAGTAAGCTGTGAAACCGTGAAAGCAGTTTGGCACAATCTCTTTTGTACTCTCGAGAAGGAAAGACAGATTCTTAGGGCAAGCTTGAGGCTCATAAATTCTAGTAAATTCCTTGTCTTGAGGCTGCTGAAAAAAACATGTTTCTACTGACAACACTTTCCCAACTATTGGAACTTGATTTGTGATTGCCATAGTTTGAGGCCGCTGCATCAACATTACAGGTTTATGTTAGTTGGGTCAGTTGTATCAAGAGGTACATGTTTCTTTTCAGCAAGTAGATCACCATTCCCACCAACCAGAATTGAAGGAAGAAGAGATTCAACAGTCACAGCCACTGTCTCACCATCGGAACCTAAGTAATCACTAATCTGAGATTGCTTCTGCCCTTTGTAAGCCTTGATGGCATCCTCTTCCAAGTGAGCTGTATGGTATGCTTGGAGAAGTGTTTGTGGCTGGGACTTCCTTACCGATGCTTGCTTGAATATCACCCGGCAAGCCACGGAGAAAACCCTTAATGAAGTAAGCTTCTGGTAACGTTGGATACAACCTCAAAAGTGCCACTTTCAACACCTCAAATCGGTGCTGATATTCCCATATCGATTCCAGCAGCCTAAGCCTGTTGAACACCCCAACTACCCACTCTATATCCAAATCCCAAAAATACTCAACCGACTCCAGCAGCAAATGTTGCCCAACTGCAAAACTCATGACCAGAATGCCAGTATCGAAACCACCCGAGAGCATTTGCTTCAAGACAGATTGATGGCCGACCCACCCTCTCATTCTCTGGTATACCATGAACACGAAACAACTCTTCACATTTCCTAAACCAATCCTTAGGATTGACACCCGAGGAGGGAATTGGCAGTCTATATGAACTGCCAAATTGGTTGCATACCGCATCAACAAACTCATTCCAATCTAACAAGGCTCGACGCAACCCCCACTTCCAGAACCAAACAGCCTACCTACGACGGAACTTTGCTGCCACCAACTCAACTCTCCGCTGATCGGGTATTCCCAACCCGTCAAATAACAACTCACATTCCCTAATCCATTCTTGAGGGTTCACGCTGGAAATTCCAACGACAGAGTGGAGGTGGAAATACCGTGAGACTGGCCGTTGATACCAAGTTCGCTAGCAGTTTGTGTTGAAACGCCACTCCTTGGCGGAAGTACCTTCAGCTCCGCATTTCTTCAAACAGGTGGTGGGCTCTCATCACGAGCTAAGCTACAGTCAGCAAACGGATGCCCTGCGACGCCAATTCCGGCCGCAGTCCATGTTTGTCGCAGCACCGATCGTCGCAGAAGGCTTGGGCCAGATTGCTCTTCACTGCATCTCTCCATACTTTCCAATGGATTGGCGGTAGCTGCCAATGCCAGTTGCCGTCGCTGTAGGGGCCGAGAAGGGCTTGATACCAAGTTGTAACACTCTGGACCGATCTGGATCTTTCACGGCGATCTGATGAAGCAAGAAATGACGATGAGATTGGAATTGGAGATCAGAAAGAGAACTAGTAATGGAAGAGGAAAAGAAATCGAGAAGAAGAGGGAGACCAGGAGGAATAGAAGAAAAGAAAGCAGAGGATGGGAAGAAGAAGTAGAAGGAAGCATATTCTGATTATTGTATTCTATAACCTTTCTCGTTACAGCTAAATCCTATTTTACTAGATTGTGGCCCGGCCGATTGGCCGGGTAGTTTTTTTTTTGAATTAATATTTTATTTTGGAAAAAAACAAATCTCTTCATGAGTGTCCAAATCTCTTCATTTTTAGTTAGCAAAAAATATTAAAATGTTTAAAAGTTGTTACAACTGGATAACTGAATGAAAATACTAAGATAAAACTGCGTACAAAATAAAAATTCAAAATAAAATTTTATATTCCGTCTTAAAATTATAATATACTTTGTCTTGAACTAAGTTAATGAGAAAATTTTCTTATAACCTAAAGTTAGTTAAAGGGAGTTACTAATTAACGCCCTCTAACTTTTTTAAATTTGTCGCCCTAACTTAATAATTTGACATTTTTGCCCCCAAATATTCTCAATCTCTAACCAAATTTAGCCCTATGATTTTTTTGCCGTCCCACCGTTTGCCCTGAGAGTGGTCGCCCGTCGCCGCCGCTCGCCCTGGGAGTCGCCGCCGTTCTTCTTGGGAGTCGCCGCTCGTGGCCGCCGCAACTGTCTTCTCCTCCTGTCCTCTACTCTCTTTCCATCCTCGGGATCATCCCTGCAGATGTTATCTCCTTGGAGCAGTACCCTGACCGATGAAGTTGTCTGGCGATGATCGAACTTGGGGTTGCCGTGTTCTAATCTTGAATCTAGTAATCACACCAACACCATTGCTAAAGCTGACCGAGTTCTCCAATGGCTAGAAAATTCCAAAAGACGTGTGTGTTGTAGAGTCAGCACCATGAGCAGCAAGCCAGCAACTTGCCTCATAAAACAATCTCCGAGGTCAACAACGTTTCCGTTTCCAACTTCCCGATCAAAGAATGGTGTTTGTGTGCCAAAATACCCAATAGACAATTCCATCTTCAAAATTAAACCACAATCACATAGACATTTAACCACATAGGCGGCGGCAGTGGGCAGGACAGTGGCCGGCCGGGGATGGGCGGAGCAGAGGAAGGGCTAGGGCGATGGGCGGAGCAGAGTAAAATTAGGGATTTGGGGCAGCTACTGTAGTTTTGGTGATTGAGGGTAGTATCGTCTTTTTGATAAGATTAGGGCGTTAAATTTTAAAAAATTAGGGCGTTAAATAGGAATTCAGAAGTTAAAAGGCTATCCATGTGCATTAGATTTTATAAATAAATAAAAATAATTAGCTTGGACTTCCAAATCCATTGATGGATAAATTCTTGTGTACCCATAAAATACGCCCCTTAATCAATAATCCAATTCTCTCTCTCTGTCTTTCTTTAACAAAAAATTTTATATAAGAAATTGCATCTTATTACTTATTGAAATACCAATTTTAATGCTCTATCGAAAGAGTAATTTTACAATGTTATATAGTATTGGTGCTATAGTTTTTGCCTTTATAGTACAATTTGATGATAGTATATATCTCTTTCGTTTTAAATCAAATTTCACAAAAAAAAATTGCATAGGAATAACCGATTAATTATGGTATACACAATGATATCCTTTTTCTATATTTTGAGGAGGAAAAAACAATGCTTCAAATGACGTGTTAGTTGTAATTTTGTTAGTGTCATATCATCATGATATGACAATAATATTATGCTATATTTCTTTTGTTTTAACTAAAAATCTTAAATTTTGTGCAAAAAGAAATTACTAATTATTATCTATACAATGATATATGGTTTGCTATATTTTGAGTAAAAAAAAGGTTTTAAAAATATGTGCTTTTCGTAGTCTTATCACTGTCATATCATGACTTACCAGTATCGTGTGACTGGTCGCACTATCACGTTATGATAATATCATAACACTATGATAATAATTCATGTCAACATCCCACCATTGTCATATCATAATGTTACCACTATGGTAAGATTGACATCACCCTCATACCACTGTCACATAATGATAATATCATGATACGACAGTGGTAAGATGACATGAAAAAATTGTCCAAAAAATGTCAAACCGATTATCATCTTGTAGAGCACAACTATGATCTTTCTATCCAATTATTTTTTGGAATTCGATGTAAAACGAATGAAATATGATCCTTTGAATGATTGTAGAAGATTTTAAAATTTATCTAACAACACCTCTGGAAATATGTGCTTGCTGCCCCAAAATCACTTATTTCCATTCTTATATGGAGCATATGATCTCCGCTTCTCAAAATATAATAATTAAATATGATTTTATAGATTTTACGGGGAAATGTTTTGTGTTTGAGGCTTTGAGCCTTACTCATTCTTAGTAACTATGAAGGATCAGTTCTTTTAAGGAAAAAAAAGTCTTAGTCGAATAATATACGATAATATTTTGATAAAAAAATGGATTAGGAAAATTTTAACATTGATTTTTTTATTAGGATCAGAATGATTCTTTGAAATATTAGAGCAAAGTAAATGAAAAAGAGGAAGCCTACAAAAAAAAATGAAAAGGAAATAATAGTTTTAGTGTCCAGGTGGCTTCAAAAGATTGGATTTCCTAAACAAATTGAGTTGTTTTAGCCTAAGAAATGGATTAGTGGTCGTGGGCTCATGGTCTTGTAGAAATGGAAAAACCGAGGTAGGATTGTAAAATGTAAAGAAAATAAAAGAAGTAACCGCTGCAGACGGTTTTAGGTGAAAAGGCAAGGATGAGAAGACTAATTTATCCTCCCGAGTTATGCGGTTTAAACAACATCGGCTGATGTGGCAATGATTGTTTATTGACATTGCATTATATGTTTTTGTAGATATGACATACTAATTACACAATGATCCCCAAACTACACCGTATTGCAATTAACTCCTTACCCATAAATGGGTTCATTGCAACTTTGTTGGTTCAGAAGATTCAGTGAGTTATTCAGTTGATGTGGGTGCAGGTGAGCCTTCAGGGGTATAGATGTGGCTCTATCTATGTAGAAAGTTGTGGTTTATAGAGTTCGTATGTAATTAGTTTTCATGTATTACTAGTATCAATACCCGCTGCTACGCCGCATGAGATTTAGTTGGATTTAATATATTTAAAAGCAGTAACATACTGAAACTACCCGAGAAAATATCTCTTTATAGCATGGTCCATTAAACCGTACTGTACCGGCGGTTCAACCACAAAATACCAGTATCGGAGGCTAATCCGATAGGCGTATTAACGGTTGAACTACGGTTCAACCATGATTTTACCATAAAATACCCTACTACTAACTTTTCCGGTACGTTGTCCGGTACGGTTTCATGGACCATGCTTTATAGATGAAACTAATTATTCCACACATCAAATAAATCTTGATAAAATTTGAACAATCTTCATTAGAAAAGAAAATAAGCAATATTCAAATAGTTAAGACGTTAAAAAAAATTGTAGCAATTGAAAAATATGGGGACAAACTCGCTAAAGCACTCCTCTGCCTAAAAAAGATGTGTTACTTACAATGAAAGTAAGCAAATAAATGCTCCAATCCTAATATGTCATCATGATATTAACAAAATGTTTATTGGTCAATAGAATTCAATGTTTAACAAAGAGAACTAAGACTATAGACTACGATACTCTTCCTAGAGAATCCAAAAAACAATATAGAACTCTTTTAAGCTATGGGTCAAACAATAAAAAAGATCACAGTAACTACTGAAAATTCCAACACATGGACCAACATGTAGTAGTTGGCACGTTAAACAAAAGAGATACTCGAATGAAACCAATAAAACTTAACATGGAAAATACATTAGCAAGGCAATGTTAGACTCGTCAATCGTTCCAACCGTGCTAATGTCTTTCCATGAATTTGTTTATCTTGAGTCCTTGCATCAACTGATCCTTGAACAGAACCGCAAGAAAGAAAGATAGTCCAAATTTGTTATATAGCAGATGGTGCTAACTTGGGCACAGTTTTACACGTAAAGTCTAGCGCCTAACTTTAGAGACAAACTCAGAACTAACTCATCAATCTTTCCAACCTTACTCATGCCTTTCGATTCTTCTGCTTATCTTGAGTCCTTGCATCAACCGATCCTTGAACAGAACTATGAGAAAGAAAGACAGTGCAAGTTTGTTAGATAGCAGATGGGGCTAACTTGAGCACAATTTACAGGTAAAGTCTAGCGCCCAACTTAAGAGACAAACTCTAAACCACAGGCCTCAAGATTACATGCCAGCACGAAAAATGGAAATCATAATGGTGATCTTACCGAGAGAACTATTAAAGGAGAAGCCACTAATATCTTGCATTCATCACCAGAACCTATAAACCAAAAAAACAAATAAAAGGATTCAGCTTTCTGAACCCTCAACATTGCACTCTTTTTTAGATGACACTCATACAACTTGGCATATCAATATGGTTCCTTCTAACCTGCAAACATACTCGAGAAAATTTTGTTCTTGTTCTAATTTGTTTTTTGTTTTGTGTATCCAAGAAAGTATGGATATCAAGGTTACAGGTTACAGTTTAGAATTCAGTAAAAGAGGCAAGACGACTCCTTGTGTCTAAGAGGCAAGAACAATTGTCATTTGCAAAAAGTTTGATCAAGTTGCAATGACCAAAAGCTTAAGAATGCGATATCCAATGCACTATAACTACCTTTAAGGGAGGTGAACTGTTTGTGTTGATTATGTTCGCTCTAATGACATCATGATCCTAGATCGCCTTGTTTGGAGTATGATCGTTGATAAGATTGCATGTTCTACCAACTTCTCTACACACCTTAACAATGAAAAAAATATGCACACAATTTATAAGAATTATCATAAGAAGAACTTGAAATCTCCCGGAAATTAGCGTATGCAGAATTCATTAAAGGCTAAGGGTCACTTCTGCATTTTAATAAAAGTATATATGTATATACACAATACCATAAAATCAATGGCATCAATCTTAGCCTACCATATTAGCATATGAATTTTTATCAGATCACTTGTACGAAAAAGAAAACGAAAGAAAGTGCAGATTCATGTAATTGTATTGTTTTTACAGGCACAAAACCATTATTCATTTGCATTTGAATCAAAATTTTCCGTCTTATAACTTGGACCATGTCCACACGATTGACCAAACCTAGACCAAGGAAGCATATATTTTTTTTTTATGTGACCAAGGAAGCATAATTAAGATAGGAAGAAGTGAATTAGTAGAATCTGCTCCAGCAAGCATGTTTTCCGGTACTGATTATTTTTCTCAAATTCTTGGTACTTGAAGTTTAGTTCCAAAGAATAAGGGTTCTAGTCTTCTAATTTAGTGTTGGACAACATTGACCATCGATTCTAATTACCTCTCCAAAGCTACCAGTCACAAAACAAGAAACACAAACACACTGTAACTAAAGGAAAGGTTATCAGAATCATATCAGCACCCACTTGTAGTACGGTACTAAAGGTTGCTGGATTCCAGCCTTGAATGGTGAAGAAAACCAACCCTAAAAAAAATGCATCATGACTCATGAGAACAAATTACTACCAGGTGCCAAAACTTGTCAACTTTTGAGGTTTTAGTTTGTAAATGAAGGGTATTTGACAGAATCACTCTGCACACGGGAATTTTACGGAAGTACTGCTCATTTTCTTTAAGAAGCAATTGGAGATTTCGTTGTCTGTGCTGACCATTAAGCATTTATCAACCTAGGACACCAGATTAGAAAATATAAAACAAACTAATCGTGAGTATTTCATCGCACAAAATTTAAGATCCAAAAGTCAAGGTAATTCCTTCCATGCTCCCTATATTCATCCAGTAGTATATGTCTCCATAGTCAATTTAAGTGCTATACACATCCAAACCATTTATCCAATACGATAATTATGATATGAAGAAAAGGTGGAGATGGCAAATACCTTACTGCTTGCTCTCTTTTTCAACTTTGCTATTTGACTTGGTCGATTCAGTGATTATGGGCTTCCAGAGATACCAAATTCACCACCAGAACTCTCTGCAACAACTGATGTTTATGCATTTGGAGCACATCGCGGACAACACATGCATCATAAAAAGATAACAACAACAATTGGATGCCACTGTTAGAACTGCAGCGAAGAGAAGGTTAGCTAGAACAAAGCCATAGCTAGTATAATTAAGTGTTGTTTGACATTAATATTGATCATGATTAAAATCTGGATTAAATGTTGTTTGGCATTATTATTGATCATGATTAAAATCTGGATTAAATGTAGCAACCCTCATATCAAACGAAACACGGATAATAGATAACAATAATAAATAAATATAGAAAGTAAGAATTCGATACTTTTGGAAAAAAATGATAGATAATAGAAGAAAAGTTACAAACAAATGAAACTCACCTCCCATCGGGCAGGCACAAAACTAGTATAATTAATGATGGTTTATATAGTTATGACACAATTTGTATACTATTATAATATCCTCTGTGGATTTTCTAATTTGATTTATGCTTTATGATATGGTTGTCTAGTTGTTTTAAAAACAAGCTATAACATAATTTAAAAATAATTTGAAATAATAATAAAAATATGTAGACAATGCTAATGGAGTGGGAAGTTGATAAGGTGCATAATCTTGTGGTCAATAACTATGCATAATCCAATCAGAATCTGTCACATCAGCGCTTCTTCTCTCTTTTGAAAAATCTTTAATTTGTTTCCCATTATTCTTTAACGAATGATTATTCACTCTTTTTAAGTCGAAATTAAATTTTTTTTCACAGTTAGATCAGTTTAGTTGTGCTCTTCAAAATGGTATCCACTTTGATATATTTTTGGAGAAAAAAAATGAGTCATTTTTTACCATATGTGCACAAAAATTGAAATCCGAGTTAAAACTAAAAAAATATGAGTCGATTAAGTAAAAAGGAAAAATAAAAATATTAGATGTCAATTTTCTAAATGATGAGTCCAAATTTATTTACTAATGAGTCTGAAGCCAATGAAGTGTGTTCTACTTGTACAATGATTTTACTACTATCCTTAAGCCGTTTTCCTCTCCTCTCGCTTTAAAATGTGCGTGTTCTTTGTTCAAAATAACACGTAAATCTCCCTCTCCCCTGTTTCTCTCCTTGCTAACTGCTCCAACGTAACTGAACTTCCCCTGTTTCCGTGCCTAACAACTAGTACTAAAACCTCTCCTGTTTTGTTTCACATACAGCAGCCGCAGATCAATATCCCAATTCCATGGAAGAAGACCATCAAGAGAAGAAACACGTGTGCAAATACTGCGGTAAGCGCTGCCGCAGTGGGAAATCGCTGGGAGGTCACTTGAGGTCTCATATGCGTCTGTTTCTGGAAGAGTCGCCTCAGCCTGATGCCAAGCGGAGATGGAGAAGGAAGCTATTTCCCCTTCGCAACAAAAGTTACTTCAAACTTTGCTCTGTTCTGTTTTTAATGTGGTGCTGTGAATGATTCGTTCATACCGAAGATGGCAGAGTCCTTTCCTCTGCCTTTTATTTGCTTGATCTCATTAACCCACCAACCATTGTGTGTGTGTTTTTTGTTTTTGGGTCAGAGTTGAAGAGGAAGGAGGAGGACGTGGAAGCTTTTGTAGCGTCTTTGGACCCTAATCATGAAACATGCCCTTCGCTGATAGTGTCCAAATTGATACGGGAACGAGCAATTGGGTGCCTGGCCGCACTTCTCGAACGCAAAATTCCTCACAATCGCTTGGATCTGTTTGATGACCGCCGCGAACCCTTCATATTTTATGCGGCTCAGAGGGGGTTCTATGGAGCAGTCGATTTGTTTTTGCGTCACGGGGTTCCTCCTAGTGCTAGGTTACCAGCAGCATGGTTTCGTCGACGAGAGCTGCTTCCCATCGATTACGCACTATATACCAGCTGCGACGACCAGTGGGATCTGGAAACCGAGGAGAATGGTTATTATCAGCAAAGGCTCTGCACTTTGATGCTCTGGCTTCCCAAATGGATCAGTGAATATTTCGACTGGTGGCGCACGGTCAAGCTGCTGGCTCAGACCACCGAACAGGGGATTCTGGAGATGAGGATTTTCCGGTATGCAAGAAACGGCCAAGCGGCCAAGCTGCTCTGGCTCCTGCTTGCCGTCCCCGACCGAGTTCTCTCCCCAACATTCTTCAGGGGCACGATTCTCCAGCAGCGGTTTGGAACCGCCTCCTTGTCCCTCCGCGATTTCCTGATTGCTCAGCTTGCTTTTGTCACTGGAGTTGGCCTCACCGTCGAACCCAATCGTCGTCCCCATCCTGACGGGATCCGCGGCGACGTGCTGTACAAGAAATCGAGTCTCACTTGTTCCCTGCGGTTGCTTGAAGTCTTCCGCAGGGCTGGGCCTCAATTGTGTCGCTTAATGGAAATGTTAGAGAAGGAAAAGCAAAGAAGAAAAGAGCAAGGGGAAACGTATCCTTATCCGGATTACACAATTGCTCAACAGTTCAAGACTGTGCTCAAGGAAGCTGGCTTCCCTGTGGCTTCTCTCCGTTGGTACTTTACTTACTTGCCTTGTTAACTTTGTTTTTGTAGTATGCATCTATGTGTCTAAATGTTTGCCTTTTGTTTGTTGACAGTCCGGTCAGAACTGCTCACCGGAGTCACAAGGAGGAGACTGACTACGGCTGGTAACTAACCCACTAAGTAACATCTATGGCTTCTCTTGTTGCTGTTCAGTGTTCTGTGTACATTTACTTAATACGGAAACTTAACCGGCTTGCGCCGCGGTCCTGTAGGCTTCCCCAGAGAGACGACTACCCTGAGTTGGAGTTTTTGATTCGACCACCGCATGCCCACAGAAGTGAAATTCTTGATTCAGGCTTCAACAAGGCCATCGAGAAGTTGTGGTACACAACCTTCACTCATTGTTGATTTGTTTCGATTGTGAACTAGAAATTTTTGTTTAACTTGCATGCACAAATGTGTAGTGATTCAACTGATTCTTTGCTATTCTTCTGCAGCCAGCATCCTCACCTTAAGGAATGGACATCCCAAATGTCCATTTTCAAGTTGCTTTTCATACTCTGCCTCCCTGACGTGGTAGAAAACATGCAATCTGTGTTACGATTCGAGGTCAAGGATGTCAACCCTTCGAATATAATCCAACCTGCGTATCTTGCTGACTTATGCTTTATTTACGTCACCGAGGGGCGAATCGTTGAATTCACTTCTGCTCTAGTGGCTACTCAAGTTCATCTTCAGTTGGAGTATCCACTATGTCCTAAAATGTTTTATGATGATGGTGATTATAGTTACAAGTCTGCCACCCCCACCGTATATGAATCATTGTTGCATGCCATGACGAGAGTGCTTGATGAAGAAATTAGTTTAATTGGGAAACCGAAGGACAATGACTATGTTCAAGTTTGCAAGGAGAAAAAGGCATTGATATCTTCTGCATTTCTACTAACAAAGATAGTCGAAAAATCTGCAAAAGATATTCATTGTTATCTTCACTCGTCAAGATATAAGGTGCGAGGTTTCGTGTCTAAATTTTCGTTTTGATAAACATAAAATATGGTCAGTTAGTTGGTCACACTCACCTTGAATGTATTGTTCTGTTTCCGCAGGAACTTGGTGATTTGAAGCTCATAGTAAAAGATGTTGCTGCCTTACTTAGAAAACGCATGGGCTTTGTGTTACGATCTCGGCATACTTGTGTGAACGACCTGAAATGGTATGTATTTATTGTTCTTTTCTTGTTGATACACGACATCAGGTTTGAAAGCAATTGCATTAGCATGCAATGTGTTACTTACAATCCAATCCATATTATATAGCTAGATAATATCATTTTCCTTTTTCGATATTGCTAACTGTATATTTTTGGGTGTTGTCATAGTTTCTTAAACAAATCAGGTATCGGAGAATCCGATTTAGAAGGAAAATTATCATCATTTGGACCACTTTCGAAGAGAGTAAAGCCGTCGACGGTTTCTAAAAGAACAATTGAAGGATCAACATTCCTTGCTTCATCCATTAGCAAACTTTCAGCTCGCTCTTATCACTCATACCAAATTTCAAGGTTTGAAGGATGTAAGGCCTCATTACCGTCGAGAAACCGGGTAAATTTTGTTGTGAAAAAGCTGGAGGCAACAAAACGATTAGACACTATGTCGAGGAAGAGTTGGAGGTTCTTGGCCGTGATCACGAGAGTAATGACCTGGTTCTAAATTCTGCCCTCTTTGAGCTCTTACATCACAGCCTATGACATGCTTGGGTGATTGGAGTTGGTGGGTCAGTCAAAGAGCCATTCTGGGTTTGGTCAGCAACCCATTTGCTTGCAGCTTCAGTGTAATGCACTCCATCCCAACTAGCATAAACAGAAGGGTCTTTACAGGAGCCACCATAGATTTCACTTCCATTGACTTTCCCTTTGTTTCCGCACCATATGTGGTCATACTTCACATGGTAACCACAGCAAACCTTCAGTGGATCAGCAAACCCTGCAAGAAAAAATTCCCCAGAGTGAATGAAGAGAATGAACATTCATTTTTGGACTAATGAAATTAGCAAGCACCTAGTATGGTTTTTGGCAAATAAGTTTTCATATGTTGTTTATCCCTTCAATAATTCTTCTAAATCCTTTACTAATGTGGACAACTCATGCTTACTAGCTCAAAAGATGACTTTTCTATACCTAATCTCTTTGCATTGGCAATGAGTCCATGTTTAGCAGCATGAACATCAACATAGACAACTGCAGCTTCCTTGAGCTCTTCCCTCAGCTTTGTAACTCTATCCTTCAACTGCCTATTGAACTCAACTGACATCTCATTCTGAGCCTTGACGCAGCCAAGCTCATCGAGGTAACCCTGTGGGGGAGGATTCGAGACGTAGAACAAGTTCACAGGCAAGCAGCCAAACGGACCCGTGTTGTGGATCCAGAATGACCTTCCTCCTTGCTCATACAAGTGCTGAAAGTAAGGAAAAATCAAAGCAGCAATGGAAACATGAATGTCCTTTCGTGTCTAACTTTCCAACTTGTCAAAAGCTTAGATTGGTGGTATCTAACTCATATACTTACTTTGACTGCTGCAGCCAACTGGTTAACAATGTCGGGCAGTGCTGCTTTGAGTTGGTCAGGACCCAACCTGAAACCAACAGACAGATCATTCTGGCCAATATCGAAAGTGTAGAGTGCCTTTGAGAATTCCTCTGGTCTTGGAAGCTTGTCTGCCTCGGGAGTACCCTTCACTGCAAATAAAAGAACCTACCAAACTTGTAAGTGCAAGTGTAACAGAACAAGAAAAGGAAAGAGTTCAAATTGCGGTAGACAGAGGTTTCAAACAGTAAAGATTGGAGCTTTAATTTTCCAGTTTGAGAGCAAAGCATACCCTGATTGTAGAGTTCTGCTGTTCTGGCTTTGAACTGATCAAACTGCACAATCTGCATATCAAGAGCAAAAGGGCTAATCCCATACTGGAAAATGGTCTCATTCTGCCTCCTGATTGTCGAACCACCAGTAGCAAAATTGGCTCCATGCCTGTAGTTGGCCCCAATTGAGTTCAAGTAAGCGCTCAAATACGGCAACTTTAGCCTCTCAGCTGCAACAACAAACACGAAAACAGAGTAAGAGATAGTAAAGCAAAAAGAATCCAACTTTTTACTAATTCTTCTTCTTCTTCCTCAATACTTCTACTTCCAGTAGCTTATTACCTATGAAATCCACAGTAAGGCGCCCATCGGAGTCTCGACCAGCTGGCTTGTGGAAGAAATGCTCGCCGTATGGAGCTGAGATTGGGACGAACGCAGCCGATATCCCTCCAGTGTCTGAATTCGAGTCTCCAAAGTTGTAAATCGCTGGGGATTCGCAGGGAGCCGCCAAGCCGGCACTTCCCGAGCTCAAAACCGAGAACAGAAGAAACCCAGAAACCAAATCCCTCCCGGAGATCAAACCCATTTTTGCCGAGATCTCCCTATCGACAAATTTACCAACTTTTCCCGTTTCCCACTCTGGGTATTTATATCATACAGTCGCGGGGGGATAGAGGAGAAGAGAACCCGAATTTGGGGAAAAGGGTAGAGGACAAATGATGGAAGAGAGTTTCTCCATTTTGCATGTGGGTTTGTAATTTGTTTCATTAATATGCCTGTCAGTGTCAGGAACTCGGGATCAAAAGAATGGTAAACAGGCTGGAGTTGTGAGTGGGAATTACCAATTTCAAGAAGTGATGTAACTTGGTCACGAGTCTGGATTACAGGATTCGCCGTTTGATGATGACGATGACAATGTGTGCGTGGGGTAATGTAATGTGGGCAACTACCGACAAATATTGACGTCAATAAGTGCGGCCTAATGGGAGAAATGGTTTCACTTTCACAGGCCACAGCTTCTGGATTTTGTACTTTTGCCGAGAACAGAGAGTACATGCAACAGTCTCCCACTTGACCTAATTGGTTATGATACTTATAGGAAGAGGACAAAATTTAACTAAGGAATTTACAAACGTTGGAGAAGACAGAAGTCGGTTGATCAAGTGTATTCTACTGATGTATTTTGAACTTTTGTTGATAGATAATTTTGTGAGTTTTTTCAAATATTCAACTAGATGCTGGCTGATTAAGTGGATTTTCATAATTTGTATTTCTGTTTTGCGGTTTTCATTTTGGAAGTCTTATAGATTTAATCTTTGTGAGTTCTACGATTATTGAGCTAAAGGCCGATTGATCACGCGTAATTTGATCATGCGTATTCCGTCAATGCATTCTCCTATTTCAAATTCGTATCGATTGACAATATTTGTGAGTTTTCCTACTATTCTCAAACAAATATTTTATTTTTGCATATAATCCAATTTGGAATATGAGGTCTCATTGGCTATCGAGTACAATTTACTATCATAACTTAGAAGTATAGTCTTTTAATCGAAGTCTGACTGAGTATTTTCAACCTTGTCTTATAGGCGTCTGAACGCACTCTTTATTGAACCCATATTAGGTTATATTGTTTCATTTGACGATTCACACATTAAAAAAATTGTATTACGAGAATATCTATTTTTTGTTTAACATATTGCTTCCTATTTACAAAAATACAAATCTTCACTAAACAAAAGTTAAACGCACAACGTGAAACTTTCACGCGAACTTTCGTTCTAGTATTACTCATTATCAAGAACTTCCAACTCTTTTCTCATTATAAATCTGTCCACATCGATGGATCCACTCTTTTGTTACTAACAGGTTGACTTCGTATTGCATATGCAACCAGTTTGATCATTGCATCGAAAAATAAGTTATGAGAAACACGAAGAAAATTCGTTCATAGATGAACCAATAAGCAAAGATGACTCAATGGTTTTTGGTCCATCGACATGAGACACCAATTGCTTTGCTTCCTGTGCAATTAAACACTTTTCTGTACAGGATTTGTTCAGAGTTTTGTGTCACCTGACTGCAACCTCCTCTTCTGACACGATCTCATCCCTCCTCCATCTTCAACATCTGCAGCAAGAAATCACTCCACGTGTCGATCGGTCCGGGCAGGCACCAATGCACACAGTCGTTGTACATTGTCAGGTTAGCACTCGGGAGGTGGCCATATCTGCTGGGATGCCCATCAGGTCTCAACAGCATAGTCTGTGTGATGTCCATTACCTTGAATTTCAACCCTCTCTTCATCCCCTGCCTCTCAGCAGCCCTAAACTCCTCAATCTTCACCGCGTGCATCTCGAATTCAATCCCTTCCAGCCTCGCGTCGTTGCGGCGGAAAGGCCTCGTACGTACGCAGTTTCCCCCTTTGTCCCACGCCCCCGAAGTGCGAGGGCGCGAATGTCCGGAGGATCGTCAATCCCCTGTATTTCGGCGAGCTGCTGATGAAGGCTCCGAAAGCTGTCCTGAAGGCCTTTCTGTAGTCGTAGGACATTGGCAGATTCGCGACGCCGCCGAGATGGCAGAACCGGCAGCCGGTGCGGCGGCGGTTCTCGTAGTACATGGCCGGCCGGTAGAACCAGTGGCCGGCGTTGATGATGACGTAGTCGAATTCGTGGATCTGGGCCGTCCAGTCCGTGTTGAACTCGTCCAGGTGGAGGCTGATGAGGCCCGTCTTGGGGTCCTGTTCTTCCTCGGCCTTGACCAGATACGGAGCCCAGAATGAGGCCATGGTGAAATTGTGAGATGGGTAGTTCCAGCGCTTGAAATTGAAATCTGTTGTAGGGGAAACGTCTATTGGGTGTGCCACCTGGAAGAACAAACGGCAAAACATTAAAGAGAGTGATAAGGGTATAAGACAATAATTACTAATTACAATGAAAAAATTCTATTAATTTTTTTTTTCATTTTTTAGAGACTGTAGAATTAAGACATAATCATTAACAGAGAAGTGATGGAACGACGGAACTTGTGAATACATAAGATTCTAAATCTTAATGATTTTTTTTGTGAATCTTAATGATTTTTTAGGTAGGATGGCGAAAGAACCAAGAGATAATTCATTGATTTGGCGGCATTAGGAATTAACTCTACAAATGAAGTAAATATTTCTAAAACTACCTTAAAATAAAAAAAATCTCTAGAAAATAAATCTAAAATAGATGGTTATATAGAAATAGAAAAAAAATATACAATACAAGTTTATACTAATTAGTAGTTTTTTTTTGTATGTTACCTTTTGCATGGGAATATAAGCAGACCGTTTGAAAAATTGTGAATTAAATTGAATTTCAAAATGTGGTTCGAACCTGAGACCCGTAAAAAGGTGTACAATATGGATTATTTTTATCACTTGATTTGATATGGTACAAACTGTGGTTTAGGGTATCAAACCATGGATTCAACAAACCTACTTTCTGATTCGTCCCCTCCTTTCCTTACAAACCACGCTCCACTAGAGAGCAATTACTATCATGTTTAACTTCAAAAAAAAAAAAAACTATCATGTTTACGAGCACTTCTATTATGCTATATAGCATTGGTGCTTTAATGTACAACTCAAAGTTGTACCATAACATTAAATGTATAAGTTTAGGTTGTACCATAAAGCAATTTATATCATTATGTTATGGTACAACTTTACAACTTGAAGTTGTACCATCACATAAAGGTACAAGTTCAAGTTGTACCATAAGGGATCGTTTGGATGAGTTTATTGACAATGTGGTATTTGTAGGTTCAAATAACTCATTTTTTCATCTTGTGGTATTTCAGAGGTATTTGAGATTGATACATGGTATTTTAATTTTAATTATGTTGTTTGGATGAAAGAGTTAATTGTGTGTGGTATTTCATAAAACAAACCAAAAATACTTTATTGCCCTTCTTACATTGCCCTTCTTCCTGGAATTAATTTTTTTTATCATCAATCGATCACAACCACTACCACCGCCTGAAAGAGGAAAAAATACAAGTTTCTAGTGAGGAAGAGTCGAAGAGATACCAGTTTGATCCTACAACACCAAAGTTCAATATGAAAGGAAGAATTCGCATGCACTATAAAGGAATGGTCAGAGGGTGGAATCTATTAGGGATTGGACAAAACAGAGCAAAATTGAAGGAAAGGGAAAGATTGCATGAACAATTTCATCGATTGCGTTAACAGGGGAAGCTGGCGAATTGGCTAAACAAAGAAAGGGAAAGAAATAATCGAGTCCATACCAGCCTCCTGCAAATTACCTTGTCACTGCTAAGCTCTTCCCAAGCACTTTTTTTACCCATCTCCCGCAAAATTACCAGATAACAAATCAGTATACAAGTCTCCTCACCGTCGCCGCTGCCGTTAGAGAAGGAACGAGAAGAGTGAGAGGAATCGATCGAGGCAGACTGCAAGAGGAGGAACGAGAAGAGGAAAGGAATCGCAGGATGGTTCTCCTTGTCGTTGACGCTGCCAGAGAAAGAGTCACCGCCGCCGCGATCGAGGTGGACTGCATGAGGAGGAACGAGAAGAAGAAGAGGAATCGCAGGACAGTTCTTCCTGCTGTCGCCGTCGCCAGATAAGCCTTTCTTTGCCACCGCCATAGAAGGAATCGCCACTGCCAGAGAAACCTTCGCTCACCGCCGCAACCTAGGCTTCAGCCTGCTCAAACTTATCTGTATAAAGAGTGGAATTCAAAGGTTGCAGAAGAAACCTCCGCCGCTCAATGGATTTTGATTTGGGGCTGAAGAATCAAAGAAGAGGAGAAGAAGCGTAAAAGAGAAAGAAGGAAAAGGGACAAGAGAAAGAGGAGAGAGATTGGGGGCAGAATAGGGTGCTTTTAACGCAAAACGCGTTATTGTGAAATAACTGGGTACCCCCCTGTTATTTTCAATAACTCAATAACTCGTTTTTGAGTTATTTTGGAATAACTCATGCCCAAATACCACATCCAACTTTTGTTATGCCAAACAAGTTATTTGATCTCGAATAACTCACAATGAGTTATTTGGTACCAAATAACTCGTAGCAATAACTCATCCAAACGACCCTTAAAAGAATTTGTACAAAAAGTATAGATACAATTTAAAGTTGTACCATAAAGGCAGAAACCTATAGCACCAATACTATATAGCATTGTAAAATTTCTCCATATTTACATATGTCATTATGTTAATGGTGTTACAATATAAATTGCGTTGCTTTAACTTTTTGTCTTTGTTATTTGCTAAAATTTCTAGTATTAAATTACAAATTCTAAAATTTCTAGTATTAATTAATGAGTTTGAATACCTAACTCACTTACCTGGAGAGCAAGCAAATCAAGGACTGCATTTGGTTCCTCCCAACCGAATCACCAACAAAGGCCAACGATTTCCCGCTAACAATCTTCAGGAACTGAGCCGGGTTGAAGACGGGAAGCTCGCAACCATCGGGCTTCCACCTCCACTTCATGAACTCATCGTCGGGACGACCATACTTGATGCAGTTCTGGTGCTCGTGTATCGCCCTGCAGCTCGTGTTGGTGTAGAAGGGCGCGTCGTGGTCCGGCACCCACTCCCCTTTGTATAAATCACATCCCATGGGGACAGAGTCCTCATCACCACCTTCCGCTGCCGCGGCGGCCTGACCCCGATCCACCGGTGATGGTACCTGTGATGATGAGAAGTAGTAGTCTTGAGGGAAGATGGTGGTGAATACGACAGCGAGGGTTAGGGTGGTGACAAGGATGATGATCAGGACTAGTCGTGGCTTCAACTCCATGCCATTGATCAGCAGCTTCATATCAATGGAAGAGTTGGAAGAGAGCGAGGGAGAGAGGGAAAATGTGAGAAGGTGAAGTTGTAAGATTTATACAAGCGTATACGCTGCCGGCCGGAATCTCAAGATACTGCATGCCGGCAACATTTACTGTATTTACCCCCTGATCCTGATGCCAGCCGCCAACAGCTACAGGTCAACGAGCCTTCCTTTGTTGATACAGGGAACAGTTAGATGCCATGCCAAGGTTCTCGACAGTGAAAGAATAAAATAAAATAAAAAAAGAGAGAATTGATGTGGTTCTTGCTGCAGATGAATCCATGGATGGTTAAACTAGTATATATATCCATGGAGACTTGGCTAGGACATGTACGATAGAATTCAGACTGGAGATAGAAAGCATAAATGGAGTTTGAATGAAATCCGAACTGGGATATTGGAGTTTGAATACAATTAGTGCAGACTAACTACACAGAAGGCAGAACATCTGAAGTTAAGATTTTGCATCACCTAGGAGTTTGAATAAAAAACATTGCTGTTGGATTGATAGATAGATATTTCACAACAGAAAATCACAAGGATTCTAGCTTGCCATGTTCTTAGGAAGTCTTGAAGTGACGGGGGGGAGGGGGAAAAGGGAGTAGCAAAAAACGGTTTTAACTTCTACAACAAGTAAAGAACATTACTTGTATCATTTAGATTATACACAGCTATGGACAGGAGTTTGGGGATAACTTTTTTTTCATTGGCGATGGCCATCTGGCAAGGGTACAACCTTATGGAAAGGAACTGTCCTTTGGGGCAATGCTCCGTCTTCTTCGTCGTCATCAAACTCCAGCAGATAACTGCACAACGGCAAGAACAACGGAACGGTTAGAAAAGAACATGCACAGATAAGATTGACGTCCAAGATCAGAAATGGAGGGTAACTTACTCGTCGGACTTCCTCTGGAGACATGTAAAGAGCAGACAATGCGAAAAGGCAATTCATTAGTCAATGATTCAAGTGATTAGGAGCATCAAAGTTATGCTGACTGTGATACTGGAAATTGAGGAAAGAAATATAGTCAACCTTTCTCGGGGGATTTGCAACGGTTGCCTTGTAGAGTGCTGTTGTTCCTGGATAAACCGCCAAGACATGTCTTCCGGGAGGGAAATCAGGAGCGCTTGTTGGATCGTTTCTCTTAGGGAAAGGAATGATGCATGACATCGGTAGCCTGTACTTCCTGAAAAGGCAACACAAAGGCACGATGAACTTTAGCAAGGGGTAAAAATGGACCAGGAATGTATGTAGAAGGAAGATGGTATCAGTAGAGCAAACCCTACCCTTGCCCACCACCACCATCTTCATCATCACCCGGTTCTTCATCAAATACCTCAAATCTGCACATTATACACACATCAGCTTATGATAAACAGCTGGGTTTTGCTTCAGAATTGATCTTCTCCAGTTAGCATTTAAAGGAAAGTATGAAAAGCTACCAAAAATGGAGACTGTTCTGTGGTGAAGGGACTCACTCTCTTTTCTCCCTATCAAAATGCATGACCTTTACAACAAACCATTCATCCTTTTCGGCATCATCGCCAGTAACCCTGGCCGCTACCTGAAAAAAGTATATCAGTACCTTTGAACTGAAAAAGACAGGAAATACAGCTGCAGTAATGAATGAGAAAGCCATATTTGCCAAGGAAACAACAAATCAGACAAAGAGCCACGTAATACCTGTTCACCTATCAAGCTGGCACAAGAATCGAGTTGACTTCTCATAGAAGGTGAAAGCCTAGGCATATCTGGATCGGCCTTCATTCTTTTCCTTTTCTGCTCATTGCCTTCTGCAGTCAATTAAGACATCTCATAAGTACAAGAGAATAAGGTCATAAAAAATCACAAACCAGCAATGTCACTAGAAATGTTACTAGAATCAAAGGCACTTGTGAGAAAAAAAAATTCTCAAAGGAAATCAATCAATCGCTCATGGCTGACCCAAAAAAACTATTACACTCAGTAACTTACAGAAAGGAATATCTACAACGTTAATCAGTTCGACCAAATGGATTACAGCTTTGCCATGAAAGCTTGAAGTACGGTAACGGTCAAAGTACGCAGATACTAGCATACTGTGATCTTATCATACCAAAGAAGAGATTCATAATTGTCTCAATATGGACAATTCATCATGAGTTCATCACATACCAATTCGCCTTCTGTGCTGTCCTGGAGGACCAGGTGGCAGGAGGGCATCAAGCTGAGTCAACAAGGTATTAGAAACACTGCAATGAAAGTTTGATGACCGACTTAGTTTATCTGGACGACCATAAGAACCAAGGAAATGACAGCACTACAAGAACGGAAGAAACGCGTGAGTAATTATGCTTAGGACCATTACTTTATTTCATTCTCCGACAGATCCCTGGCCTGCATATATAGCAATTTTAGCTTTTGCAACGAGTTGTCACCAGGCTTTTCAACCACCTCTGGAGCTGCATTTGCATGGAAAGGATGGGAGAGTTAATAAATCCTATTGAAAGTGAACACATAAGGATAACCAAATGAAGAATTTCTGTACAAACGTATAAATTTGAATTAATCCCACCTACATTTTACATGATATCTACAAACAAGGGTAGTTTTCTCACACAGAGCCGAAAGGCAAGTAAATATCAAACACCAAAGTGCATAGGAGATCACTGCACAAAATGTGCAATGATAGTTACTGTTCTCCAGGAAACATCCTGGTGATGTAGAAGCGAACTTTAGTACAAGATCAAGACAAGTGCCAGATGGGAGAGTTAATAAATCCTATTGAAAGTGAACACATAAGGATAACCAAATGAAGAATTTCTGTACAAACGTATAAATTTGAATTAATCCAAACTACATTTTACATTATATCTACAAACAAGGGTAGTTTTCTCACACAGAGCCGAAAGGCAAGTAAATATCAAACACCAAAGTGCATAGGAGATCACTGCACAAAATGTGCAATGATAGTTACTGTTCTCCAGGAAACATCCTGGTGATGTAGAAGCGAACTTTAGTACAAGATCAAGACAAGTGCCAGAAAATCCTCTGTACTTCAAGGCTAATTAATCCCAGATTAGGTAAGAGCTACCCAGAACAATCCCAGTATCTCTAATATCCATTTCAGTTGGCTTCACAAATCGATGCTATTCATGACTTGAACAGTAAAGCTTTTGATCTCATCGAAGGCTTTTGGCAAACGGTGGAAACCACATCCACCATCAAGTTGAGGTGCAAAATGAACTAAGTAGAGGGAAGGGATGAGTTCATGGAGCTATGTTACATGCTTAAAGAAGAGAAATTAAGAAGCAACAGGATGGGTATGCTACCAAATAAGACCAATAGCACAAAGTACATATCAATACGTCAGACTACACACCATGAACAGCAGGGTTAATCGCATTAAATGTAGAAATGCAAGCACAGCTGAGCAAGGAAGCATATCAGAATGCATTAATAGAATCCCAATCACTGCTTTCCACCTTAACCAATCTATACGCGGAGCCCCCAAACCTAACCAAGTTAAAGAACATAACTAGTGTTAAACAAATTCACAAATGGATCAGTTCTGAAAAGCAGATTCCGCCTCAAAGAAACTAACCAACACCACATCCTCAGATACTATGAGCTTGGTAATTTGTTCATAGAGTAACCGCTGAAGCTCTTATTTTTCTCAATGACCACATTAGCTAACATATCATACAGTCCACATTACATTCTTGGTCCAGCTGGAAAACGATCCTACATTTAAACTAAATCCAAGCAAGCAAAACCTACTATGAACTCTCAAACTGGGAAAACCCAGTAGTCTAAAGACACAGACTTTCAGTTAATACTACACAAACCCATAACAGCCCAAAACTCGGAAATTGGAATTCTCGTAGACATAACGGAAACCCAACATTCAAAACATACCCATTCCGCCCATTCGGGAGGAAAAAAATTAACGATACAGAGGATGGGGTTTTGGAGGGTTTGCTTACTTGCTTGAAGCTTCTTATGCATCTTGTTGATCTCCATAAGAACGTCCTCTTGATCTTTCCGCAGCCGATCGAGTTCCCTCGAATTGTCCATGATTCCGGAGATTTCCGCCGACGACATTTCCCTGCGGGGTGCAGTTCGGGGAAGCGGAGAGGGAATGATTTTGGTTGGGAAGAGGAGATGATTGCACGATTGACTATTGATTGACGATGCTGATGAACTGAAAATTTGATTAACTGCTGCTTTGCTTTGCTTGGACGATTTTCGAGCAAATGTTTCTCAGCCCGTGGTCTTCGATCAACTCCCTTCTGACATTTTTCTTTTCAATTATTAAGTGCAATTTTCTATATTATTGTCGGAGTAATAAATAGTAGTTCCAGGAAAAAAGAAAGAGGAAGGAATTTCAATTTTTGCGCTCCTTTCCACTTACAGTTATTAATTTTTCCCACCTCTTAATTATTATTGTTATTATTCCATTATTGCTCAAAATCATTACATTTAATGATTTCCTTAGATAATTGGGCAAAATTTTATTAGAATTATTATTATGATGATTTATTTGATGGCTCGAAATGTTATTTTTTTTAAATATGTTTTTGGATTTTTATTTATGATGTCATGAGAAAGAAAATAATTTATAAACTTTGTAAGTTCTATGAAAAAGCGAGTTATTTAATTGAAAAGTAGAATGTAATTAATCATAAATATCATCGTACATATTGTTTCGAAATCAATTATAAGGAGTTGGATAAATTAATAATTTGTCAATTCAAAGAATCTATTGTATGATTTCAAATATTAAGTTTACATTGAATGTACCAAATATTCATTTCAAATACTGGAAATAGAATGTAAGGAATCATCAATATAATAATTTCTACATCAATACTCCATCAACTTTTCAAGTAATTAACATGACCCTTGTGTCATTTTATCTATTCTTATTTTACTACATCATTGCCAACACAGTTAAATGTTTATTTAGTGAATGTTTTGTTTAAGTAGTGTTATTAGTAATGGGATCATTCTTCATTTCTTTGCTATGGAAAATATTTGGTATTTGTTAATAATTGCATGTATGAACATTCAATGGCGAGCTTCATTTACGTTAAGACTATGTGATTGTGCAAGTTTTTCTTGGGAGTTTCTGCCTTGGCCGTTGACAGTTAAAATCGATTTTGACCAGAATAATAAGTTACATTAACAGAATAATTCGAGTATTATTTGATGGTTTCTCAAACATTAGCACCTTAAGTTATCAAAAAGTGAAAGTGGTATCAAATTCTTAGATAATGATCCATCTAGTGTTATATATTTAGTTCACTCATTTTTAAATATTCCGGATAATTGGGGTATGTGTCACGAAGTACAGTTGAGATTGTTTGGTGCAACACTCATTCTGAGAATCAAACAAAGTGGTGGATAATCAATTAAGTACTAAAATTAAAGTTTTAACTTATTTATTATTTTTAAGAAGTCTATGATAAACTTATTATCCTTTATTTACATAACAGTCTAATCAATAATGATTGTTCGATGATCAGTTAAACAGTGAGGTGGGAGGATTCGTCTCGACCAATCTTTTAAATATGAGGGCACACATAACTAGTGCTCCAACTAGATTCATCACAAGGCAACAATTACAATATTCACTAATGAACCGCAAAATGATCTAACATCATATATAGTGCGATAATATTTACTTATTTGCCGTCAATGAACTGAATTTCGATAAGTGAGAGTTTTGCATCTATACTGAGAGCAAAAGGTACAGAGCAAAATTAGGTGATTAAAGTGTCTAGCAAGGAAAAGACTTTACATAACCTTATAAGATGTTGGCTAAATTATGGCAAAGTCTAAAATCAACATATTCTTGTGGGCATGATGGTATGTTTGATGATAAATTGATAATTAATGATTTCATTGATTTGACCATTCACCAACGATCTAACCACCGAGCGAACAGACGTCAGTATTCCGGTGAGGCCGCTCCCACGTTGATCGCCTCCTCCGGCGCTACAGCAACCCAATAACAGTCCAGCAGACCCAAGCCACGTCATCCTTTTCCCCGGGCGTACCCATCTGAGCATCACACCCAAGCATTCCCTTTGCCGGGAAATCACCGGAAAGCTCCCCGGGGACGCTTGTCAATCAATCGAGTCGTACAGCAAAGTTAAAAAAATATTAATAGAAAGTTTATGGAAAATATTATTAATCTTTTCAAATTCCGTGCTTCCTTTAGACGAAAATGGAAAATGCGACAAAATGGCGATGCCAATACTACTTCTTCTCTTCTCCTTTCCCTTTTCAGCAGGCGAGCGATCGTAGTTTCGAAGCATCAGCGGAATTTTTTTTCCCGGCTTCGTATTCTCGGAGAACAGGACGACCGCCGGCGGGTTGGCTGATTTTCTACTACCCGGTTTGGTTACCTAGAAAGAGAAGCCCTGATTCAATCAATCGTCCTCTCTCGAGGAAAGAAGGAAAGCTCCAAAGTAATTTACAGGTGCCGGCGACAACCATTTGTTCGTTTGTTTCTCATTGTATTTCGGGTTGGTGAAATCAACTTTTTTGTTTTGCGGGTTTGGGTTGGTGGAATTTTTGACAAGGGTTCATCCAAACTGCATTTTCCCGGTATTGGAGCGTAATGAAAATAGCGTTTCTTGAATTTTTGGGAATTGGTTAACCATCTTGTTGCTGTTTTCGGCTTAGGGGTGGAAAGCGATCAGTGTAATTTTATTTCAGAGAAACAGAGTCTCTGTCTTTTTCGCCTTGGATTGGGCATCTCTGGGTACTGAATCGGCATTTTTGTCTGTATATTGTTGGTTTAGATGTAGAATTGAACTGAGTTGATGGTTAAATGGGTTTCTTGGAGATACCATGCAACGAAAGGAAGGAATTTTTTTTCTTTTTCTTTTCATGGGGAGCTTCTTCTTGTTTCAAACTTGGTCATCTGAAGCACATCCATGAATTGTATGTCTTTACAGATTGAATTGCAGTTGATGACATTGTGCAGCAGCTGGAACCCACTAGTCTGTGAAATTGGTATCGCTGCTCTTTGAATCAGAAGTGCAGTACTTATAATGCCACTGCCCATTAGAAGGTGACTTTAGCTGCTTCTTTCATTTGGTTATGGCGGATATGGATCAAACTGTGAGGAGTTACTTATCATCTGAATTCTGATGTACTTTGTATCTCTTGTTCTCTGCGGTGGAAGTATCAGAAAACCTAGTGAGATGACGAAGCTTTTCATGACAACTCTCCTTGGCATCCTCTTTGGCTTCTTCTTGGGAATATCCTTGCCAACACTGTCCCTCTCAAAGGTTCATTGCCAATATTGTTTGGACGCTATTCTTTTCTGATTAAGAGAACTTGGACTTATTTTTTTGTTGGGTCTGGATTTGCTAGTTGAATCTTCCAACCGGGTTGCTTCCTTCCTTTGACTTCACTTACATGGAGGACAAGTTCTCCGGTCTTTCGCCACAAGCACTGCTCAATGCTTTGTCCTCTCTAAGGAGACATAGTATACATTCCTTGTTATTTCACCGATACAATGGAACCAAGGTATGTAGCTCTACCAGTAGTGTCTAGTAATTTATCTCGAGGGTAAGCTGATGAAGTCAAGCTGTATGTTTTTTTAACATTAATGCAGATATGGGTCAATGAAAATCCAAGAGGTGCTGAGAGGTTACCTCCTGGTATAGTAACTTCTGAGTCGGACTTGTTCCTTCGACGATTGTGGGGTATGCCTGATGAGGTCTGTTATTATGATTTCACCCGAATAATCATAATCTCTTAAGGGAAAATGTATTAAGTTGCTACAAAATGTGATAATGGCTTACCTAGGCTTGCGGTCCGCATCAAGTTCTTTCTTGTCTTCCATATGTTCTCCTTTGTTGATGGAGGTCACATTCGCAGGACTTGCCAGTCCAACCGAAGTATCTTGTGACATTCACAGTTGGGTATGAACAGAGAAAGAATGTCGATGCAGCAGTTCAAAAGGTCAGTCTGATCTCAAGCATACCTTTTACTTCCACTTGGGTTGTCATTCTGATCACCAACTTGTATACATGTAAGCAGTTCTCTGAGAACTTCACCATCCTATTGTTTCACTACGACGGCCGGGTAACTGAGTGGGATGAATTTGAATGGTCAAAGCGAGCAATCCACGTGAGTGCTCCTAAGCAAACGAAGTGGTAAGCTATCACTTCTCTCACCTCATCGTCCTAGTTCCGATTTTGTGGATCAAGATTATTTTCTCTTACTAGTTAATTAAATTGTCTTCTGAAGGTGGTTTGCCAAGCGGTTTCTTCACCCGGATATTGTTGCAGCATATGACTATATTTTCATGTGGGATGAGGATCTTGGGGTGGACCATTTTGATGGAGAGGAGTGAGTGTGAAACATTTAAGAACCCTTTCTTAAATTGAGGATACGTATGACTTGAATCTCAAGGGTAAGATCGTCCATATATCAGTACATTAGACTGGTGAGGAAATATGGGTTGGATATATCTCAGCCTGCTTTAGATCCTGAAAGAGGGACCACCTGGGCAATGACGAAGAAAAGATATGACACTGAAGTTCACAAGTAAGGAGGGCCCAAAAAAAGAAAGGAATATGCTTTCTCTTATGTGCTCAAATTTAAAGCTTCTTTAGTTCTCATGTCAACCTTCTTGCATCCCTGTAGGCATACTGAAGAGAAACCCGGTTGGTGCAAGGAACCATATTGGCCGCCATGTGCAGCGTAAGTAAAGCAAACAACATTCACCCTGGTTAATCTGTTATCCTGGGATTGCATTAATTCCGAGTGCTTAATGCACAGATTTGTGGAGATTATGGCTCCTGTATTTTCCCGAGAGGCATGGCGATGTGTTTGGCATATGATTCAGGTGCGTCATTACGACCATTCCACAGCTGCTTATCATATGATATATGAGTTGGATCTTTTCTAAAGTTCTATACCAAATCTTTGCAGAATGACTTGGTTCATGGATGGGGTCTTGACTTTACCATGAGGAAATGTATTGAGGTCTGTAATGTGGTGATTTCTTTTGAACCTTTCTTTTCTCCATCTCTTCCGTCTGTAATATAGATAGCCATTTGAACCACAGCCTGCTCATGAGAAGATCGGAGTGGTAGATGCTCAATGGATAGTTCATCTAGGCATTCCATCCCTTGGGAACCAGGTAAAATCCCAAAGATACCCTTATCATTTGTGAAGGGAATGTAATTGGTTATTTCTCCCCCTTTTCTTCACTTTGCAGGGAACATCAGAGAAAGGGAGAGCGCCATGGGAAGGGGTAAGAAATGACTCACTCTCCCACCATATTGTCAGGCTCCTTATTGCATATGGATCTGAAGTGTATGAAGAAACATGTTTTTGAGCTGACTTTTCGGCATCCTTATCTCAGGTGAGGAAGAGGTGTCAAACCGAATGGAGGATGTTTTATGAACGCTTTGCACAAGCGCAGAAAGCCTATTACTGGATGCTGAGATTTCGTCGAAGAAGTAATAATGTCACGAATAGCTAGAAGGATCTGGAATGATCATTGATTCCCACCCTTAGTGTAAATTCCACTTCCAGAGCTCCTACAAAATGACCACAATCAATCAGAAGTAGCATTTTAGGTTTTCTGTCTTCTTTGATTTTCATTAAGTGTGTTATTGAGGTGAACTTTACTCGAGCTGTAGCTCACAGGTGACTCACAATTTAGGCTGCTCACATAATTTTTGGCCAATCATCTTGTACTTTTTAGGCAAAATACAGTTCCATAGCCAAAACTTTCACGTTTGTGCCAATAATAGCCACATTTGGCGAAATACCACTTATAGCCACCTTTTGAAAATGTTGTTGGACAAATATAGCCTTTTCCGTTAGAAACATTGACGGGGTTACTAACACCGTCAAATAAGTAGACGGTTTGCTGATTAGGCGAGAAGAAATCGAACACGTCAGCGCCAACTAAGCAATTCTTGACACATCATATATTACATTATTAAAAAAAAAAATCTTACCATATATTCCCATTTCCATCGAAGCGAGTCCTTCAGCCCCAATTAAAAAAAACCCTAACACTGTTTCAAAAAAAAAAAAAAACCCTAACACCAAATCTGGTGTTCTATCTCTTACAATTGTCGCCGTCTCTCTCCATACTTGACCCAATCTATTCCGTCTTCTTCCTCTTCAAATCCCACAAAAATCTTCCCCAAAAGTCATCCAAATCCTCACTTCCCCTGTACCTCCACTCGTCCCCAACAATCCAATCCCACGTTTCCCTTGTGGCTCCTCCTCACCCCGCACAGTCATCCCTCCTCCTCCACGACAAGCTCAACCACATGTCTGGCAAAGATACGGATCTGGAACTGGGAACCAGAAATTCGCTTCCCCTTTCTCCTCCGTCCTGTTCAATCTTCCTTCTGGCGATGACGGCGACGTCGAGGACAACCTTCGTCCGTCATCCGTGGACGGAGAGAAGCAAATCGCTCGATCGTTGTTGCCTTTCCCCACCGCCGCTGCCGCTCCCGTCCTCCTTCTCTCTCTCTGTTTGCTGTCTCGATCGAGAGAGATAGACAAAACTATGGCGGACCGCTTACTGGAGATCCGACTGATTATTGCAGTCGATGGTGATATGAGGAGGGCAAATAGATAGAAAAGATTACAAAGAGGGAGGTGGGTTGCTTTGGGAGAAGAAGAGGCATGGAAGCAAATGGTTTTTTTTTTTGTTTATTGGTGTTTATTTCAGAGAAAGAAGATAAGGAAAGAGGAAGAGTCGACAAAATGGTTGGTGGGTAGGCTGCTTCGTGTTTTGTTTGTTTTTTTTTTTAATTATTGTCCACGTGGAAATCACTGGCGGTCCACGTAAGCTGCTCCGCTTGCCTAGTCACACTTAACGTTAACAGCGTTAAAGAATTGGACGGAGGTGGCTATAAGTGGTATTTCGTCAAATGTGGCTATTATTGGCACAAACGTGAAAGTTTTGGCTATGGAACTGTATTTTGCCTACTTTTTAACACAGTTCTTTTTAGAAAAGGCTTAAAAGTGCTCACGTCTGCATCTTTTTCATCGAGAAGAGTTATGTAATCGGTTTTTTCTCCTCATTGCTGTTCAGTATGCTTCTTTAGTCCAGGCTCAACGGTCCAATGGCCCAATAGTTTACTTCAATACCATGCTGCAGGCAACTGCCAAAGTTGAACAGACAATCCAAGTTGAACAGACAATCCAAGTTGAGCAGACAATACTCCGATTCCTAATGCTAATGGCATTGTGCAATACCATTAGCTGCAGGCAACTGCCAAAGTTGAACAGACAATCCAAGTTGAGCAGACAATATTCCGATTCCTAATGCTAATGGCATTGTGCAGGCAATTCATGAAATGAGAAATGGATACATATTGCAAATTATGTATACAATATGGACCTATAAATTAAAAAAAAAAAAGGAAATGGCGCAAAATTTCAGCTACAATATACAGATTACAGATCACAAAAATTATCACTCTCATTCTCGCTGCCTGGGTACTTGGAAAACTTATTCGAGTATCAGAATTCGGAGGATATTTTGGCGGGGTGGCAGTCTTCATGATGTTAATGACTGAGGGCCATAAATACTCAAAGGTGCAGTTAGAAATATGATTTGGCGATCGCATCTTCCAGCTCCTTAAATTCCCACGCATCATCTGCCACATATTCTCCTGCAATCCAAGCAAAGCATATTTACCGGTTGACCTCTCGAAAACTGGTAGAATGCTTCCCCAAAACCATTTTACAAAAAGATATTCTTCTTACCTATTGAATCTCTTCGAAGAGCAGTTAAGTGAGCACAACTGCGAGTTGAAAACCAACAATTTCGTCAGCCAAACCATGGTAAGCAAGAATTATTGACCGCATCAAGAGAAATGAGGAAGTCATACCTGCCAAGAGCCTTCCCTAAGTCTGCACATAATGATCGAATGTATGTCCCTTTCGAGCACGTCACCCTGAAAATCAGATTTTGTCTGCAAGAGCCAGAGATCACTCGCTCAGTTCAGACTCAAGCCCTAGAAGAATCGCATGGAGAACAGTAATAATAAACAGTTGAGGTATTGATTTATCAAAATTGTGAACTTGGCAAAATGAATTGAAGTTAGGATAGCATTGATATTCATTTAAGGTTCCAGGTAAGATTTCAGAAACCTGTCCTCTAGGCTCCTTTCAATGTCAAACTGGAAGATTGAGATTCTTCTTGGCGCAAGCTCGACACTTTCTCCTCTTCTGGCTTTATCATACATCTTTTCCCCTCCTACCTATAAAAAACAACAGAAAATTTTATTTAGGAGAACAAGTGAATTCAACATCGTTTTATATTTATGACATGAAAAAAACAATTGCTGTAGATATTCTTTTCTGTAAGGAACTAAGAGAATTTTTACTTTGATGGCTGAGAACATTGGAGGAACTTGCCATATCTCCCCAACAAATGAAGCAGCAGTTTTCTTAATGTCGTTGTCTTTGATGTGCTCCCAAGGCTCGCGTTGAATAACCTTCACAAATCAAATGCATCGAATTTACTGTAAGAATCTATAGATATCATTGAAGACCTCCTTGATCTAGGTCTGACCAAGTGTTACTTATAATTCGACAACAAGCAAATATGAGAATAACAAGAGAACAAGCACCTACGGGAGAATCAGCATCCCAGGTTGAAGTAGCTTCTCCCAGGCGAAAAACTCCACTGTATCCCTTGACCATACCTTGGTAGCTGCATGAGAACAAATCCTCCATCTTTGATCACATATTCAAAATATAAAAGTAAGCCTATCCTGGCAGGCAGAACGCAGAATTGCCATAGCCGAAGAGTGAGAAGATCCGTGCTTCAGCACCAGTAGTATTACCTATCTACTACTTTAGTCGCTTTGCCAACACATACAATCAACAAACCAGTCGCCATTGGATCAAGAGTTCCAGCATGCCCAACCTTATAAGAAATAGCCGTAAGAAATCATCAGAGAACAAGATTTACTCAAGCGATGGAACAGAGAAAAAGTAAGCACCTTTTTCACTTTGACCAGACGACGGAGCTTCCCACATACTGTAAATGAAGTCCACCCTGTTCTCTAGCAAAACAAGATAAATGTAAAAAGAAACTCTAAGTTCATAATCCTACATCATTATCACAGCATAGAGTAGATATTCATCAATCACATATAATTGGCTCTAAAGCTTTTCACATAATCATGCTTCCCTTCCCAATAAACCCTCGCACCATAAGGAATTGACAGCTAACACTATTCCATTAACCCTTCATCCACCAGGGAATTCCAGTCTTTCCAGCCTGCTCAACATTGCAACACAAGGGATCCCCAAAATCACAATTTCAAACTAATCTAAATAATCGGATTAAGCACTATTGCACTCCCATGATTCAAACAACCAGCTCAAACAATGAAATCAAATTCCAAACCAATTGCAATGAAATCCAACAACAGATAAGCGAAGTGAGCAAATAAGCTCTCACCTTTCGGCTTGTTAACCAAAACCACAGTGCCATAAGGACCATCCCAGGTGGGAGGAAGCCCATTGCTCCTACTAGCAAGAAACGGCTCTGCGTTCCCAACTTCCCCCTCATTACTCCCAGAACCCTTCTTCAACACCTTGAAGAAATCAGCCACTTTCTTGTGCGTAACATTCTCATTCACCACATCCCCAGCTGAACCACTCTTCATTTCTCCTTTCTTCCCCTCCTCAAAAAACACTAACTTCTCATCTCCTCCATCACCTGCTCCAATGGCTGCTGACACATCACTCTTTACTCTTCCCTTCTTACTCTTACTGCTTGTTTTCGAGTCCTTGGGATCCATAAAAGCCTTGTCGAGGCACTGATCAGGAAAATACTTCTTCTCCAACTGATAAACCATCTTGTAATGCTTATCCTTCTCCCACGGATAAGCCATCGCGTCGAAGAAGTATAGCTCCTCTTCTCTCTTGTGCAACCGATGAAACTCCACCACCTCGGGCTTCAACTCCACGAAACCTTCCTCGCCGGCTTTTCTACTCGCCTCCTCGTCGGAATCCGTTCCGTACATTCTCTTCCTCCTCTTGTTATAATACTTCCGCTTCGACTTATCCATCTCCGACGACAGCTTCTGATCGACCCAGTCGTCAAATCCCGATTCCGGGTCGGGACTCGGAGCGGAGACTGGGTCGTCTTCGGCGGCGGCTCGAGTGGGATGTTGTAGCGGCCGGCGGCGAGGTGGGTTCACGGAGGATTGGGTCGGGCGGCTGATGATCATGTCGTATTGGAGAGGGTAAGGGGTTTTGGAGGAGAAGCGGGTTGATAAAACGGGTCGGCTTCTGATGGAGAAGGTGGGGACTATTGGTGGGTGCGTGAGAGTTGCCATTGTTGATAAGGGAGGTGGGACTGTGGGTTTTGAGCGGAAGGAGAAGGAAAAGAAGAAGAAGGCTGAGAGGGATTTCGCCATTGATAAGCGCAAAGATTGAAACTTTTTTTGGCTGGAGTTTTGCGCGGAAGAAGAAGAGAACAGTGGAGAAACGGGCCTTCTAAATCGGCACAATCAAGAAACAGGCCCAGCCCACCGAGTAACAACGTCGCGGACAAGCTTCTACTGCTTCTTCTTCAGCGCTTTCACTTTCAATTCCCCAAATTCTTCCATCTGAAATTTAGGAAAGGGAACGAAAATATCCAAAATTTTCCCGCTCGAAAGCATGGATTCCGCGGCAGCGCCTTCGGCTTGGGGATCTGACGTGGAAGGCGGCGAGTGGGAGCTCCGGCATGACGACGATGGCTTCACTTACAAGATCCTGAAGCGCCCGCGGCTGGACGAAATCTCGGTGCCGGAGCCGCCGGCGGTGGATCCGGAGGCCGAAGAGAAACGCAGGAGATCCTGCAAGCAGAAGGTGCTTCTGAAATTGAAGGGCCGGTACCAGGAAGAGATTGATCGGTGGGAGCGTTTGTCGAACAGCTTTCGGGAAATGGAGGAGAGGGTTAGACAAGAGACGGAATCTCGGAAAGTACAGCAATTTGAAGGGACGAATTTGGGGTCGCCGGCGGTGGAAGGCATGGAAGACTCATGTGCCTCCCTCGTGGATGAACTACTGGCTAAGGTAATTCGCTGCTTTCCCAATTTCCACTAGCCTTGTTTGGCCTGAATTGTATGCCATGAGGGTGAAATTGCTCTGAATTTATAGAGAAAAGCATCAACCCTGGTTTTCTAATTGCTGAATGTTCTCTCTTGTACTTAGGAAAAGATTAGGTTAGACAAATTTTACCCCTGTTTACCTCCAACTCAGTCCTACTATTGGCGTTCACTTGACTTCAATTTGCTCTGGTTCTTTTAACAGTAGGGTTGCCTGTGTGAATAGATTAATCTCAGGAAAGCGTTCTTCTTGCCTAGGAAATTGAAGACTATTGCACGAAATGAAGCATTATTTTGATCATTCTCTTATGTTTCCTTGCGAAGTATTACTATTATTCCCTATTTCCCTTATGAGAATTGAGAAACAAGGTGACTGCGTTTGACTTGTATTTTCATTTTGGTGAAAAATTGCAGGCAGATGCAGAAGAGAGACTGATCTTGAGTTTCTCAAACCTATGTGACCAAGCAGAAGCAGCTTGCGATGCTCGTCGGGAACGCTTTGTGGAATCCTTCTTAGAGCTGCCAGTTTGGTCTTCACCTCGAGAGCTAATGGCTTCACTCTGTGATGACTGATGAGTAAGTTCCACTGAAGCTACTTGGGAAAGGAGTGTGGTAGTTAGTTTGCCTCTGCATTAGTAAATTACTGATGTTTAGGTATAGATAGTGAAGTTAGAGCAGCTTTTGGTAGATATCAGTTGTCATCCTTGTTGATCTTGTAAGTATCTCTTTACATTTGCTTTGAATGATAGAACTCATAACTTCTGTGAGTGAATGTAATGTGGTAGAAAGAATAGAGATGGAGATATCGTGCTTGGGTGATATACAGTTGTTAGTGTTTGAGTCATAGGCTCATAGCTAACTCCATTTGTAAAATCTGTTGAGGAACTTGGAGTAAGCGAAATTGGATAAAAGTGTAACTTTTATTTACGCAGAATATGTGGATCTAAAGTGTAGTGTGCTTTATTTATAAAAGAAGTAGTCTGCTTTACAATGGGGCAATTGGCAGAAAAAGGAGGCTCTCTTCTTTCTTAATGTCTTGACAAAAGAATTTTGGTGCTAGTGGGGCTTGCAATTGCATATCATGTGTGCATCCACAGCAACAACTTTTCTACTTAATCTCGAATGATAAAGCTATAATTTGGAACAAACAGATGGATTATCATATCCAGAGAGAACTAACTACAAAGCTTCCTTTAGCTGCTGCTCTGAGATTTCTGCTAATTCATGAAGCAATCTTGCGATCACCCTCGTGAAAGATTGGACTGAGCAATTTTCACAGGCTCAACTATGAATCCAGCTTTTTGACATTCTTCCTCCAGGAGCTTAACCTGCGATTGGCCGTTTGGGCAAAACACAATCACAGCACCTCCGCTGCCTGTAAATTTGGAGGCGGCTCCCACCTTCCGCGCTGCTTCCACCATTTTTATGTTTAAAGCACCAATCACATCATCGCCAAACATGCTCCTGAACATTTGTTTATTTTTCAGTAAGCATTTGACATCAGAAGTTTTGTTCTTCACTGCCAGAAGTTTCAAGCTTTTGCTAGAACAGATTGAGATGACTTTACCTTCGAAGATCGAAGTTACGATTCATGAGCTCTGCAAGTTTCGAGTAGTTCTTCTCCAGGATAGCAGTTTTTCCATGCAATGCAAGATCTGCAACTTCGGCCATTGTTGTTATTATGAACTTGTCTCCATCAAGCCACCTTTGCTTAACCGTGCTATGCACCTGCATTGAAGAATTCGTCTATAAATTGAAAAACCTTACCCTTCTATTCATCTATCAAAAGGTCAGCCGTCATGTTGCTAGCAACCTTAGGCAAAAATTGAGTAACTGCAGTCTACACATCAAAGAAGGAGCAACCATATCTAGACTAACCTTCCCAGAATCACTCGGGTTCTCGGCATATACAAGGTGAAGAGGTGGGAGGAGGTTAATATCCATGGGGGTATAGATCCCATGTCCCAACTTATCCATGTGCTCCTGTGAAAATTCCTGGGCAACCAACAATGCAGATTGCTGTTAGAACTATGTTAACAGTCTTCAACTCGACACATTTCAATTTCATTATCTGCAGCAGGCATCACCCTACCATGTAAACGAGGCCGCCATAGATCTGGGCCACTCGATCTTGAAGGCCAGCAACGATCCCCAGCTCTTTCTCAGCGCTTAACACGAGATTCGGCCTGATTTCAACCTTGATCTGGTCCCTGACTTTGTAGAAGTCCAGCAGGCAGTTCAGTGCTGCAGATACTATAGCACTTGATCCAGATAGTCCTGCCTGAAGAAAAAAAATGTCAACTAAGCTTAAACCAATAAACTGGCTAATCATCATCATCGCAGTTTCAGATATGATTAATTAGTGGAACAATTGCTTATTAGTATATAGCACGTGCAATGGACACAAAGAACCGTTATTTTTATCAGAAGAACAGGAGCTATATTGTTCTGTTGTTCCTTCTGTGGATGAATAAAGAATGACTGATATGGAAACCCAAGAACAACTTGGGGGGAGAGAGAGTGAGAGAAAGTTATATTTTTAACCTGCCGAGGAATGTTGGTGTCATAAGAAAGAGCAAACTTGCGCTGATGAAGGGAGATCTTATGCTCCCTGCAGTAATTGTAGAAAACTTTACAGATCGCCATTAGCAACCTGACTCCTCCATAATAACCTTCACTCTGCAGCCGATTCACCTGCCAGTCAAACTAAAAAATTTAACCTTTTACCAAGATTGAGATAAAAGCCAAGAAGAAGAACCCATGCATCAAATCTGCATAAAGATGCAAACTTGAGAGCGACCCACTACTCCAAAACAACCTAGGAACACCTGACAGATCCACATAGATTCCCCACCACAGATCTTTTGTTTCTGATTCTCAGTTCCCAGATTATGATAAAATATTAATTAAGAGAATAGACCCATTAGTCCCCCTAAAACAAAACAGAATCTGGCAAAAAGGGGATGGGTTATATGGATATGAGACGGACCAGGTGATCAAGGGAGGAGAAATTGACGAGATCATGCTTGGGGTGGGGAGTGATGACGAGTTCGTCGGAAGGCCGAAGAACGACGGTGGCCCAGAAATTGGAAAGGCTGAAAGAGATGGTCCTCCCGAAATAGACGTCACTCGGATTACCCAATAGGCCGACCCGCGCATAGGATCTGTGCTCAATCACCCCTTCCGCCATTTCTCTGTTCTCTGAGGAATCAAAACGGAACCCCAATTTCGCGAAACCGGGAGAGAAACAAACGAACAAAACTTTGGTGGTGGGTAAGGACGACGAAGGAGGAAGGACAAAGAGAGGGAGGTAATAAAGGGTGCAAAGAAAAAGAGAGACGCGTCTCTGGTTATGAAATTTCGTTGGATTTTCTTATAGAGGCAGGGGAAAGCCAAGAGGGCAGAGTCCAGCTGTTAAGATCTTCTTCTATCTATTGCTCTGTTTTTTGTTTCTTTTCCTGGATTTTGTTTGGGCGTTGTTATCAGGTGGTGAGTCAGCATCCAATCACGGAATTTCTTAATTTCAAATTTTATTAGCAATTGAATGCTAATCCAAATATTAGTGATGATCCATTGCCCAATCTAGGAGAAGGGGGTAAGGGGCCAACAGCCGTTTTGGGTTTTCTTCTGATCCTTTCTTTGTGAGTTCGTTCGGTTTCGATTTCTTTGAAGGGGCCGGCTTTAATTCTACAGGCCGATTGAGGAGGCGATCAGATTGAAAGAGATGAATGAGGGAGAGGGGTTGTTACGAAATGAAGGAGATGATTCAGTGGTTTGCTCTCCCGCGCTGGAATGTTGTTCCCGCTTTCCCGCCCTGTATTCTGCTGACGTCTGTACAAGTACAACAGCATTCCTTTTTTTGGGGTCAATTGGTCATCTAATTATCAGGACTTTAAGAAATCAGTCACTGAACTTTGATTTCCTAACAAATTTGTATTAAGAATGAGGAGTTACTAACCTAATATAGTCACTTCATCCATTTCATCCGGTTTGCCTGTCAGAGTCGTTCGGATCAGTGAACTCGCTCATTCAATAGAACCGTCTTATAAACACTATTGCCCGACAGAGAGAGGGGACGAAAAGTGGTTGAACATATTAGAGTTGTTTCTAATGAGTTGTTTGGATGTGAGCATATGCACTATTTATCTAGAAAAACACATGTAGTGGATTGTCCACGGATAATACGTGAACGTTATGTGAACAAAATGAACTATTGTCTCACATCTTTTGATTCACTCATCCAAACAACTCATAATAATGTTTGATTGAATAGCTGCGAGGCATCACACTTTGAATACAGAAATCCTAGTTACGAACACTCGTAAAGCTCGACTCCTACTCTTCCACCCTCCCCCAAATGTGAGGCACCCGTCAAAAAGATAATTTGCATGAAATTAGGGGGGGGGGGGGGGGGGGGGGGGGGGTTGTTCAAATAACAAACATGCATTGGATCGATTATGCACCAAAATGGTTCGTCCTGTTTATCTCATCGGAGTCTCTCGATCTAGGTAAGTTTATACAAAACCAAACAGAATGATTACAGTGCTAGTTATGTCAAACTTGAATGTCAATGTTTGGTTAAGATCCAAGTTGAGTGACCATTTCAGTAAATGGCCCCTTAGTTAGATTTTCGCTTTCACATGATGATTTGTTCTGGAGACATTGCCATGACGCCGCTTCTTCTTCGCCTAGTTGCATTCTCCCCCACGTCCCGCCTCCCTTTTTGTCTGTTTGCCCTTTTCTTACTTCTGAAAATGGAGATGTAGTAATGTACCTTATGTAGGTGGGTGCCATCATTATTGTAGACACCACCATCAACATCTATCTACCTTTCACGGAATATCTTCACATAAATACACAGATTATTATTATATTAGCCAGAGAGTTCGACTTCATCCAACTCTATCCTGAATCTCACAATCAGTCAACGACAACAAAGTCCACCCCTTAAGCCACTTCTGCTGCAAAGCATGACTTCGGTTGCACATAATCAAAGCCTATCAAAGTATTGGCAACCATGTTTGACAGAGGAAAAAACAACAGACAATAGTTAATAACTTCGGCAGAGCGTATGAAGAAAATGAAGTAAGAAAAACTGTACAATTCAACCCAATAGAGGCAGCAGCGTACAGTACCCCAATCATCACATTTTCAGTCTGCAAATTAGTTATACGGACACATAGCAACGACACTAACAAAAACTGGAGGGAAAAAAGAAACTGAAAGCGAAACATCCCCTTATCAGTCAGCATCTTCCTCATCGTCATCTTCACCGCCTTCTGGCAATCCCACGTCATCGCCGATTCCTTCCAGCAGTGTATCGACGTCCTCACCAAGCTCCATCAACCTCGAGCTGAGTTTGTCCACCTTGCTCTGCTCCTGGCCCAGGCACACCAGCAGATCGTTCAGCTCCCCTTCGCTCTCCTTCAGAGCTTCCTCTCTCGCCTCAGCCTTTGCTGCCTCTACATCTACTGCGGAAACACCTCCTCCTCCTCCGCTGGTTCTTAGAGCCTTCACCTCCTTCTCGAGCTGGAAGTTGGCCTGTTCGAGGCTGTTGTAAGCGTCGGAGAGGCTCTTAAGGTCAGACTCAACTTTGCCGGCTAAGTTCTGGTACATTGATGCTTCTGATTCAAGCTTCGTGTTTTCATTCTTCAGCATCTCAATCCTTTGGTGTGCTTCCTTGAGATCTCGTCGGAGAGTTTCAGTCTGTACCCTTTCGGATCCTGTGGTAGCTCTTTGGTCAGAGTAAGATGACTCGCCCCCACCTATCTTCACCAGATCCTCAGCCAATGTTGCATTCCGCCCAAGAAGATCCTTTTTTCCCCACAAGAACCACAGAGACTCGAGGTTAGTATTCTAGGAAACAAAATAAAAAATGACAAAAGCTGAAACAACCACAGCCATAATGTTTGCACAATACGGCCAGATAGAAATATACCTGTATCTCAGAGCATTGTTTCTCCACGAATGACTTCAGCCGTCTGATATACTCCTTGTCAGATTCTCCAGTCTTCTGCTCCATATCTGCCGGCACAACTGCCACCTCGGTCTTTGGCAGACTGTAGATGTTAACGATGTTCTCACGAATCTCAGATTCCAATCTCTTTACAAAGTTGACAAAACCAGAATCGAACATTGACGAGAGAATTGGATGATCCTCGCCCTGCTGATCGGATGATAGCTGCTCATCAACATCTTCAATCTCTGCCATACTAGCAGCGGCTGATCTCGATAATGGTTTATGAGAAGGTGCGGTGGATTTTTCGGCGGAGAAAAGAAAGCTCTTCTTCATTTCGTCAAACTTTAGGAAGTATGACGTCAGCCCAACCTTCTGGCTTATGGCGTCGACGACAGCATAAGAATCTTTTCCAGATTCACTAGACTTATTGTAGATAACACACTCTCCCAGGAGAATTGCTGATAAGCCTCTTGTGGATACAGTTGCGGACTGATCTGAGACCAGCTCGAGCAGATATGATAAGTGAGGGCGGAGATCGAGGAAGTAATTGACTGCTGGCGGGCAATCAGAAAGCCAAGTGACAAGCAGCTTCAAGATGATTGGTTGAATGTATGAGTTCCCTGATGTGTTCGATTTGCTTTCTTTGTGTTTCGTTCCTGATGCAAGAGCTAAATATTTCACCATCAGGTGCATCAATGGCTCTGAATGTCCCAAGGCTCCTGAGGATGACTCGAGTTCTATCCTTAGAACCTGACAAATTGAGCCAAAGATCAACCATGGAAAAACTGAAGAAAGAGATGTGCGCTTTCATTGTGACTAAGTGAAAATTAGTAAAGGCCGCATGCTTTTCTTGTGACTAAGTAAAAAGACCAGAAATGACTAAGGATCCATAGTCAACTTTATAATAAAATAAAAGAAGGGGAAATCGTACCCTTTCCTTGCACTGCATGTTGTCCTTGAGTACATATGACAGGACACTAGCAGCCCTGCAACAAGTCTAGAATTCAAAATGTATTCAGTGAATATGATCCGTCAACCACTAGATATAGAACCTTAGTCCTAGAAATTGTATGATGAGACAGGTATTTATATTTTCCCTAAAAGTCAACACATACATCGAGATCGCCATCAGTTTCACTCGAAGTAAGACCATGCAAAACCATACTGCCACAACAAAAGGTAAAATTAGATAACAAATCAAAGTGCAAGGAAGATGGATAAAACCAGCAATAAGCAAATAGATTCAGCAGCCAGGAGTGAACTTGAAAATTCCAACCTGCCAAATGACATGTTCACATCCTCGTCAATGGAAGCATGAGTCATTGAATATGGCTGAGGGATTAATGTTGAAGCTAACATTGATTGACCATCACAATTCCCCTAACAAACACAATCACAATTATACAGTAGTGAGAATGGTCTATCTCAGCAATGGATACGATACATTATTTTCTTATGTGAAGACAAAGGAACCAACCTCACAAAATCTTTCAAAAATATGGTCAGCTGCAATGAACTCCTGCATGCTGGACGCCCGCAAAATGATTCGGAGAATAGAATTCAGAGCAGGTTCAACTTGGTGATTCTCCCCTAGAACTTTGCTAGCAAGAGCATCTAGATTCCCTCGATGCCCAGCGATCAAGTCACCTATGCACCTCAATGCCTGTGAAGATTGCAAAATTTCCAAGGATAAATAAATGAAAACTGATAAGTCTAGGGGAAGAAAAATATCCTCAGGGTTTCTTTGATGGAAACACTGAATGGATGAATTTTATTTCTCTCTATGGATACAGAAAATTTAGGAGCAAGGAAGATGCCTTACAGCACAACGGACAGCAACTGGAGCCCATTGGTTTTCCACACCCAACAGTAAGAGATAATCAATAACCTTTTTCTGCAAACAAAATCGACAGAAAAAGTATGAGCAACATCTTTATCGTTGCAAAGCCTCCCCCTTTTTATGCAATCAGAGCTTGTGATTTGGTATACAACCTGAACCAGGACAGTTTTATTTGTCAGCTTATTTGCATCTTTTCCCGCATCAGCTTCAGAACCTCCCACCAATAGCAAATTAATTGTCCCAAGAACACTTAGTAGATTAATTGTCTACTGGCAAGGTGTTTGTTCAAATAATAGAAGAAAGCCACAGTAAGGATTATGTGATGATATAATTACTGGAAAAAGCACACCATCCACCAGCAGACAAAATGCAAAGCTACTGTGATATCAGTACCAAACCTTCTGTTGGGTGAAGCTGTAGGCACGCCCTCTCAGCCTCAACATTGAAATTAAACCATCAAATCCCATGGTCTCTCTCAGCAGTATCTAGATAGTACATAACACCAGGATTAGCGGGTAACATGCTGTTATAGAGGCATGACAGATCATTAGACAAGTTGACCAACCTGATTCGAAGTATTGTTTCGCAGAAGGTTGTTTAATAATTCCAGACAGTCCTGCTCAAACAAAAGAGTTGATCATGTAAAAAGAATCACGCCCCTTGAAAAGTTCCCAAAAAAATGTTCATTTTAACCAATAGAAAGAAAATCCACGCTGTAACTAAGCAACAGGTGCAATTCAGTCACCTGTACAACAACACCACCTTCAGAGCCTCCTTCATCTTTAATAATACTAAAAATCTTCTCAAACGCACCTTCAAAGACCACAATTTTTTGAATCTCCTAAAGATATAAAAACAGTACGTCGGTAAGAAAACAGCACAATGCACTGGAAATAAAATCAGCAAGGTATAATATTTGGGAAGAGATAGATTGAAGAAGATACAGTAGGAGAAGATAATTGCCTCAGCTTCACGAGTCAGGTAAGTAAGAAGCAGCAAAGCCTCATTTCGTATAACCTACAAATGTTTCATACATGATTTCAGGAAATGGTTCAAAACTGTTTAATCCCTATACACTAAAAGAAACTGGACAGTGTTCCGATACTCGGTTCTATTTACCTCTCGGTCCATCAACATGTCCATAAGTCGAGTGATGCCCCGAGGAATGGTCAAAATTGCTTCCTGTAACCTGAATAGGAACTCAGCAAGAGCTTTTCCAGCATAACCAGGGGAAAAGATGCAAAAGGAACAACTGGAACAGAAGAGGAACAACAACAACAAAAAAAAACAGGAGGATGCTACTAATCGTACCTATTCGGAGAATTCATTAGAAGAGCTGTCAAGATTTGAAGAGTGTAATAACGTATATAGAAATCCTCTTCTGACTGCAAGAGGTAGAAACAAAGAATCAAGAAGAGACAACAAAGGCTGCCCCTATCCTTCTAATTAAAATAAATGCAGATAGGGATTAATTTCAGTAAGTGATCACCAATAAACTCAGAAGCAAGGATATGTTTTCAGCTTCATGTGAGAGCATATCCGTATTCATTAGTGCTGGTTGGACCTCATTCTTTCCTTTTGATTGCTCTAGAGGAGTCAACGCTCCTACAATAGTTTCGAGGGCACCTCGAATCTGCACCAATGTAGCAAGTCCTTTAACACGAGAAATGGCAAATCAGTTTACATAAGCCAGACTAAAAACCAAAGAGCGAACATCCTCCAATTCCATCCTTGACATTATTAATATTAATACATAAAAGAAAACAGTTGAAAATGAGAGAAGATAGGATACCATTTCAACATCATCTCTCTCATCCTTTAAGACGCCCATCAAAACAGGAAATCCTGCAAGATAACAAGTACGTATTATTGGATAACATAATGAACAAAGGAATTAGAATGTTAAAAGTCAAAACCTGGATGTTAGAGGTGTGACAAAGGGAGCACATACCCATAGCCCCAAATGCTAGCTGTGCAGCACGGCTTTCTACCACAACTGATTGAAGCTCAATCAGGGCTGATCTCCTATCCTCTGCCAATGAACCAGTGCTGATTCGGTCCAGCAACCGTTGCACATAGCTAACAAAGTACCATGCACAATAAACCAATTTAACAAACTAATCATTAAGACCAAGAAAACCCGGATAATGGATTGCAGCAGGGGACACAATGCAAGTCGTATACCTAACATATTAAACACCGGAGTAGGCACTTCACAAGGCGTTCTAGAGGAAATCTACATGACCCTCATATTAAAAGAGAGAAATAGCTTTCTTAAGTATAATTAGACAGCAGTGTTCAAAGTTTATTGGCAGGATTAAAAAGATCAGGTATTGGTTTGCATTGACCTGCGAATTTAAAAAGAAAATACTCGATTTCAACACAGAACAGCTCAACAGCCCTATGACTATCAATTGAATAGTGAGACCAGGCACTATGCAAGGCCTTATGAAAGAATGATTCAAGATCGGTTGCATGGGGGGTTCCAGAAATTCTAGGAACAATTAGAAACTATAATTGGAGCTATAACAGGAGCAGCTTGGCAGCTGCAGAATTTACTACAACCAAAAAGCTCCTTTCTTTAAGGCATAGAGGTTTTGATCCTAAGAACCAAAAGACCACTTGACTAAGCCATTGACAACTTAAAAACAGTAGTCCATCCAAAAATAAAGTTTCCTTAACCTTGAACTGTAACATGCATAACATCAGTTGACAGTAGCTCACCTATCTTCATTTGAAGACGAATTCTCGTTGCCAAAAACAAGCCCAACCATACCCTGCATAGAAACAAATCTCGCTCAGCCACACAGGCAATTTAACAACTATATCACCAACGGGGATACTGAACACGAATTCACACACAAAGCTCATCAGAACATAGGCCATCACATGCAGGACAGGCAAGCAAACCAGCATTTGACAAGGCCACGCTGAATCAAGAAATAAGAGCAGCTGAACAAATGAAGCGGAAGGATAAAAAAAGCAGACGATCACCTTGTATCCAGAAACCAAATCCATCTCGATAAAGCTCACCGAGACAAACGATTAACCAGCTCCCCTACCAATTCGTCCAGTAACTGCCCAGGCGCAGAGCTCCAGACTGAAATCCCTAAACCGAGTCGCCGAAACAGCGAAGCCGTAGACCAGAAAGAAGATCGGGCGGCCGGAGCTAATTCAAGTCAGGGGGAAAAAGCGAGAGAATCACTTATCGCCGGAAGGGAGATCCTCCGGGCAAGCCAGCCCTTTTTCCGTCGATTTTTGCCACGTCGCCCTCCGGTTAAGATTTGCAAGAGTCTTTCAGAGCTGGTTCTTCCTCGCACTTCTTCTGACCATCGTGACAGAGAGGAAATCGCAAGTTTTCTTCGGTTCCTTGTGGTTATCTGACTCACGGTGACGTACTCCAGAGCTCGGAGTGAGCGATGGAAGTTGTTTCCGTTGCTGGGCTTCCGGCCCACGTTAAGGCTAATGATATAAGCCCAAATGAAAAAGATTTAATTCACTTCTGGATTCTGGTAAATTGACCGCCAGATGGTGTTGCCGCCGTCTGATTGAGTTCCTCCCGCTGCCGCTTTCTTTAAACTGAAAAAGGCCATTGCTTTGCAGTTTACAGTAACAGAGAGTGTTCGCAGGTTAGTGATAAATTTGGTTTTAGCGTACGGGGTTGTTGTTTTCTCTTCCTCGAGCCCCATTATGATTTGGGATTTTGCGCTTCTAATTCAGTTCCTCAAATGCGGCGGACGTTGATGTCGTTTCCCCGCCGTCTGCTGGCATCGACGCAGTATTCCCGCAGATATCCGGATGAGTTCTTGAACAAATTCAACTCTAGGTGCGTTGGTATCAGGGCCTTACATTCTCTGGTCAATCTGAATTCTTCCTCCTCTCCCACAATCAAGGACTTGGTTGGGCAAGGGTTCCATGTACAAGCATTGCAGTTGTATGCTCGCCATACTCCTGCTGTCATTTCCAAGTACACCTTTCCTTCTCTTCTCAAAGCTTGTGCTTCCCTTGCAAACCTTAAGTACGCAAGGACGATTCAAGCGACGATCACTGCCATGGGTTTGTGCCGTGATCCATTCATTACTACTTCACTAATAAACATGTATGTGAAATGCGGGTCACTGCTGGATGCAGTTCAGGTGTTCGATAAATTGCCGGAAAGGGAACTTTTGGCGGGAGATTCCTCGATTTGGAACTCGATAGCTGATGGGTATTTTCGTTTTGGTCGTGTTGAGGAGGGTGTTTCTCACTTTCGTCGAATGCAATCGTCCGGGATTCGGCCTGATGCCTACTCATTGTGCATTGTAGTTGGGTATTTGGGATATGAAGAAGGGAGACAGATTCATGCCTATGTTGTTCGAAACTTGCTTGGTAGCGATCCTTTCTTAGAGAGTTCGCTATTGGACATGTATTTTAGGTGTGCTAGGCCGATGACTTCCTGTCGTATGTTCCAAGCGCTAGAGAACAGGAGGAGAAATGTTGTGTCATGGAATGTGATGTTGGGAGGGCTTGCTGAGAATGGTTTGTGGGAAAGTAGCTTAGAGTTGTATATGCTGGCCAAGAGTGAGGAAATGGAACTCGTTTCGGCATCCTTCACCAACATCTTGGGTGCTTGTGGTCAGGGCGAGTGTGTAAGTTTTGGTGAACAGGTTCATTCTGATGTTGTTAAGATGGGTTTTGCGAGTAACCATTATGTTTGTACCTCTCTTTTGACCATGTATGCCAAGTGCAAATTTATAGAAGGTGCAGAGAGAGTGTTTGAGCAAGTTAGTAACAAGGGAATTGAACTTTGGAACGCAATGATCTCAGCTTATGCCAGCAGTGGTTCTATTTATGGTGCTTTAGACACCTACAGGCAAATGAAGATTCACCATATCGTGCCCGATTCTTTCACAATGGCACATGTTCTATCTTGTTGCAACATAGTTGAAGTGCTCGACTTTGGTAGGTTGATCCATGCGGATTTAGTCAAAAGACCTATAGAGAGAAATATTACCGTAGAAAGTGCATTGCTTACGTTGTATACTAAGGGTGGGCTGGACCATGAAGCTAAGTTGGTTTTTAGTAGTATGAAGGGTAGAGATGTGATTGCATGGGGCTCCATGATCTCTGGTTTTAGCCAAAATGAAAAATTTGTTGAGGCTTTGGATTGTTTCAGAGATATGAAGAAACATGGAGTGAAACCGGATTCTGATATCATGGCAAGTGCAATCAGTTCTTGTACAGGATTGGAGAATGTAAATTTGGGCTCGTTGATGCATGGATTTGTTACTAAGAGTGGGTTAGAAAGAGATGTTTTTGTTGCAAGTGCCATTTTGGATATGTACTCTAAATGTGGCTTCCCTGAAATGGCTGCGGATGTGTTCTCTCACATGCCATTCAAAAACATTGTTTCTTGGAATTCGATGATGTCATGTTATAGCAGAAACGACCTGCCTGAGAGATCCATGGAAACATTTTATCGGTTTGTAGCGTATGGATTGGATCCAGATGCCCTCTCTATCACTAATGCGCTTGTTGCTGTTTCATTACTTGCAGTTCTGGTCAAAGGGAAGGCTCTGCATGCTTACCTCATTAGGCAAGGAATTCTAACTGACATTCGTTTAGAGAACGCACTGGTTGACATGTACATCAAGTCTGGATCTCTGAAATATGCCCAGAATGTTTTCCAGAAAATATGTTGGAAAAACTTGGTGACGTATAATTCAATGATGGATGGTTATGGATCGCATGGTGAGTGCTGGAAAGCAATGGCATTATTGGATGAAATGAGGAATACTTCGATCCAACCTGATCATATCACCTTCATTTCTCTACTTTCCTCTTGCAATCATTCAGGCTTGATTAAGGAAGGCCTCAATCTTCTCCATTCAATGAAAATTGAGTATAGGATTGAACCTAGAGAAGAGCATTATGTGACCGTTGTTGATATGTTAGGTCGTGGAGGACAGCTAGATGATGCTTATGCTCTAGTTAGAAGCATGCCTATTGAACCTAGCAAAAGCATTTGGCTATCACTATTAAGTTCATGTCGAGCTCATCGTAATGTGGATCTTGGAGAAGTTGCAGCTACTGAGCTATCAAAGATTGAGCCAAGTAGAGGCAGCAATTATGCTCAGCTTCTGAATATTTATGGAGAAGCTGAATTGTGGGACAGTGCTGCAAAGTTAAGGGCATTGATGAAAGAAAAAGGGATGAAAAAGAAGGGTGGATGCAGCTGGATTGAAGTGAGGAACAAAGTCGATATTTTCTACTCTGGAGATTCGTCATGTCCACTGACATCTCAGATATATGGGGCACTTGGTAACCTTAGGAGAAACATGTTGAAAAAAGAAAGTTGCTTTGATATCATTGAAGCCTTGTTAAGCTACTGATCTGAAAGCATCAGTATTTTATCATACATGCAGAAGCGGAGTTACCAGAAAATGTTATCGATTTTGTTTCCTGGTGAACCTGTCAGATGGTACCGGCAACCAGACCAACGTGAGTCATTCTGACATTCTGTGTTATTTAGTGGTGTGCTAACGGCATTTCCTGATTACATAATTTTGGGGAATAAGCATATGCATTCATAATGTATTAGGAAAATTCTAGTCGTCCTGATTCTTTCGGAAGCAAGGGTTTTTTCAATATTTGCCTTGCTATAGTGGGTAATGGTCACATTCCCTGTTTAGTGATTAATCACCTAGCTGGCCATTTATGGATAACCACGAAAGTAAGAATTAAAGGACATTTTATTGGTCTTCTATGAAGCATGATATGTATCTTTCTTCTGAAGGGTCAATGATTTGGTCTTGCCATGCTACAGTTTATTGTTCTTTTGGACTCCCAGACACAAGTCATTTTTCATCAATGGACTTTTCTCCGGAAGATGGGTGGCTTTCTTTGTTCTACTCTTGCTTAAGGGAAAAAGGTAGCATTATTTTTTATTTTTGAAATAGAAAGGTACATTTCTGCTAGATATTGTCCTAGTGGTGTTTTTGTTTGTGTATGTGCTTACATGATTTTCCAGTTGTTATTTGTATATATTATCAGTGGCTTTTGTATATTTCCCTCTTCTTATGCACTAACCTCTCTCCTTCTGCGAATCATCTAGTGCAACAAAGGAAGCGTTGTAGAAGCCAAATTCCAAGATCTTGAAAAGGAAAGCTGGAACAGTAATCCTTCCGGTCAATGGTTTATCTGCCTACTGAAAAATGATTCTGCTCTTTTGGCCTGCAAAACTGAATATTATCAACGATCTCCCAGGGAAATTTTAATACCTGATCCCTCTTTCTTCTTTATTTAGTGTGCTTCAGACCAATTAGTCTCTTTCAAGTTGACGTTTTTGTTGGTATCTGGGTTGCAGCAGCGTTGGTTCTTGTCCCAACAAGGGAGCTTTGCCTACAATTTCAAGAGATTCTGCAGAAATTACTGCATCGCATTCATTGGATTGTCCCTGGTTATGTAAATATGACTTCGTTCTTAAATATGTCTTTGTTCTGGCTTTTGGTCTTAATTAGTTAGTTGTAAATATGACTTGCTGTGCCACTTACAGACTCATCTTATTTTAGGTCTCTTTCGTGGTTTGCTGTTGGTTGCTACTACTATATATTGTTTCAGAAGAAGTATAAATAGCCGTGATGGTATATCAGGTAAACTACAGGTTATACTTGGCTTTGTTTATCCTTGTTTTATCAGTAAGGGATGTTTGGCAATTTCCCTTCAAATGACAATTTCCCTTCGCCTTAGTACTTCGCTTAATTTTCACTAGTACTGTAGTGCATTCTTAAACTTTTGTCAGCAAATTTCTAGTCATGCCATGTCTGTCAATATATATGATCCATTAAATCAAGAGTGTTCTGAATTTGAGGAAAGGAACTGGAACAAGTAATACGAATCGAATTGCTTGCCAGTATGTTGTACAAAGTCTTTGGATCGTAGCTAGTACTTATGGATTCAAACAACGGACATAGCTGCAATTTATTTCGTTATTCGTCTTTCAATGAGAATACCCTCATCAAGACTAAGTGCGGCAACTTGCACTCACATGAGTTTGCCAGGTTACATCCAAGCAGGGTTATCACCATAAGTTGGTTCCCTTATCATTAAAAAGCAAAAACGATGATTTGTTCTTTTGCAGCAGTTCAAGGACGGAAGGTCGTGTTGACTTCCATGTGTAATAGTTGTGTCTTAACTAGAAATATACATAAGAATATATGACTGTCTGAAAACTCATGGTAGAACACTGAAACAGTGATAATTACGAAGCAAAGCAACTATGGATGCTTTGGCTTATCTCTTCCTTCTTCTGTTACAATAGCAAAGCAACTAGCCTGCACCTGCTTGGATAGGCTGGGGGTATGCTTATGCTGCTGCCAGAAATGAGGGAGATCATGCAATGTCATGCTTTGTCATCAAGCGGATAGTTTTTAATGCTTCTTACATTTCCATGTATAGGACATTACAGCGGGGTGCTTGGGTGCAATTAATTTGACTAGCTTGCATTAGTCTGCCTTTTTCATTTGGTCACTTATAGTGCATTTTGTAACACTGTTCTCTCACAACCTTTGTACTTTTGGCTGGCGTTTTCAGCTTACATAACATATTCGAACTTGTGACTGTTCCTAGGATCTCAAATTTTTTTAGCATTCCATTGCTGATTCGAATCTATATATTGGTTTTTACAGGTTGAATCTTAAATTCTCTTGTTCCATTTGGGTGTAATTTGCCAACACTGTACCGTTGGGATGGAGTACATGCACGCGCACAGCTATAAGCTTGCTGAGCAGGTATATTTCAGTTTTCAGATACTTGGAATTTTGATTCTAGGAAGCTCTTTGTAAAATATGAAGTCTCTCAGCCTCAGGCTTGGTACTGATATGGAGTCTGGGTCTGGTGTGCTGATGATGGTATTTGACTAGTCCTTTGTCTCGCCTTGTGTTGCATTTGCAGGATAATTTTACAGCTGCAATTACATATTATCACAAGGTAAGGCGGCAGCACCCACAGCTTTCATCTTGGATGAAGACTGACCCTCTCAGTGACTGCTGATTACTGTAGCTTAGTTTATGAATTCACTTCTGCTGTTTGGTTATTTGGGCAGGCACCGATTGTGGCTGAAACCGGATGATCAATTCTACGCAGGGATGTCGAGGACGAAGCTCATTGTTATACACACAGACCCGAAGTTCGAGTCCCGTCTGAGTAAGGTCTTTGTGTAACATTGTTCATGTTTTTGAGAAACCCAGAAACAAAATCTCATCATATAGGTAGGCCGTAGTGCATGGGGCATTGTTCATGTTTTTCCTTCTTTTGCCTAGTGTAGTGTAACCAATTTAGTTTTCTAAATGTGACCATTGGGCTGGAGGATCCTGTGAATTAGCTAGCTGCCTCTCGTTGGGATGGGAACTATTTTCTTGACCCTCAAATTCTTACCTCTCTACTCTTTGCAAGTTTTGCTCAAAAAGTCTTGAGGAGAACATACCAATTTTTTCCACTCAACTTGGTATTCTTCATCCTTGCAGCGTTTATGGTTCGTCTACCACTTCTAAGCTTGTGAGGTTGACCAAAGTCCCAATTTCTCGGTCGTCTAGTGAAGGTTTCCCACCAACTCCAGAGCATTACAAGGTCACCCAAAGTCTCGACTTCCCAACATAGATTCCGACCAAAAATACTTCTGGGTGGGTTTTCTCCAAACCCGATGGTTTTGGTGTGGTTTTGATATCTGCATCGAAATCATATAACGGTATGTTAAACATATATAAAACATATATATTCAAAACGTACTTGCTTCACAACTTTATATGCATTGGCCATAATTATCTCTTAAACTCCAAACTTTGATCATTCTTTCTCACTTTAACAAACAATATACTAATGAAGTCTCAGTTCACCTCAATATCCCCTACATATATCAACAACACAAACATAGCTGAGGAGCATTGCAAATTACTGCTATGCAGAACAACAACTGCGTCATGTGCGTGTGATCGGCCTACGAGATTGATTCGAGAACGATAAACTTTATCTAAACATTTCTGATCTCCATTTCGGGATGAGATAGCATGCCCACCCCTTATTAATTACCTTTAAAACCTATAATTAATAAGGGTTTAACAATGACACCCCTTATTAATTATAGGTTTTAAAGGTAATTAATTTGTGTTACATTTAATAATCTGTATGAATTAAAAACACATATTAATTACTTTCCTTTTTTCAGTGCACTGGTAGTTGTATCAGTGCAATGGTATTAGTGTACATGTGCAATGATAGATATATCAGTGCAATGATAGTTCCAAAAAAGGAACGTAATTAATATGAGTTCAGTATACAGGTGCAATGGTAGTTAAAAAATGAATGTAATTAAGATGAGTTTTTAATTTTCAAAGATTATTAAATGCAACACGAATTTAATACAAAAAATAACTATAATTAATATGGATGTCATTTTTCCAAAGATTATTACATTTTTCTAACCGATCCTCTCGATTCTCAACCTAAACACCATATTAAATCTTGATCTTCTACTAAGCTCGATCATATTATTCTAATCGGAGTTGTTTCAATATAGAATTTCACACCTAAAAACTAATAGAAAATTATTTGTTTCCATATGAGAAATTTCCTTGTTTAGTTGAGGCTACGTTTACCAACACCACCTAAAAACTTAAAGAAGCATTGAATTTCAGTTGACTCGTCCAATTAGTCCTACAACTTGTAGGCTACAAGTCAGTCTCTCTGACCACTAGGGATCGACTCCGTGTGAGAAGTGGTCGGCCCCGGAAAAGATGGGGCCATGGTGGCGGTGGCGGTGGTGGTGGGGAAGAAACCGATGATGAAAGACAACTCTGTATCTTTCCTTCCTACGTGTAGGAAAAAAGCGAAGAGAACAAATGGAGTTGTTCCAAAGATCATCGATCTCAAGGTTGGCCGAAAGTAATTAGAGATAATCTCTTATGGAGCCTCGTCGTTTCCGTTGGGGACTTCGATTTCTGGTGGGTGGGAATTACAATGAAATCGATCAGCTCAACCAACAAATTCCCTATATATTCACTGTCTGTTAACTTTACAAAGTACGTACGGTGGCCGATGTTTGTTGGCGGAAGAGCATATTTCGATCATTGGTGGTTGGTGCATATGTGGTTGTGTACATCATATCATTGATGCACGAAACAAGAATTAATGCAGCTGGGAGGGACAAGCAACTCCTGTCTTGTATATATGGCACACACATATATTGTTGTACCTCAGAAAAAAGCATATATATAGTTTATCTTAGTGTATGTGTTTGGTGACACTGACTTTACGTATGCTAATCGAGTTTTGTTAGTTTGGATCATGAATTACTCGGGATTTGGGGCATGGTATCATACTTTAACTTCTAATAGGTGAACCGCAATCGCGAATTCTCTAACTCGAACCATAATGTTCATTTATTCTAAACGTAATAACTAATAATCGACGATTGTGATTCGTCGAAATATATTGAAGTACATCGAACTGACGTATAACGTACTAGTCTTTTGTCATATATATAACTCCATCCAATTCTATAGGTAGTCGGGTTGCAGATGATATTCAACTATGTCTTGTCGTCAATAAACTCGATTCGGTTAGAATAGCTAACACCTTCTGATTATATTAACTATACTTAGTTTGGATCATACTCAGTGATTGATGTTTGTGTCAAAGGTTGATGTTTGTTTATCTATTTCGAGAATAACCATCCGGTAGAAATTTATTCAGGTTCCCATTAATAAGAATGTTTGTGGACAATCATTTGTGGATGCATTTAGAGATGTCAATTTTGTTTGATTTAGTTAACCAAACCATAAGTAACCAAAAACCAAATCAACATAATTCCCAAAAACCAAAATCGTTCAGGGACTAATAGGTTTTTGGTTATAAAAAACCATAGATTTGGGAAGTCCAAAAACAGAGTCAGAAAACACAAAAAGAAGCATGAAGACAGGAAACACAAATATAAATTGGTGACAAAACTTGTTGTTGATGAGTATTTACTTAGGTTAGAGTGTTCCCGGTTTTTTATTGGTTTTTTCGATTTTACCCAAAATCAAAAGTATTAAAATGTTAAACGATTTAAAACCAAAAACAAAAAAAAAACCGTTAAACTTATCGTCGGTTTGGTTTCCGTTAAAATCCAAAACTCAAAATTAAAACCGACACCCTACACACATTAGGTAAATCAACCACATGAATTTATTAGATAATGTCGTGTCTTAACTTAAGAAAGCATCTCAAACTTTGATGTGGCTTTGGTCCATACAATATGTTAACTTGCACGGCTTCCTTCTCATTCGCCACCCAATAGAATAGATTGATCAATTGGAGGGAGGAGTCGTGAAAACCCACTTGAGGGTGTTGGAATGAGACCCTCAAAGTTCAGTTCATGTACACATCGATCGATTATCATCCACACCATTGCAGGATGAGGTTTAGGCCGCATTTCCAACCTTCCAAATAGATAGGATTTTAGGAACTTTCATGCTCTCCCACGGACAGAATATACCCAGTTGCCTTGCCTTTTCATTTGTTTTTGTGTGATTGGCTTTGTTAAGTTATGCGCAGTTTCCATGGATAGTACATTTGTGAATTTAGGACTACCACTCAATACCCCCACCAAATCCTGGAGGAATCTTCTTGGAAAATGCCATGGATACATCATTATACTACGAATGAAAGGTTCGTTCTACGCCACTTAAAGAAGGATATCATACGTACGTGTTATAAAACTACTAGTTGATGAAGATTTTAATGTATATGACGACTCTACAATCTTAATATCTTTCAACTAACACGAATTCACTTGTTGTCCATGTTGGACAAACAAAATAACGGATGCAAGGAACTTATGGACTAGCAGGTAAAAGCAGAGAAATGCTTATTTGCATATCAAATTTTGTCCTTCTAATTAATTTTACCATCTCTCTTCATAATTATTAATTAATTAATTAATATATATAAAGCTAAACAGATTTTACTGTTCACTAAGACACGACTCTTTGATTTGGGCTTTTTTGGGGTTTTGGCTTTTGTACAGTGGGTTAATTTTTTTTTGTTTTTTCTGAAATTTTTATAAATTGAATACTTTTAAATTATTTTTTTATTATCGCGTTTTGTTGATAGGAGCCGAAAGTAGATGTCGTCTTACCATCAGTTAATTTAAGAGAAAAGGAGATTTGACCATTTGTGAACGTAAAATTATTGTTGAATCACCTAAATGATTTTGTGAGTGCTCTAGATCCCTATTCACTTATATGAAACGACTAATAGCACAACAAACTATGAATAACAAATAGGTTGCTATGGTGTAGTGGTTATCACGTCAGTTTTACACATTGAAGGTCTCTAGTTCGATCCTGGATAGCAACAATTTTTGAAATAAAAAAAATTCATAAATGTTTTTTATATGTATTATATCAAACATAACTTCTTAGATTACTATATATAATTTTTTTCTTATTTATTTATTCAGGAAATATAAGACATTATATCCTCGATTAATAAGTGTTCGAAATTCTTTATCTCCATGACTTTGTAAGCCCCATCGTCTATATAGTATATATACGTCGATATATATTATAGAGATGTTTGTTTTGCTGTCTCTCCGTTGAATTCATCGAATGATCCCCAATGCAGACGAACAAGGAATATCCATTTCTTGGCCTGCCTGCATGGCAATAGTTTTGGAAGAAAGTAATTATTATCGATATATATATGTAGAAGTAGCGGTAGAACAAACGAATAAGCCAAAGAAACGTTGTAAGTGGAGGAGAAAAAAAACTCGATGCAAAACCATAAAAAATGGACTGAGCTATCAATGCAACTCGATAAATTCATCAGCCCCATCTCCCACCATGTTCCACCTATAATTGCCCACCGCCTTTTCTTTTTGTTTTCATTTTACAAAAGATAATTTTTTATATTAATTGACAAGAGATCGAACACTGATATATAACTAGGAGAGAAAATCAAAAGAACTACACTTCTCACCTCCTCTGTCATATTCATCAAGAAAATTGAGGAATGTAAAACCATCGGTTGGTTTGATATGGTGAGTCATATCGTGTGACCGAGTCCAAAATTTATAGTTTAGTGACTGTTTTGATTATAAAAAAATTGGTGGTGAGTACCAAGGCTGTAATTTTAAATTACTCACTCGATAACGAGTATGTCAGGGAGTATTCATGAGTTTGGAGTAGCCTAAGATAATATCCAGTTGTGATTCCTCATTATTAAAAATATCTAGGAAATAGTGTAAGGAAGTGGTTAAGTACCATACACGGACCTGTATAAGATCCAGCATAACCTTCTCCCAACATGCCACTCAAATTTCAAAGAGCGAATATCCTTATGATCACCTTTAGGAGGTTGGAGTGTTCAAAAAAAGGACCCTTTCCACCCTCTAAAAGTAGGGTTCACAATCTAGGAGAGGAGTTACGTCTTTGGACTTGGGCATGGCCCATGAGAGTCCAGTCGATTTTTCTTCACAAAAAACGAACGATAAGGAATCTTTTCTTTATTGTCAAAATTGTTGTCGTGTTAGCAATTAGTGAAGAAAAACATACACCCACACACTCCCTTTGCTTATAGTTGAATACAATTTCGATTAACAAGTTTATGAACCAAATTGGTTTGGCGATATGATTGGATTTTGAGTGAAAATACCATTCTCCATCCAACGTTGCCATTTCATGCCTACCAAGGAATATTCTACAAAGGAATCAACTCTTTGGAGTTCTTGTGGGCGGTGGTACAATGATAGAATATTACGGCGGTAATAATTTTTGCATCAAACAAATATAACTATGAATCCTCCATTAATATATAGTAGAGTTTTGTAAACTTTTCTCCATTTCAAATTTCCTGCAATGAGAGTGAAAGTAGGAAGGACAATTTTGTCTTTACAATTAATTATTTATTTCATAAAAATATCAATATCAAGACTCGAACCCGGGTCTCTTCAGACAAAGATAGCAATGATAACCAATTATACTAAATGTATTTGTTGTTCCTTTTTTAATACAAAACATACATGTATTTAAACTGTGAAAAGCAGAGAACTTTTCCATCATGATTAACAAGTGCACTAACTCTACTATATGTATTTTCATGGTGCTTAATACTTCAATTTTCATAGTACAGTTTCATTTAATTTTATCAATTTTAGAATTCATGCTCTCTCTTTTATTTTCGCTAAAGGTAAATTGGTAATTGGCTAACATGGAAGAAACTATTTCCTTTACTATGTGTTGTGTCCTTGCATTTTTCAATATAATTTAAATTTTGTGCCTTTTTTTATCTTTGTTCTTATCTCTTTCTAATTTTCTCCGAAATTCCCTCCATCGTGCAATAGTTTGCGTGCTTTCACTTCCCAGTATAAGGAGCATTTGAAAATCAACATCCCTGTATCTTTTGGCACTGCAATTTTATTCTTGGGGATTTAAGCTGGGCAAGTAGAAGATTTCAACTCTCATATCAATCCATGGCCAATAGAATGGAGTTCAATCAAGTAGTTATGGCATGACCTTGATTATCTCGCTCGATTCCTCTGCACTGGCATCACCCAATGGTTCTGTCTCTCCCCGATGTACTATCAGAAGAACTATTTTGCTGCTTCTATTGCTGAAGGCAATGTTTGATCAGTTATACCTTTCGCCTTTACTCCTCTTCCTATACCAGGCATTGACCTTTAATAGGTTTTCGATTTCCGATCAAGGTTAATCGCTTTACACATGTAAGTTATTCGTTTCTTCTCTATGTCTCATGGTTTTATCTTTCTGATTAATAACAAAGCGACTTTTATTTTCACGTTGTCTCATGAGCACAACATGCATAATATCTATTTATTTTGATCTTATTGCCTGAAACGATGTTTAAAGCTCGGGGGATCTCCTGCGTGATTTCTCCTCTTTCTGTTATTAGGTTTCAACTTCAATGTGTTTCTATCTTCATATTAGGTTCATCGAATTGAACTGGCAGGCTATTATTTCCTTCCCGATTTATCTAAGTTTTTTGTTTATGAATGATTTATTAAATATAGAAAATGAATTTGAACGATGGTTTGGGTACTATATTTGTTTGTAAGCAAAAGTGATGTTTGTGTAGAACATGGCAGTTGTACTTTGCTAGAGCCCTGTCCACTTTGTTGTGTGTTTCCTGTACTTTATTTTTGTTCTTTGCTTAGCTATTGAAATAATAAAATAAGATCAAAATGAGAAAAAATGGTTTCTTTTCAATTACAATATTTCCGCTCATATTTGATTTTTTGATAACTAATGTTCTCCGCAACCATAATTTTCCTCATTAATTTTTATTCTTATCTCACTAATCAAAATTTGATATTGTTTTAGAATTAGTTAGAAATTGAGATTTCATGCAACACTCTAGGAGTTTGAGGTGTTGAACTTGGAGTAGAAGAGTTAGGATTGAGTTTGAAAATGAGAGTGGTGGGGGGGAAGAAAAATTCAACTGTAGCATGTTAAGGCATAGAAGAGGAGTTACCGAGGGTGGTGATCGAATTGAGGAGGGTGTTGAAAGACGCGGAAGCAAAACTGGAGCAGTTAAAGAGAGAGAAGTGAGAGATGATGAGGATATTAATAAAAATGGAGAGGGTATTGAAGGACATGGAAGTGTACTGAAGCATGTGAAGACATACAAGGGGGGGGGGGGGGAATGAGCTTATTGATGGAATTGGAGATGAGTTTTGGTTTTAGCGAACTTATTACAACTGGCCTTGAGGAAGATGAGTTGGCAAAACACAGGAAGAGGATTGAGGAGTTGAAGAGCGAGTTGACAAAAACCCTAATTGGAAGAGAAATTGAGGGTCGCAGAGAGAAGGTCCATCAAAGTAGCAGAAATGGAGTTGCAGAAGGAGGGTTAGAAAGTGAATGTTTGGTTGAAACATATGCTTCTTGAGATTGAAGATAGAGTAGATAAAAATTTGGTCGTTCAATGGAGAGTGGTCGCTATTGGATCATTAGGTTTATAGTTTTTGCAGCTACCACAACCTATTTCTATCTTAAAACGAGTAATCATTGATTGATTTAATGAAGTAGGTTGATTCTTTATTCAACCTACTGGAACTGATAGATAAGGACTGTCTAATTTTGCGTCATATTACTTTGATCGTTTGCTCTCAAGTTTTGATGGTCCACTCTTAGCCGAGTTGTTAGTATATAGTTGACTTGAACCTACAACTATCCATTTCTTTTTTATTAGTGGCATATTGCCCCCAAAATGAGAGCATTGAACCATTTACGTAGGATTGTGAGGTTTTAGATTCAGTTTCAAACTATCTATAGGTCGTGTGGGAATTCCAGTGAGCTTTTATACTCTATCTTTCTTAACAATCAACTAGCCAATGACATATTAACTGGGCTTAATTATCATTATGAAAATGAGATCAATCATACATTTTTATGTTTTATTTTCTCAAATGATGATGATATTTCTCTGAATGTTCGACCTATATATTCTTTCTTTATGTATCATCTCGATCAAAAGATTGAAAATCAAATTAAACAGGTTGATAGACTTTAACGTAACATAAAAAGTATAAAAAATAAAATATAAACATTCCGGCCAACAGGCCGGATTATAAGCTAGTTATGGAGAGTGTTATTCTATCAAGTGGTTTAAGCATGTAGTTGTATGGTGACGCTCACTAGCTAATAAAATATTAACGATTTCACTTCTCATCTCATTTACACTCACAACGAGTAGCTTCGTATTCGACACTCTCCAAAGTTTATATATGCTTCGTTGAAAAGTCATCGTTGAATGATCTTTCATGAAAAGGGAAATCTCAAAACATTATTTCCCATAATAAAAATTCATAAAATTGTCACGCAAATCTTATTAGCTCCCCCCAACCCCAACCCCACCCCCATTACACTCCTGATGAGTAACTCCATGCTTCATCACATTGACACATTTTATACATTCTCTCTATCTGATTACACTGACTATATTATGAATGATTTTTCGAAGCACTACAATATTTGTGATGATTTCGTACGCATCTCCTTAACCACTTATTTATACATAATTTCTAGTTGTCCAAATTCCAAATTTGACCTTTCTAAATTCGCATCATCTTTTTCCACAATTTATGTTATACCGAGAACTCTTTCTTTAAATGGTGATACCTTTTGAAAAGAAAATCCTGAACCATTGGGCGTGGCCTTTTCCCTCCTTTTTCCAAGAAACAAATTTGGGGAAAGTCAACTTTTTTGTATTAACAATCTATAATTTTCTCTTTAAAGACCTAAAGACTAGCTAGGAGTGTGCAAAGCTTAGTAAATTAGTAGTAGGCCCAAGACTCAAGTCTCGAGAAAGACTTTACTTTTGGATTAGAAAGGCAGGACTGATATGATTATTGCACTGTTGACCGTTTACACAGCGTAATTAATGATCACTAATCCAAAGGCTTACTAATTCAGCCCAAATTAGGGATATCCCTAAACACGTTTGACGGTTTCCTTATTCATAACGCACGCCGGAAAACCGAAAAGAAGCGGGAAACATTAAACGGCTGGCGATTCTTATACTTTACCGTGTCAAGCTCGAGCGCCGCGTAACCGGTAACCTCCCCTCGGCTCGGCCGACGATCACGATCCCGTCCTCCGCCTGCGATGTGACACAATTGCCCCGTACGTGTCGGCCCCAAAACTCTGCCTTAACCACGAAGAGGTCCAAGGCTAAGTTGGTCAATTTAACATTTCCCTCAAAGACAAGATCAATTCATATTATCAAAATTTTATAATTATCTTGAGGTTTGTACGGTAAACTAATTCATAATCTTATCTTATCCGATATCAAATATAACCGGGTAAAGTTATTTTCCTCCATGTCAATTGTTAATGGCATAATGGTAAAAGTATGCACGAAAATTTTCGTTTCGATGAATCAATATAGAAATGAGACAATTGATCATTTTCGTTTGGATGGATCAATATAGAAATGAGTCAATTTGATCAATTGTCTCATTTTATAAACGATGCATTTTTTTATGAATATAAACGAGGAAATTAAAACGTGTCAATTCGAATCACCTTCCTACACATCATATAATTGAAATTGAATTAAAACGAATCAATTCAAAATATCTCAAGCAAATTGATCCATCCAATTTTTTTGTGGCAAACGAGTCAATTTGATACAATTGTGTCATAACAAAAAAATTACGTCAAATTGATCTATTACGATTTCTCATCCAATAAGAGTTTTTGTAAACCAAACAGGATTACAAACGTGGAATTTCAATCCACAAAGTTATCACACTAAGCACACGTGCATCTTAACGGTAAGTAATTAATTTGCACCGGGTAATTTTTAGGGATTTGGGAATTGGGATTTGGGGGCATTGAAAAGGAACCAAGAAAATAGACGATGACGGAATTTACCACGAGACGGCATAACCCAAACCGTTTACCCCGTTACTGCCAGATCATTAAGAAAAGGAAACTCTATGGACCATAATAACAAAAGAAAAATCTCCTACATAATAATAATCACCAACAAGAAAAAAAATACAACCGTCAGATCAGGATATTCCCAGGAAACAGTAGTCCAATCCTACGGCTGTTATCATATTTCCTCACTTCTTCTGAAACGGTTTTCCTTTTCCGTGTCTATTTTGGATTTTTTACAAATCTTTGTTGGGTTCGTCTTTGCAATTTCCTCGCCATCTCTCTTGTCTATAAATAACTGGAGAAGCCAGAGGGAGGAGGAGAGAATAGTTATCGAGCGGCAATCCAAAAAGGCAAAAACAGAGAGAGGGAGCGAGAGTTCTCTCCTTCTGCCCAAACAAAGCACCTTTCAATTGGAAATCGTTCTCGGTGGCCATTGGTATCGCTTTCCGAGGTGGAATTTGGGTTCGTCTCGCTGATTTCGTGGGATATATCTCTCTCCCTCGATTTGGGTTTGGATTGAGAGGAGGAGAGGGATAGCTGGATTTCAGGTGAAGCCATTGTCGTACACATTGAGGGAGGAAGGAAGCAGGGGATTTGTGGGGTTCGTCTTTATCTTCTGTGGGGTGGGTTTTGTTCCTGATCATAGAAATTTTCTGTGGTGGATTTTGGGGGAATCATGGAGGAAGGAGGGTATTACAGTTCGAAGAAATCTGATGATATATGCGAGAACATTTGCGGCCAGGTAAAATTAACTCCCCCCATTTTCTCTTCCTTTTTCGCCCACCCCTTTCTGTTCCGGAAAAAGGTTTTTGTAAAAAAGTTGTCTTTCTTTCCGTTCTTGGTAGAGCATTCGATTCTGTTTATATATTCTTCTCCCTTCGGCTGCTGTCCTGGTTTTTCAAGGCCGTGGAGATCAGTGTGCACGTTATTGATTGATTTGTTCTGTTCTCAGTTCTCAATTTCTTTTATCCTTCTCCAGTTCAACGAACAAGCTAATGGATGGTTTTAGGCTGTCAACGTGACCAAATGCAATTTGGGAATTGGTTGAAGTAGGTTTCTAGGACAAGAGTGTAGTTAATGGTCTGTACTTTGAACTATGAGCCAATTGCTTTGTTTCTGGGCGCTTAGGAAGTTTTTGACTAGACCATACGGATTGGAATTTTCTTTTCTGATCAAATTGTCGAAATGGGATTGATGGTTTCCTTGTTGTTTAGATGTTAGTAATGTTATTAATGCTGTACAACCCTTTTGTTCATTTAGGTATCTAACTGCCTCTTTATTCTTGGTTTTGATCTTCAACAGTCTGCCAGAGGGCCTCTAAGCATGTCTCGACTGAAATGCATCCTGCGAGGCTTTGACTTCAAGACCTGTCTTCTGATATTCATAGCCATTCCTCTGATAGTCTTGGGAGTCTATGTCCACGGGCAGAAGATCACCTACTTCCTGAGACCACTATGGGAGAGACCTCCAAAGCCCTTCAATGTCATCCCGCATTACTACAATGAGAACGTGACGATGGAAACTCTCTGCAAGCTCCACGGCTGGGGGGTCCGTGAGTCCCCCAGACGAGTATACGATGCTGTTTTATTCAGCAACGAAGTCGACATGCTCACCATTCGGTGGAACGAGCTGTACCCTTATATAACACAGTTTGTGCTTCTAGAGTCGAACTCTACATTCACTGGACTGCCTAAGCCGCTCATCTTCGCAGGCAATAGGGACAAGTTCAAGTTCATTGACCCTCGGCTTACTTACGGGACGATTGGAGGAAGGTTTAAGAAGGGGGAGAATCCATTTGTTGAAGAAGCTTATCAGAGAGTTGCACTAGACCAGTTGATCAGAATTGCTGGGATTGAAGATGATGATTTGCTGATAATGTCTGATCTGGATGAGATCCCAAGTGCTCACACGATTAATCTCCTTCGATGGTGTGACGATATTCCTCCTATTCTTCATCTTCAGCTGAAGAATTACTTGTATTCTTACGAGTATCATGTGGATAACAAGAGCTGGAGGGCTTCCATTCATAGGTATCGAACTGGGAAGACTCGATATGCTCATTACAGACAGTCGGATGTTCTTCTCGCTGATTCAGGGTGGCATTGCAGCTTTTGCTTTCGGTACATTAGTGACTTTGTGTTTAAGATGAAAGCTTACAGCCATTACGACAGGGTGAGATTCTCACATTACTTGGATCCAAAGAGAGTTCAGGATGTGATCTGTAAGGGTGCGGATTTGTTTGATATGCTACCTGAGGAGTACACATTCAAGGAGATCATTGGGAAGATGGGTCCTATACCAAGGACTTTCTCAGCAGTTCACCTTCCTGCATTCTTATTGAACAATGCTGAGAAATACAAGTATCTTTTGCCTGGGAACTGCAAGAGAGAAAGTGGCTGAAGTTTGAAGTGGAGTAGGGCTTCTTTTGTAGACTTCACAGGGAATGCCGAGGTTGGTGTTTTGCACAGGCGAGAAGGCAAATGTTCAGAAAATAGACGAGCCATGGCGTGGAACTGCTACAAGTATACCTTACAAGGATTGAGACATTGAACACCATTCTTTTAGAGAGAGGTGCGCAATCGAGATTGATGATGAGAGGGGGGAAATTTTGAATGCTTGGACTTTGGAGGCGCTGCTGCTTCGACCATGAAGTGGTATAGATTGTTCATGTGGAGGAAGCTTGTTCGAGTGGGACATATCTTTAGGAGTTTCCCAATGCATTCCTTCCGCAGAGAGATTATTCTAGATTACAGTTGACCTCTTCCAGGTTATTTCTACATGGGGTTCGACTTTCTTTAACGAAAAGAATCATAGCTAGATTCATGTTGTTTATTCACTCTAATTTTATAGAAATTGATATACATGTTGGCCTCTTCCCTTCACCTTATATAATATATTAACTATGACTCATTTCGTCATTGAACTACTCTGAGCTTTTATTATCCTTTTGTTAGCTATGATGATTCTCGTCTTTTTTCCCCCTGTAATTTCTATCACTAGAATTTCAACAAGTGTAGGAATGACATTTCTGGATGAGATGTTCTTTGAGTGCCTTGTATAGTTTTCTGCTTGTCATGTTTCCTTAATCTTCTTAGTTTGAGATGCATGTGGCAAAGCTTAGTCTGTTTAATATTTTTTTTTTTTTGTATTTTTAGGCAGATCAGTGGCTGAAAGCATATTCTGCAAGTATATTAATCTATATTCTGGACTCAGTCAAGTCCACATGCAGTGAAACTCCCCAATAGACATTCTTAGGGTTAAAAAAACTCCCTCTGGCTTACTCTGATAGTGCCAAGCCTGCAACTTTCACTCTCTTTCTTAAGCCTAGATCACAAAGGAAAATTAGGCAGTTAGGTGTCAGAATCCGGAAAGCCAGAGGATTCCTTGTTGCTTGTGTCTATTGCCAAAGGGGCTGTCCTAACTGCTTATGCAGTTGGGAAATTTCAGGACCCTTCTCTTTCCCCTTTTAAAAGTGGAACATTATAGCCTGTCTGTTTAAGGGTCTTGCTTGTTTTAGCTGCTACTAGACGCGTCCTTAAGCAAGAGTGCTGAACAGGGGAACCTAGAGGTTTCCTTCTTTCTTCATCTACTAGGAAAACTTGTGTGGAATTTCACTTCTCTTGGTCTCTTGCCTTAAAATGGTGACAGATGAGAGAATGACAAAAGCATTTCACCCTTTACAGGGGGTTTGGTGAAGTGTCGTTGCGATATTGGAATGAGAGAGATCTCTGGAGCTGTGGAGGGGGCAAAGAAACCGTTGGGAAGAAATGGCGGTTTGTTTGTGTGCTGATTCTGTAGAGAGTAGTAAATGGTGAGTTTTGTTTGGTTGGGCGGTTAGGTGGACGGTTGGGTTGGTTGGTGAATTGGTTTATGCTGTTTTAGCCTTTTTGGGGCAAATTGAGTGGTGGAAAAGGAAAAGAGATGATGGATTGATGGGGACCTTTTGTGTTTAGATGGAAGAATTAATAATGGTGCTGTGGTGTCATCAAACAATAGAATCTGTTGGTATGGTGGAAGAATTGTAATTCACATTTTGAAAAGTGGATGTACATTGCCGGGCCGTACAAGACATTTTGTTGTAGGGTTTGTGCTATCCAAACCTTAGTATGATTAAACATAGTGAGTTTCATATGAGGATTTTTAATGATTATCGATATGAATGTCAAAAAGCATAAAAGGTTGGTCCCGATCAGGTAATGACATCAACTATAGAGTTAACTTTCGTAGTACATGTGTACTTAAAGATGTTCCACCCCCTAATGAGCATTACTGAGCTTGAGTTAGCGGATGGTCACCACAAACGCACAGGCACAGCATGTGTGATTTGGTATTGACTAATTCTAAACAAGTATTGTCTGGTTTATAAGCGGAGTGACGAACGAGAGGAAGTTTTTTTTTTGTCTAGCCTCTACCATTTTATCTATCATCCATTTTATTTGATTTGATCCAACTCGTATCAAATGAAAATTATCTATTCACGAGCATAACAAGGCATAATATGAGTTTTTGTTCTTTCGTACTATTCTGAATCACCAGAACTCTAATTGTTGTTACAAGTGAAATCAAATAGGACAACCATTTTCATACGAATCCTCCAAAACCTAATTCTACTACTTTCTTAAACAAATATCATACAACTCACAAACGAATCTAAAACGAGTCATGAGTCTTCTCTCTACCCAGCACTTACGGTCTCTTCACAATCACAATCACAATCATGTTCAAACTTTGATGTAGTCATTGCCAAGTTGCCTGTTTCCTCGCTTCCTTTCTCAATGTGGCCGATCCTCAAAATTTGATGATATTTTAGTCAATGGGCATGTAGAGTTAAACATTCTCCCATTTACCAACTAAATGACAAGAAGAAGATTATACAGTGAGAACGTGGAAAAACACTATTATAAAATTCTACCTTATCAGTCTTATTTATCTAATATTAGGTCCCCACTTGTTATAAACTTACTATCACTCCACATATGGCACACCCAATCACAAAAGAAGAAACTTCAATCCTTCATCCTAAATTAACTCTTCTCTTCTTGCTATTATTACACTAACGTAAAACAAACATATCACATGGTTTATTCGAGTGTCACGAGTATACTATACTATATTATAAGATTTCTCTAGTATCAAACTCGCTCGCTCATTCATGTATATTTATGATGATCGTCTCTCTCGACTTAAAATAAATGTAGCAATCATAATCAACAAGATCTAGTTTTGTCAAGGTTGTGGAGGATAATATTCCTGATTATTTGTTTTGTAGGTGGACTTGTGCAGTTTAGTTTGCCGTCCCCGGCCGTCTCAAGGGACAATGACAGGTGAATAATGAAATCATCAAGAGCTACACTTCATGCTAGTAGTAACATTAATCTTACTGTTTATTTAATTATCTAGCTAATCACTCTAATATTGATAATCAAAAGAATTAAGACAATGTCGTGGTCATGAAATGCCGCGTATGTTTTCTCAGTTAATGCCAAGATAATCAGTGGGATGGGAATGGAAGATTGACTTGGAAAAGTCTACCACACATACAAGACTTCGTTCTTGATATGTTTTTTGTTTTTTTAACTAATCTCTTTTCATATTACTTTTTGGACGCGTGAATCCTTAACTTCTCTTGCTAGATGGTGAGTGGTGAATGGTTGACTGACTAGAGCATGAATATTCCCACAGAAGAGTGGCATTTAGGTCGTTTCAGATCATATGAGGCCATAGTCGAGAAGGTTGACACATTGAACTCATACGGAAGTGGTATCAGACCCATGGAACGAGCAATAATAAGTGATCCGTCAACATAATATGCGTCTATTTTCAATCATGGGGCCTGGGGGTATACAAAACTGTTGCAGAAGGCAGCTTTCTGCTGCTGCTGCTGCTGCTAATCTGACATGGTACGACTTCGATTTGAATCAACGAACAAGATTACAGCTTTTTAACAATAACAATGAATCACAATATGTTCTGCCACAGAATGGCGAGGAGGGGTTTGGTTGCTTCTGGCTACTAAATCAATAGCTTGGAATTGCTGCAGATGACTCAGTCACTGTCCCAAAGTTCGTCCATTTCTTTCACCGTCTTCACCTTCTTCCCCCCTTGCTCCCCATGCTCCTTAGTTTCATCCGTGTGATTGAAGCCGAGTTTGCTGCCTTCATTTGGATTGAGTTCATCGTCCGAGTCCGATTGCCACATTGGGAAGCCCACATCTTCTGAACCAGAATCTCCATCAGCAGCTGGTTCCCTTCTGCAACTTGCTCGGGACTCACTTGTCCTTGCGCTGAATCTTCCTTTACTCACTCTTGCACCTCGAGTTGTTCTCAACTTGCCACGAGAATCCACTTCATCATCCTCTTCTCCACTACTGCTGCTTCTAAAACTGCGGCCTGGAGGCATTTTCTTCTTCGATGCCCCAATTTCATCTTCTTCTTCGTCTGAATTCCACATCGCATTGTCGAGATCACTCAGCATGTCGTCAGATTCAGAATCTTCTTCTTTTTCTTCGACTTCCTTCCTATTGAACTTATTCACAGCAGGTCTTCTATCAAAATGATCGCTGTTATTATACCTCGTACTTGTATCCCTATGTTGGTTTCTTGTCTGTGATCTAGCTATAACACGACCATTAGTATCACGAGAATCATCATCAGAGTCCCACTCATCCTCTTCTTTTTCTTCAACTTCCTTCCTGTTGAATTTAGTTGTAGAAGGTCTTCTATCACCACGGTCGTTGTTACTATACCTCATACTTCTACCCCTATCTTGGTTCATTTTCTGTGATCTACCTATAACATGATCATTAGTATCTCGGGGATCATCGTCAGAATCCCACTCATCCTCTTCATCTGAGATTCCATCCCTCTCGTCACCATCATCATCTCTCCCAGAACTCCTGCGATCATCACGTGGGTCACGCCAAACCTTCCCTTGTCTGACAGCCTCCTCATAAGCTTCTTTATTCTCAAATCTTAGCCTCCCGCCATTTTCATCTTTGTTCCTATACCTAATCCTGCCAAACTCTTCTTGCTCAGCTGCTTCTTCAGCAGCCCATTCTCTATCTGCAGCATCCTCTATCTCAGATATAAAGCGGTTCAGCTCCTCCTGATCACTATCGGCTCCTTGATCTGAATGCTCCGCATCATCATCAGCAGGCTGTGGTGATGAGACTTCGTCGCCTTTGAATACATATGGACTTCCTTCTTTGCTGTCAATTGCATGGAAGAACGTGGAAGCTACTCTCTGGATGCTAGCCATGGCCACTGGATCCTCGGGATTTACACCCATCCGTCGAAGCTGTTGCTCTATCTTCTTGATGTTTAGCTTCTGTGATTCTAGTGCTTGCTCAAATCTTGCCTTGAATAATGCCTGAAGCAGAAATATGAAGATTAGAATGAGCAGCAATAGCACTATTCCACTACAACACACAGCAATTCAATGCAAAAGTAACTTCATAAGATGGATTGAATAAGAAACGCTATCCTTTTTCAGTACCTTCACGTACAGCATAGCATAAATCAAGACAAATGTTCTGCTCACTACAACTTTAAGAATATCTCAACTTCTAAAGCTTATTCACACAGCAACTCGTCTACAGGTGAGGACTACATTTCTACGGTATGACCTACAATAGAGAACCGCTATATAGCCATTAACACGGAAACACAAAAAGTCAGCACATACCTTCCGCTTTGTCAAAGTATTAAAGGGAATCAAGTTCTTCGGTTGTCGATAGTTCCTGCCACGGAACATGATAATCGTCTTCACATTATGTATATTCACCACAATACCGCCGCTAAGCCTTGCTATCATGGTGGCCATCTCTTTGATCTTTTCCTTTGGAAAGTTGTCACAACACACCTGCACAGTCTCATGAAACTTCCAGTGCATGTGCATATTCTGCACCACTCCTCCAAACACTCCACGAACACCGACAGGGACATAGTTCTTGTTCTTGAAGCCTATCTTCTTGTACGACTGAAGCTGCTCCGGCGTGAATAGCTCGGGATCATGCACCGATGGGGGCAACTCGGGTAGCTCGTATTTCTTCAGCTTTTGGAGGAGCAATGCCACTTTCTTCTTAGCCTGTTATCAGTTACACCACAAAAGAAATATCAAGCACAACGACAACAAGCTGGGCCTAATCATCAATAACGCAATCCTACAGGAAGTGCTGCAAGGATAATCTCAGCCTTCTCCTAGCACTATATATATTAGGACACCATTCCAACTCGAAACACAAAACTTGAATTCCTGAATCCCCTAACCTTCTAAATCCGTGCTCATTCTAAGCCATTCAAAAGCTTGGATCTCACCATTGCATGTAACCGCGAAAACCGGAACCATTCATTCACATCAGGAAATGCGGAACAAGAACTGGAACAAACCCAAGAAGGGGGAACATACTCACTCTTTTGAGATTGTAAATAAGCCTCTCTTCATCAGTCATAAGCTTCTTCTTCAATTTCTTAGCTCTCCTAATCTCCCTCATCGTTTTACCGGACTCTTTCCTCATCCTACTCTCCACTTTGCTTCTCATGCTCCTCCCTTTGGAAGTCGACATCCCGCGGCACCATCCGCTGCGGAAAGCAGAGCAATTCAACGGCGGAGGAGGCCGAAGACTATCTGGAGTAGAACTAATACTCGAAGAACTAACACCATTCAACGCCAGTACTATGGTTCTGTATAATCCAAGGAAACCCAATGCATCAAATCCTACGATCAGGCCGACAACCCATGACGAAATGGATAAAAGAAACAAACTTTCGAGCAAACCTGGAGGGATTATTGGAGGAGAGGTGGAGAGCGGAGAGGGTTCTGAAGCAATGGCTTCGAAGAATCCTTGAAGCCAACATTTTTCGGCCTTGACCATGAAACTGATGATAGAGAATGGAAGCTTTTTCAACAGCCCGATTTTGGATCACTTCATATTCGAGTTTTGGCTGTCGGGGTTTAAGCTACTTCTGGTGCCCAGCCACAGGGTTTTAGGTTTCGGGGTTTGCTCTTTGCTCTGCTGTGCAGAGGAAACGGGAAGTCAATCGTCCGTCTGGGTCGGAGCTCATTGAGGTGTAAACGCGAAACGAAAGCCAGAAGAGAGAAACGGAGCGTTGAAACGTGAAACGGCCAGTCAAAACGGAGAAACCAACCTAGCACCTCCAGGCTTTGAAAATGGGCCGACCTGCAAACTTGGCCCATATAAACATCGGCTGGATTATTAGGTTTTTTCCTCTCGTTCTCGTATATAAATAAGTTGGTAGCTAGGGTTTAGTGGAGAGTTCCATATTTTCGATCGTACTCCGCCGCAGCACTCTGTTTTCGGTCGTACTCCGCCGCAGCTGTCAAAATGAAGGCGATCATCTCGTCGGAAACGATGGATATCCCAGAAGGCGTGAAGATCAAGGTCCACGCCAAGGTGATTGAGGTGCAAGGACCGAGGGGCAAGCTCGTCCGCGACTTCAAGCATTTGAATCTGGATTTCCAGTTGATCAAGGACGAAGAGACCGGGAATCGAAAGCTGAAGGTTGATTCTTGGTTCGGAACCAGGAAGACCAGCGCCTCCATCCGTACCGCTCTCAGTCACGTGGAGAATCTGATCACCGGCGTCACCAAGGGATACCGCTACAAGATGCGGTTCGTGTATGCTCATTTCCCCATCAACGCATCCATCACCAACGCCAACAAAGCCATTGAAATCCGTAACTTCCTTGGGGAGAAGAGGGTATGCGCCAGTATCTTTTCTTTTTTTTTATTCGTTTCTCCGTTTATACGGTTCGCAGATCCGTGGGAATGATGAATTAGTGTGGTTGGTATTTTAGTATGTGTCTTCTGTTTTTCATGAATCTTATTATGTAAGATGTAGTCATTAAAGCCCTTGAGTTGTTGTTCCTAGTTGCTCATTGGAAAGCCCTTGAGTTGTTGGATTGATCCATGTTTGGTTTGTCTTTTAGATGAGCATCCTCGCAATTTTTGCAATGTTATATATTTAGATGTAGTCAGTCGAGCATTGTCTATTGTCACACTCTGAGTTGTGCTTCTAGTCGCTCATTGGAAAGCCCTTGAAACTGTTTGGTTTTGTTATAATTTGTGTTCATAATTTAGGCGATCATCCTGGTGTATAGTGAAGTTTTTAGTTTATATGTAGCCAGTCAAGCCTAGTTTATGGTCATGAGCCGAGTTGTGCTTCTAGTGACTCATTAGAAAGCCTATGAACCGTTGGATTGATCCATGTCTTGTGTTGGATTGCATTTGTATTCATAATTTAGATGAGTATCCTGTGAGTTTTGGTATGGGGGAATATTTAAGTGCTTGCAGATTCTCTATTAGAGTATGATCTGATACCCTTTTTTATTCTTCCAGGTGAGGAAGGTGGATATGCTTGATGGTGTGACTGTCATCAGATCAGAAAAGACCAAGGATGAGTTGGTTTTGGATGGCAATGATGTGGAGCTGGTTTCACGATCTGCTGCTCTGATTAATCAGGTAACCTCACCTGCAAGCTTTCCCCACATTAGCAATTGCTTGAGAATCTCCTTCATCAAGTTATGTCATGCACCTTTAGCTTGATATCTGAATCTGATCTCTCTTTGTTCATGTTCTTTTCCTGATTCAGAAATGCCATGTGAAGAACAAGGATATCAGGAAGTTTCTTGATGGTATCTATGTTAGCGAGAAAGGAACAATCGTCGAGGAGGAATGAGTAGCTGCATTTTGAATTTCTGTTCTCGGACACCCTGTTTGTTAGTTTTTGAACAATGCTGCCTGTGCAAGGCGTTTTTGGACGAGCTTTTTGTGTTATTAAGGTTTGACAAATTGGCTTGGATCTTTGGCAGTAATGTTGATCTATTGTGGTTTGCATCTACTGGTATTTTGGTCTGCTCTTGCACTGATAGCCTCTGGTCATTTTGCACTATTTTGATTTTGCTTGGTCAAGTGAATTGTGTGGTATGCTATTAGCTTTATTTGGTTGGTTCTTCTCTGTTCTGGGAGAGCTGTGGATGGAGTTAACAAGAGAAGTGAGAGTGTGTGGGTGGTGAATGGTGGCGGTAAGGTATTATAAAAGGTAAAGTTATTCGCTCAAACAAATTCGAGCGATGGTAAGGTTTCTATTCAGCTGCAAATAAAAGGGAAAGGCCTTCTGCAAATAAATTAGGTACTTAAACGATGGTGCATTTCAAAATCAACAGTTATGGTAGCTTCAATACGAAGTCAGGGAGTAAATAAGCTGTACTCTTGCATGCATTCCCACTTCACAGTGCTAATGAACAACTTTCTTGAACCAATTCCTGGATTTGCACAGAAGAAAAACCAGCAGCCATAAAGACAGCAGCAAGAAATTACTACTACTGTAGCTTACTTAGTTAACAAGGAACATAACATCCTCTGTTTATAATGCAGTCAATTAAAGTACATTACACGATGACAGTTTATGAAGAGGCTACAGGCTACAGCCACTCTGCCATCACAAGTTCACAACTACTACAATCGAAATTATGAGGCCATTTTTCGTCTTTCCCACCATTGCAGCAATAGTGGAATCACTCTGCAGCCTCTTGATTATGTTGCACACGAACTGCATGAAAAACATACATTACTTCCCATTTTTAGCCTATTGAGATTGAACAACAACAATGCTGCTAAACTAAAGCCAACTAGTATGGCTTCCTGCACCAGCAACAAAACAAGTGGAGTGATGACATGTTCATGGTTTAGTCTAGCAGAGCTTCTTCTGCTCCATTGTTATTCCGAGTGTTTATTCAAAACTTGTCCAGCCAGCTACAATTGCTGTCTTGGGAACCAAATTGAAGATCCTGCAGAAGTAAGATCACATTGTTAAATACGAAGAGAAATAATAATGCGTTCTGCAGTAACTTGTTATATGTGTTTGCTAAAGAGTTGTGTTATTAGGCTTACAGAAAGCTGGAAATCTGGTGGGCTGTCCAATTCCAGGCTCTCCAGGACAGAGATTCCACAGGAAGGAGCGTTGTTATTTCCACTACCTCCTCCAGTGCATGGTATATGATTTATTGCTGTTGAGTTGTTGCCCAAGATCGACAAAGATGTGGGAGAGTTGTTATTTCCACTACCTTCACCAGGGCATGGTATATGATTTATTGCTGTTGAGTTATTGCCGAAGATCGATGAAGCAAAAGGAGGGTTGTTATTTCCACTACCTCCACCAGTGCATGGTATATGATTCATTGCTGTTGAGTTATTGCCGAAGATCGAAGTAGAAGGATTGGAAGTCTCTTTGCATACCAAAGAAGTATCTCCGATGTTGGTGAAGTCAGGGGTTTCATCAACAGGCTGGGATTCACCACCCAGCCATGCTTCATATCCCACATCCTCCCCTATCATCAACTTCTGATCCTAAACTCCACAAAATAAAAACAATCAAAACATAAAGTTCAGTTTTTCATACCCAAATTTGCACATCAAATTCATAAAAATAAACACAAGAAGTGTAGCCAAACCTGGACAGAGGAATCTGAAGTGATGTTGTCATCAGCAAGATCGTTATGTCGCTGTGGATTGGGAGGATTTGGGTTCGGGGTCCTTGGATGCATTACACCAGCAACAACAGTATCAGAACCTTGAATCTCCGAAGTCTCATCATTATTCTTCCCATTCATCTTGGATTCCTGGTAGAAGATCCTGGAAACAACATATTCACCAGAAGTTTCATCCTCTTCAGTGCCCAAATGGAACTGGTGCATCGTCCAACCGGCCTTATCAGGCTTAGAACCTCTTCCCTTTGAGCTTCTGTACAGGACCATGATCTTCTTGCAGCCCATTTTAGCACCATTTTCGACCACGACCTTGGTCCTGCCTGTCTTGTGCCAGCGCACACTTTCGCTAATGGAAGTGTCTTCACCTCTCTGGATCTTTCTACGCTTCCTGTGACCAGTTGCATAAGCATTCATGGTGCGATGAAAGAAATGAACACAGCTTCCGTCTTTCTTAGCACCTACATATTGACCAATTGGCAAACACATAGACATCTGTTGAGAAATTTCAAACGGTAAAGAGGTGGAGAAGCAGGGCAAATGAGCTTTCTCTCTTTACCAGGAAGGTTTTCAGGATGGGAGTAACAAATCCCATTGTCCCCTTCAAGTGTTGGGATGAACTCATCAATGAACATGTGCGGTTTCGAGCTCCCAATGCCGCATTTCTCTGCTAAATGCTCCAGCAGCTCTGCATCAGTTGGGGCAAACTTCACCCCAGCTGGAAAGCCAGGCCATTCATTGATTACCTGCAGAATGGAAAGTTAAATATCAATTTACATTCTCGTCAATGTTTCAACAATGATCAAATGTAATGGTATGGTTCCAAAGGTCATAGCCCCTCACATCACTGTTGTCAATTCTATGCTGACAATTAGGACATTCGAGAGAAGCTCCTGCATCTTTGATCGATTCGGTGGGTGATTGGGTCACTTTCCTTGCTATTGATTTACCATCCAAAATCCAAGCCCTGCCAAGAAACCAAATGTAGAACTTTTCAACAAAGTATTGGAACTCTGTTTGAGTCTTTTAGGTGATAGAGAGCAGCAGCAACCCAAATAAGGAAACAAGAAAATGATGGAGAAGTTAGTTTTAGTTCAGACAAAAACATAGAAAAGGCTGAAGCTTTATGGGGAAACATTGGAAAGGGACTTTGTTTTGAAGCTCTCAAGGGCCGTTTTTGGACTATGCTACTATCACATTCAACGTGAAAGCTCCTGAAATCTAAGACATTCAACTCTGCAGCTACCACATTCAACCATCCATTCTCCATTTGGCTATGTGTTAATATGAGTTGGCTTCTAGTTCACACAAAAGCACAAAAAAGGCTGAAGCTTCTGGGGAATGTATTAGAAAGGGACTTGTTTTCAAGCTCAAGAGGGCCATTTTTGGACAAAGTATATGGGGATCAGTAACTATGATTCTATCCTATTCAACTCGAAGCTCTTCAACATCTAAACCATCAAGCTACCCATTTCTCACTAGGCCGAGTGTAGTAGTCAAGTGAGCATCCCCTCTTTCAACAATCCAAGCTCCCCAATTTCTCATATTCCAACACTTCAGAAATGAACCCCTTGGCTTAAACCCCAGGGTTTTAGCCTACTGGAATCCATTCATCCATTCTCTCTACCATTAAACAGCCATGGATACCATTCCTGATTGAAAACGGTAGAGAATACTTCTAGCCCAGAGAGCATTCCCCTTTCATTTATTCCTTTGATGCCAAATTCCTTTCGAACGAACAAAACCCAGTTGCTCAATCACACCCAGAAACCTACACCGAAACTACCCAGACGAAGAAAATTTTGCAGAACCCAAACCCCAGAAACTGTCCAGGATGAAATTAGAACCTAGAACCCCAGAAGGAGAACCGATCATTTCTCAGGAAATACATTCAATGACGACCTCCATCAGATTTCCTCATGATCTAATTGAAAAGAAGAGTCTTTTCCATCCCAGAGTTCAATTTTAAAATCACCGAAACATCAAAATTTCATCCTCCCACAAGTTTTTAAATCGAAGCTCGGCGCTTAGCTCACCTCGCCATTTTCCCTTTCCCCCAAAACAGACACAGAGAAAAACAGAGCAAGAAGAAGCTTGACTTGAGACTTGGCAGAGAACGAGCGGATTGGAGTAGAGTGTCATCGAAGCTGTTCTATATATACACGCGAATTAAAAAAACAAAAAAGACTTGCTCCCCCTTTCTCCACTAGACTAAGAAAGCCTCCATCTGTCGGAACCGGCGGGAAAAAACCCCGGCTCGGAGCGTGGCTCGGCGATCCGGAGCTGGAATATTCCTTCGATGAAGAGCTACGAACCAGGGGAGGTGGGACCGGTGCGTTGACGGAGGCAGGGCCCGAAGCTAGAGTGGGTTAGGCTTGGACCTGTCCGAAGAATGTCCAGCGAGCGCACTTGGCTGGCGCTGGCGCGGCTGAGCTGGACAGGCGGCCTCGGGGGACGAGCTATGTCAGTGTCATGATCGTAAATAGATGGAACTCTGACTTGTTTCCCAAGCTATAGATGGGAAGTTCCTTCCTTCGAATATTTCTTTTGTTTGTTGGGTTTGCTACTTGCTAGTTTATTTTAGTTTTTACCGTTTTGTGTGGGAAACAGAAAGGACTGGCCGTTGACAATGATATGTTGGATCTTGGTGGTGGTGGACTACTACTATTCTTTGACGCGGTCCTTTCTTGGTGGGCCTCTCTACGGAGGGGCAATCTCTATGCCAAATTTTAGGTGTTAAATTGTTCATTTTGGTCACGATATGTAATTTTAGAGATGACAATTTTTCTCATATTTTTTAGTGACCAACTTGTCTTTATCATCTAATATGAAGGATCCCTATTTTGATTAGGTAATAGTATGCATCAGACAAATGGATACGTAGGTTAACAAAGAAAAGTTTCCAATCGTTAAGTTGTTGGTATTACATTCTCGTACCACTCATACGTGCGCTAGTAATGAGTTAGGCCGTTTTGAGGTTTATAGCCATTGATCCCAACTCCTTAAGGAAATCACATTAGACACCAAGCCTTCATTCATAGATCATCTTTTGGTTTGTTGTTGTTCACACTAAATAGGATCGTTTCATAGGTACTCTACTACTTCCTTTAGGGGTCGGCCAAGAGAGTGTGTCGGGAGGCCCTCCAACATAGGAGCTCCAAATATTAGGTGGCTTCGATGTAGATCAGTTAATTAATCTAATTTTATATTGTAGGTGGTATTGTAATGTATAATTAATTGATTATGAGTATGATGACGAGTTTAATTATATAAATTAATATTGGTGTTAGTCAATGGTTAATATTTTCATGTATATATACACTAGACACGTAAATTGATTGTTAAAGTATTGCTCATGTTACAAAAACCCTATTTATATTAGAAAACAATGCAAGAAAATATTAATGGAATAGCTATGATAACAATTGAAATGATCTGAATATCTTATGAAGAATACGAACGAAAATTACATAGATAATAGATAATTTTATTTTGAACAATGTTAGAAATATATTACATTTCATTTGATGATGATATTATCATTTTGATTTGATTGTAAGTAAAAGTCAATTTGGACCACATCTTAATTTTAGAACAGGGCCTCCACGATCTATTGGAAAACCCTTCTTCTTTGCTTGTCGATAAAGTTAGCTAACTTTGTTAGGTGACCTATGATATTTATTGTTTTTATGTATTAGTTTAGGATATACATATACTAATAATTAACGACGAGTGTATGTAGAAATATCCACAAGTATTAATGTACAAGGCATGACGGATATAGGTATGAGTAGGCAAAAAAAATCCAAGTCGCTCATGAGGATGATGAGGGCACGATGCATAAATAAACTCTAAGGCCGGAGGACTAAAGATTGAGGACACACATGCACCATGACATTAGATTTCTTCAGATTTGGAAGACAGGGGATTTGAATGGGAGTGGAGCTAGGCAGATCGAGACACCCAAATCACCAACACCATTTATGAGTGAGCCATTATACCAATATCCTAGACCTAGAGCATCTCGGAGAAATCTCGACATGCACCATCTACACCCGAGGATTGATTTGCACCAAGTACAACAACCATCAAATTTATTGCAAGCTAATCCTGTCGACCATCATAATTGTATCTAACGTTGATCAATCGCATTAATGCATATAAGTCAAGCTTCAACATGTAATAAGAACAAAACATCTCTGTCAAAAGACCACCACGAATGAAAAGATCTCATCTTGTTGTAGAAGCATTGATATATATTAGAAGAGAGATCTTGACTGAATCTTTGGACAGAAATCATGAGAATTAAGGCAAAGACAGCACTGTTTAATTTCACAATAACAGAAGTAGTCTTTTTAAGTAAAAATAGTTGGATGTTACATATGGGATTTAATATGTAAATTAAATCAAACCGGAACTCAAAGTTCAATTTAATAGAAAATAATGATTGATCATTGAGATTGTTCGGATCTCATCAAAGTACTAACAACCAGATAACAACCGGATAACATGGTATATATATATATATATATATATATATATATGGTGGCTACTTCGGTGCACTCACTTTTTTGGGTGCACTCAGTGCACCCAACTCTAAAAGCGTCCATAATACATCGATTTTGAACTTTAATTAGTACTCTCAATATAATATGATGATATGACATAGAATCATAACAAATCAATCCATTACCATATCCCCTTAACCTTCAATTTTGAATCCCAACCCAAAATCCCAAATTGTAAACCTAAACCCTAACCCTAAATCCCTAATCCTAAATCCTTCGAATTAAAGTGAATTTGGAATGAATTTTTTTCAAATTTATGTGCTTCTTGTTCATAATATCATAAGCTACAATTGATACCGTTTTGATATGAATCGCATGCTCAGAATGATAATTATGAGGCGGGTGCACTGAGTGCACCCGAAAAAGTGGGTGCACCGTATACGCCACCATATATATATATATATAAATATATAAAAGGTTTTGTCTATGGTGCATTCATGATGCACCCGCACATTTTGAGTAGGTGAATCACGTAAAACGGTGTTATAGGTCACTTGTGATATAATGGACAAGAAAATGCATGAATTTCGATAGACAAGGAAATGATATGAAGATTTCAGAGTTTAGGAATTTAGGGTATGCAATTTGGAGATTAGGGTTACGATTCAAATTTGAAGGTTTAGAGTTTAGGGCAATGCATTGTTTTGTTGTGATCCTATCCTACGTTGTATCATCATATTAGAATAATGCTCTCGATTAAAAGCCAAAATTCAGTGTCCTATACCTACTTTTAGAGTTGGGTGCACAATATACATTCATTTTTGTGAGTGTATCGAATAAGCCTATATATATACAGAAGCCTGACGTACTATATTTAAGTGTTTAATCCCTCAAGCCCACAGAGGAAGGGATAATTGTCCGCTCTCTAAACTCTCCCTCACTTACTACATTTTTTATGGGATAATTGTCCGCTCCCTAAACTCTCTCTCACTTACTACATTTTTTATTTCATACATGTACTTATGGAGGTAAGTGGTCCTTTAACGTTCCTAAATTATTTTGTGAGCGCATTAATATCAAGGTCGTTGTAGTATAGTGGTAAGTATTCCCGCCTGTCACGCGGGTGACCCGGGTTCGATCCCCGGCAACGGCGAGTTTTTCATTTTTGTCTTTATTGGATATGGGCCTATCTTATTTCGAAAACAGAGCAGTCGCCGAGATCAACCCACCAAACTTTGGGCCGAGTATCTCCACTCTCCACCATGGAAAAGCGCACTTGTCAACCATAAAAAGCCCACTGGTTAATCCAAACATGAAAGCCACTGTTAAAGTCACAACTTGATGCACAAAACAGAAGGTACAAAGATTCAAACTTGGGTGAGACTTTCAGGCCATTCCATTCCATGATTTCAAAGCAAAGAATTGACAAATTAACCAAAATAAGACCAGAACCAGATGGTCCTTTAATAGGGAAAAGACTGTTACTTTCTATTCCATTCCTCATTATCAACATTCAACAGCACCAACAGAAGACCAAACAATGAACAACAAGAACAGTAATGGGAAGAAGAAGGAAAAGAAGTTCCTTATTACAGGAACCTTTTCTTATTACACAGACATTTGATTAATTGAGTTAATAATAATCATACATCACTCTCCCCACTACCACCATCACTACCAGGCACCAGCAAAGTGCAACCCCTCCACCTCCCTGATCCCAAAACTATGCTTCCTTTCATCCCTTTTACAGACATGAGAGGATATTATGACATATAAAATATTTCTGAGTCAGAAGAACAGACAAAAAAGAACTGCTAATATTCACTTTTAAGGAAAAAGTGGGATCTCCACCATGACTACTATTCCAGAGCTCCCTTTCTCCATTTGCTGCTGCTACAACTAAGTTTGTTTTTGGGGTTTATAATCCTGTCATCAAAGATGTAAACCTTTTTTTTTTTGTACTCCAAAATGACTTCAAATGTTGCGCCTTTTTTGGAGCGATTTCATTTCACGATATCATTAACAGCAGAAGAAGAAGCCTCTACTAGGCTTGTCATCTTCTTCTCCATTCTGGGTTTTGGGGGTGTCACCTGGGTAATCTCTTGCAGCCATTAGAGAGCTTTCGCCCGGTGAATCGGGGGCCAGGACTTTGTTCTCGGATGAATACATCCGAGCTGGGATCACAGGTGCTGCTGGCGATACGGTGGTGAGGTATCGGTGGAGCATCTGTATGATCTCGGAGAAGTTCGGCCTGGCATTTGCATCCTCTTGCCAACATGAGGTTACTATTAAGGCCAGCTCCTCGGGGAGGTCTTCGGCACTGGGTCTAACGTTCTGAAATGCGTTACCAAGTCAAGCAAATTCCAGTAGATTTCGACTAACCATACAGCAATTTTCGGTAGTGAGAGGATTCGGGTTGAAACTAGTATGCTCACCTTGAAAGCAGCAGCATAAGCTGCCTGTAGATTGGACATGCCTTCGAAAGGTAATTTGTTATGGACAAGCTCCCACAATACGATTGCAAAACTATAAGCATCCACCTTGTGATTATAGTGCTTTTTCTCACCATGCCTTAATGTTACCGTGCTGTAAAGCTGCCAGGGAGATCATTGAAATTAAATTCTTGGTGTGTTGCTTAAAACAAGACTTACATCACTGACAAGATATGGTATTAGACTATTAGTTCTACCTCAGGGGCCATCCATCTATATGTTCCTGTTTCGGCAGTCATCATCTCGGTTAATGACTCTTCTCTTGCTAAACCAAAATCTGCAAGTTTTACTGTTCTGTGGTCTGCTGTCAACAGCAAGTTGTCTACAGAAAGAAGTGTGGGATCAGAACTAACAAGTATGAAAAAGCAGCAACGTACTAAGACTTCAAATTCAAAGCCAGGGAATTCCTTCTTGGGCAGAACTAGTAGACTAAACCAGCAATACCTAGCCCATATCTTGTACGCTGTGGGCATTTCCAATAGTAACTCACAAAATTATTCAGTAGAGAAGATCTAAAAGGGCCAGGCAGAGCTATAACAACCAGCTGAGAGAGGCATATTTAAGTTATTTCACTCGAGGACCATTTGTGCACAAGCAGAACAGCTGATAGTTTACAAACTACAGAGATTCAAGGACAGGAGAAAACCACTATAACCAGCAAATGATTTTAACATACCGGGTTTAAGATCACGGTGAATGATCCCATGGGAGTGTAAGCACTCCATCGCACGAGCAATATCGAGAGCGAAACCAATTGCAACATGCTTCTCCAAGCACCTCGGCCGCATGTTCAGCAAGTACTTTCGTAGCGTCCCACCTAGCAGAAGCTCAGTTACTATCACCATGACTGGTTCTTTGCAAGCACCAAGGAACTGATTCACCCAAAAAATGGCCCAATCAGAACATAAAACCAAATGAGGAGACATGACAGAAACAAAATATTGCAGAGGGACAAAAGCAAAACAAACCTTGACCAGGTTCTTGTGCTGCACTTTGGATAACATTGCAATCTCCCTGGCAAACCGTGCTTCTCTCTTGGCAATCTCCTCTGGTGTTTCCCCTCTATGAACTACTTTAATTGCCACAGTTTGATTCTTATACCTACCAAAACATTTGATGCAAGAAAGAGGACAGCAAATGAGCTTTGACCAGAAAACAACAGAAAGGCCAACAATTCGACCAAGTGATCCTCTAGATTTGCATAGATTTGTCTAAACAAAATTCCCAACTAAGAAATTATGGGTCTATCCAGAAATAGCAAAGAAGCTTCAGAATCAAATAATTGTCTGGAAGGGTGCAAGGAAGGAGGAGAAGGTTGACTTACTTTCCCTCATAAACTTTGGCATGAGCACCTTCACCAATCTTTGGTCCAACAAAGAGCAGCTTAGGATCAATCAACAGCCTATCTTCCAAATTGAACTCCCCTTTATAATTCATCAAGTTAGTAGATCCCATAGCTTTAACAAACCTCCTCCACTCTATATACCAAGTCAATGGAAACCACCACCATCTATCAAAACTCACAGAGACCCTTCACATCTACCAGTCCTCTGAGCTAAACCCAACTCCCCAAAACCTCAGATTTTGCCTCACACTCCACTCCAAACAATTCAGACTTCCCAGATCCAGAAAAAGGTCTAGACTTCAGACATTTGGGGCCTTATGCAAGAAGTAGAGCTTCGCATGGTAGTGTGACTGACACCAAGAAAACCAGAAGAAAGAAGAATTGGGAAAAAGGAAACGACTTTGGGGAATTTGATGAAACAGGATTAGAATTACCAGCAAGCAGAGTTGGGGAAGATTAGGAAAGAAAAAGGTATGGTGGGTGGAGAACCTTGATGAGGTTGGATTGATTGAAGAGAGATGAACAACAACACCCAGGTGAGGAATTCTAGAGAAAATTGTATGTGTGTCAGAACAGAACTGAAAACTTTCTTCTTCTTCTTCTTAGCTATTTCTCTCTTTTGGTTCTTCTATCTTTGGTGGGGTGTGGGTGGCGAAGGGAGAAGAAGAATGCTGTGATGTTTCGTTCTTTCTTTCCTCTTTTTCTGTTTGATCTGGTTGCTGCAGATAAAGCCGCGGCTAGGCAGGATTTGAGTCTTTGTCAGACAACAGTTTGTGGGTTTTTTAATAATTTAACTTTTTATTAAGTCTCCTTTTTTGTTCTTTAATTTGCTTTCCTTTTCTATAGGAATCTGTTTTCCAATTTTCAGACAAGCAAGTAAATAATAAGCTTTATTATTAAGATACTTATTGTAAAAGATTTTTTTTAAATGGACTAAATATCTTTCGGTTTGATTTAAGGTGAGATCCAATAATTAAATCAATTAGATTTAGTTATTTCAATATGTAAATGATGTATATTATCTAAGGTTCCAATATGTTAGAGAAAAGGAATATTACATTCATTTTAAATTCGAGTTGCAATTTCTATTCTCTCATGATCCTTATCGTTTTTCTTTACATTTCTATATTTAGAAGGAGACAAAAAATAAAAGAAAGACAAAGTGATGCACATTGCTATGCAGTGACTAGGAAAAATAAATAAAGAGAGTCGATTATCTCAACTTTCTCCCTCCCTCCCTTCTACATATATGAGTTTCCTTGAATATGAAAGGAAATGACAATGAGAAAACTGCACGTTGTATATGGTGCTTACTCATGTTATAACTTATAAGCTTAATTGTACAAAATATATTAAACTTTGGTATGAACATCAAGTTCAATACAAACTCAATTGGTAGTAGGGATGCCACAATCAAACTCATATCCGCCCATCAAGAGAATTTTTTCACGTATAAAAATATATGTGGAATCATATTGTAACCTATCAATGATAATGCAATTGAATGGCCATCCTAATCAAAATCTAATTCATTTCCCTCAATTCTCCCTTCATCCTTTGACTTTCCACTTTGTCAACAAGATTATATTAGTGAATTATCACTTAGTAGATGTATCAATAGTTGGAGCATAATAATTTGGACAATATTGTACTTTATATTATGTATTAATGAATGTTTTTGGATCATATTCATTGAACCGTATTAAGAATATGATCGTGTTTTGTTGATTTCATGATATAGTAGGTTCGTTTAGTGTTATAATTAAAAAAAATTGTGTAAATTTTTAGGTATAATAATGTTGGATGTATGAGGCGGATATTACCCATGGGTACCCGAAACCCGCGGGTATGTGTATGGGTTTGCAACACATTCCCCCGCATGGGTATGTGGCGGGTATGTGTGTTTGAGTATTTGAAAATGGGGATGGAAATTGGTTTAGGTAAACCCGCCCCATTGCCATCCCTAATTGGTAGTGGAATATTGGTATAAGAGTAATTTTTTAACTCTTTCAACAAATGGAGTAGTTTAGCTTCTTCTCGATTGACTCAACATGCAATTATAATTATAATTTTAGTTGAAGTATCTACTCTACATCAATTATTTGGATAATCCTATATAATAAGATTCTTTCTATAACCAACAAATTATTTATTTAAGAAATATGACAAAAATATATTAAATATTCATAAGACTAAGCTTTAGCTAACCATGAGGTTAAAGATTCAAAGGTTCTTGGTGCACAAACGCCTGACCTTCTTCATGTCAAACAAGGTAACTAAGCCAGCGTTATATGCTTTAACTTTCTTGGCCAAAACACCAAATAAGTCCCATTACCATTAGACCATCACAAAATGATGCTTAATCTGATTTTGCTTCAGCACATAAGCAAAGGGTTATCATCGGTTTAACATACATAACTCTCGAGAGAATGATAAATAGGTTTGGTTCAATAACAAAATGTGAAATCTTATGCACTATTAGATAAGATAGAATGATCAAAGATGAAATTGTATTCTTAGACAAGTGGTGAAATGGAAAATTACATTGACGAGTGCTCATGAATCTGAACAATCTCACCCCTCAGCTATAGAATTTCGATCCCAACCATTTTTAAAGGGTAATTTTCATTCGGTTTCACAACATTCTTCTTCAGAACCAATTAGCTCCAATAATTCGAATTGTTGAAAGAACATGGAGAATGAATTTTCTAGCTTGTATTTATTTCTCAGATCATGTAGGAGAAGAAAGGCTATGAGAGAAAGAAGAGCAAAGGGCCAACAACGACAATGGTTTACATTCTCGTTGTGTATTTCGGGAGGGAAAAAAAAGAAAAGAATGTTTACATTTTGATCTTAATACCATCCTAGAAGTTGAATTAATCTCATCAATAACCCTATTTTGTAAAAGAAAACAAAAATTAATTTCTTGTATGATTTTCTATCAAAAATTTATCATCAAACTAATCATCATCCACACAACAACAAAAAATGACACATCATATAGTGACAAACGAGATAAGTGTCTTCATAAATTATTTTTCAGCGACAAATATATAAACTGCCGCAATTATGTGCCGCTATATAACATTTTTCTTGTAGTATATTGAGCTCCCCGCAACGGCGGCACCTCTCCCCTCCGCATCGACGCCTCTCCCAGTCTCCCCTCTGCATTGTCGTCGCTTCCCGCCTCTCCCCTCCGTCGCATACCAACCTCGATTAGCTCGGAGCTCCACATCCCGTCGAAGAGCTTCCACAACCCCCTTCTTTTTTCCCCGTACCTTGCTTCCAGGCAGGTATTCCATTTTGTTCTTTGATTACTTCTTGTTGCATACTGCCTGTTTGATAATGAATTAATGATAATAATAATAATCCATCTTCCTGTATACACGTATACATATTTAGATTCTTGTCAAGATTGCTTCTGCTTTGGTTAAGCTGGTAAAAGAAAATTGGGTCAAAATGTGATTCCTAACCCAAAAAAAAAAAAAAAAATTGCGCCAAATCAGTTGGATTTAGAAGTTATGCCCTAAAGTAGCATTCCAGTCCCCGATTGTGAAAACCCTATACGAACCACGCCGAGCAAAATCCGGACGATCTCGCCCACCTACAGAGCCGCCTCCTCCACCTCTTCGGTCGGACGTCACCGTCTCTCCCTCCACAAATTCCCAACCATCCATAATTGATATTTTGATTTAAGCTCCTTCTTCATTCGTCTCAGCTCGTTGCTTTACACAGCTAGCAACTAGCAAAGATGAAATTAGATGTGGAAGTCTTGAGATACCTCTCCAAGGATGATTTCATAGTTCTTACTGTCGTCGAGATGGGCATACTGAACGGGGCCCGGATAGTATAACAACACTTAAAGTATTGTTATACTAACAACATGATTCATTAAGGGTATAAGGGTAAACTTACCTAAACCATTAAAATTTAGAATCCCCTTCTCTTCCTCGCCGGCTTCCATTTCTTACCCATTTCACTCTCCTGATCTCCTCCATTCTCCGACCTTTTGCAAGCAAATATGCTTCCTCCCACCATGACTAAAGCCTAATCATTTCTCTCTCCATCCATCTCTTGTTCGAGCAGTCTTTCTCTTCCGTGCTGTTTACTCTCATCAATTATGGCGACGCCGAAACCCCAGAGTTCCCCCGAAGAAATCGAGGACATAATCCTCCGCAAAATCCTTCTAGTCACGCTCGCTACTCCTGCCCATGGCGCCGATCCCAGAATCATTTACTTGGAGATGACCGCTGCCGAGATTCTCAGCGAAGGTAAAGACTTGAGGCTTAATTGCGATGTGGTAGAAAGGGTGCTAATTGATCGCTTGTCCGGCGATTTCCCTGATGCCGAAGCTGCGTTTGCTTACCTACTCGGATGTTATCGCCGGGCTGTTGATGAACTGAAGAAGGTCGCCAACATGAAGGACAAAACCGTCAAATCTCAGGTGGAGGTGTCCATCAAGCAGGCTAAGAAGCTATTCGTTAATGAGTAACCATATTTGCGTAGCAGCCCAGGATGTTGGACTCGTTTGAGTCCTGGAGTGAAATTAGAAGTCTCGTAAGCGTTAGCGGAATTGTTAAAAGCTTATTTTTTTCGACAACGAGTGGGAAACTCTCTTCTATATTGATCAGGGTTGAGAATGGTTTGATCAGTTAAATCGTTATTTAGCTCAAACCTTGAGGACAAGGTTTATTAAAGGGTCGGGGAGGATTGTTACGTGATTTCCTTTTTTCCTACCATTATTATCACCATCACTATTAGAGTATGTATGTGTTTGTTGCAGAAAAAAACATACTGTAAACCTCCTAATGCAATAAAACAACCCACAAAAAATATACCGGAAACCTCCTAATGCAAACCACAAATTCGCTAAAACATATCAGAAACTCCACAAAGCAAACCATAAATATTTTGAAAAGCACACCAGAAACCCCCTAATGCAAACCACAAACACGGTAAAGCAAACCAAAAACGTCCTAATGCAGACCACAAATATATTAAAGCAAACCAGAAATCTCGCAAAGCAAACCACAAAAGTTTCGAAAGCACACCAGAAACTTCTTAATGCAAACCAGAAACCTCCTAATGCATACCACAAATCTCCTAAAACAAACCACAAACCTCACAAAGCAAACCACAACATTTGCGAAAGCACACAAGAAACCTCTTAATGCAAACCACAAACACAGTAAATCAAACCACAAAAAAAGCAAACCATAAACGTCCTAATGCAAACCACAAATATATTAAAACAAACCAGAAACCTCACAATGCAAACCACAAAGTTTTTGAAAGCAAACCAGAAACTTCTCAATGCAAACCACAAACACGATAAAGCAAACCACAAAAGGCATAAAAAATATGAGAAACCAAACCATAAATCGCACAATGCTAACCATAACATTCGGTGATCGTTGACCGTTGACCGGTCAACGAAGACCGTTGACCGAACTCCGATGACCGTCAGTGACCGGATTCCGGCACTGATAGGCATATTCCGGCCCCGATGACTAGATTCTGACGCCAGTAAGCATATTCCGACGTCGGTAAGCATATTCCGGCGACGATGAGCATATTCCGGCGACGGTGAGCATATTCCGACACCGGTAAGCATATTCCGGCGACAAAAACATATTCCGGCGACAAAAAGCATATTCCGGTGACCGACGACCACTTTCCGGCGACCAAATTTTTGGGCATAAAATAATAATTTTTTTATTTATTATTTAAACAGATTTTTCATAATGACAATTATACCCCTGCTTTGATTTTACACTAGGTCAACTCAATTAATAAAAAGTCATTACATCTCTACCTTCCTATTGGTGGAAGACTTGTGTTGTCACTATAACAACACAAGGGGTGTTGTCATAGTAACCTATCCCATGCGGAAGGTATGTATTGTATCATCATCTTCTATGTATCTGTTTAGTTTAGTTCAATTGATCGTGTAATTTGATTGGTATTTAAGTTTTTCCTCTGTATTTCACGTGGCAGCATGAGATTTTACCTGCATAATTGATTTCCCGGATAGCTTCTCTTAAGTAAGTTTTCTTCATGGTACTCTTGTTTGCCGTCCTTTCAATTTTTGAATTTAATTTAAGGGGTTGCATTCCGTTTTTGCTGTAAAATGATGATAATGTAGGCATGGGGGCACTTGTAAAGTATTGAAGAACTTGCTCAAGCATAAATTGGTGCACCATGACTCCTCAAAATGTGAGCTTTAGTCCTTATGGTTCTTCATTGGATGTTTATCTGGGTTCAACAATGGGTTCCGGCTTACCTATCTTGGGTACGATTTCCTCGCGATTAGAACCTTGGTCAATCGAGGAGTCATCGCATCTGTTGGCCGTCAAATTGGGGTTGGAAAAGAGTCTGGTAAGTTATGAAATGTTTGTTTCTGTGACTTTATGGTGGAAAGAAATGCTTTTTTTGTTCCATTTTAGTTTGATTTCAGTCGTACAATGAGAATATCTTGTTGAAATTTTGTTTGACCTTCGTCTGGCACAGATATCTTTGAAGTGACTATAGAGGATGGTACAGTTTTGGCTATGAAGCTGCACAGACTTGGTAGAACTTCTTTCAAGGCTATGAAATCGAAGCGTGATTACCTGAGACATCGAAGTAGTTTTAGTTGGCTCTATTTTCCTCGACTCGCAACACTCAAGGAGTTTGCTTTTATGAAGGTTAGGAGGTGTCATGGTGCAGACTTGGGTTGTTCTTTTGTTATATTGCTTCTGACAAGGTTTTATTGCTGGGACAGGCTCTGGAAGATCATTGTTTTCCTGTTCTGAAAGCTGTGGATTGTAATAGACACTATGTGATTATGTCCCTTGTTCAAGGCTACTCATTGTAAGTACTGCACTTGTTTATGCATTAGCTGCAACTCTAGAATCAAGAATAACGTTATATCCTTTAGGTTGTTTGCTGCCAGTGAGGAAATTGCAGAATCCAGAAGTTGTTTTTGAAATAGTTCTCGGTCTTATCGTTCGTCTGGCAGAACACGGGCTCATTCATTGTGACTTCAATGAATTTAATATTATGGTACGTTATACGGGTCTCAGACATGAGTAAACTTACATGTCTTACTTTCAACTTGCTGTCATTGAAACATGTTACTGTGTCATTTGTAGATTGATGATGATGAAAAGGAGACCATGATTGATTTTCCCCAGATGGTATCTATGTCTCATCGAAACGCACAAATGTGAGCTATTGCTTTCTCTCTTCTTTTTTATGATATCTTTTAGTTTTGTTCAGTGTTAAATGTTCAATTCGTTTCTCAAATGTTCTGCAGGTTCTTCGACCGTGGTGTTGAATGCATCTATAAGTTCTTTGCCAAGAAGTCAGTCTAAATTTTGATTCAAGCATATTCAGAAGCCAGCCCTCTCATCTCTTTAATATTTCAGTATGACCTTAATGTAGAGTTGTGACGGTTTTCCTATATCTTCTTGGATTCTTTTCCCCTTCTATCATTAGTTTAAAACATGCCCCTCTCTATAGAGTTGATTAATGTTTGAGCTGGTTGAAACATCATATACTAATTTGACATTCTATTCGTGAACTTTTCACCTTAGTCTGCTTGGCTCGTACCCTAGAAGTCGACTCATATGTGCTGTAGCTAGAGATTCTAACCGGATTTTCCATATGTAGGTACAACCTCTCTTTTCAGGATGATGTCGATGATAAGAATTCTGCAGAGTAAGACATTGACGAAGCTGGGAGACCTTCGTTTTCCTTGATTTCTAAGTCTTCTGGTTGTCTCGATAAGGAACTTGCTCCTAGTGGATTCACACGGAAGGATCAAGATAATATGGAGAAGGTATGAATTAGGTGTTTTTCCTAGTAAAACATTTACATCCTTGGTTCTTTATCTCCTATCCATACCAATCAATCTGTGGATTAACAAATTAGTTTCTTTCAAATATCAATGAAGTTATGCTTGGATTCTTTTGCTCATCATCTTGTTTAGTAGAGCTTTTATCTTTCCACCTGTAGCTATGTGTGTTTAAATGGTTTCATTCGTGAAAAAAGTGTTCCTTTTCTGTCTTCCTTTAAGCTCTTGGATTACCTATTAGTTCCTTTCCACAGTATGACACCAAAATTTACTCCCATGGTTTTTGTTGTTGATGTTGTGGTTTATGCATTTGGTGGAATTCATGTGTTTCACCTGCATTATTACATTCTCACTGAAATGTAAACGTTGCAGTTCATTGAAGGAGGTGCTGACAGTGAGGAAGATGAGGATGAAGAGCATGTTTCAGAGACGCATGAAACCAGCCACACAAGCTTAGATTCTTTGCAGACAGAAGAGCAGGTTCTGTTTCCTCAAATATTATATTCACTCTCTCTTCTCGTACAATTATTTTATATGGTGCTTATCGGAAAATATACCATTGAGGAAGAGCAAACGAATGAAGAGGAGGACAAAATTGTTGAGAATCAACTGAGTGAAAAAGCATAAGGTGGTAGCCTTGGAACACAAGATGATAATGATGAGGTATGAATTTAAGTGTCCTGTAGAATCGAGTTTCTTATTGTAGTGGTGAAAACTCCCGACTCTATGTCACAATTACTTTGTCAATGTCATATATGTAAGTTGTTTGATTATAGTTGATTAACCTTGAATTTTGGGTCTACCTGAAATGATCCTATTCTTTTTTGGGGGTGGAAGACGAAGACAAAGACGAAGAGAATGCAACGGAGGGTGATGCAGAGCTGACCAAGAGGCTGAACAAGCACAAGAAGCGAGCAATAGCAGCAGCCCGTGGGAGGCAGAGTCGAATCTCCTCTAGAAATCTATACAAAGACAAGGGCGGTAGATCCTCTCAGAGCTCCAAAGTTCAGAAGAACTTTAGTGGCTGGTGAAATCAGAGGCATATAATGATAAAAATCCATTAGGGATTTACATGCGTTGTGTGGTCAGTTCTTTTGCCGCCTTGTTGTCTCAAAGTTTTGATATTTAGGAGAGAGAGAGAGACCAGAGGAGGAGATGTACAAAAGCCTTAATGATATGTTTTTGATAAAGTAGCCTTAATGATATGTAATCAATTAAACAGATTATCGTTGGTGATCAAAAAATTTTATTTTAATAATGGTGCTTGGGTGATCGAATTATTTATAACAATGTGTAGGTGCAAGCATTGCTATGAGCGCGTTGTTGAAGATTTGATGGTCCTTGAACAGGAAATCTAACATATACCATTGTTTGGTCCTTGCTCCAATCAATGAACCGCCATGAGCTCCAATTTAAGTTCGACTGTCTAACTCAAGTCACACTAACATTAATATATGAGCTTTCAAAAATCTTCAATTGGGCTCCAAATGAGTTTTTTGAGTTTCCAAGCTATTGAAGTTTATGATAATTCAGAGAGACTTGTCTCCATAAAGCAACGGATGGTCTTCTCCATAAATCATACGATGAAAGTACACCAATACCTTCACCTTAACAATACCCTGGATCTCTCCAACAAAAAAAGCTCTACCATAATAATCTTAGTGAGAAAGTTTTGGCAATCTCCATGTCAATCACATTAATCCTTTGCTTTAAAATATTCCAAGCGATTCAGTTGGAAACTGTGATCCATTCTCCACCACGAGAATACAGGGGGTAACAAAGAACACAAGTTGTTTATTTACTACAAGTAATCATTGACACACACAATGGTACTCGTGAGCTTTTCCAAAAGTGAACCACCTACTAGATTATTCTGTTTCACAAACAGAATTAGGGTAGCCTAGCACCATCAATAGCACCACAACATAACATAACATAACATGCCACACATAAACCTGTGCAATGTGCTTCTCTTTCCCCTAGCAGGAAGCAGAGGATGACGATGGAGAGGAGGAGAAGGATGACTACCCATGTTGCGATATCTTTTTGATACGAGCCAAACAGTTGTCTTTTGGTCGCGGGTGAGGCAAGTACTGTAAGGGGCACTCTGGATTCACGAGTTCGAGCCTGCAACAATAATCCGAAATCTCTAATCACGAAATCCGAACAGTTAATGTCAAGATCGAGTCAAACACTTGATTAGGGAAGAGTTGCAAGTTTCACTACTGCTTACTCATAGCCAACGAGGAAATAGTGTAAGAAAGCAGCAATTTCGATCTTGGCAAGATCGTTTCCAGGGCACATATGGCTTCCTGCTCCAAATGGAAGGAAAGTACCCGCCTTTGGTGTCAGATTCTGCATTTTTGGAAATTTCGATTAGTGTGATTACTTGAATTCTATTTCTCTTGCATAACATCTCAGGTGACAAATGTGATTCATCATGTTACATGGATATGGACTTACATCCCATCTGGAAGGGTCAAATGCTCTTGGATTCAGGTATACCTCAGGGTCCAAATGAACACCCCTGAACCAAACTAGTACCCTCCAGCCCTTGGGAATCGTATAACCTGTCAAAAGATAAGATGTTACATTTTCCCCTTGCGTACATTGACAAAATGCAGCATTTTGGAGAATGATCAAAGATTAATTAATCTGTACCATCAATTGACTCACCACTCATATCCACGTCTGTTTTCGCTTCTCTGAATACAACGAGCGAGAATGTTATGAATCGGAGTGTCTCATCTATCACCTGCAGGACACATTAGTCAACATTAGAACTGTACATGACTAACTAGCAAGTTGTTAAAGGAACCGACTAGATTAGGACATCGGGAGCTAAAAATTGCAACCTTAGATAGGTAATCCATTTGGCGTATTTCCTTGAGAGTCAATACACCCTTTTGATGGGTTGGCCTTCGCTTTACAACTTCCTCTGACTCCTCCTGATTAAGCATGTAGCCTGTTGTATAAGCAAGAGTTGCAAAATCTGAATACCGAATGCAAACTAAATAGAGGGAAATATGTGCCTGCATACCCTGGCTTTGCGAAGGCAATCAGGGTGTTGATGTAGTAACACCATTGCCCACATGGTGACATGAGCAGAGGATTCATGGCCAGCATTCAAGTACATCAAGAGAACATCTATGATCTCTTCATCTCTAAGCTTCCGCCCATTCTCATCTTCCACGCCCATCAATTCATCCATCATGTCCATCTTCTTACTCTTTCCCAACTGCTGCTTCCCACTCCCATCCTCCTGTTTGATTCTGCTTCTGCGCTCATCTAGGACTAATTGTAGCACATCCACCACTTTCTTACGCGCCTAACATATGAAATTTATCATTGAGATTGATTCTGATTCTGATTCTCACTACAATCAAAGGGAAATTGTTTTACCTTGAGGGCTCTGTGGTAAGCAAAACCAGGGAGGTTGATAGCCATGGCTCTGACTCCATGGTTGACCGTGGTGTACTGTCTCTCCAGGGTTTCCATGACGTCCTCGCACTCGGAGCTGAGGAAGATGAACATTATGATCCGGAAAGTGAGCTTTCGGAGCTGGGTCAGCAGCTCCAAGGGCTCCCCGGCAGAAGACCATTCTTCCAGAGCGGCGACGACGTTCTCCCCGATGAAGGTCATGTATAGGGAGAGGGCTTCGTACCCGTTGACTGGGGCGGCGGTCAGACGTCGGAGCCGCTTGTGCTCTTCGCAGGAGATTCCGATGAAGGAGTTCTTGCCCATTAGCTCCACCGTGGAGGTGGGCCAGCCGGGCTTGAAGGCTTCGTCGTCCATTAGCACTCGCTTGCTTGCTTCCGGGGTTGTCACGAACACGCTGGGCCGTCCAAACATCAACGCCTTATAAAGCCCATGCCCTCCATATCTGTGGCCCAATGGATTTCAAAGAAAAGCAAAACAAAACAGTTTTTCAATCATATAAAAAGGTTTCTAAATGGAATTATTTTTGGGTAATGACTATTTATTAGTCAAAATTTTTTTGGATTATTTATTTATCGTAATAAATAGTCATTATCATTATCTTTTTGTCATAGATAAGTATATAATAAGAGTTAAAACATATCAAGCAATCAAATGATGAAAGGATATTAGTAACTATTAGATGGACAACCCTTTTGTACCTTCAGTTAGTAAAGAAACAAGAAAATAGAGAAAAAACAACATTCGCCAAACAATTTTTCTACAAAATTGCTCCACCCAAGCTGTGAGCACATCATTTTGTTTTATAGCTTCATTGTATCATTTGAAAAAAAAAAACTATCATAATATCCATTATTTGTATCTCTTACACTATTACATTATTCACAATCTAATGAAAACAACTAGCGTGGGCCCCGACCACTTGGCCGGAGAAAGGTGAGGTATGAAATTTGATAATGTAATGGGGTGTATAGCTTATTGTTGTATATTTTTTTTTTGGGAAACACGTGATAAAAATAGTGAATTTAAGTAGGAAAGAGACATGAATGATGCAACGAATCAAAAATCAGTCTTATGAACCAAAATCAAGTACCTGTTACCTTGTGAAACAATATTGGTTCTGGTAATATGATGAGGTGAAGTAAGTTTTATAGAAACCGAATTCTAGAAACTTGAATAAAAAATCGCCTATCCCGCCGATTTTCGGGAAATGAGCATCTCACAATCGTTGCTAGCTTTTACTCGGCCCGTTGTCCGATTAATTTGCTTTATAAAACTTTCATCTTGTCATCATTATGCTTTGTGGTTTTTTGCCAAGCCATGATAAAATCTAAAGAAATCAAGAATGAACAACACGATTTGGGATAGGAACCACCGTTCCTGTATCCCTAGAAAATGGTGGTAAACACGGACTAACCTGCCAAACTGGCTTGGAATGAGATTTTTATCGGGTATTAGGGAACCATGTGATTATTAATTAGAATTGATCAAAACGGGTCAAAACTTGAAATTCGGCCTGTTTGACCGAATCATGCATAACTCTAATTATTCTTTACTTTTAAACTTTCTATTTGAAAATAAAAATTAATAAAAGAAAAGAGATGACTGCAATTCGCCATTTGCACATGACTGATTCGGGAATAAAATTATAGAATTTCGAAAGGAAATTGAAAATGTTGAGGATCGTTTTAATGTTAAAATAACCAAATAGATCTTTCTGTTTAGTTTTTTACTAACAAATACCAAACGATTCCCTATAATATACACTATAATTTAATCATTACGATATCAAATAATTACATAATATATGTTTGAAATGATAAAAATTGGACTAATTAGGTTGGTCGAGGTTGAACCATTGAATAACTTTAAAATACATTATATTTTAGCCACTAAGATATAAAATAATAGCATAATATATATTATGTTAGAGAAAATAGCTTGTTTTAGAATGACAAACCCATGATGTTCATTTGTTTTACTTGATGGGCAAATACCGTGTAGGTCAGACTCATTCAACTCTTTTATTTATGATTAGCGGTTAGCTCATTAGAATCCATCCACTAGTTTATTTTTAAATTTTTAAATTTTTAGCAATAAAAAAGAGTATTGTTTTTGCCTTTTCATATATATTTTACGACCACGGAGAAATAAAAGGACTTAAAGAAAAAATTGACACTTCTGGACCCGTTTAAATCCACATGTGTACGGTAAGTTGGCCCGTTCCACAGAGGAAAAAGAAAAAATTGACACTCTCTATTCTACCCTTCCTACAAACGCTTCTAAAGTAAAGAATTTGAAATGGGAGAAGAGTTTTTCCTCTCTGCGATTATAGGTTTTAATTTAAGTTATAACAAATGTACTTAGTGTGATTGGTTATGATCTTTGCTTTTCTTTAAAGTGGTCATGATTCAAATCCTACTAAGTGTCTTTTTAATGAATTAAAAAAAACTAATTGTGAAGACCAAAATGTCCTTCCTACTTTCACTCTGGATGAAGGAAATTTGAAATGAGGCTTCAAGTTTTCTCATTTGGCTTTAATTTATTGTGTAGATAGATAGATTTAAGTACACAAACAATGAAGACGTAGCTCAAATGGTATAACGTCCGCTTTGCATGCGGGAGGTACAGGGTTTGATCCCTTGCAATCTCCACTTGAACCTTTGAATTAACTTATTGGTAATATAAAACTTTCAATTCAAATTTTGAAATAAAACTCAACCTCTTAATAGTTTTTATGAGTTTCAAAATCTTCAATATTGAGCGGATCGAAAGATGCTCCCTTTCAAACTTAACATGATCTTTTAAAACAGAAAAAAAAATTTTGGTTGAAAAACAGAAAGTATATTAACAAACAACTAAGGGCCGGGGCCCTTTATTTGTAATTCGAATATTGTGACACTGACTTCCAAGCTAGGTTACGAATGATTGAGAATGCTAGCGTGCAACAAGGATAATTAGTTAATTCCAGAGGCTGTAGGAATCTTTTTAGTTTAAGGATTACTAATGTACATGAAATAGGGATGATAAAATTAATTACTTATCGTCAAGCCTAATGTAATTAATTAGGACACTGTTGTACTTAAAAAAAACTGCTTCTAGTTTGAGCTTTTTAAAAAGGAAACAGTTATGACTGATAAATTATTGAAATCAACTTTTGAACGAAAAAAAGTATTTGAAAAGCCATACTAAATAGAGGCATGATGATTTCATATGAGAATATCCTCCAATAATATATAGTAGAGTTTTGTCTATTTTTCTCCATTTCAAATTTCCAGTAATGAGAGTGAAAGTAGGAAGGACAATTTGGTCTTTACAATTAATTATTTATTTCAAATAAAAAATGCTAATATCAGGATTTGAACCCGAGTCTTTTCAAATGAAAACAACAATACTACCAATTGTACTAAACAAATTTGTTGTATCTTTTTGAATACAAAACATACACGAAGTTAAACTCTCAGAATATGAGGATTTTTCCATTATGATTAGCAAGCACACTAAGTCTACCATTAGTAGTTTTCAATTTAAATATAAATTTTGTGCTTTTTTATATCTTTGTTCTTATCTCTGTTTAACTTCCTCCGAAATTACCTACATCGTGCAATAGTTTGCGCCCCTTTTCACTTTCCAGTACAAGACCGTCTTTAAAAATCAATCTTCCTGTACGTCTTGGCACTACGATTTTATTGTTGGAGATTTAAGCTAGGTAAGTAGAAGATGTCAACTCCGACATCAATCCGAATAGAATCGATTTCAATAAATGGAGTTGCAGAAGAAGGATTAGAAATTGAATTTTTGATTGAAACATATGCCTCTTGAAATTGACGATAGAGTGGATAAAAATTTGGTTGTACGACAAAGAGTGGTGGCTATTGGATCTTTAAGTCTATGGTTTTTGCAGCGATCACAACCTATATATTTCTATCTTAAAACAAGGAATAATTGATTGATTGATTTACTAAAGCAACTCGATTCAACCTACTGGAACTGATATATAAGGAGTGTCTAATTTTGTGCCTTATTACTTTGATCGAGTCTGTTAGTATATTGGAGGTAACCCTATTTTTTTGCTTGCTCTCAAGTTTTGATATTCCCCTCTTAGCTGATTTGTTAGTATATAGTTCACTTGAATAAACAACTATCTATTTCTTTTTGATTAGTGACATAGTTTTCCTAAAATGAGAGCATTTTTTAATCAATATACGATTATCTTTTGCTAAAAAAACATTTTATGTAGGATTGTGACTTGTGAGATTGATTTCTATGGGTCGTGTGAGCTTTTATACTCTATCTTTCTTGACAATCAACTAACCAATAGAATTTGAACGAGGCTTTATTATCACTATGAAAATGAAATCAATGATACATTTTCATATTTCATATTCTTAAATGATTGCAATGTTTCTTCGAATGTTCGACCTATATATTCTTTCTTTATGTATGTATCATTATGATCGAAGGATCGTCAATACAATTAAACAGGTAAATAAACTTAAACGTAATATAAAAATATAAATAATCTAATATAAACATTCCGGCCAACGGGCCGAGTTATAAGCCAGTTAAAAGAATGTAGCACTCACAAGTCACAACAAGAGAAGCGAGCACTTCCTCATTCGCATTATGGTGTTTCTTTCTTCTCCTTTTTTAGGATGCAAAACTTTGTCGCCTACCCACCAGCACCCTTACCATATTATTCTTTTACCCACAAAGCCAACCCATTCCCCCAGTTTGTGTTTCGTCGAGTCACTCACCACTTAACTTTTGGATTATACAAAACAAATTATCAAGTTAAGCACCTAAAAGGATTGTGCAGCTTCCCGATGAGCTATGTGACGCGATTCAAATTTCGAAACTTGATATGGGCGTTTAACGGAGGTGAATGCAATTCGATTTCGGTTGCATAAGATCTATTATTTTTATGGAAAAAGTTAAAACCAAATTATAATAGGCAAGCCAATTTGCTCAAGCACATAAGGTAATCAAATCATCATTAAATTGTTGTGAAGGAGACGAATCATGAAGAAATGGAGGAAGATGTAGAGAACCTGTTGGTGAAAGTGCGGAGGAAGGAATCAGGATCGTGAGACTTGAAAGCCGAAAGGAAAGACCACATGTTGCCGATGAGTGGCCATCCGTAATCCCCCGGAGGCAGCCGCCGTCGCGTTTCTTCCGGCAGGCCCGACTCTTGCCACCAAACGTTCCCTCTCTTCGCCGCCCATCTCAGGCTCCCGATCACTACGACCGCCACCGCTATCCCCACCGGCGCCCAATAATAATTCCACCACCCCTCCATTAGTCCCTTCCGCCACTCCTCGCTCGCAAAAGGCATTTCGGTTCACTTCATATATAGCTTCTGCGCACAGCCAGAGGCGCACGCTGATGTTATATGCACAGATAGACCTCCTGCCACAAAATGAATAAATTACAAGTTAAGTAATTTTATTAAAAAAAAAAAGAACTGAACTATTGAAAATAATGATTCTTCCATCATTAGTCACTCAAAAAAAGAAGAAGATTTAAATGTTTGATTTTAAATTAAGAAATTCCATCATCTATATTAATGTCTCGACACTTTCCATAATTTGGCGTTTATTGTGTAACTTAACTATACTATTTTTTTTTGTTAAGCTAGTTGCTCGCATTAATCATAAATTAAACACCACTCACATGCTCTTGATATAATAAAGAAGAGATTTCGAGTAAGATAACTACGAGTGAGATAAAGAAAAAAACCACGACTCAAATCAACTGGTCAAGCACAAATTAATAACTACAATTTGATTTTTTGAAAAAAAAAACTACAATTTGATTGACTTACAATTTAGAAATTTGATTGTTAATTAAAAATACATTCAAGTTTTTTTTTAAATACCGAGGTTTATATGATTTTAAGTTTGATGAAATGTTAAGGATAATTAATATGTTGTTCGACTAATTTTCTAAAAAATAAGAATTGAAAAAGGTTGTTCCGTTCTTTTTTATATCGATTTGATCATATGCCTTTGATTTGGAATTCTAAATTGAACATTTGAATATTGATGTGATATGAGGGTGTTTTAATTTTCACTATATGTTCAATTCAAGTACAAACTATTATTTTGGTGTAATATTATATGTTAATGCCCATATGTTAGATGAAATTCAATATAATTTATAATTGTAAGAACAATATAATATTTTTTTTCATATATCAGGGCTAAACAAATATTACCATTAACCAAGATTAGTGAAACCGTCCAAGAGACTGTACCGGAAAAGTCAGTTATAGGATATTTTATGATAAACCCGTAGTTCAATCATTAATATCGCTAAATACCATCTACCGGTTCAGTCTCAATACTGTTAATTTACGGTTGAGCCACATATATGGTTTCACAAACCATGCCATTAACCCTCAATCCACTTCCTTAACCGGACCAACCAATTAAACCGAGTTGACAACTTGTATTAAAGTTAAGTTAGCACATGGTGGGTCAATAGTTAAAGAGGCTGAAGATGTTTGCTACTTAGCTGGAGGTAGGGCTGCAAATGAGCCAAGCTACTCGCGAGCAACTCGAGGCTCGAATCGGGAAAAACTCGTTCGAAACTCGATTCGTTTATTGACGAGCCAAGCTTGAGCCTAGCTATGTTCAGCTCGTGAAGCTCGCGAGCTAGCTCGACTCGGTGGCTTGTTGAGCTTAACTCGTGAGTTGGCTCATTTAGAGCTCATGAGATGTCTCAACATTGTGGTTTGAGGGCCAACTTGATCACTGACATATGGACTAATCGATCTAATTTGGACTTTTATAATTCATAGGATTGTTAAATTATATATCTCGCATCATGTGAAGTTTAACATGTTGAATATGTAAGAAAATATGCCTTATTTTTAATTCTATAAAGAAATTATGTACAAAATTGTTTCGATACTATGAAATAATATGATTTGAACTAGTTAAAATTTATTAACTAAACAATATGACACCTAAAAATTATAATATAAGATTAATTAATGTTGAACATTTGATTATTTTTTTATCGCTACATCAATCACATGTATCATACACGACATACAAAATGAATGTATTAAATACGATCTAAGAATTTAGTAAACAAGCCTAGTTCGAACTCGACTCGGCTCGTTAATAAATGGCTCGGGCTCCAGCTCAGCTCATTTGTTAACGAGCCAAGCTCAACCTAGAGTAAAACTCGGCTCAGCTCGGCTCATTTGCAGCCCTAGCTGGAGGCCATGATATCTTATTACCTTCAGCCTTAGCCTCGCTTCCTTCGCCTTTTCACCAAAGCAGGGGGAGGTGGGAAGATTGTAATTTCCGGGAAATGGAGGGGCAAAAGGGTAAATAGAGCTATCTATATATGTAATCCCATCCCAATCCAGCTTCCTCCTTGGAAAGTCTTCTTCTTCGTTCTTCCTCTCCGTTTCGGTAGCTCTGAACCGAAACCATAGCCTCCTCCATCTAACCCTCCGACCGACCGACCGCCGCCGCCTCTCTTCATTCTTCTTCTTGTTCTCGTGATGTCCTCTTCTCCCCCACATCGTATTTTCTAAGGAAATGAAGTAACAACAAGAGAGAAGAACACCAATCTATTCTAGCTCCCCTGTCTCTCTCTTTCTACCGTCACTGGAAACGATGCTGACCGTGAAAGAAGAAAGGGCGCCGAGAGAGAGAGAGCCCTGGTATGTGGTCTCTGGGTAGGCCTCCTTCATTCGATTTTGGTTGTTTTCTTTTCTATTGATTCACTTTTTGCCTAGTGTATTCTGACTTATGATTTGGTTTTAATTTTTATCTTCCTTTGGGTGCGAGGGGGCCGATGGATCTGCAGAAAGGGAGGAAGCAGAGGAGAGCGGCGGCGCGGCACCCCGCCGATGAGTTGTTTTTACCCTTCTGGGTTCGTTTCTATTTTTTTGTGGTTCTAATTTTATTTTTTGAAGCAGGGTTCCATCCAGTAGGATCTGCACAGGTTGGTTATGAATCTCTGAGAAAAAGACGTTTCAGTTTTGGTTTTGCTTGTTTGTGGAAAGAGGGAATGTTATTGATGTGGAGAGGGGATGTCTGCGTCTGAAGATGAGAAATTGATTATGATTGAGAGATTAATTGAGAGAAAACTGACCTGGTCTGGTCTTTATAAATGATGATCCGTCCTTTTCAGCTGATGGCTTCTGCTGCTCCACCTCCACCTCCAGCCCCAGCCCAGGGAAGAAAAATGAAATCAAAGTCTCTGTGTTTTTCAGTGTGTTCTCTTTCTGATCTAAATTCTGCCCCCGGAATAAGAGCGAGCGAGCGAGCCAGCAGAGGAGCTGCTTTTTTTTTGTTTAAATAGGCAGCTGCTGCCGATCTTCTAATAGGCTGCTTGACGTCGGTAGTGATGTTGGTCAGTTGGTGTGGGCTGGCAGCAGAGCCGGTCTTGATCCCCAACTCTGCTTGCGTCGCGACATCATCTTTTATTCCGCCGTTCCGCGGTGATCAGGAGGTGGCTGACCTCTGCCTAAATTTTAAAATAGTTCCCAAGCGAGGTGGGATGATTTTGAGTATGTTTGATTGGCAAAAAGTTGCAGCCCAGCCCAGGCCGGTTTTCTTGCCATTGTCATTGTGAAACTGATAGTCAGTCAGTCAGTCAGTCAGGCAGTCAAGTCTCCATGTATGACGCTATGAAGTGGACTCTGGGCTTGAAGAAGTTGGGCCTATTTTTGGAGGAAAGCCCAAACTTCACACTGGTAGCAGAAGTCGGCCCACTTCATTCAAGAAAGTACACTTAAAGAGGCCTTTTAAGTAAACAATAATTATTCAAAACTCTATACAATTATTTTCTCACTCCTAATGTATCCTAATTATACTGTTATTAAACTATTATCCTAGTCCATTTCTCATATTACATTGTCAAGTCATATCAAATATAATATGAAAGATATTGAAATATAACCTCACTTTTTGTTACACGCGCTCAAATTTATCTTGATCCTGTTTCCTTGTGTACAGCTGTTCTCTTTTCTAATAAAGCTTCACCATTATCAAAATTTTTTTTTTTTTATGGTTTCATCATTGAACGGAAGAGATTGGATTATAGCCTCTTCTAAGCTAGACAAGCTTATCACTACAGAAAATATGATTTTCAGCAATTCAAAGTTTGACGAGAAGAATATTTTCTCTGCTAGATGCAGGATTTCGACGACGAATTTGAACTATCTGTAGTTGCTCTGTCAACTTTTCAAACTATACCCTTTTAATTGTAGTTTAAAATACAAGTAAAACTTTGCAATAAATTTAGAAAATAGATTAATTTGCATGTTATTTTTGTTCATCTGTTCAAGCTCCTGGCTCCTTTATTGAAAGGAAAGTGATCGGATTATAATCTCTCTTGAGCTACACGAGCTGAGATTTTTTTTATTCCGCCACTAAAAAAGAGAGATGTAGTTATAGCCTCTCCCGAACTAAACGAGCTCTCACAACTTTTCACCTTTAAACACTTGTTACACTTAAAAGTCCATTTCTAAGCATGATCACCACTACTCTTTGCTCCTTGCTCATCACCATCACCATGATCTTCTACGTCGTAGTCGTGGTTCTTCTTCTTCTTCTTCAAGCTCGCCTTGTACCCTCCATACAAGTGAGAAGCAAAACCCCACAGGCACAGAGCCAACGCCAACGCCTTCTCCGCATTAAACCCTTCTCGCAAGAAGATCACCGCAAACACCTGCTGAACCGGGACCAGAAGCGACGTGACCAGCCCCGTAAACAGCGACGAAGAACACAGCAACAAACCCAAACCTCCTATCACCATAACCTGCAACGCCATCACCGCTCCGAATACGACAACGTAGTACTTGGTCTCCCCGAGACCAAACTCGGCCGCTTCTTCCGACAAAGCCTCGAAGTCCCTGTTCACAACCATGGGGACGGTGCAGAAGATGGTGGCGAAAAGCGACACCACGAACTGGACGTGCATGGCCACGTCGAACGTGACGGCGACTCCGGACTTCCGTTGGGCGAACTCTAACGCCGTGATGGAGAAGCCGTGGAACGCGGCAGCCGCGATCGTCATGACGAACCCGAGGATGTACTTGGCCTTGGTCTCTCCCTTGGGGATGTCTCCGTCCATGTGGGCCCCGAGGATGACGGAGCCGAACGTCATGAGGACGACGGCGTTGATGGAGTAGTGGGTGAAGTTTTGCTTGACGATGAGGTAGGCGAAGAGGGCGGTGAATGCGAGCTGGGAGGAGCTGACTAAGGAGTTGACGGAGACGGGGAGGTAGGAGGCGCCGAAGGAGTAGAAGTAGTTGGTGGCGCCGAAGAGGATGCCGACGACGGCGCTGGAGCAGAAGAGCCACGTGGTGAGGACGAAAGGGTTATTGCGGTTGTGGCGGCGTGTGTTGTTGTTGGAGTAGTGGGAGATGGCGATGGGGAGGAGGAGGATGGGGAAGCCGGAGTTGACGCTCCATGCGGCCAGCCACTTTCGGGTGCCGCCGTGGAGGAAGTACATCCGGGAGAGGATGGGGCCGCCGACCTGGCCGACGGCGAGGAGGAGGCAGTTGAGGAGTATGAGAAATGTCTTGTTGTGGTTGTGATTGTGAGGGATTTTGTTGTTGTTGGTGGGTTGGAGTTGGAGTGGGTTTGGTTTGTGGGTGGTGGCTCTTGTTGGCTCCATCTGATCCATTGGGTAGAGAGTTACGTTGTAATTTGGATATAGACTACAATGGAGTTTGCTTTGTGGCCTAGGTATGTTCCATTTCAATATCGAGGGTGGGTAGAGGTATATATATATATACATATCTTTGTGCATCATATTGGTTTTGGACACTATGGAAATGACTCATTATTAGTTGGTCCTAATAATTATATATTTGTATATATATATTATTGTGTTTGAAAATAGTAGTGAACTATGTGCATCAATTAAGTATTAATTAGTATAAGGGTTAATAGGATTAAGATACATAAACGAGTTTTTGGTGACCGATTTTTATATATATCATCACATAATTAAATCATTCGGTCTCAACAATTCGAATTATTGTAGGAGGTTTAAAATAGAAATTTATATTCGTTTATTTACCGTATCATTCGAATTTTTGTATTTTTTATTATAGATTCTTGAATTAAAAAATCAGCAAGCGAATCAAAGTTATGTCCAAGCGCGCGACTTCTTTTTCGTTAGTGCTTGTTGGCTCGAATTTAATTGCATTAGAAACCCTATTAACTCGAGTTGTTAGGAGAGGTCCATACTTAACCACTTTCTTACAATATGTACGGTGCACTTATATCGACTAGAAACACTATAAATCTCTAATGGAAAGGACAATTTCAATATTTTCCATATACAATCTTTTGTATAGACCTTGAGGCGGACATGCACTAAGATGAAATAGTCCCACCAATATGCGCACAAAAGACATCATCGTCATCATAGATACTATGAAGCAGAGTAATATCGAGCTTAGTATATGTAGAATGGTGGAACCAACTATATATTTCTTTGCATGCTAATCCACATCAAGCAAAGTTTCATCTTTTAACGTGCTTTCTTATGCACAGACTTTCTAACTATATATTTGGCAAAGTTTGATTTGAACACGATGGTAAGGAAAAGAGATTGAGAATTGTTGTTGTTACGTCTGTCCAACTCCAACTCATATCCACACACACGCATAATTAAGGAAACCTTACTTTGACATAATTTTGGTAAGAGATCATAGTACGGAAAAGTAAAGAAGTATGATAGGAATGTTTTGATGTGGTATAGTATTCCTTAATTAACTAATTAGTGGGTGGTAGCTCTTGGAGTGGGATTGCTTTGTGGGTGGACTGGACTGGTGGCTCTTTATTGGCTCCATCTGATCCCTAATTGGAGTGGACTTCACTGGGCTTTAATTTTATTTCAGTACGTGAGTGGGTAGAGGTATATATAGCTCGGCCAATTGGCCGGAAATGGAGGTCTAGTTCCCCATAGCCATTTGCACACACCACCATCCATGGACATAATATGGGTTGCGCTTTGGGAATCAATTTAATTTAATGGTTTAGAAAAAGCGGACCTCGGTTTGGTCGTATGGACACGATCTCCGAAACAGTTTCATTTTTTGTTTTTTGAATATTGAATAGATTATTACGTTATTTGGTGCAGTGCGGTACGATTTGGTGTAAATTAGATTGGTTTTTTACCGAATCAAATGTCCATCTTTATTTGGTGTTGAATTGGATTGATACGAAAGAAGTAAAAAAAGTGTTAGCCTGAAACTAGGCAAAATTATTGTATTTGATTTGACTTCGTTCTATATACTATATGAAGAACTAATAATTAAGTGCTTCTTCTCATAGGAAAATAATAATAATTAGGTGGTCCTAATAACTGCATCTTGTGAAATGAATTCTACCGTATTTGAAAATTGTACTGAACTAGTGTATCTTTGTGCACCAATTAAGTATTAGTATATGAGTTATTAGAATTGAGACACATGAGCTTTTGGCCAACGACTTTGGTATCATCATGTAATTACTCTAGTCGGCCTTAATTATCCAATTATTGCAGGAACTTTAAGATAAAACATTATATAAATTCACTTACCGTGTCATATACTTTTTATATTTTATTTTATAGATGATTCAATTAAAAAATCAGTCAACAAACTCAAAATCATATCCAATTTTTGCTTCTTTTACGTGGGTGCTTGTTGACTCGATCTCAAGTAGACTAGAAAAATGTACAAGATCAAAGGAGATTATTAGTCTTATCAAGCTTATCATATAATTTTGTCAACTTTCAACCTGAATTAACCCATGAATTTGAACTTTGTGCAATCTCTTCAATACGTACATAATATGCACTTGCATCAACTACTAGCTAGTAATATCAGAACTCGTTTGGATTCAAACACATACCGAGTTTAGTATCTATAGAGTGTTAGTTATATATTTCTTGAATGCTAATTCATGAAGTAAAGATTCTTTTTTTTTTTTCGTGCTTACATATGCACACTTTCAAATTATCTGACAAAGTTGGATGGTAACAATCACAAGGAAAAGAGATCACAATTGACAAATGTCTTTTGCTTTGTTGTTGTAAAAAAGCTTTACTTTGATAAAGTTTTGGCCAAAAGTTTGTACTATGTAAAATTGAAGAAAACGATAATGAATTGTAGATGATCCCTTGTTTAATATTTGGTGACACGTGGCAAAATAGGATCGGAGTCCATCGACTTGGAGAGGTGACAAGTCATGCACAAAACCATTGATAGAAATTAATCAAATTATGATAAGGTTGAAGGAGACATGGAAAAAAGTTGAGAACCCTTGATAAGGTTGAAGGAGCTAGCATACATATCATACTATCGACCGAATTGTTAAAATAGTTCATTATCGTCATTAAGATCAGAATTATACAAAAATATTATATTTATATGATTGGAATACTAATTCGAGATAATATCGGTTGGATTTGGCGATATAGTAACTTTTGCTGTGATTATACATACCATATTACTTTTGAATTTTGAAGAGGTTTAACCAGTTCTCGATATAACATTATATCTTTTAACCAATGATCAGAAGTCTCATGTCCGAACTGTTGCTGATCACAAAGCATCCATATATGGTACTAAGGTACTTGTACAAACGTAACCACATGAGATTAGTTTATGTTTAAAAAATTGTATATATGGCTGAGGCTGGCATGACAATCACCCTTCTTGGCATACATATTCTTTTTGTTGTGGATCATATTCCTCTAAGCTCTAATAATTACAGCCACTGGCGGATCCCAGGCCTCGGCCCAGCCCTCCTCTGGATCCGTAGTTACTATAGTCCTTATGAAATTTTTGATTTTAGACATTCAATCCAGTGTTATTCTATGATAAGATTGGGTTTAACTAGAAAAATTATCAAGTTGAACATATTCAAATCACTATTTTTAATTTAGCCTAGAAATTTTAGCCCCAAAGATTATGCGTCTTAAAAAAACAATGAAATCTAAAATTCTAAAAAGTTAAAAACGTAAAAGACTAAAAGAAATATGAGGTTTGTTCCCTTACAAATTTACTAAAGCAGCTCGTGTGCAGGGATGGACACACAATGTAAATTGATTAGTCGATTGATTTATCTAGTGTTGATGCTGCTCGTTTCAACAGCTACTACGAATAGAACCTTTTTAACAATGAAACATGTGAGAACTGATTTGCCCAACAAAATGAGCGATGAATTTCTCGCCGATTGCTCAAGTATTTTATTTGAAACAGTGTATACTATTGATATGGATGTAGACTTCATTATTGATGCATTCCCTAAATTAAAATACAGTTGTGTACAATTTACATTGCAAAAAACTATAATCATTATATTTTTTTACGGTTCTAATTTTCTAATGAAATGCGGATCAGTGCTCTTCAGTGTTCTGGATCCGCCGCTGATTACAGCTCGTGTGTAGACTACTCAACAATATAATTAGCTACTCAACAAAACAAAAACCCTATTTATGGTTGGTATAAAATGCAGAACAAAAGCAAACAAAAACCCTTATATAGTTTTCTTTACCAAAAGAAAGAAGAACGAGTTGGTGCTCTCACTGTTCTATATATATATATGTGAGCAGGAAAGTAAAGCCATTACCGGAGACACTGATGATGATCACCACTATCGACCTCTCTGCAGCATTTTCCATTGGCATTATACATGGTTCACAACAGCAGCAACAAAAACAATAATGGCTGGTTAGCTAGCTGCTTTACTCGTGGAAATCATGCCCAGTTCGGCAGTTGGTATAACTGTAGTAGGTGCCGATTCGATTATGACTTATGAGTATGTGACGCACGGACAAGGATTAATCGACAATCCAAGAACAATAACGACAACAAGAAAAATAACACATAAATTTACGTGGCCAATATAATGTGTGTTGGTTAGTCAACGGGCGAGAGCGAGATTCAAGTCAGATCAACAAAGTATATAAAGCTTCCTTCTTTGATCTGTTTCAACAACTCATTTTATTGAGATGAATTAGCTTTCAATATATATAGTATCAGAACACTTGAACGAGAGATCACGTGTTCGAATGCCCATGACCCCTCTAACATTACCTAGCTAGTTAATTATTTGATCATACATATGCACATGGTACAAAGTAGATATATGGTATGTAGGTCCAAATTTCAAGTTGACGAATTCACTTTTATTCGAGGGATTATGTAAGTAAATGATACTAGTTAGTAGTTAGATCCTATTTGGATCTCGCCTAACACCTCGAACTATACATTAAAACTTACCGTTGATTCTTGACACAAAATAATAAGTACGCTCGCAACACGGGCCGTGTACCAAACTTCAGATTTATCATCTATACATGGCAAGGTGTCCTGATCCAGCTAGCTCATCAGCATCCACACATCAACACAAGCAACAACAAGTCAATGAGAACCAACCATATATATGACTGATGGATGATCCTGTGGCAAGCACCAACATATACCGAAATGGTGAACTAATATATTAGATGTGCTTGAAGTTGATCCAGTTGCAAGACAAGCACTAACACATATGACTAATGGACGATCCAGTGGCAAGCACCATCAATCGCATGCACGATAGTTGATTGGCCGAATCAATTGATATGGAAATCTACAGTGGCGGATCCAGGACTGGGCCAACCCAGGCCCCCGGCCCAGCCCTCCTCCGGTCTCCGGATTCAGAATTAGTTTAGTGGTTATAAAATTATGATTTAGGTATTTGGCACATTGCTATTTAAAATTCTGTCTAGTTTTATTTGATAATAGGATTTTGTGTAACTAGGAAAATGGTTCAGATGAACATATCCAAACCATTACTCTAAATTTATACGAAATTTTCTATAGCCCCAATGATTTTATTTGAAAAATGACATGAAAACCTAAAAGTGTAAAGTTTCATTAAAATAAAATAAAAAACTCTATACTAAGCACACCCTTCCTTGCAAAATTCAAAAAATTTCCCAATCCCCCCAAAACAAAACAAGAACGAGGAGACGAGCAGACCCAAAATGGATCTCTCTACCCGCCCGTCGAGCTGGTTTTCTTTCCATTCTTATGATTAAGAAAATATTTACAAACTCGCTGAGTCATCATTTAGATTGCCTCAATTGAGTGGGGCACTAGATTCTAACCGTTCTTTCTGGTGTTTTGATGAAGAAAATATTTACAAACTTGCTCAAGAGTTTAGCCTCGAGACTTTGAAGGCTATGAGATGCATTCTTTGGAGAATGCACTACTCATGTGAGGAAGATGAAGTTTCTTCTCTTGCACAATTATTAGAGAAGCTGGAGGAAATAGGGATGGACACATAATACAAATTGATTTGTCGGTTGATTTGTCTAGTGTTGACCTATGGGTACAAGTGATCATCCAAACGCACGAGCGCCGACCTCGAAGAGGCAAGGTCTCCTTCACGCAGCCCAAGCCCAAAATACCGTTTCAACAACTACCATGAAGAGAATATTTTCAGCAATGGAACATGAACATTGATTTGTGCAACAAAATGAGCGATGAATTTCTCGTTGATTACTTAGCTATTTTCTTTTAAAAAGAGTATATTATCAGTATGGATGGAGATTATATTATTGATGAATTTGCTAAATTAAAAGACCTTCTTGTACAATTGGCGTTGTAATGAAAACTATATTATTATATATTTTTGTTTATGATATCTAATATTCTATTCAAATACGGCCCAGTGCTCTCTTATGTCCTGGATCTGCGCTGGAAATCTAATGGAATAGTTTCATTTATGTTCAAATTATTTCGCCCTTAATTAAACATGATTATAAGGACATTATCACTTAGCTAAAGAGGTTTCAATGATTAGGGGAAATTAATGAAGCAAGCTTACGTCAACGACAATAGTTGGTCACTTATGCTTTATTTGAAGCAATAAAGTTAAGCACTTTAGACAGATGTTTTATAAAATATATATGACCATTTCTGATCACCTTTATCTCTCACTAATACTTATGTTGTTTTTATCAAATGATACGTTGGACTAAAGGCAAACAAGAAATTAAAGACAATGCACTTATGTCCCTACCGGCAAAAGAAACCCATCAAATTAGGACACTTCTTCTTTGTCAAAAAAAAAAAAAAAACAAAAAAAAAACAAAAAAACAAACAAAATAGGACACTTCTTCGCTTCCTTTGCATAAAGCCATAAACTAAACGCACTTCCTAAAATCCATACGCACTAACAAGGGAACGACAACTATACCAACTATAAAGGGGAAGAGCTAGGAAAACAAATAGTGAGCCAAAAGAACAGGTTTGGAGCAGCGAAGATCATGGCGATATAGTTGTTGCTGCTTTGAAATAATTATGGCAATGGTTTAGCGAAATTAAATATGACAAAAATCAAAATTCAACATAGTTGTTGGTGTTTTTACTTCTTAGTACTGCGCTGAATCATATCACCTAACTACCTATGTCCTCAGAAAGTTGAAGTCCAACTTAAAATCTTTTCCTCCTCTACCACTATTTCATAATACTTTAACATCTTTTCAATTATCTCCAACTCTTGAGATAAATTGTACAACAAAGGAAAGATCAAGAAGTGATTGATGGAGGCTGACGTGTTGTTGAACTCTTTACAATTTGTTTTTAGTTAAATCATACTTACGAGATCCGAATCAATGACCTCCAATTTGAAAATAAGTGATATTACTACTCGATCATATTCTTTTTCGCAAGCTCAACTCCCCCATTTAAAGAGGTCCCTTTTGTCTTATAGTATATGCAAATAGCCCATCATCCATCTCTCAATTCCTCAAGATCTGACTTTCTATATTATCATTCATTCATGGCACTTCAATTCCCTGATTACCGGCCCATCCCACCCCATCCCATGCCATGCCAACCTAGTTCATGTGATACATCCCCCATAGCGAGTTCGATGGGATTCGCTTGCTGTACCTCCTAGTCCTAGCCAGCTCTCTCCTATTTATAACAAAGAGAAACCCAAGTTGTAAAACATAAAACTCGAGCCAGTTTTTGTTCTACGTACTTCCGCAAGAAAATATGCCACTTCTACTCTTGCTAATAACGTCCTTCCTCTCACTACTTCTTCTTTACACCATCATCACGATCAGGAAGAAGTCCTCATCGTCGTCGCTCCCAAACTGGCCCTTCTTGGGAATGCTTCCATCCCTCCTGTGGAACCTCTCCAACCTCCACGATTTCGCCACCCGAACCCTGAAAGCCCATGGTGGAACCTTCGCCTTCAAAGGACCTTCCTTCACCAACCTCGACTTCATCGTCACAAGCGACCCCGCCAACGTCCACCACATCGTCACCAAGAACTTCTCCAACTACCCCAAGGGACCCGAGCTCAAGGCCATCATGGATCCATTCGGAGACGTCATATTCAACACCGACGGCGATTCCTGGAAGATGAAGAAGGATATCATCCTCTCCCTCATCAAAACCGCCGGATTCGAGCGGCTTCTCATGACAACCCTCCGTCACAAGCTGGCCGACAGCCTCATCCCGGTACTCGACCACGCCGCGAGAAATCATGATGTTGTTCTTGACTTGCAAGATGTGATGAAGCGGTTCACGTTCGACCTCACTTGTTTGCTCCTCCTGGGGATCGACACGGAGTGCCTGTCGACGAGTTTTGCTCGTGTTCCATGTGCGGAGGCGTTTGATGTGATAGAAGAGGCCATCGTTTACCGCCATTGTGTCCCGCCGTGGGTTTGGAAGTTGCAAAGATGGTTTCACGTCGGGTGGGAAGGGAGGACGATCGAAGCTGAGGAATGTCTCAACGGGTTTCTGGAGGAAAGGATCAGAGTGAAGATGGAGGAGAAACGGGCCAAGGAGAGTAGTGGTAATGATGATGGTGATGATAATTATGACTTGTTGATGAAGCTTATAGTTGAGGCAGAGCGATTGATGGGGAGTGGTTGTTGTTTTAGCCGTAAGGGAGAGAAGTTTGTGAGGGAGACTGTGGTTAGCTTGATGGTGGCCGGGAGAGACACCATTGCTGTCGCTCTGAGTTGGTTCTTTTGGCTCGTGGCGACCAACCCAGGCGTGGAGGAGAAGATCCTCGAAGAATTGGACCGACTCGTCATTACTCAAACAGGTAAAAAAACGGTTCAAAATACATTTTCTTTTCAAGAGACTTATTATGACGAAATCTAACTTGTTTTTGCGACGGAGTTTCGTACGAAAATTTTGTACGTAGTGTGAACAAACTGGACAAACGGTTCGACGCGACTCTTGATGATAATTTAGTTATCTTATTACGTACAACTGGTGAATCAGGTGAAGAACAAGGGATCTTTTCAAGCATAGAAGAGTTGAACAAAATGGTGTACCTCCATGGGGCCATAAGCGAGACTCTGAGGTTATACCCTTCGGTGCCGAACGAGCCGAAGCAATCCATGGAAGCCGACGTGCTTCCCAGCGGCCATGCTGTCGGCAAGAACACTAGGATTTTGATATCCATTTACTCGATGGGTAGGATGGAAGAGGTATGGGGTAAGGATGGGATGGAGTTCAAACCCGAGAGGTGGATTTCAGAAATGAGAGAAGGGAACAACATCATCAATGATGATGATGCTGACAAGAAGAAGATCTGTACCATTCACGTGCCATCCTACAAGTTTGCAGCGTTTATGGCGGGGCCAAGGTCGTGCCCAGGGAGAAAAATAGCATTCATGCAGTTGAAATACATAGCAAGCTGTGTTCTACGCAAGTATAAGATTGTTGTGGTGGACGATCATCCCGTCCTTCCGCTGCCTTCTATCATGATGTTCATGAAATATGGTCTCAAGGTTAGGGTTTCGAGCAGGAAACCAGAGAATAAGTAGTGCTGGCCCTTCTTCCTGTATAGATGAAACCATAAAAGACACCATAAGTTAATGTGGCGAGTAGTCACTAATATATGTGTACGTAACTCAATGTAACTTTTATTTTTTGATGAATATATGCACCTTACTTTGTTCATATATAGCCGTACATATGCCATGCATGCATGTACGTGTAAGAATAAGTGTTGAGGGCATACAAAATGCGCTTTGGTTACACTAATGAATTTCTATATGCCTTATGCTCGAAGTACAAATTTTAAATTGTAAATATAAACAACAAACCAATAGATATCGAGAAAGCATTCATGTCATCCTAAACTATCATACAATATCTTTTCACAACTTTTTAGTTACACAACTCTTGAGATAAATTGTAAATCATAGCAATCATACTTATGATATGATTGCTAAAAACTGATGTGTATGAGCGTTTGCTAAACAACATGTGATAGTGATATATTTTAGAATGTGGGACATGTTGGGCTGGAATGGGTAGAATAAGGTGGGGGAATATATAGCCGGTAGGATATTGCCAAATGGGCTTTGATGGTGGCTGGACTCAGTAAATAGGGGCTCGAACTGGGCAGGATGGAGTATAGCGATGGGAATGGACAACTCAATATCCATACTCGTTTAGCATTGAGTGCGAGTCGTCCCAATGTTTGCTTAACAGTATTGTTTTTTTATTTGATAACCCGGAACATCAGCAACCTATATGCCACATGAGTGACAGCGGGACCTACTAAATCTGGGGTACCTGCATGCTAACCATCAAGGACTTTGTCCCGGCGCAGTGCTACCGTTATCGGGGAGACTTCGTCTCCTGTACCAAGGGTGCCTCCGGGAACACCAAGAAGGTGGTACTGGGATTCGAACCTGGGACCTTGTCACATCCCAAACTCGAAACCCAGCCCTTTTACCAACTAGGCTGTCTTACCATGTGCTTAACAATATTGTATCAGCATGTCGATCGAAAATTTTCAATAAAAACTTATGTCAATATATAATTTTACCAATTTAAAATATCTGCTGATTTATTCGGTACCATGTTTGTTATTGACTTACAGTTTTACAATTCTTAATAAATGCGTTGTGTATTCATTTTTGTTTTCAAAATAAAACACAATGGACAGTAGTTTGAACGGTCTTAGTACTCCAATACTCTCAAAGTCAAGCCCGTCAGTGAACTCGGAGGCCCAGAACTGTGAGTCTGTGACAGTCCGGGCCTATCACAGGTAACACCAGGTCCAAGAGTACGGAAACAAAGCTCATTTCGAGACTCGGCAGAAGATACCAGCATGTGAATTTCATGCATGCATGGGGAAAGAGGCAAAGAGGCAAGAGCAAAACCCAACATTGGCATTTGGCAAGTGGCAAGGCAACCAGCTATCTCTCACCAAATTGCACAAAAACAAGGAATCCTGCTAACCAGAAGCCAAAACCCCTTTACTCTTTAGGAGACGGTGACGATGATACCCAATGAACAAACAAAATAGTTTCTATTATTCCTTGAACAGGTTACATGTAAACAGTAAAAACCATTTTGAGAACCCATGAAAGACCAATTCAACATAAACCACGAACATAATGAACCTTTTTACAAACTGAGCATCAATATAATGATCCTTCACCTGATGAAAATTCTAGATAAGGGTGACATAAATTGATTTGTATAATTAAGTGCTATTAAAGTGATTCGAATTTGGAATCTTTAGGTCCCAGAATTACCACTAGACCAATGTCGTGTTCGCCACCTGATAATATACATTTATCTTGCCCTATTAGAAACTCTGACCTTGAGTCCATACTTCATGAACATGAGAATGGAAGCGTCAGGAACCACGGGATGACCATCCACCACCTCAATCTTAAACCTACGCAGAACACAACTGGCTACGGCTTTCATTTGAACGAACGCTATCTTCCTCCCCAAGCACGTTCTCGGCCCCGCCATGAAAGCCGCAAACTTGTAAGATGGCACGTGGTTAACCACCGTCTTCTTCTCATCCGCAGACCCAACCGAAATCCACCTCTCGGGTTTGAAGTCCATCCAATCCACACCCCATATCTCTTCCATCCTCCCCATGGAAAAGATGGATAGCAAGATCCTGGTGTTGCCATCAATGGCGTGCCCACTTGGGAGCACATCCGGCTCGATCGATTGCTTGTGTTCGTAAGGCACTGATGGGTACAACCTTAGGGTTTCACACATGGCTCCATGAAGATACACCATTTTGTTCAGCTCTTCTGTGCTCGGGAAGCTCGTCTCTTTCCCCATAACTTGATCCAACTCCTTCAGAATCTTCTCCTCCACATTAGGGTTTTCAGACACGAGCCAAAAGAACCAACTCAAGGCAGCGGCAATGGTGTCCCTTCCTGCCACAAGCAAATTAAACACAACATCTCTCAAGAACACGTTCGTTAATTTCCCCTGATCAATCCCCGCTTCCCCGGACAAGATCATGGTTAGAAAATCATCATCCACCACGGTTTCCATCTCCTTCTTATCCAATGCCTCTTTCCTCTTCACTCTGATCCTCTCCTCCAAAAACTCATCAAAGCATTCCTGAGCTTCTCTCATTTTCCTCTCCTCCCCGATGCCAACCCACCTCTGGAACTTCCACACCGTGGCTGGGACACAATGGCGGTAGAGAATCACCTGCTCGATCACGTCGAAAGCGTCGGCGTAGGGAAGGCTGGGGAGTTCGATGGAGAGGTATTTGGGGTCAAAACCCGTAACGAGGGAGCAGATGGTGTCGAATGTGAGCCGCTTCATTAGCTCTTGCAAGTCTAGAGGAGGAGGAAGAGGAGCACTGTTGTGGAGTTTGGAGGAGGAGTCGTGGAGGATTGGGATCAGGCCGTTTTGTAGCTTGCGGTGGAGGGTTTTGAGCATTAGGTGGTGGAATTTGGTGGTGTTGATTAGGGAATGGATGGTTTCTCTTTGGGATTTCCAGGATTCGCCGTCGGTGTTGAATATGCCGTCTCCCAGCGGTTCTAGTATGGCCTTCAAGTTTGGTCCCTGTCGAGGGGAAGAAGGAGAGTTAAAGATGAGTTTTCAATTTTCATAATACTTTCTAGTCTACCCTTCAAGAATTAGGATGGAATGATGCAACCTTACCTGTGAATTTTTTCCCCCGTTAGAATACATGTGAATTTTTAAATACACCAAGTAAATGAAAAACAGAAAAAGTATGAAAGAAAAATGATTTGTTTGTTCAGCTACATACAGACAGACAAACTAATTATCTTTTCCAACGTAACAAATAACTTCATAAAGCTGAAAATGTCTTTTTCATATTTCATCTCCCTAGCTTACACATACTACTGTTTTCTTCTTGCATGAATATAAGATTGGAGAAATATATATAAGATGAGAAACGTATTCCAAAACTTGAATGCGAGATCTCTTTCCACATAAGGATGATTCGTATAATACTCACATCATCGTTTTGTGAGAGCATACTTATAAAGTACTACGCGTTGAGCATTTTGTAGCAGTTGGATGAACACAATAGCAATTTGTAAGTAAAATTTCAAAGTGTCCATCCAACAATTGCGGAACGCCCATCACGTATATAATTCAATGACTCTAATCCTTGTGATGGTGGTGTGAGCCATATAGCAGGGTTGACTTTGGTAAGTAAGGGACCTCTGCCTGAAAATGGTGCTGCTTCTTATAATTGAGTGTAACGCACAGCCTCCACATATATCATTATATCCTTACCTCCATAAGGACAAAGACAACCAAATGACCAATCAAAGCTGCAGTCTAGGACGATAAGAATAGAAGGTGTCTGACATTGCCACGAAATAGCTAGGCGCAGTTGCGTACTCTTTTTAGTTTATACACTAATTTGGTATTTGGATTGAGGTCTATTATACTAGCAAGTAAGCTAGAGATTGAAAAGACCATACATCATCAAACTCATCTTACTAATTAATCGTAAAATCATCGAAGTTAACACACAGCTTCAGGCTATACCATTATGAGAAAAATTGTTGCTTTATACAGATAGCGACGTACGTTATAAATTTTAATTGTTAGGTTTCATGAAATGGTCACACAAGAAATTTGGATTGAGTCAAACAAATACTCTGTGACGTCGGGTTGAATTTCCCCCATTTTCACCTCTTAGATTTGTCAGTTTTTGTTGTGTAATTAATAAAACAAATATATGTAATCATATCACTAAAATTAAAATCATAATGGAATTTTTGAGATGATAATCCGTATGAGGACATAAAGGATAGAAGGAAGATAGACTTGGTCCCCACCCAATCTTCAAATGGTTGTCCTTTCTATCGTATTCTATTCTTACTACTGTTCATCAATGATTCGTCAATTTAACACACAGTTTTATGAAGAGAAGTATCGATCGCCGTTAATCCTTACCTTGGGGAAGTTGGTGAAGTTCTTACTGAGGATGTAGTGGACGTTCATCGGATCCACGGTGATGAGGAAGTCGACGCCGGCGAACCATGGCCCTTTGAAACGGAAAGTGCCTCCACTCTGTGTCATGATTCGGGTGATGAAGTCGTGGAGGAGGTCGTGAGATACGTTCCAGAGTAAGGACGGAAGCATGCCGACGACCGGCCAGTTTGGTATAATAATGGCCTTCTTCTTGTTTCGAACGGCGAACCAGACCAGGCAAAGGAGGAGAGGGAGAAAGAATACAAGTAGCAATAGCGTCGCCATTTCTTTCTGTGGGAAACTGATCTTTTCTCGGCCGTTTGGGAATGGACAAGAAGGAATAGACGTCTTATTATTATTATATATATATATATATATAAAAACTTGGTTTGTTAGGGGGTTTTGTCTGTCTGTGTATTTATAGAGACGGAATTTATCAGAAGGTGATTGGGAAAGGAAACAACATTTTCCTTGGGGTGTATTACAAAAATGGTCACTAATCTTTGGGGCCACGAGGGATAAATGGGTGAAACTTTGACAAGAATGCGATAGAATTTTCACATCATTTGTTAAGATGCTACTAAAGATTTAATCAAGTAATCTAATAATAATTAACTAGGGTCGGTCTAGATTGAACTCAGATTAGGATGGAGGGTTGTTTCGAGTGTTTATGAATTTTGTGTACAAGTAATTTGGTTGGTCTGGGTAAATGAATCATTTATATCTCTCCATGCATAAGCATATGATGAACATGAGAGTAACTATCATGAAATTTAAATTGTCTATTAGGTCATTTGATTGATGAATTTGATCGAGTGGTGAATTATATTGTTCCCCCGAAATCCATCAGTGAATGAGTATGGTCGATATCTCTGGCTAACTAGTAGTGGATTGTGGCATAGTGAAGTTTAATTCGGAAGTATGGTAAATGATACGCGATATTTTGAAATCTCTCCGTTTAAGGGAAATAATTCAATAAAAATCGTAAGTCCTAATGAAACGGATATAGTAATGGCTTGCTAGAATCTCATTCTTTTCTTATTCTATAATGTTTGTTGTGTATATATGTGCCATTTTGAGATGATATATTAACCGCTAATAAAACATTCCATGACAGTTTTGATTACAACTTTATTGGGAAATGCCAAATTGGTTCTGAATAACCGCATTGGTGATGTGATATGATAAAATATGGAGAGATGCATGATCCTATACAATCAATAAAAAATACTAATATTCAATTTCCTATTCTCACAATTACCTTATACCGAAAATATCAGCTAGAGGTGACAAATGAATTAGATTTATATATTAATGAATTGAATCAACGGATGCATAAATCTAATGGATTGATGGATTAGAATCATGATTGATTGATAGATTAGAATCATGAATACAAGTGACCAGCACAATGTATTTCTTCAAAGCCTATATCACCCATTTGAAGCTAAGGTAGTGCAATAACCAACGTGGCCGGCCTCCGATGGTCCAACGCCAACTCTGAACTAAAATTTGGCAGTCGGGAAATAATGTCACATCACATGGCTAAGTCTAATACCAGCTCAGCTGGTATATAGGCTTTGAAGTAAATACATGGTTCGGCGGCAGGAACATGGTTAGGCGGTGGCCGGCTTTCAATTAAGGAGGACATTTGATAGAAACCTTCATTTATGTTATTTATAGCATTTGGACTCATTTGTTAATTTATGATTGTTTGAGGATTTTATTGGGCATTTGGGGTTATGTTTGGGGATTAATAAGTTGGGTAGCTATAGGAAATTATGGGTTTGCTATATAAACCATTTTGTTACGTGGGAATAGAAGTTAAGCAAGCTTAAACCTAATTGTATTTCCTAATCCTCTCTCTTTCCTCTCTCCGCCGAATCCTCTCCTCTTCCCTACTGTCGCCGCCGCAACTTCTACTTCTCTTCCCTCTCAATTCCCTAAGTTTTCTTCTTCCTCACACTTCCTTAGCAAGAATCGATCACTAGCTCGATGATCCGCTCATTTCTTTCATCTTCATCGAAATAGATAGAACCTGATATCCAGGTTTCTATCAGCATTCCTGTTCGAAATGATAGTATGTTGGGCATTAAGGATGACATACAAGAAGAAGATATACCCTAACTACCATTTAATGCCCCAACCAAATCCTTGTCCTACCTAGATGTCCTACTTCCTTCCTAGCTACCTAATCGACACACACCATGGCCTCATTTGATATCCAACCATCGAATTCAGTTACGACATTAAAGCAGAAGATGACTTGTGCCAACAAAAACAAAACATAAATAATATGAAGACTAGAAAAATCAAATTATATATTTAGTAGATCGATCCTTATTCTCTGAATTGAAACTCCAAATTTGTTTCTAATGAAATTAAACGACCCACAACTGTTCAAGTTTTAGAATCACCTCAAAAGTCTCTTCAATATGTTTTTGTTGTTGTTGCAAAGGGACTAATCTGAAAAATAAAATACTATGGTCAACCTGTTGGAGGCGTGGATCTTGGCACCCGAGATTATAGTGATATGACGTGATTTGGAACAGAAATAAGGAAGAATTAGACGAAGATTTGGAGAGACTAAGAGCAAGAACGGGCAGGCGGCCGATTGAAGGAGAGGAGAAGAATTTAAGGTTTGGAAGATACATAGAACTATTCTTTGATTATTTCCTGATTGATCCTAACTGAATGACGAAATTACATTATATAGACTATAGGCTAACCCTAATCGACTTACTATAACCAAATACAAAAATACCCTTAAACTACTACTCATACCCTCAACACAACCTCGCTTTTCAAAGATGAGAGGATGAACTAGAAACTAGATAGTAGTATCACATACAATTGTTGATAAAATACGGCATGTTTTGAATTGCATATAATTTATATCTGAATATTTTTTTTTTGATTTTTCAACTAAACAAACGTCTAGTAGTATGTCGATGGTCATAAAATATATATATATATATATATATATATATATATATATGGTGGCGTATTCGACGCACCCACTTTTTTGGGTGCACTCAGTGCACCCGCCTCATAATCATCATTATGAGCATGCGATTCAAGTCAAAACGTTATCAATTGTTGTTTATGATATTATGAATAAGAAGCACATGAATTTGAAAAAAAAATCATTTACGATTTACTTTAATTTGAAGGATTTAGGATTTAAAGTTTAGGGTTAGGGTTTAGGTTTACAGTTTGGGATTTTGCATTGGGATTCTAAATTGAAGGTTAAGGGGTTAGGGTAATAGATTGATTTGTTATGATTCTATGTCATATCATCATATTAGATTGAGAGTGCTAATTAAAGTTCAAAATTTGATGTATTATGGACACTTTTAAAGATGGGTGCACTGAGTGCACCCAAAAAAGTGAGTGCACCGAAGTAGCCACCATATATATATATATGGCGAGTTCTACGGTACCCTGGGTGAAATCCGGGGTACCGCATACCTTGAGTATGAAAACACTATCTAGACCTTGAATTGACCGATCTTTCGGACATGATACTATACTCTAACACTTAAAGATCAAAATCTAGGTGTTAACTCTCCTAATATTATACTCCAAGATCAATTTAATTAGAAATAATAATCGACGGTTATGATTCATCCAAATATAGGCACAAAATTTGGATGCACCATCTTAGGGTTTATAGATTATGCTTTAGATAATTATGACCTAGGGTTCACTCAATAAGGGTTAGGGTATAATATCATACACAAAAATCCTGGTAATTCGAGGTCTAGATAGAGTTTCCATACTCGAGGTATGCGGTACCCCGGATTTCACCCGGGGTACCATAGAAGCCACCACATATATATATATATATATATAAAATTAATTACTTTAAAAATAACTAAGCCAATTTAGAGTTCAGCTTATTTTTACCGAACAGTTCCAGGTCACATGCACCAAGTCAACTCCCAGTAATTGCTATTTGAGCTCTTTTCTAAAGGATTGGATACTCTGCTTTCTCATCCGAGAGAATCAAGATGGCCGTTCAAACAATACAAGAAGGTTAATTGAGATTTGAGCAAGTTGCTTGAACTGGTGAGGAGAGGAGATGAAGAGGTCGGCCCATAGCTCTTAACTGTGTGTCTGCCATTTGTGGAAAGGAGAAGGACGAAGCGAGAGGAGACATGCATGTCAGCAAGACAGCAACGACATTGATTTGGAAGATAGGGCGGGTTGGGCTCCAGTCTTCAAGGAAATGGCGGGCTGGGCTTGAGAATCAGGGCTGGTGGGCTGCCATTCGGAGGTCGGGTCGAAACTCGAATCTGAGCAGCTGTGACTTGTGACTTGAAATTATGTATGAGATGGGCTATTATAATTTTTTTTTATGTATGAGATGGGGAAAGTAGCCATATTTCATTAGTGTCGTGTCTTGAGAATTATGTTTTTTTTTCTCTCTTTCGTTAGTGTCGTGTCTTTGCTCCTTGGAGCTTCTTCAGATCTATCGTGAAGACCAAGAAACAAGAGTTGCACAATGAAGAGCAACATCAACAATTTGACTTGCTAACACAATGGTTGGTAATGGACGAGAAAGGAGAAAGTTCAGATAAATTTCTAAGAGACATTGGAGTGACATTAGTCGCATTGGGAGAGACACCATGTCTTCCGTTCTAACTTGGTTCCTATGGTTGGTTGCCACCTACCCTGAGGTGGAGACTGGAGAGAAAGATTCTCGAGGAGATTGAGCAAGTAGGGGTAATGGCTACACGACAACCAACTCCCGAAGAAGGATTATGTATTTTGCTGATTAGTAACGACAATATAAATAGGCTTGTGTATGAGTGTATCTCTATGCAACCATCTGCGAAACATTGAGGTTGTACCCATCCGCGCCATTCGAGCTTAGATGTGCTATTGAAGATGATGTGCACCTAGCGACAACGCATCATAAGGGCACCAGAGTTTTGTTCTCCATATACTCCATGGGCAGGATGGAAGAGATATGGAGAAAAGATTGCTTGGAGTTCAAGCCTCAAAGATGGATTTCAGAACAAAGAAGCATAATTCACGTTTCGTCGTACAAGTTTCTGAATTTTTTGGTAGGGCCAAATTCGTGCTTGGGGAAGATGTTGTCTTCATGAAGCTCAAGTTCATGGTTAGTAGTCTCCTATGGAACTACAAGTTTGATATGGTAAATGGCTTGAAAATGAGAGTTTCCAAGAGAGATGTTTAGTATATTTCTTCCTAATAAGCGTGGAATGTAATAAATATTCGTGTGAGTTTGATTTCTTTCAAAATAGCATTGTATTATTATTATTATTATTATTATTAATGTCATATACAACAAATACACGTTATTATGTCATATGAAAGATGACTAACGATTCGATGTTTTCGGATTATATCACAAAATCAACCTCTATAGTGTGTTTAATAATTTTGTGGATGCCTTCTTCACTATGTTACTTGCTTTTAAGGACACTATGTCTAGGTTTTCGATCGGCAAGGATGAGTTAAATGGGCTAGTGTACCTTAATGCGATCATCTACGAGACTTTACGGTTCTACCCACACTGTCCATTTGAGCACAAATGCGCCAGTGAAGATGATGTGCTCCCTACTGGTCATAGAGTTAAGAAGGGCATGAGGTTGTTGTTCTCCATATACTCCATGGGGAGGATAGAAGATATACGGGGAAAGATTGCATGAAATTTAAACCTCAGAGATGGATTTCAGAAGAAGGGAACATAATCCATGTTCTGTCGCAGAAGTTTATGGCTTTTTTGACAGGACCAAAGATTTGTTTTAGAGGAAGGGGATGTCTTTAATGCATCTCAAGTTCATTGTTAGTGCTATTCTGTGGAACTATAAGTTGATATGGTAGAGGGTCACATCGTGAAGCCAACACCTTCTATTCTATTGTCTATGAAAGATGGCTTGAAGATAAGAGTTTCCAAGAGAAATGTTCAGTTTCTTCCTACAATATTTGTGGTCTTTGATAATAATAAAAAGAGTAATGTCTATTTTTTATCCAAATTTATTAAAATGCTATTAATAAGCCAAATCTTTCGTAATACATCAAAAATTAGTCATTTTTACGTTATCATTAATAATTTTGTAAATATTTTCTTAGTTAAAATACTAAAATTTTGGAATGTAGACTAATAAAAAAATTTACAAGGGTTTTGATAAAAATAGACATTACCCTAATAAAAAACCTAAATGGGTACTTATAGGGTTTGAGCTAGATGATTATTATTTGTGTCATTTCTAATAAATAAATAAAATGTAAGCCTCCATTTCTTTCTCTCACTCTATCCTCTTACTTTTCGTTCCTAGACACATAATAATTTAATGTTTCAAAGATGATCTTAAACAGGATTCATTGAGAGTGACATTTTTAATTTTTAGATAATCAATTAATTTTATATACTATTTATAATATAATCATCGTTAAACATTAACAAAGAATATATATATATATATGGTGGCTTCTATGGTACCCCGGGTGAAATCCGGGATACCGCATACCTCGAGTATGTAAACTCTATCTAGACCTCGAATTACCAGGATTTTTGTGTCTGATATTATACCCTAACCCTTAATGAGTGAACCCTAGGTCATAATTATCTAAATCATAATCTATAAACCCTAAGATGGTGCATTCCTTTTTGTGCCTATATTTGAATGAATCATAACCGTCGATTATTATTTCTAATTAAATTGATCTTGGAGTATAAGATTGGGAGAGTTAACACCTAGATTTTGATCTTTAAGTGTTAGAGTATAGTATCATGTCCGAAAGATCGGTCAATTCAAGGTCTAGATAGTGTTTTCATACTCAAGGTATGCGGTACCCCGGATTTCACCCAGGGTACCATAGAACTCGCCATATATATTTGTTTGTTTAAATCGGATCTACTAAAGCTAAAAAATTTACTACTGTATATACCCATATCCCTGGCCCAGTTTCAGCAGCCCCTTATAGCAATAATGCATGGAGCGACCATTTTTGGCTTTTGGAAGGTCGACTTTAATTGCCACATACAAATTGATATATCACCATCCAAAATTTCGTTGGTTGCCCAGCCTTAGTGGCGGGATCGATCGATCGCGTCAGTAACAAAAATAATGCAATCCTATCTTTCAAGAACGTTTTAATTAGTTGCATAAGTTTGTTCTCAATAATGCGACATGAATTTTGAAGGGTGGAGGAGGCTTGGCCTTATCCATACATGCACAATAATGTGTGATTTAGGGAGCAAGATTGGTTTGGTGGGTACGATTTGTTTATATTTATCATTTATGAGATTAAAGGTTGACGAAACGTAATATGATATAAAAAAACTAATGTTTAAGTGACTCGTAGAAAGTCTAAAAGTCCAATCTATGAATGATTATGTTTTAAGTTGATATATATAATATTTTGGCAAAATTTATTTGTGTAGCCAAAACTTTGACGTTTGTAACAATAATAGCCACTTTTGGCAAAATAACAAATATAGCCAAAATTTTAAAAGTTTCATGACAAATATAGTCATTTCCTTTACATATTTTAACGGTGTCAGTGACACCGTAAGTTACGTTAACTTTAAGCTGATTGGGATGCCAAATCATCACACACATCAGCGACATGTAAGCATATGATTGACATGTCATTTTGAATTATAAAAATAATTAATTTTGAAATAAAAAATTATGTTCAGTCTTTTGATTATTTTCTCCGTCCTCTCTCTCTCCAAGCATCTCTCTCTCACCCTCTCTCTGATTCCATAAGCCTCCAAAAGCCAAACGCAGAACCACCATAGCCAAAAGCTCCACGGAGAAACCCAGAATGTCATTTCAAAAACCAGCTCTTTCCAACAACTTCTGCCCCTGGCAAGCCTTCCTCGTCCAGATCCTGACTATTCTGTCACTAAATCCGCCACCGCCACTGTCCCCTCAATCACTGCAGCGATTTCCCTCTCTGTCTCTCTATATCTCCTTCTCCTTCTCCCATCTCTCATCTCATCTCATCTCCTCTGCTGCTTTGGCCTCGGCTTTGGGAGTATACTCGAGCACGAGCTGAAGGTCGACGACGACTGTTACAGAGTGTTGGTGAAAAGAGAAAACCCCAAATCCCTGAATTGATGTCTCCAAGTCTTGGATGATTCAGATCTAAGAGCGCTCCTCTTGAAGACGACGACCCGTTCGGTGATTGAGGATCTCGACCAATTGTTGGCAAATAATTCAGAAAATTTGAGTTCGGCTCCCAATTTCATCCCCAGGAGAAGGGTATCCATTGCATAATCAAAGCTCTGCCACATCTCCCGCTTCACCGTCCCATCCAGATTCAGCTTCCGGAGAATAAAATTGTCAGAATCTAGTAAAATGGCACTTGTTTTACCTGTAACTCCTTGGACGGGGGGGTTCACGGCAGCAATTTTGTCCTCGATGCCATTCAAAATCTTCAAGTTTCCATCACTTTCTATCACGAGAGCTATTGTTTTGCCCGAGTTGGGAAGATTTGTATCGTTGGAGACATGGTTTCAGATATGGGTGGAGAGATTGAGATGGAGTGAAACACTTGGGATTAGGTTGCAGATGAGGAAGAGGAAAAAGGACAAGGGAAGATTAAGGAGATCAACGTGAGGAAGGTTCTGGAGATGGAGAAAGAAGCGGCCGAGAGAGAGAGTAAAGTGGAGAATGTTTTTTTTAATTTTTAAGTGAAAATCCACTTGGAAATGTTTTGCTTAAATGTTCCCACGTCATCCATTGTCGTTAGTCCAGTCAGCATGCTAACTAACACCGTCAAACAATTGGACGGAAGTGGCTATTTTTGGTATTTCGCTAAAACTGGCTATATTTGGCCAAACCGTCAAAGTTCTGACTACACAAGTGTATTTTGCCTAATAATTTAGAAATTGTTTCAAAATCTTCATATAAATTGAATATTTTCAAAATTGCCACAAAAAAAAAATTTGAAAAGAATATTATCGGAAGAAGAGAGGGAGAATGAGCAGGAATTTCAGTATAAAATATACGTACATACGAGTTATGTAGCAAATAATCAATTGATTTGGTTGCAAACACGTGAAAATCACACCCTATATCTAATTAATTGCAATTTTAGTTGGTTTCAACGAAAACACGTCCTGAAACTAAGTCGGTTAGCTTATCCTGATAAAATTGTACTGATTTTGGTTGAATGACCTAAGTGAGCACTCTAACTACTTATGATCATCCATCAGAGTGGTGTAGAATTTAACTGGATGAGTACGAGTCTTCAACCCAAAAATATCGAATATAAACTATTATGCGAGTGATTTATGATTTTAATAGAGTCTCAAAATGTCAAACTTCAATGACAACTATTTTTCATATATTTTGTTGGACTTACGACTTACACTATATGTTGATTAGTTGAGAAAATTAAATAATTATTTCTAGACGGTACTTATTGTGTAAAAAAGGATGTGATTAATGTTAAATTACGGGGAAAAAGATTTATGCTTATAGATTAGCATGGTTTGTGATGTTGTACGGAAGTTAATGTTTAGGTATTTGTGGTATATACTAAGACACCACACAACAATATATACAGCACAAATAAGAGAAGAGAGTACCCCCTAGCTACATCCTTTCAACATAGATGGAGCATTTGTGATTTGGATGTTAGCTCAAAAGCTGAACCCATGTGATCCTTAATTATTCGCTTATATATGTCCCAGCTTTATTGTACCCTTCTACCGACTCTTTGCCTGTCTATAATTAAAATGCATTATTAGGGAGCCCATGTACAGAACTGGCATATTTGTAATGCTTTTTTTTTCTTTCTTTTTTTGGCATTTACCACCCCACACCACATCTACCAATTAGGGATGAGATTAGGTGCTAACTCTTATAGGGGTTAGCACCGTGATAACTAGCAAAACTCACTACGAATTATTATAAAATCAATACAACATCTAAGCTAAATCACTACTAATTCAAACTAGTAGTAATTTTTCCCTTGGTTAGGACGGTGCTAACTATTATACAATTAACACCGTAGCCATTCCCCTACCAATTATGCACATCTACTACGTACTCTCCTTGATCGTGTTTTCCCTCGACGTTTCTTCTAAATTGGTTGCATGCAAGGAAACTAATTAATTCTCATCACATCCCCTCTTTCTTAACGTGTGACTGCCTTAGCTAGCAAACTTCCTCCTTTATAAACAACAACAAAGAGAAACCCAACTTGTAACTGCATGCACGCAACAATTATAGCTCCACTCCCACAGAAAGTCAGAAACTAACGATGTCATTTCTGCTCTTGCTAACCTTCCTCTCATCACTACTTCTTCTTTACACCATCATGACGATCAGGAAGATGAAGAAGAAGTCACCATCCTCGATCCCGAATTGGCCTCTCTTTGGAATGCTTCCATCCCTCCTATGGAACCTCCCCCGCCTCCACGAATTCGTCACCGATATCCTCAAAGTCAACGGCGGCACCTTCGTCTTCAAAGGTCCATCCTTCACCAACCTCAACTTCATCTTGACAAGCGATCCCACCAACATCCACCACATCGTCAACAAAAACTTCTCCAACTACCCCAAGGGATCCGAGCTCAAGGCGATCATGGCGCCATTTGGAGACGTCCTATTCAACAGCGACGGCGACTCCTGGAAGACGAAGAAGGAGATCGTCCTCTCCCTCATCAAAACCGCCGGATTCGAGAGGCTTCTCATGACAACCCTTCGTCACAAACTGGCCGACAGCCTCATCCCGGTACTCGATCACGCCGCGAGAAATCATGACGATGTTGTGCTCGACTTGCAAGATGTGATGAAGCGGTTCATGTTCGATCTCACCTGTTTGCTCTTCCTGGGGATCGACCCGGAGTGCTTGTCCACGAGTTTTCCTCGTGTTCCATGTGCGGAGGCGTTTGACGTGTTAGAAGAGGCCATCGTTTACCGCCATTGCGTGCCAAAGTGGGTTTGGAAGTTGCAAAGATGGCTTCACGTCGGGCGGGAAGGGAAGACGATCGAAGCTGAGGAATGCCTCAATGGGTTTGTGGAGGAAAGGATCAGAGTCAAGATGGTGGAGAAACGGGCGAAGGAGAGTACCAGTGATAATGAGGATAATTATGACTTTCTGATGAAGCTTATAGTTGAGACATAGCGGTTAATGGGGACTTGTTATAGTAGTAAGTTTGCGAGGGACATTGTGGTTAGCTCGATGGTGGCCGGGAGAGACACCATCGCTGTCGCTCTCAGTTGGTTCTTTTGGCTCGTGGCGACCAACTCAGGCGTGGAGGAGAAGATCCTGGAAGAACTGGATCGAGGCCTCATTACTCAAACAGGTAAAAAAACGTTCAAAAGACATGTTCTTTACAAGAGAGAATATATATAATCATTTTGGGACAGGCAGACAGACTTTTCGTGCATGTATAGTATATAATAGCCAAAAATTGTTGTTGTAGCATGAGATCGAGAACTGGATGAACGATTCGATGTATGCACCCTAAACTGTATATGGTCGATGGCTATCTAATTCTTTTGTTATGTACTGCATGCAGGTGAAAAAGAAGTGATATTTTCGAGCATAGAAGAGTTGAACATAATGGTGTATCTGCACGGAGCCATAAGCGAGACTTTGAGACTATATCCATCGGTTCCATATGAGCCGAAGCAATCCCTGAAAGACGACGTTCTTCCCAGCGGCCACATCGTTGGCCGGAACGCTAGGGTCTTAGTGTCCATTTACTCGATGGGAAGGATGGAAGATGTATGGGGTAAGGACTGGATGGAGTTCAGACCCGAGAGGTGGGTTGCAGCAACAACCAAGGGAACGATATCTTCAACAATGATAACAAGAAGAACAATATTATTCACGTGCCATCCTACAAGTTTGCAGCATTCATGGCAGGGCCAAGGTCGTGCTCGGGAGGAAAATAGCGTACACACAAATGAAAACCATAATAAGTTGTGTTTTGCGCATGTATAAGATCGACGTGGTGGGTGGTCATCCCGTTGTCCCGCTGCCTTCTATTATGATGTTTATGAGACATGGTTTGAAGGTCAGGGTTTCAAGCAGGATACGAGGGGGTTTCAATCTAGGACCGATTGCAGCACAACCACCACTTTCTTACGCGCCTAACAGATGAAACGATCATTTGACATTGATCCTTATTCTCATATTCACTAAAAATCAATGGGCAATTGTTACCTTGAGAGCTCTGTAGTAAGAAAACCCAGGGAGGTTGATAGCCATGGCTCTGACTCCATGGTTGACCGTGGTGTACTGTCTCTCCAGGGTTTCCATGACGTCCTCGCACTCGGAGCTGAGGAAGATGAACATTATGATCCTGAACGTGAGCTTCCGGAGCCACGTTCAGGAAATTTGTATATGTTTGAATATATGTCCTCAATTTTGCGCAAAAAAAAAAAAAATGTAGTGAGTATCAAGACCAACTGAGTTTTGACGATTCAACATCTTCCAACAACTCGCTACTGGAATTGGCCACTTTTTGAAATATTTTTCATTATACGTATGAAATTTAGTTATGTATGGTTGGAACCCCAATGATATTTTTTTTTTGTGTGTGGTGAAGGTGACACTTGTTTGTTTTTATTATTAGTTGCTATCTAAAGGATTCGAACCTAAACCCCTTGTGATATTAACTTGTGTTTCCATTGTAAACCTATTATTGTTACTATCACTCGCCCACGCAAGTGTTCAGATTCAGAGCTCTTTCAACAATCAGTCACGTGAAGGAATATTATTTGGATTTGAATGAAAGACGAGAGCATAAATGATTTGTTTTATTACTATACGATACACCATGAATGACATCCTTAATAATTTGAATGATGAATTTGTTTAATAAATTTTTTCGATTTACAGTTATTGCAAGAAAACAATGAAAAAATATCTTCAAATTTTATTAGATTGAACGCAAACTTACATAAAATTCCTCACTACGCCGCCAAGGCAAATCGAAAGATTTACACATTACATAGTTACCCGATGAAAGTAATGGGAAACATGAACCTCCCACTCTAGCTACCAAGGTTGTCAACCCGCTGTCGACCCACTTTGACCCAGACCCGGTGAGAAAAAAGGGTTGCACGCACCCGCCGGGTCGACCGTTACAAGGTACCGGGTTGGAGGTCAAATTGTGTCATTTTTTTCTTTGGTTTGCGCAGTGCTCCTATTTTCCGATTTTTCTTTTCGCCTAATTCAATCTTTGGAACCCTAAGTTGAAGATTTGAATATTGATGTTATATAAGTGTGTGTGAATTTTCACTATATGTTGGATCTAAATACGACATGTTATTTTGGTGTAATATTATATGTTATAACTCATATGTTAGATGAAATTTGATATAATTTATCAGGAGGATAAGTACAATATAATAACTCTTTCAATTGACATTACTTACCAAGCCCAATAAATATGATCCAGATATTTGCTGGACGGGGACGATCAACACCATCCATTTCGTAGGTTTCCTTCCCTGGAGGTGAGATGGTAGATTCGTCATGCTCATGCAATGCTTTCAACGTTTTTCATGAATAAATTTTGTTGGTCGCCGGAGAGCTTAATTAGGACATGTGCTTGTCGGTACAGGCATGTCGGAGGACTGTCTGCTCGTTTTAATTTTAAATCATACTAAAATAGAGGGAATTGTCTCTTGTCACACCAGTTGGCAGTGCATTGATGGATAGTCAGCCACATACTAAGACTGTTACGGACATTATTAGAATTTTGGGGAGAATTTATCAATCCTAAACAAGTATAAGTATGATATTCCAACACTGAATTTATATACCAATATGAGAAATTTATGGACAATAAAATAATTAAACATAGGGGCATACATTGAAAAATACTTATTTAAGAGTAAAGGCAATGATGTTTACAATTCTTTTGGATTTGAAAATGCTTTATGATTGTTATACAAAATGTAACTTGTATTGATTATTGGGTTATTTTTGTTTTGTAAATGAATTATCTAATTCGAATATTTATCTTCAAATTATATAATTTAAATATTTATAATAAATATATTTTTATCATATAATAGGATACTTCTATAACGACAATAGTAGTTTGAGAGGGAGAATAAAGGACAATAGTAATTAACATGCTAGCATTTGAGTTTTCGACCAACCAAGAAAGAAGCACTAACTCAATCTTATGATATTTGAGTTTTCGAATGCTGGGAAGATTTTGTGCCCGGAAATGTACTATGGTTTGTCAGTAAAATCGAGAAAAAAAATTAACGATATTGTATGATCGATTTACACAAAAAAAAAAAAACAAGAGTTTCACAAAGAAGATTCTCGAGAAAAGCAGAAAGTTTAGATAAATTGCTACGGTCTACGAGACTTTGGAGTGACATCAATAGCGGCACGAAAAGTCTTTGTGTCTTCAATTCTAACTTGGTTGCTCTAGTTGGTTGCAATCCATCCTGAGGTTGAGAGAAAAGATCCCGAGGAGATTGAACGAGTACTGGTTATGGCGAAAAGACTACCAAATCCCAGAGGAGGAGGATTGAGGAACATTGGGGATTTTCATGATGGATAAAGGCAAGATGAATAGACTTGTATATCTTCATGCAACCATATATGTGAAACGTTGCTAGTGTATCTGCTTGTGAACCGATTATCATTGCTATCATTTGTCACGACAAGTGTTCTATATATTAGTGTATTGGCTCTCAAATCGTTTCAAATCGTTACGACAAGTGTTTTATATATTAGGTCATAGTTTCAAATCGTTACGATGACTCTCAAATTTGTACAAACTTTAATTATTGAAACTAAGTGGTTTGTGTTGACGTTGGTATGTGTATTTAGCAATTAACTCGTTCATTATTTAAGGTTAATTGCTATTCTGGTCCTTTGCATTAGGGCTTGGCTTTGGCCGGTATAAATATAGAGAGAGTGGCCGAGTTGTATGTAAGGATTTTGGTGGCTGATAACCTAATAAGACAGACTCGAGAGACTCCCTCTTCGTGGACTAGTCTCGATTATTCTAGTTGAGAAAATCACGTAAATCGTGTGCGTGTTCAAATTTTCTGGCAGTTTGCGTATAGTTTCATAGTTTGGTCATTAACCGAAACTGAATTCTTGCCAGGCAAAATATGATTTAGTCATCGTTGGATGAGTGACGCGTGCTTGTTGGATTGGTTGAGCTGGAGTACTATTGACCACACAATCTATCTGTAGAAATACATAATTCCATTGGCCGGCCCGGTGATCATCACCATCCATTTCGTCGGTTGCCTCTGTTGGTGAGATCGTAGAGTCACCAATTCACGATGCAATGCTAGCTTTCACCATTGAGCCATTCTACTCTCTTCTAAAACATTGGTGGTTCCAATAAAAGTTAAATTTGTACCAAAAGTTAAATGTGCAAGTTACTATAAAAACATTTGTACATTTATGTACCATGTACCAAATGTAATTAAAGTCATTGACAAGTAAGACAAAAAATTTGCTAGCTATTTATTTATAAATAAATTCGGTGAGCCAATGTATAATCGATCTATTTAGCTGAGTAATAAGTAATAACTATATATAAGTAGTACTTCGAAGCAAGAAAGGGAGAACCATTTCGATGGAGTATGAAGACTTGCAACCAAATTATTCGTGTAGACTGACTAACGGAGCTTAGTCCCTCGATCTCTCTGTGTACTTTTTTCCTCTTATGCCAAAGAAGATGACGAAGAAGACGAAAGGTAGAGAAACCATTACATATATCTCAATATACATATTCGCTCCGTGACATTTCGAATAATTATCATGAAGTACGGGTTTGAGTAGGTCTGGACATTTTCTGTTTAATGATTATTCACCTTCATAAAAAAAATCTACTAAAATGGGTTAAGTCGAAATTGCTATCTCTAATCTAATAACGTGTTGCAGAAGGCCCGAGCTCTTTGTAAATAAATTCGAACATATCATTCTTTAATTTGCATAACAAACGAAGTTTGGCTAGTTTCCCCATCTCATACATAATTCTCAAGTCAAGAATACATACAATAAAGGCAAGCGGTGCTGCTTTGGCTCTTGTAGTATAAATAAGTTGTCTCCCAGGCTAAATTAAATAGCTACTCATCATAAATCAGTATCAATTGAGCCCCAGAAGAATGGCGATTTTACTACTAGCTTTTCTCTTCTTCACATCTCTTTGGCTCTCCATAGTAGCATTTATAGCCAAGAAGAAAAGCTGTTATTCCGCCGTTGAATGGCCGGTGGTGGGCATGCTTCCGGCCCTCCTTTGTAACGCAACCACTGATCTCCACGGTTTCATCACTCGACTCGTCAAAGAAAGCGGCGGCACGTTCGTGTTCAAAGGCCCCTGCTTCGCCAACCTGGACTTCGTCGTCACCAGCGATCCGATGAATGCCCACCACGTCTTTAGCAAGAACTTTGCCAACTATGGGAAGGGTGAGGATTTCAAAGCGATGTTCGAGGAGCTTTTCGGAGAAGGGATCGTCAACTCCGATGGGGAATCGTGGAGGTTTCAACGGCAGAGGATCCATTCCTTGTTGAGCAAACAAGGGTTCGAAAACTACGTTATGAAAACCCTTCATCAGAAGATGGAGGGCACCTTGTTCCGAGTCCTTGATGATGCTTGTAATTCGACGCGAGGGCTTGGAACTGTTGAGGTGGACATACAGGACGTGGTGAGCAGGTTCATGTTCGACAACATATGCATGTGGGTCTTGGGATTCGATCCAGGTGATGATGTATATATATATAGGGTGTAGTTACGTTCTTGGTTTTCTTCGTCAGAGAAATTTGTTTAAGTTTTACAACTAAAATGTATTCATTAAGGCAAGAAAATATGCAGCACAACAATCCTAATTAATCAAATCTATTCCTATTCTAGGTTACCTTTGTGTTGACAGGCAATTAAGTACCTTCTCATGCGGCAAAGCATTTGATGAAATCGAGGAGGCGATCATATACCGACATATCGTCCCCAGAAGTATATGGGAACTTCAAAAAAGGTTTGGGATTGGATCAGAGAAGAAGATTAGTCAAAGTACTAAGGTCTTGGACGAGTTCTTATACGATGTCGTGAAGACCAAGAAACAAGAGTTGCACAAAGAAGAGCAACATCAACAACTTGACTTGCTAACACAATGGTTGGTAGCGGACGAGAAAGGAGAAAGTTCAGATAAATTTCTAAGAGACATTGGAGTGACATTAGTTGCAGCTGGGAGAGACACCGTGTCTTCCGCTCTAACTTGGTTGCTTTGGTTGGTCGCAACCCATCCCGAGGTTGAGAGAAAGATTCTCGAGGAGATTGAGCGAGTAGTGACAACGGCTACACGACGACCAACTCCTGGAGAAGGATTAGGTGTTTTGCTTATTAGTAACGACGATATGAATAGGCTTGTGTATCTCCATGCAACAATTTGCGAAACATTGAGGTTGTACCCACCCGCGCCATTCGAGCTTAGATGTGCTATTGAAGATGATGTGCTACCTAGCGACCATTGCATTCATAAGGGCACTAGAGTTTTGTTCTCCATATACTCCATGGGGAGGATGGAAGAGATATGGGGAAAAGATTGCTTGGAGTTCAAGCCTCAAAGATGGATTTCTAAACAAGGGGGCATAATTCACGTTCCGTCGTACAAGTTTATGATTTTTTTGACAGGGCCAAGGTCGTGCTTGGGGAAGATGTTGTCTTTTATGCAACTCAAGTTCATGATTAGTAGTCTTCTATGGAACTACAAGTTTGATATGGTAGAGGGTCAACTTGTGAAGCCACTTGCTTCTATTATGTTGCCAATGGAAAACGGCTTGAAGATGAAAGTTTTCAAGAGAGATGTTTAGTATATTCTTCCTAACAATTGTGGAATGTAATACATATTCGTGTGAGTTGGATTTCTTTCAAAATAACATGGTAATATATTATTATTGTAGTATACAACAAATACACGTTAACATGTGATATGAGTAGATGACTAATGATTCAATATTTTAGGATTAGATCACAAAATCAACATCTAAAGTGTTTTTCAGAATTTTGTGGATGCAATATACATAGATTCTTTATTATTGATCCCCTTTTTCACTAAGTTACTTGCTTTAAGGGATGCTATGGTTTGCTGTTTAATATAGGCTGGGAAAATAGAACAAACCATTTGAAAAATTATAGACCAAACCGGATCGTTAAAAATGGTCTACCGTCATATATATGTCATCACATACACTAGTATTGTTTGCTCATTGATTTGATAATATAAAACAACCAACCAAGAATCCTAATTTACCCATCTTTCATTGAAAATATGTCGTGGTAGTTAGGTGATAGCTTAACAATAACATGACCCTCTACCATATCAAATTAACATCTAGCACCACAAAAGAGCCCACATATAACGAGAGAGGCTAATGGAAAAAAGAGAGTAATATATACTAATAATTGAAAAACGTGTACAAGTAACTATCTTTGTCAACTTCATTTTCCTCATTAAGCATAAAGTATGAGTTGTCAAATAGTACCGCAATCAGAGATTAATAATTAAATGTAGTAATTACTTACATGAATTAAAAAAAAGAATCATAATATTTTATCCAAATATCTTATGTACTTCAATTTCTATGGTTGGGAAAGGGTAAATTAGAGGTACATATCGTTAGATGGGCAGTGAGAACTATTGTTCAATAAATCCTCTCAGACGAAATTTTTTCCTTTTATAATGTTTGAAAAACAGGTCCATGCATATATTATATTTCTACCACATTTCACTTTATTATTGACAAAATCAGGTTCATATAATAATGTTTGAAAAACAGGTCTATATATTAATAATGTATTAACAAAATAAAAGTAAAACAGACATTACTTGCCCAATAAAATATGATCCAGATATTTGCTGGACGTGGACGATCGGCCACAAAATCAATCTATATAATTAATTCCATTGCCCTAGGGCCTAGGGTGATCATCACCGTACCATCCATTTCGTCGGTGAGATCAAATCGTAGATTCGTCATGCAATGCTAGCTTTCAACGTTTTTCACGAATACATGCACCATAAATTTGTTGGTCACCGGAGAGCTTAATTAGGACATGTCCTTGTCGGTACAGGCACGTCAGAAGACTGAGAGGGAATATGAAAATACGTCACGATTGTTTATACAAATTGTAATAAGTTGTATTAATCAACAAGTTAGTTCGTTTTTATTAATGAATTACTTGAATATTTATTTATTAACTATATACTTTAATATTCATTTTTTTTATAATGGCAAATTTATTTATTAACTATACTTTAACATTCATAATAAATATATATATTTATATCATATAAAAGTAAACGTCTATCTCTGCAACCGTAGATTAACAAGATTGTGTGTACAATGTGGAATGTCTGGATTGCTCGTAATGAAATGGTCTTTGAAGGAAAAGTGTTCTCCCCGCCTACTGTGGCAATTCTATCTGATAGAAATTTTCAAAGGGTTAAGGAAGCGTGGACTTCAGGCACGGTTTCCCCTTCTTCCAGATCAGCCGGTTCGCCTTCTCAGCTTGGGAGTTCTCCGTCGACGATCTTATCACCGCCTGGTCCTTTTAGTAAGGTTGTGCATTGTGATGGTTCCTTTGTTTCTGATGCACAGGTGGCGGCATATGGTATTGCTATTGCTAATTCCCACGGGCAGGTTATCGACGGGAAAGCTGAGAGATTCTTTTGTTCTTCTCCGATTCAAGCGGAAGTTGTTGCAATTCTTAATGCAGTTATCTTGGCAGCCCTGGATCCAGTCCCAACGTGTGTCCGATCGGATTGTCAGAGATTGACGATTGCGTTGAAACAGGATCCGAGCCTTTGGCCTTAGCAATGTCGGGAAACTCTTGCCCGGGTTGTTTCCATTCTCAGTGTCTCTCCGTGGATCGTGGATTCGTGGTTGAGTTTGTTCCCTGTCGAATCAATGCCTTGGCGGATTGGATTGCGAGAAACGCTCGTCTTGATTTCCTTCCTCCTGAATGGATTGTCATTGCTGATCTTGTCGCTCCATTATTGTAATTGTATTGCTTCCCACTTATGTGAGTTTTGAATGAAATGATGATTGATGTTGTAAAAAAAAAAGTAGACTGAGAGGGAGAAGAAAGAATTGGTATATTCTGTTTTTTAGGGTCCTTTTTGTTTGAGTTTCAACTTCACCCCTCACCCTTCCTAAACCATGCTTACCTACTGCTTCTCACATCCTTAAACGCCTAAGCGACTCCTAGCGCTCCTTTCCATCCCAGAAATTAAGTTATGCATACCAGTTTTTTTTTTAAATATATCAAAGTGAATATTGTATTTGCATTGTATTTTTGTCAATTTTTTTTGTTGAAATTTGAGTTAAAAATAGATACAATCCGCTAAAATATAATTGGAGTATAGTTATTCATAATTCATAAAGTAGAAGATAAACATCTATCATAATGAGCACTTCTACTATGCTATATAGCATTGGTGCTTTAATGTACAACTCAAAGTTGTACCATAACATTAAATGTATAAGTTTAGGCTGTACCATAAAGCAATTTATACCATTATGTTATGGTACAACTTTACAACTTGAAGTAGTTGTACCATCACATAAAGGTACAAGTTCAATTTGTACCATAAAAGAATTTGTACAAAAAGTATAGATACAATCTAAAGTTGTACGATAACGTAAATGTACAATTTTAAGTTGTACCATAAAGGCAGAAACCTATAGCACCAATACTATATAGCATTGTAAAATTTCCCCTATCATAAGATGAATTTAAAGATTCTTATATCTAGAAAGTTGGAAATAAATATATATTTTTAAAGCACTTGGTCCCTCTCTTTGTACTAATTATTCTAAAATTTAATCATCTTTCATATGCCAAAGAAGAAGAAGAAAGGTTTGGAAACCATTAAGCTGAGGGTATGCTGTGCTGTGTACACATGAATGTGGTTATCATTAAAATGTGGAGGCAGTACTAAAGGACTTGGTCCCTCTCTTTGTACCTTTTTCTCCTCATGTAGTAAACTTTAATCATCTTTCACATGCTAAAGAAGAAGAAGAAAGGTACGGAAACGATTAAGTTGAGGAGGCTCCTCCTGTGTACACATGAATGTGGTTGTCATTAATTTCGTGGTCCGTTGGGTGGTTATCATTAATTGTGGAGCCATCACTGTGCCTTGAAAGCTGATGATGGAGAGAAGACGATGTTGTATATATGATCGGTATATATAAATATCATTCCATTTTGTATATATGATGGAGAGAAGACGATGTTATATTCATACAATCAATCAAACCAAAAATCATCAAATCAAATGGCCATCATACCACTACTTGCCATTTTGCTCCTAATTACCCTCCTCTCCTTCGTACTCCCATGGCGGCGTACTTCCATAATTAGTTGTATCAGGAACACAAACTTCTCCTTAATCGAATGGCCGGTGTTGGGTGTGCTTCCGGGCCTCCTTTGGAACGTGTGGACCGATAATCTCCATGACGCAGCCGACAGAACCCTCAAGGAAACCGGCGGCACGTTCGCGTTCAAAGGCCCGTGGTTCGCCAACATGGACTTCATCGCCTCCAGCGATCCCATCAACGCCCACCACATCTTCAGCAAGAGCTACGCCAAGTACAGGAAAGGCGAAGACTTCAAGGCCATATTCGAGTTCCTCGGAGAAGGCATCTTCAACGTTGATGGCGAGGCCTGGAAGTTCCAGCGGCAGTTGCTCCATTCCATCCTCAACAACGAGGAGTTGCAGAACCACATGACGACAACCCTAAAACTGAAGATGGAGGGCACCTTGTTCCCAGTTCTCGATGCGAGAGTCGGAGCCGAGGTGGACATGCAAGAGGTGGCAAAGATGTTCATGTTCGATAACATCTGCTTGTGGGTTTTGGGGTTTGATCCAGGTTAAACATTTACTTCCTTCCTACAATTTTATATATATTTGAGTTTATAAATCTAAGTATATATCGGGTCTTCGTTCAGATAATATTGATCCTCCATCATATCGCAGGTTACCTTTCTGTGGACGGACGTTCAGAGACATTCCCGTACGATAAAGCATTCGAAGAAATCTTTGAGGCAATCATATACCGACATATAGTGCCCAGAGGTGTATGGGAGTTCCAAAAAAGGTTCGGGATTGGTTCGGAGAAGAAGATTAGTCATAGTACGAAGGTGTTGGATGAATTCATATACAATGCTATCAAAATCAAGAAACAAGAGCTCCAAAAAGAGGAGCAGAGACAACAACACGACATGCTAACACAATGGATGATAGCTGGTCAGAATGGAGAAAGTTCGGACAAGTCTTTACGAGATATGGTGTTTACATTAATAGCAGCCGGAAAAGACACCCTATCTTCCACTCTCAGTTGGCTGCTCTGGTTGGTTGCGACCCACCCTGACGTCGAGAGAAAGATTCTCGAGGAGATCGAACGAGTAACCGCCATGGCTGGGCGACAGGAAAGTGATAAAGGGACATCCATGTTTTTGATAAGTAAGGATGAGTTAAATGGGCTAGTGTACCTTCATGCGACCATCTGCGAGACGTTGCGGTTCTACCCACCCGTGCCATTCGAACACAGATGCGCCAATGAAGCTGATGTGCTCCCTACTGGTCATAGAGTTCAAAAGGGCATGAGGATGTTGTTCTCCATATACTCCATGGGGAGGATGGAAGAGATATGGGGTAAAGATTGCATGGAGTTCAAACCTCAGAGATGGATTTCAGAAGAAGGGAACATAATCCATGTTCCGTCGCAGAAGTTTATGGCTTTTTTGACAGGACCAAAGACTTGTTTGGGGAAGACGATGTCTTTCATGCAACTCAAGTTCATTGTTAGTGCTATTTTGTGGAAATACAAGCTTGATATGGTAGAGGGTCACATCGTGAAGCCAACACCTTCTATTGTATTGTCGATGAAAGATGGCTTGAAGATGAGAGTTTCCAAAAGAGATGTTTAGTTTCTTCCTACAATATTGTGGTCTTTGATAAATAAAGATTAAAGGTGTAATTATAGGGTGTGATCTAGATGGTTATTTTTTTGCGTCATTTCAAATAAATAAAATTTACGTCTCCATCTCTCACTCTCCTCTGACTTAGTGATTTAATCTTTTCCAGACGATTCTTAATAGAGTATTTTGAGAGTGACATTCTTGTTAATTTGGATGATTAGTGTATTCTAAATACTTGTTAGAATATAAAAGACGTGTCATATATCGTTGTAAAACTGTAATAAAGGAAATGTTTTTATTTTATTTTTTTTAGCTTGGATCTATCGAAGATAATTAAATTCCTGACCACTAATAGATACTCATATCCCTGACCCGATTTCAGTGGTCCCTTGTAGCAATAATGCATGAGGGTGGCTATTCTTGAGTCTTGACCATCCAAAATTTCGCCGGTTGCCCTAGTGGTGGGTCGGATCGATCGTGGCTAGCAGAAACTTATGCAATGCTAGCGTTAATGGATCTGTTGAGTTTAATGATAGTCATTATTAATAACGCACACTTAATCAAATATGGTTCAACCTGTTATATATGGTTACACCTATATTTTATTCAAAAGTATTATTATAGTAATTTTTTAATAATCAACAAAAAGAAAAAAATAGTTGTTTCTAAAAAACTGTAAGATGGAGAAGTTCGACTCCATTCTCCCCATGGATATCCAGAGGCAGATCATGGTGCGAGTGGTCGATCCCCTTGCGACGGAAGATGACACGCTGATCTGGAGAGCGCATACCAACTGCTTCAACCTCTTACCGATGGCAGCACCCAACGGATCTGGAAGACAATCTGGCGACTCCCGGTGCCGGAGCGAGTTCGATGCTTTGTTTGGTTGGTTGTGCAGGGGACGATAAGTTCAAACGAGGAAAGAACGATACGACACCTGACGCGATTCTTGCTATAGATGTTATACCCAGACAGAGACGCTCCCTCATCTTTTTAGGGACTGCCCGCCGGCAGCATTTCTATGGAATCGCACTACCCGGGCGGATACGCAGCACGCGTTTTTTAGTCGTTCGTGGGACAGCTGGCTGGAGTACAATCTGACCTGTGAAGAGCTCTCACCAACCGGCCTCCCCTGGAACGTGTTCTTCGGTATAGCTTTGTGGTGCATATGGAAAAACAGAAACGAAGGCGTGTTTCATGGAGTGGACAAGTCTCTTTCTGTCCCTTCCCTCGTCCAGGCGGTCAGAATCAAGGGTGAGCTTTGGTTTCGTTCATGGAATGCCCCGTGTCCGCTGATGGGGCGAACAAGGATGGCTCCTCACCGCACCCTTTCCCAAATTGGTTGGAAGCCACCACCGGCTGGTTGGCGGAAACTCAATGTTGATGGTCCGGCAAATGGTAGCCAAGGTATAGCTGGAGCAGGTGGGGTTCTACGAGACGCAAACAACAACTAGATTGGAGGTTTTGTCTCGAGTTTGGGGTTGTGCTCAGCCACCATGTCAGAGCTATGGGCTATTTATCATGGACTCAAACTGGCGTGGAAGCTCAGGTGTAGAACCCTCATTGTAGAATCAGACTCTTAGTTGGCCATTCAGCTTGTGAACAACAGGATAGATCCTCTCCACCCTTATGCGACCCTCTTAGTAGCTATCAGGCGAAAGATTGCTCAAGACTGGATTGTGAATCTAGTTCATGTATACCGAGAAGGGAATAGAGTCGCGGACTAACTCTCGAATCACAGTCTCGTCTACCCCTACGGTATGCACGAATTAGAAACACCTCCTAATGAGCTTCTCTCGTTGCTTCAAGATGATCTCAGAGGCACTACTTTTGCTAGAAGCATAGTGTCCCCTACCACCCACCCTTAATCTCCCCTCGACTCCCTCTTCCTTCTTTGGCCTCGTGCCTCCTGTAACGCAAAAAAAAAAAAAATACAAAAAAATACAAAAAAACTGTAACACCTCGAATTTTGACTATAGGTTCAACCCATAATAAATATATGGTTGGTCAAAGATTAGATACGAGAACCCCCAAACCATATCGAGATTGAAAAGGGGCCAAAACCGGGTCAAGCAATTAAGTTATTGGGTCTCTCAAGCATATCGAGATAGAAAATTTACTTCGTAAAAGTTTAATCATATATTTTTTATTTAAACAAATGTGATATATGTCACTCTCTATATTTCTTATTTATATTTGTTAACTTAAAAAAAATTTATTATTTGTATTTGTTTGGTTAAGTTTATCAACATGTAAACTTATCATTAAAGCAAAAAAAAAGGAATAAATGGAAAAATGGAAAAAAATTTATTGATAAAATAAATGAAAATATTAAAGAAGAGAGATAGTTTCATAAATACATTGATAACTAATTTTTTTTTTTGTTTGTAAAAAAGATGTCCAACTTGACAAATTGTGGATCCTTTAAATGCTTATGTGGCAAGAGATTGCTTTTGAATTGCCATAATATAGATTTTATACCAACATTGAACTTACGATTTCTTCCATCTTATGATAATTGAAACAATATTACTAAAATGCAATTTTTCTTTCACAATAAGTAGTAAATTGAAGCGAGACATTTGGAGAATTACATTAATATTATATCAACCGGTGACAATTTCCATCGATCGTAAAGACTTGCAACCAAATGTAAAGAATTTCAAGTACAAATGAGCTTGAATTTCAAGTAAATTTAAATCAATGGTTAATATCAGGGTCATGATAGCACTTGAACACGTGATAAAAATAACTCTATTATCATATTATAAACCAACTAATACCACTAAATCGCGAGTTGTCGGCGGGTTAATGCCTATATATGAATCTTTATAACTTTTTTCCAAGGTTATTAATTAGTTGTTTAAGATAGAAAATACAGATTGTTACCTATTCATTTATAAACACATTCAGCGAGCCAATGCGCTATTTATTTAATTAGCTGGGTAATAAGTGATAAATATAGTCTATAAGTAGCGGGAATTCTACTATACCGTCACTGTACCGTGCCGTCCATAAATAACAGGTGATTGCCGGTTCTCTTTAGTTATTTGTTTTTTTTATTGCCAGCTGTCGTTTCTTCTCTTCACTTTATTTTTTTTATACTGTTTATTACCATTGTTCCATGAAAAGAATATAAAGCAGAATCACGGTCTCGAAGATTCAATTAAATTTCTATTGTGAATTTGTTTTAATTAGTTTATTTATGGTGCTCCAAATATTTATAGAAGTTTAGTAAATACTCCATTTAATACACTTATATATATCCGTATGTATTTTACTCGTTTAAAACTTTCGTATTCATATTATTGTCAATTTGTTTTATTTTTTCTGTTTATTTGATGGCTCTTGTACTAAACACGTATAAAACCCGTATAACACGTTTAATATCCTTATTTAACGAATTAAATTATAAATTTTAATATTATTTATTTATTTTTAAAATAATTTATTTTTATATATTTATGACTATTAACGTACTATTTATGTACCATTAGCTTAGAGACAATATAAATACTCGAACGTATATTTTATGTAATTTTCCTGTATTGTATTTTACTAACTATGGAAGTTAGTAGCGTAGTGTTAACAAATATGATTTTTTTTATATGAAAAAATAGGGATGTCTATGTATGGGTCAACCGCCAAATTATAATGATTTATTTTACATAAACTTTAATTATTACTAAATTAAAATTATTTCCATAAATTTTACCTCATTTACAACATAAATGATATGTTTATTATTTAAAACATATAATAACTATCCATAAAAATGTTTCTTGTTCACAAATATGATGATTGATATTAGATTGGGCTATAAAGTATGTTTAATGGTTATCAATTTTCTAACTATTATCCTTATCTTTCCAATTTAGATGAATCCTTAAACAATTTGTAAAAAATATCAAAACATGACAGTATTAGTTATACAATAGTTTTTAGGTGAAATTTACACAAAAATTATATTTTAGTTGTCCAATTAAAAATATTGAATAGTTAGAATCGTATAATCGAATGAAAAATGTTGGGAAAAAGGTAATGGGTCTTCAAGAACTGTAAGTAGTAAGTAGACCTGGCAAATTACGATTCGGTCCGTTAACCCAATCCGATCCATTCGAAAAATAGAAGTTTTTATAACCCGAAATCCGAATGATTCGAACCTGATTAACACGTGTTTTTTGGGTTGGATGGGTTACCCGTTAGACCCGTATCATTTCATTTCACTTCAAAAATGATAAAATCACTTATAAATTGGTGAGATATTTTTAAAAAAAAAATCACAAGGATTTGTAAGACATGTTTGAAATTTAAGGATAATCAAATATCATGTGTTTCTTGTGATTTTTTTCTTACATAAGCATGAGAAGATTTGAGAACATGTTAATTGACACGTTTTAGTATTTTCGAGTCAAATATTGAAACTTGATGGGTTGGACCAATATTTGACCCAAAATCAACCAAATCAATATGACCCGACCCATAACCCGAGGCCCCAACCCGAACCGATTGCCAGGTCTAGTAGCAAGAGCCAACTGTTGCTAAATGTTGGGAATTCTTTACGTATTCGGTTTCCATTCATCTTATTAAAAACTTTATGTATATCTAAATCATTTAGCTATAAGGATCATTAGTTGGATAAATTTATCACAACCACTGTATGAATGGTTTGTAGACTATACCATTAGACTAGAAACTTATAGAGATTGTATTTTTTGTTTCAAAATAAATAATTCTATTCTACTTTTAATTAAGAAACATAACATGTAGTGGCGGAGCCACGTTATTAGTTATTGGTAATAGTTATAAATATAGCTAAAATTACATATAATTTTTTTGAGAAATAGAGTAATTAGTAAGAAATTAATCTCTCTCCAATTACCACGATTCAAATATCTTTAATTTATATTCTCTCATTTGAATTTTTAGGATAATTTATACTTAATTTTGTGAATACATGATGAAAATATTTAAAGTTTTAAAGTAATACTATCATATTTAGTTTGAAGATTTCCAACCAAAATCTGCATTTTTATTGTTTTTCTACGGGCCCATATTAATGAAAAATAATGGAACAAAAGTGGAAAACATGAAAACAAAATATTACACGACCTTTATGTAAAGTATTGAACAATTTTTTAAATTACAAAAAATTGAAAATGCTTTTGCTTGTTTCCACAGCCCCGGCAACATAAAAAGCCAAAGACCGGCTATAGCCGGTAGCATGTAGACTGCACCGCTACAGTGACTGCACTACAGAATTACCCCTATAAGTAGTACTCTGAAGCGAGAGAGGAGACGTTAACTAATTTTTTCAATATTAATATATTAATATTTTATAAATAGACCCACCTTAACTAATTTGTGGCTACACCCTTTACTACGTTATGAGTCAACCAAGTGCAACTTAATAAGCTTATATCTTCCCATTGTACGGGAGATCAGCTAAGTAAGCTCAACTTCTTAAGTCAAGTAAGCAAGTACAAAATTAAGTATGTCTCTCCATGGTATGAGAGGTTGTTCAAGCAAGTACGTATAAAATATCAAGTTAATAAGTAAAAATAAGAACCCTCCCTTAACTAGTCTCACGCGGCCACCTTACTCCTTGTAGATGAGGAGCACCTTGTAGATAGGGCTGGTAAATGGTTATCTGGTTAACGGTTTAACCGGTAACCGTACCAGTAACAGGCGATTACTTGTTAACCGTTAACCGGGCGGTTACGGTATTCGATAGGGGTAACAAAGCTGATGGTATACCGAACAAGACCCGGTTAATAATCTGCGATTAATCAGTTTAATGCATATACAATATATAATCAAAAACAAATTTTTCCATCAGTTTAATGCCTTCCGTCCTCTCCTATGTTCTCTCCTCTCTCTCCATCTCCATCGAGAAACAATTCTCTTCAAACCCATAAACAGATGAAACCCCTCCTCCTCTCTTTCTCGATTCGTTGACCTAGACCACGTCGTCGCCGATTCGTCATCTCAGAGGGTGTCCGATACGTCGCCAGATCTGGAAATAGCTGTTGAAACTGAAAGAGCTGTGTTCTTCGTCGGCTCGTTTGTGCTCACCCAACCACCGCCTTTCTCCACTCCTCTGCCACCTTCGCCGTCGCTGCTGTGGAGAACCCAGAACCCAATTCTAGATTTTATGGGAAAATACGACGAGTCGCTCTCGATCTGCCTCTCGATTCCAGATCGGATGCCATGCAAACTCTTCACGTGGCGGCTCTCTCTACCTCTCGAGGCTAGATCCGGCGACATGCTATCTCCCTTGCGCGGCGGGGCTTAGTCCCTCTCGATTTTTGATCCAGATACGGGATACACCGCCGGTGACTCGCTCTCCCTCTCGAATCCATATCCAGTGCCATGCAACTCCCTTGCGCGGTGACGCTCTCTTCATCTCGAGGCCAAATCTCTTTTCACTCTCGATTTCAGTTTCGGAGCCGCGGCCGGGACATGATAATGATCACTCGCCGCTGGGAAAAATTCATCATTGCCAGGGTTATCGAGTTACCGGGTTCGTTACCGGTAACCGGCTATTCGATAAACGGTAAACCGTCTATTTTTCGGTACCAGCAGTCGGCAGTGGTTTTCCCTAATCCTGTATACCGTTAACTGGAACCGATTACCGGTTAACCGGTAACCCACCGATTACCAACCCTACTTGTAGATGAGGGCTCATGATATGTATGTCATGATCGGTGCCGGAAGTGGTCACTATTACTCCCTGTAGATGGGGAGGTATGTTATGTTACTCCTTGTAGATGAGGAGGTTATATATGTTCATGTACGATGGTGCCAGACGCTTGTGTTAGTTAAGTCGAGGGCGGGATCCCATTTCAAGTTAAGTAAGGAGAAAAGAGTATAAGTGAGAATATGATAATAATAATAATAATAATAATAATAATAATAATAATAATAATAATAATAATAATAATATACTAACAGTAATGTACCCAATAACGTATCATAAGCATCACATGTGCATATTATGCTCTTAAGTCTGACAACGAAATTAGAATTTGGACTGACCCCATCGACCGCATTTGCAGGGATCGTAGAAGCTCCATAAGAACGCTCAGAAATTCAGCAGCTCCTGACAAGGATCAATGGCTCTAGAGGACTCCAACAGGAAGACGTTAACTTTGGGTATACCTTAGTAGGACGAGAGACTTGATGCGGTTTTATGAAAGATGTTTATTAAGACAAGTATTTCATGATTGTTCATATTTGAAGTATTATTTAATATGTTATATTTCCGCTTCTCTTCAAAGTATTTAATGCTAAGTATTTATTAAGGGTATTTTAATAAAAGTAGTGTTCGACCGAGCTAGGATGTTACAAAATCACTCCAATTTTTTTTTTTGTTTTTGGACGAATCCATTTGATAATTTGATAGAATGAGAAATGTGGGTAATAGTATTCTATATTTGGATTTTCTTAAAATTATTTTGGACGGATCCTAAATTCGATCAAAGTTGTAGCTTTGCTTACCGTTTTTGCAAAATTAACTTTGATTTAACTTATGATTATTGACCGCAACTAAAATCATTATTGCATACCAGAGCAAAATATTTTCGGACTCCTTATTTTGGGAATTCTCTAACTATGACAAGAAACAGTCCATACAAACCGATTAAATTCACCCTACATCATAATGAGATGGATTTTATTGAACTGTTTTGGATGGATTTCATAAATTACCCATTATTGATGCGAAAAATTACGACTCGATCAGAACTCGCCTGAAAAATAAAAAATCGGTTGAAATTTTTATAACTCAAAACCCGTATGACTCAAATCCGATAAATCCATAGTTTTTGGGTTGGGTTGGGTTGGGTGGGTTAGTGGGTCGATCCTCTTAGACCCATTTCATTTATATGTCATTCTCAAAATGATAAAATCACTTATAAACTGGTGAGATATTTCAAAGTTTTCATAAGGATTAAGAAAAATTTAGAGTGCAAGGACAATTAAACATCATTTGTTTCTTGTAATACTATTACTTACGTGATTGTTTATTAACTGTTTGTGCAATTTGTATTTCTTTTCATTAGCATACAAGTAGTTAAGAATTCGTTAATTGACATGTGTTAGGTAATACATATGTGAAAATTTGTGTTCTTTAGCAATTTTTGAAGTATATTTAATATTGTTTCGGGGAACGATCAGGACCGAAACCTAACCCGAAACTCGGTAGATTGGGTTAACATTTGACACAAAATAAGCCAACCCAATATTGGCACGACTTGTGACGACCCGTAAACCGAGATTCTCAACCAAATTACCTAACCCGATCCGATTGTCAGGTTTGATGTTTGTGGGTGTTGTTAGTGGAAAAGACCATAGCTAGAGTATCCGGTTGCGTAATGCGTAGTACTAATATGTTCGTATCATTACGTGTGGTAATGCCCATGGTTCAAAAAGGCATGCTTAACCGTACGCTTAGGCACACCTAGGTGCAAGGCAATGGCAAAACGCCTCGCCTAGAGGTTTCGCGCCTAGTTAGATACTAGAACATGTCAATGGAGTAAGGTGACATATAAGTCTCTCCTAAACACAACTAGATGGAGCTAGAAAGTCAATATTAAAGTAGAAAATTAACGTCAATTACGAAATCAATTTTCTATTTCAATATTTTCAATAGCTCAAGAACTTTGTGAGCTATTGAGTTATGATTCTACGAATTCGAGCGCTATGATCTAGTCATTAAGTGTTGAGTACGTTCTTAATCATTTTAACTGAAGTGAAAAAGTGTTGTAGATTATTATTTCATTTATCATATCGTGCGAATAGGCATTTTTGTTCCAATGCCTAGGCATGCTTAGTCTACGCCTAGGCAAGCTAGGCGCTGGGCAAAGGCTCAACGCCCACCTTTCGCCTAGCGCTTTTTTGAACCTTGATAATGCCAACGAGATTGTAGTTATTGTTAGGTATTTGTCGTATATCCTTGGCGACTAAGACACAACAATATAGCGCAAATATGAGAAGAGAATACCCCTTTTTAATTAGAGTGGCGCCCTACATCCTTTCAACATAGATAGAGCCATTGTCATTTGATCAATGTTGTCAGAACCGAACCGGAGCATGACCCGGTAATGCGAACGGCTCTCACTTTAGTGGTCCAACCGGCATTAGACCGTTTAAAAATTGTTAGAGAACTGGTACCTAATAAACATTATCAGTATAAATAGTGGACATTTCTTAATCTGAGCTCGTCTCTTTCCTTCGAAATTGTGAAATTGAAATAAGGATTCAGTTTGAGAACCCGACATTTTTGGTTTATTTCAATTTTATGTAATTTTTTTAATTAAATTTAATGGCTCATGGCAAAAACCGGACGAGCGGCTCGATTGGTTCGAGCGGTTAACCCTTAACCGCCTCGGTCGCTCATCAACCGCTACATAAAACCGAAGCGGCTTTTAGACTGTTCCGAACCGATTTTGTGACCGGGTGGGCGGTTTCACCGGTCGGACCGAGCGACTAGGCTCGGCTTTAATAACACTGCATTTGATACAAACCCATGTGATCCTTATTCGCTTATGTCCCAGCTTTATTGTACCATGCTACCTATTCACTGGCTTATATTTGGAATGCATTATTAGGGACCCCATGTATAGAACTAGCTACCACGACTTTTTTATCACCATTTATTTCAATCAGATGATTAGTTGTTAAATAATTCATCATAAAGTTTGCTTGTTTGGTTTTCTTATCAAGAGCCACCTAAATTTTGTTGGTTGGAATAGCACCACGAGTCTGATTGTTTCGTTTTAGTCTATTAGTATCTCCCAAGCCATATAGCTACGTACTAATCATAAATCAATATCAGGTAATAAGTCACATACAGAAGAATGTGGGTTGTTGCTATTTTGCTACCAGCTTTCTTCTCCTTCATATTCTTGTGGCTCTACATAGCATTTATCGCCAGGAACAAAAGTTCTTCCGCCATCGAATGGCCAGTGGTGGGCATGCTTCCGGCCCTCCTTTGGAACGCAACCACCGATCTTCACGGCTTCATCACTCGACTCGTCAAAGAAAGCGGCGGCACGTTCGTGTTCAAAGGCCCCTGGTTCGCCAACCTGGACATCGTCGTCACCAGCGATCCGATGAACGTCCACCATGTCTTCAGCAAGAACTTCGCCAACTACGGGAAGGGTGAAGATTTCAGGACCATATTTGAGGAGTTCCTTGGAGGAGGGATCGTCAATTCGGATGGCGAGTCGTGGAAGATTCAACGGAAGAGGATCCATTCCTTCTTGAGCAAGGACGGCTTCAAAAACTACGTCATGGCGACGCTTCATCAGAAGATGGAGGAAACATTGTTCCGAGTCCTCGACGATGTTTGTTCGTCACCGGGAGTTAGGGGTGAGGTGGACATGCAAGACGTGGTGAGCAGGTTCATGTTTGACTATGTCTGCATGTGGGTCTTGGGATTCGATCCAGGTAATTAAATAAAGTATTAGGATTTGGAACATGATTAAGTCTTAAGAGTTAATCAGCCTGACTAAAAATTGCTTTGTGGATTAATTTGGATTCATTGAGATTCCATGCCCCAATGAAGGAAAATCTTCAACCTGGCAAGTTTAGGTTGCGACTGTCCTTTAAAAAGATGCGGTGGCTTCAATAAAATTTTCAATCCTTTTGAAGTATTAGAGACGGCTCACTATCAATTTATACCTCTTTCAGGTTACCTTTGTGTTGACAGACATTTAGATACCTTCTCATGTGGCAAAGCATACGACGACATTGAGGAGGCCGTCGTATACCGACATATTGTCCCAAAAGGTGTATGGAAAATTCAGAGAATATTTGGGATCGGATCGGAGAAGAAATTTAGTACAAGTATTGAGGTATTGGATAAGTTCTTGTACGATGTCGTGAAAACCAAGAAACAAGAGTTCTACAAAGAAGATAAACGCCTACAACTTGAATTGCTAACACAATGGATGGTAGCAGATGAAAGAGGAGAAAGTTCAGATAAATTTCTACGGGACTTTGGAGTGACATTAATAGCGGCAGGGAAAGACTCTGTGTCTTCGGTTCTAACTTGGTTGCTCTGGTTGGTTGCAATCCACCCTCAGGTTGAGAAAAAGATTATCGAGGAGATTGAAAGAGTAGTGGTAATGGCTAAACGACGACCAAATCCTAGAGAAGGACGATTGTTAGGAGTTTTCATGATCGATAAAGATGAGATGAATAGACTTGTATATCTCCATGCAATCATCTGCGAAACATTGAGATTGTACCCACCCGCACCATTCGAGCTAAGATGTGCCATTGAAGATGATATGCTCCCTAGCGGCCATCTCATTCACAAGGGTACTAGGATTTTGTTCTCCATATACTCCATGGGGAGGATGGAAGAGATATGGGGGAAAGATTGCATGGAGTTCAAGCCTGAGAGATGGATTTCGGAGCAAGGGAGCTTAATCCACATCCCCTCATACAAGTTCATTAATTTTTTGGCAGGGCCAAGGTATTGTTTGGGGAAGTCGTTGTCTTTCATGCAACTCAAGTTCATTGTTAGTACTCTTCTATGGAACTACAAGTTTGATATGGTAGAGGGTCAAATCGTCAAGCCACTTCCTTCTACTATGTTGACAATGGAAAATGGTTTGAAGATGAGAGTTTCCAAGAGAGATGTTTAGTTAGTTTCTTCTTAATAATTGTGGTTTGCAATAAATATTGGTACGAGTTGGATTGCTTTTAAACTAAAGTTGTTATTATTGCCTTATTCAATAAATATATTGTCTGGTACCACTTGAATATGACATCTTTCTAGACAATATCACCAAAATTCTCCTGTCTGTTGTTTCTCTTTTCCCGAAGCAGTAAACACAGTTTTAATTTCTCCAATAAGAACAGAATTCGACTTTGTATCGGACGAGAACGATCATAAATGTCTAAAAGTTGTTGCACATATTTATGATGATAAACATATTTAGTCGCAAATTCGACATATTCAGCGGCCAAAAGTTAGACAGTTGGTCACAAAAGACAATTTGTTTTCTGTCTCCTCTCATTGTTAATGCAAAGCATCCATTTCTTCCTTTTATAGTTCATTCAGTGGAATAAAATAAATATTGACTTTTTCAGCTTTCAAAATAGAATACAGAGCATGTAGAGGTGGCAATTAGGATCCAAATCCATGAATCCAATCCAATCCATTCACCAAATTATCCACTTAATCCAATCCATTTAAATCCAATCCATTTGATCCAAATCCAATTGGATTGGTGGGTTCATGGATCAATCCATGGATCCAAATGGCAAATTACGATTTGGTACCTATATTTTTATATTTTATATTTTGGTACCTAAAATTTATATTTTTATACGAAAAATATCATTGGAAAATTACATTTTGGTACCTAAAATTTTTCATTACGACATTTTAGTACCTAAACTTTTCAAAATTTACATTTTGGTCCAAGCTTTGGATGTCATTTGGATTCATGGATCAATCCACCAATCCAATCCACGAATCCACGAATCCGATCCAATTGCCGCCTCTAAGAGCATGTGATGGTTTTTTATACCTCTGTTCGTTATGAATCACTTAAAGCTTCATTTACTTCTTTAATTATCATCATAAGATGGCAATAGTGACGAAACTATGTGAATATAGGAACTAAAATCCTCCTGAATACTGAATCCAACGTCAAACAAATTAACTTACTAAACATAAAGAAAATAAAATCCTTGTTAAAAATGTTCATCTTCTTAAAAACATAAAGAAAATAAAACTCGACATTGATGATATTATTGAGATCAATTGGTATTTGACTCTTTTTTTTTTTATGTATTGATCAAGATGTGAACATGGACTGAAGCTCCTTATGATACGGACTTGTATCTCTATTAGTGTATCTGTTTGTGAACATACTATCATTGCTCTATAATTGAGAAAGCTATATTTTTTTTCCTTTTGTATTGAGAATTTTTGCCTTAGACATTTCAAATCTTTAAAATCTACGGGTATCAAAACTTTATTGATTCGTAATTTTTTTCCTTTTATTATATCTCTTCGTTTTATTTATTTATCGCATTAAATATATTTATCAACAAACTTATCAATGTTTCTCGAATCTCTCTAATTTTTTTAATCAAGGATAAACATGTTATTTAATATAAAATTATAATTTTTATTTTCATTGAAGCTTAACAATCACAGTTACCATACAATAAACATTTTAAAATCTATTTCAACTTTTCGAAGAGGAAGAATCTTTAGATTGTTAACAATCTATCAATTTAAACTCATATTCTCCAAATGAACCCTAAGTGATTTGTTCGTTAACATAGTAACGGAGTCTCTGACCGAGAAGCCTTGGTTTCGTATCGTTATGACAACCCTCAGTATAAACAATGGTTTATTACAAAGAATAATATGACCAATCTGTGCAAACTTAAAGTCTAATGATTTAGCAGCACAAAATAATATGTTTAAACCTGTACAAACTCTAAAAAATCAAATGTAGCCTTTAGCTTAAGAGACCGTGTAAGAGATAACAAAAATTCTAAACAAACATTTCCTCAACAACTCAAATAATTAAAAAGACTAATTAAGTGGTGGTATGTGGTTGATGGATCTAGTAACATGAATTCTCGCTAGGCCATCAATAATAATGAATCTACCTACCGATCGCGACCAACAAATATGATGTGATGAGTAGTTGTTGGATTGGGCGATCGAGCTGGAGAACTATAGACCACAGAATCTATCTATAGAATACAACTACATGATTCATATGGATATGGCCCGGTGAATTGATCATCACCGTCCATTTCGTCGGTTGCCTCTGGTGGTGAGATCGTAGTCACCATGCAATGCTAGCTTTCACCTTTGAGCCATTTTACTCTCTTCTAAACTATTAGTGGTTCGAAATACAAGCTAAGTTAAATGTGTATACTGACATCAAAAATACAAATTTATTTTTCATTATAAAGACTTTTATACATTTATGTACCAAATGTAAAGCCAGTGACAAGTAAGATAGAAATTTTATTAAGTAGTACTTTGAAGCATGGTCCATGAAACCGTACCGGAGACCGTACCGGGAAAGTCAGCGTTAGGGTATTTTATGGTAAAACCGTGGTTTAATCGTAGTTCAACCGTTATACCGATAAATACCGCATATCGGTTTAGCCTCCGATACTGATATTTAGTGGTTGAAACACCGGTACGGTACAGTTTAATGGACACTGCTTTGAAGTGAGAAAGGGAGGACCATTTCGATGGAGTATGAAGACTTGCAACCAACTTATTCGTATAGGCTGACTAAAGGAGCTTGGTCTCGCTCTCTGTGTACAGTGTACTTTTTCCTCTTATGCTAAATAAGACGACGAAGAAGAAGAAAGGTAGAGAGAATAGAGACACCATTAAGTTAAGTAGTGTCGTGGCGAAGGCAACACCACACGTACGTAGCTAAGTGAAGATTATAACATCACAACGTAACTCACAAGTTTGTACTGAGTTGGTTAGAGTCATGATGGATAGCTTTCACCTCTTCAATAGCTTCATAAATTTGGCTGGTTAATTGGATGCCTTGGTACACGTATGATTGCAACACAAGGTTTGAATTTGTGAGAAACCTTCCACGCAAATTCGATCGTTTGGATGGGTTTCTAGACTCATGCATTGCTTTCAAGCTTTGTTGTATCATAAATATTTTTGTTGGTTGGCCGTGGAGGACACATACACACCTGTCAATATTGATACATGCACGTCACAGTACGTAGTACTGTACTATATATACATACTGATACAGTAGTTGATAGGGGTGTTCATTCGGGTTCGGTTTTTCGGGTTTACCCGAAACCGACCCAATTATATACATTTTCGGTTTTTGGGTTCGGGTTTGTTATGGGTTTTTCGGTTTCGGGTTTGGTTTTGCTTATCGGTTTTTCGGGTTCTGTCTGAAAACCTCCAATGAATAGAACACAGCCTGTGTTCTTAGGCGTTTGGGTTTTCGGGTTTTGGTTTTGCTTTAACCGAACCCGATAAGAAATTTTCGGGTTTCGGGTAACCGAAACCCACAAACTCTTATCGGGTTCAGGTTCGGTTTTCTGTGATTTTCAGTTTCGGATTTTCGGGTTATTTCGGGTTTCGGTTCGGGTAACCAAACCCGACCGGAACTGACACCCCTAGTAGTTGATCGTTATATATAAAAAAATCACCCATGCAAAGGGCTATTAATAAATCAATTAAACCAAAAATCATCAATGGCCACCATTCCACTACTGGCCATTTTGCTACTAATTCTCCTCTCCTTCACATTCCTCCTATGGCGGCCTTCCATAGCTAGTATTAGGAACAAAAACTTCTCTTTGCTCGAATGGCCGCTGCTAGGCATGCTTCCCGGCCTCCTTTGGAACGTGTGGGCCGACGATCTCCATGGCTGCATCACTAGAACCCTCAAAGAAAACGGCGGCACGATCGTGTTCAAAGGCCCGTCGTTCGCCGACATGAACTTCATCGTCACCTGCGATCCCATCAACGCCCACCACATCTTCAGCAAGAGCTACGCCAAGTACGGGAAAAACGAAGATTTCAGAGCCATGTTCGAGGTCCTGGGAGACGGCATCTTCAACGTGGACGGCGAGTCGTGGAAGTTCCAGCGCCAGATGCTCCATTCCATCCTCAACAACGAGGAATTGCAGAACCACATGATGACAACCCTCAAGCAGAAGATGGAGGGCACCTTGTTCCGAATTCTCGACGATTATTGTTCATCCAGAACCGGAGCTGAGGTGGACATGCAGGACGTGGCAAAGAAGTTCATGTTCGACAACATTTGCCTGTGGGTTTTGGGGTTTGATCCAGGTTAAACATTTAGTATGATTTTGCACTCGAGTTTATATATAGTGCAAGTAATTGTGTCTTCGTTCAAATTATCAATCCTCGATCTATCGCAGGTTACCTATGTGTAGATGAGCGTTCAAAAACTTTCTCCTGTGGGAAAGCATTCGAGGAAATCGAGGAGGGGATCATATACCGACATATAGTGCCCAAAGGTGTCTGGGAGTTCCAGAAAAGGTTTGAGATTGGTTCGGAGAAGAAGATAAGTCTAAGTACGAAGGTGTTGGATGAGTTCTTATACAATGCCGTCAAGATCAAGAAACAAGAGATGCTGCACAAAGAAGAGCAAAGACAACATCACGACATGCTAACACAATGGTTGGTGGCTGACCATCAAAGCCCAGACAAGTTTCTAAGAGACATCGCGCTTACACTAATTTCAGCTGGGAGGGACACCCTATCTTCCACTCTATCTTTGTTGCTATGGTTGGTCGCGACCCACCCTGACGTTGAGAGAAAGATTCTTGGGGAGATCGAACGAGTAATTATAGTCATGACTAGGACTGCTAGAGGGACTTCGAGGTTTCTGATCAGCAAGGATGATTTAAATGAGTTAGTGTACCTTCATGCCGCCATTTACGAGACATTGAGGTTGTACCCACCATTGCCATTCGAGCACCGATGCGCCAATGAAGCTGACGTGCTCCCTAGCGGCCAAAAAGTTCATAAGGGAATGAGGATGTTGTTCTCCATGTACTCCATGGGGAGGATGGAAGAGACGTGGGGGAAAGATTGCATGGATTTCAAGCCTGAAAGATGGATTTCAGATGAAGGAAATATAATTCATGTTCCGTCGCAAAAGTTCATGACTTTTTTGACAGGACCGAGGACTTGTTTGGGGAAGGCGATGTCTTTCATGCTACTTAAATTCATGGTTAGTTCAATTCTATGGAACTACAAATTCGAAATGGTAGAGGGTCACATCGTGAAGCCAACACCATCCATGGTACTGTCAATGAAAGATGGCTTGAAGATGAGAGTTTCCAAGAGAAATGTATAGTTTCTTGTGAACAAGAACATGATCTAGTGGTACTACCAATTGAACCTGATTCTCTCGGATTCAAATCTCTCTAGTAGCAGATAATTATGAAAATAAATCTATATCAGCCTTATCTAAAAAAAGAGAGATGTCATTTTATTTCTAATCAATATTTATGGTCTTTAGTAAATAGAAATGAGTACGTATGGGTTGTGAGCTGCATGGTTGTTACTAGTGTCGTAATAAATAAAATGTGGGCTCCCATCTGTCTCTTCCTCTCTTGCTTCGTTCCAAGGAACATAGTATAATAACCAATAACAGATCTTTTTGGAAAGTTTTAGCCTAAAGTAAAATAATAATAATAATAATAATAATAATACATAGAAGCCTAGGTTGTGAGTTACTATTTATTAGTAACTCTCACACTCCTCCAAATGCAAGTGGGGAAGTTCCAAGTTGCTTCTTTTACCCCACTCTCCATTCTTGAACCTTTGTGTTTAGCTATTGCTAGCTAGGTTTACATCAATTGAACCCAAACCAATGTTGTTAGAACCGAACCGGAGCATGACCCGGTAACACGAACGGCTCGCACTTTAGCGGTCCAAGCGGCATTAGACCGTTTAAAAACCGTTAGAGAACCGGTATCTAATAAACGTTATCAGTATAAATAGTGGACATTTCTTAATCAGAGCTCATCTCTTTCCTTCAAAATTGTGAAATGGAAATAAGGATTCAATTTGAGACCCCGACGTATTTGGTTTATTTCAATTTTCAATTTTCAATTTTCTACAATTTTTTTAATTAAATTTAGTGGCTGGATGGCAAAAACCGGACGAGGGGCTTGATCGGCTCGAACTGTCTGAGCCGGTTTTGTGACCGGGTGGCGATTTTACCGGTCGGGCCGAGCGGCTCGACTCGGCTTTAATAACACTGACCCAAACACAAGGGTATCCTAACTTGAACCCAAGGAGCGGCCACGAGTTTTGTATCGGGACCGAATTTCATCTTCTTTAGTGTTTTTTCCTTTCTCCTTTTCCTTTTGTTGAGCATCATCACAATTGAACCCAAACATTAATTAATATATAAAATTCTAGGTTGTGAGTTACCACAAATTTTGTATCGGGACTGAGTTTCATCCTCTTTAGTGCTTTTTTCTTTCTTCTTATCCTTTTTGTTGACCATGATCACAATTGAATCCAAATCCATGGGTATCCAACCTAATTTAATTAGGTCAAAGCGATCGACTTGAAACTGACTTTAGTATTTATGAATTTCTCTTTTTTTTCTTCTTTTGGTTGGTAAGAGAATTGAACCCGAATCTAAGTTATTAACAAGTGTTGTATTGTGAGCGAGTTTTATCCGCTTTTATTATGATCTGGCATGTTTGGGATATCTTTGATATAGTGTCTTTTGGAGTATTTTGTAGCTTTTTACGGTGATATAGCGTTGAACTGGCTAGTGGTGCTTTGTTTTTGCCCTGCGCAGAGCCTATGAGGTCCACCTCGTTGTAACTAGTTCTTTTATTTCTACGTTATTAAAGCAACTGATTCAACGAAAAAAAGAGAATGACAATTGAACTTTGACCCATTGTTGACGAGTTTGATATCGAGAGCGAGTTTTATCCGCTTTTGTAATTAACAGGTTAGGTAAATTGTGAATTTGTTAAAACTAGGTCGACCCGGTCAGAGCGAGTTGAACGCAATGTTGAGAGTTTAGGGTCGTCAGTGAGTTTTATCCACTTTAGTATTTATTTTTTATTTTTTTTTCCTTTTGGTTGAGAATCACAATTGAGTTCAAATGCATAAGTATTCAACCTAATTCGACCTGACCAAAGCGACTTAAAAGTCGCTGTTTACAATTTTGGGCTAATAATTACGAAGAAAAAATGGCTGATAATAATTTTGTTAAGTGCGCGGCCAATATTGGCGTCACCAATATGGTCGCTATAGATATGGTCACAATAGCCGGTGACCAAACTAGGATCGAGAGCAAGAAAAGGTTACGTGGCTAATACTAACTACGGTAAAAAATTTATATGCGTCTGTTTTTCCATAGCCACGTAATTCTTAATACAGACGCAAAATTAGTAACTAGAAAAACATTACATCCGGAGATACCAATCATAACAACAATAGCAAGCCAACATCGAAAAATAAATGACAGCAACATAATAAGCTTTCTATATCACCAAATTCGATGCCCTCTTGGAAACTCTCATCTTCAACCCATGCTTCATCGACAATATCATAGATGGTGTTGGTTTCATGACGTGATCTTCCACCATATCAAGCTTGTAATTCCACAGAATAGCACTAGCCATCGACTTGAGTTGCATAAAAGCCATAGTCTTGCCCAAACAAGTCCTTGGCCCCGAGATAAAGGCCATGAACTTGTATGACGGAACATAGATTATGCTCCCTTGTTCCGAAATCCATCTCTCCGGCTTGAATTCCATACAGTTATTCCCCCATATCTCTTCCATCCTACCCATCGAGTATATAGAGACCAATATCTTTGTTCCCTTACGTACACAATGGCCTGTAGGGAGGACATCTCCCTCCACGGCGCATTTGTGCTCAATTGGGAATGGTGGGTACAACCTTAATGTTTCACATATGGTTGCATGGAGGAATATTAGTTTGTTGAGCTCATCCTCGCTCAGAAGCCCGCCACTTGATGATGTTGTTGTGGTCATGACTTGTTTGATTTCTTCAAGAACTCTTTTCTCGACATCTGGGTGGGTGGCAACCAGCCATAACAACCAAGTTAGAGCAGAGGACACCGTGTCTCTCCCTGCTACTATCAAGCTGATAGCAACATCTCTCAGAAACTTGTTTGAGAACTTCTCTTCCCCCACCAAAAGATGTGAGAACAAGTCGCGCCTCTCGGTAGTGGAATTATCGATATTGTTTCCCAATGTCGATAACTCTTGCTTCTTCATCTCGATGCTTGCATACAAGAACTCATCCAGAATCTTGCAGTACTTAGCCACCTTCTTCTCTACTCCAATCTGAAGCCTCTTTTGGAATTTCCACACCCACATGGGGACAACATGTCGGTATATAACTGCCTCTTCAATTTCATCAAATGCTTTCCCCAACAACAAGGCATGAAGTTCTGATGATGACAACAACTTGGAATCAGACCCGACATGGGAGAGGGAACATGGGTCAAATCCAAACACGAGCGAGCAAATATTGTCGAACACCAAATTTTTTGCCACATCCTGCATGTCCAAAATCTCGTCACTTTTTTTGCCCGATGCATAATCATCGAGCACACGGAACAGGGTGCCTTGCATCTTCACCCTCAGGGTTTGCATCACTAGATCCCCAAACTCCTTGTTGTTTATCAAGGAATGAATGAGTTGCCTCTGAAACTTCCATGACTCCCCATTGGCATTGAATATGCCTTCTCCTAGAGTCCCTTCCATTATGATCCTGAGATCTTCGCCCTTCTCGTAGTTGGCGAAGTTTCTGATGAGGATGTGACGGGCGTTCATGGGATCGCTGGTGACGATGTAGTCGCATGAGTTGAGAAACATAGGGGACTTGTTGACCGTTGTCCCGCCGAGTAGTTTGAGACGCTGAGTGGCGTAGTCGTGGAGGTTGGATATGTTCCAAAGCAGGTAGGGAAGCTCCCCGACCAGAGGCCACGCCATTGCTAGGATGATGATAAGGCAAAGAAAGGCTGAGAGTAGCATGATCATGATGATGATGGTGATGATTTGTGTAGGTAACTGACAGGAATGGTTCTTTATCAAAGCCAATGATTTAGAGGTGATGAAAGGACGAAATGGGGAGGTTAGCTTTATGAAGACATGTGGGACTGGGGGTGGCTTCTTGACTTCAAATCTTTGGGTTATTTTAAAAGCAAAATCATGTGACGAAAAAATATTTATCACGTTCTTTGTTTAAATTTTAGGGTAAACACAATATATTATCCACAACTATTATGAAGCAGGGAATTATAGCCACAACTATAAAAATTCAAATGATTAACCATAACTATTGTTGCGGATCAAGATATGGCTAACTGTCCATTACTTTTATTGAATTTTTAACTTAGAAGGTTGAATCATCGGCCACGGGAACAGCCACGTCGGACTGCTTTTGATTTATAACTTTGAAACATAAAAGTTTAGTCAATATTACTAACGAAATTGTTAACAAATAGTTAACGTTTGGCTAATAATTTGAATTTCCATAGTTATGGCTATAATTCCCCACTTCATAATAGTTGTGGCTAATATATTGTATTTACCCTAAATTTTTATATCAACAATTATCGAAATAGAAATAATAGTTTGTGACAAAAATTTGTTACATGGAATTCAATCTACGATGTGATTCTACTTGGCTACATTTAATAACCAAATTGCTAGGTTGATATGTCAATTTTTATTACGATGTTCGAGTTTTAGAATGATTAGAAGAGTTTATATTCGGATTGGATAGAAGTTTGTCAATAACATGCATTGACAAATGGTTTAACCACCATATATGATCGACATGTACGAATTTATTGCGCGGTAAACTGAATTTTGAACGGATTAAAACTTATATGTGATAGTTGGTGATCTAATTAATGTTCAGTCTTAAAATCCTACCAGCACCATTAAATTCCTCCAAGGCGTAGCTATCAATATGGTGGCTGATCTAGTGCTTTCACATCCTACCAATCTGGCAACTAGTTTCCTTTTTGCTCCACTAACGTAAAAGAAATAGAGAAATGCACATTTGAGCCCAAATTGGAGAATTTGGGAACGTAATCATCAATTTGGGAAATATATCATTCAGACTAGCCATCTCTTTAATTTCCCCCCAAAGATCATGTAATGATTAATGAATATATTCTGATTCTTTCACCAAAATTAAAAGTTCAATTCAAATCATATTATTTCAGCGCGTATTAGGTGTAAATCGCTGGAGTGTCCAGTGATTTTTGGGTTAGATTGCATGAGTCTGCAGCGATCTAGCGAGATCGCTACAGACTCTAGTACTTAAACTCTATAAGTTGGTTCGCTTTGGTTGGCCGTGATCCAAGTTGGATCATTCCAATTTTCACTGAATCGCCACAAAGATCGCTGGAAATTGCAATCACCCACACCAAACTCTAATAATCTGACAAATTTTAGCGTCAGTATGATAGTGTGGGTACCTTTTAGTAACTAGTGTATTTACTATTTAGGAATCCGTATGGGGCTTGAATTTCGTTGGGCTCAATGATCAACTAACCTGGTCTAGTAAAGAAAGATATACTTGGAGAGTGCTATCTCTTTAGTGGAAATTAAGTGGAAACCACGTAAATTATAGTATCTTTTATGTTTGTCGCAAATAGTTTTGGGTTTATTTTTAACGTGAGAGATTGATAAATATTGCAGATGATCATGAAAAGGTAGAAAGAAAGAACTCCATTATTCTATTGAATCCATATTATAATGCTGCTTCATAATTATTGCAGATGCAAACTCTCCTACATAAAGTCTTTATCAAGATCCCATCCTAAACAGAAACCCCAACATCAAACAAGTAAATCAACTACAACAAGAAGACACACTCAAATTAAACCAAACTCCTTTTGGAAACCCTCATCTTCAACCCATCTTTCATTAGCAATATCATAGCAGGTGTCGGCTTCACGACATGACCCTCCACCATATCGAACTTGTAGTTCCAGAGAATGGCACTGGCCATGGACTTGAGCTGCAAGAAAGCAATAGCCTTCCCAGTACAAGTCCTTGGCCCTGCTAAAAAGGCCATAAGTTTGTACGACGGAACATGGATTATGTTCCCTTTTTCCGAAATCCACCTCTCCGGCTTGAACTCCGTACAATCTTCACCCCATATCTCTTCCATCCTACCCATCGAGTATATGGAGAACAATATCTTCGTGCCCTTAGGCACACCATGGCCACTAGGTAGCACATCTGCTTCCACAGCGCATTTATGCTCGAATGGCGCGGGTGGGTACAACCTTAAGGTCTCCCAAATCGCGGCATGAAGATACACCAGTTTGTTCAACTCATCCTTGGTAAAAAACAATCTATCTTGATCATCATCATCCCGCCGCACGTCCATGACTAGCTTGATCTCGTGTAAAATTCTTCCCTCGACAGTCGGGTGGGTCACGACCAGCCAAAGAAACCAAGTTAGGGCAGAGGAGATTAAGTCTCTCCCAGCTCCTATCAAGCTGAACACAGTGTCCCTCACAAACTTGTCTGACTTGTCTTGTCCCGTTACCAAAAGTCGTGTCAACACATCGTTGGCATTGTTGTCGTCGTTAATTCCTCCTAGTTTCACCAACTCTTGCTTCCTCGTCTCTATCCTTGCATATATGAAGTCATCGAGGATCTGGCGACTTCTGCTTGCCTTCTTCTCCACTCCAACATCAAGCCTCTTTTGGATTCTCCACAGGAATTTGGGGACAATGTGGCGGTACACGACAGCCTCCTTCAGATCATCAAATGCTTTGCCACACAACAATGTAGGAGTAGTAGTGGAAAGTAGTAGTCCAGCAGGCCGCAGGTAGCCAGGATCGAACCCCAATACCAACAGGCAGATGTTGTCGAACATGAACCTTTTGAGCACATCCTGGATGTCAACAACCTCGGATGATGACGCACAATCATCGAGGACGCGGAACAAGGTGTGCTCCAACTTGACCGCCATGACTTTCATGACGTGATCTTCGAACTCCTTGGTGTTGATCAGGGAGTGGACGAGCTGCCTCTTGAGCTTCCACGACTCGCCGTCGGAGTTGATGATGCCGTCACCATAGGCGTCCATGATTGCCTTGAAATCGCGGCCTTTCTCGTAGTTGGTGAAGTTTGTGCTGAGGATGTGGTGGGCGTTCATGGGGTCGCTGGTGATGATCTGTCCCCGTTGAGGAACATGGGGCCGCTGAGCAACAAAGTCCCGTTGTTCAACTTCAGGAGTCGAGTGGTGAAGTCGTGGAGACTGGATGCCTGCCAAAGCGCGATTGGAATGTCCCCAAAAAGGGTCCGCATTAAGCCGATGATGCAAAGGAAGGCTGATGAGAGTAGTATTAGTATTACACAAAGTTGCAGGAGCTCTGCAGTTGACATGATTAATTAATGTCTCTATGCAAATGCAATGAATTAAGGAACCTTAGCTTCTTTTTTAATTTTTGGCTTCCTTTCCAATCTCTTGGACTTGGTTGTATTCAAAAATACGTACGTACACCAAGTTATTATAGCTATCAACGTAACTAATTAAGTTGGTGGATAATCTATAGCTTTCACATAACGATACTAATTCGGCTGCTCTTTCCACTTTTGGGTCGTTGCAATGAACATTACTCTGAAATGCTCATTTAAGTAAAGTTGTTAATTAGCTGTGACGCATGAAATTGAGTAGCCATTTTTACTTGTGTCGTTGATAATTAAATAGCGAATATATTCTGTCTTTGATAATTAAATAGGATGGGTACTGGTGTGAGCTATATGGTTGTTACTTGTGTCATTTCAATAAATAAAATGTCATGTATGAGTGCAAATGGAACGAACGAGTAAACTATTGCAACCAATTTATATACTCCCTTCCTGGGAAAGCATATTATATATATAGTTCTCAAGGGAATGACGAGTGTGCTACTTAACAATAGCTCCAATTAATATGAACATTTCGTCCGAATAACTTTCTAATTTGAATGAATTGACCACAATTAATGAGGGATGAAGTGGAGGGACACACTTGGTATTATAAAATTTTGGTGAAGGGGACCAACATGGACCTATTTGTGAATACTTAAAATAATTATTGGCATCAAAATGTAAGATAAAAAAATTTAGCTACTAATATGTAATTTTACACCGATATTTTAAGGACCTAACTGTAAAAGAAATAATTTTAGACACTAAATATTAAGATCTATTAAGTTCGTATATCAAACTGTAATTTGTATATGAATTACCTACATGAAAGCAGCGTAAAATATAAAGAGGAAGGGGAAGGGAAAGACAAAACATGCCACAAGTTCATCTAAACATACCACAAGTTTGTCAAAGCATAAAACAAGTGGGAAGGGGAAGCATACCACTAAGTTTCCTAAAACATACCACAATATTGGTCCTACTTGTAAATTTTTAAAAGTTTAGGTATCAAAATATAAGAGAAAATTTCTTAAAAACTAAAACGTTATTTTTCATCAATATTTAGCTGGATAAGCTCAAGAGGAGGTCAGGGAGCATTCCCAAGAATGACCAATGGCAGACGGGTGAGTGCTTCTTAATTTCTGAGAAGCGAGTGCCATAGGAAGATGACTAGGGAAAAGAAGGTTAGTAGTAGTTGTGTGGCCATGTCTCTCCAGCGAGTGAAGCCAATGGGGTAAGTATTAATGCGTTGGTGTTGAAGACTACTAGTTTGGGGCTTGAGTTCAAGTCTTTAAACCTCATTCTTTAAGTAGAATCTTAAAGCCTTCCTATTGGCTAATAGTGGATTAGGTAGTTAATGAGGTTAGTAGTTAATACTTAATAGGTAGTTAAGAATAAATAGGGTTATACAAATATAATTAATATTATTAATTAATGATTCTCTTTCTCTTTCCTCCCATGATTTTCTCCATAACTCTCTCTACGTTATAATTAAAAAGAAATACGAAATTAATTTTATTTAATATTAATATTTAATTGTTAATAAAATCCGAATTTAATCATTTTCCTTTTTTAAAATGGAAAGTTAAAATTTAAAATATATAGCCTCTCTCACATCTTGGCAACTTGCAATTTAGTATCAACGTTTTGTGATGGCATTATCAACATTTATAAATTGAATCATCATTAGGGCTTTTCGTTGTCTGGGTTTAGGATTTTTCATTATTAGGTATTCGTTTGTGTTATTATTAATGTTGTTCGATAGGCTTTTTAATAATGTTATATGGCATTATTAACTTTTTTTTAATGTTTTGTTTTGTTTGTAACATTATCAAAATCCAAATTGTGTTTTCAATTTGTTGGTACTTGAAGTTCATTCACTATTACATTGTATTATCAATTTAGTGTGCAATGTTTTATAATCACTTGAAGTGCTATTATCAAAGTTTTTTTAGCACAATACAACAATTAGCAACAATTTATTTCATTTGTATCATTGGTTATGTTTAGTGATTTGTATTATTAATATTTTTCGTTTATGTTTGTAACTTTGTCAAATGTCATTATCAAGAAGCATACTTGTTAGATATTCGTTTGTTTATGACATTTGCAAAAGTGAATTTGCGTTTAGTGATATAACTATGGTTATTAACCTTTAAGTCCAAGTTAGTAGCGTAGTTGGTGTCATTATTAATGAGTGTGTATAAGCATTAACAATGTTTGAAAAAATAGGATATTAATAATATCCAGTAAGATACTTAACAACCATTAGTTGCTATCATTATTAAAGTTTCTGGTTGCATTAGTCATTAAACACATGTTAGTTATTAACGTGTTTTTAGTGCTATTTGACTTTAAACATTGCAACTGAATTTGTTAATATTTTTTTATTACAAAAATCTATATCCTTATCAGTGACTTGCTCATTTGTTATTAATGGTTTTTAATATCATTATTAAAAGCTTGATGTGATTTTATAATGTTGAAGTCGGGCATTATTATATTGATGTTTTGTGTTTATTTTCAACGAAATAATTTTAGTTATCAATAATTTATTGTATTGTTATTAAAAGTTTGGTGTTGTGGCGTGAATGTTGGTTTGCTTGAGCTAATATTTTTCCTTACTAATGTTTGCTTCACTGAATCACACATGTGCACTATGTCACAAGTATCCAAGATGTTGAAAATCAGTATTGTGGTTTATGATCCTTGAGAATGATAATGTAAAGCAATACTAATGGATCACAAAACGTTAATAATGTCATTAGAAATTATTGGAAGAGGCATGACTAGATAGTTGTAAACATGATGTGAAAATGTGAATCATTAGTAAAGATGTTGTAAATCAATGATATTGTTATTCAAACTGTTATTGACCATATTACATAACTTTAATGATTCATTCATAAGCGTTGATGATGAAACTATAAAACGGTAACAATTGATCCAAAACATTTAATAATGTAATTGTAAAGAATTGATAAGTATATTGAAATCATTAATAATTATGAGATATAATAATAACGATTCATTTCATAAATGTTGATAATGTCAGTGCAAAACGTTAATACTGCATTGCAAGTTGCCACAAAGTGAGAGAGCATCTATTTTTAATTTTCACTTTCCATTTTAAAAATATAATATATTAAGTTCAAATTTATTAAATATTAAATAATAATATTTAATTAAATTGATTTCGAATTTCCTTTTAATTATAGTGGAGAGAGAGGGTTATGGAGAAGATCAAGGGCGAGAGAGAAAGACAATCATTAATGAGTAATATTAATTATATTTGCATAGTATCTCATTTATTCCAACTAACTATTAACTACTAACTCCTCATTAACTACCTAATCTACTATTAGCCAATAAAAATGGTTTAAGAATCTCCTTAAGCAATGAGGCTTAAGGACCGGATCCAACCCGCTAATTTGGTAAAGTAGCTCGTTACTTCCGTCATTTGCGTAAAAGAAACTGTGAAATGCACATTCGAGAGAGTATACCGCTCCTTCTAGTTTTAACATAACTCCATCCCTAACGGAAGTCGTTAACCTCATAAAATTTACAGTACATATTGCTTGAAAGGCGTAGAAAACAAAGTTTTTTTTATAAGGGTGGAAGATTTATTAATAAAAAGAAAGGAAACAGGAAAGACCAGAGAGAGTTCACAAGAGCTGAACCTCCCAGATCAAAAGTTCAAACAGGGAAAAGAGGCAAGCAACAAAATAAAAAGCAAAGTGGATCAGGCCCCTCCTGCTGCACCAACAGAAGAGGAACCAACAGGAACTAGCTCACAAGTCACGATCGTCAGGGCTAGATTGGGAGAGGAGCCCAAGCCACTCAATCCTATTAGTCTCGCTGAATCATCCCCTCTGCCGCCACCCAGCTAAGAAGAATCCTACCAATCTTGATGAAAATGGACTGCCATCTATGCTTCTCATCATTGAACATCCTTCCATTTCGTTCCTTCCATATCTCCCAAGTGTATGCGTGGAGAAAGAGCTGGGCGAAACGTTCACGCCATGAGGAACAAAGTTGTCATTGAATGCTGGAGCGGTCATGAGTTAGCCCATCAATTAAGTGTTTCGAAATGCATGGGGGAGTCTACTCCAGTTATAGTCTAATGCATGATCATAATTCATATGTAAAAGACGTAGAAAAGTCAATGTGGATTATGGATTTTGAGGTTCCATTTGGATGGAGAAATCGATTTGCATGGAGCGACCACGAGGTTCCCATTTGGTAGAAAATAGAAATCCTACGTTTTTAAAAATCACATTGAATGCAATTCGGTGGTTGATCTGTCGCCTTACCATACTACTAAATAATTACTATTTCAAACATAATCAATTTATTGAGAAACACATTATTCTACCCTTTATTTTCTCCAAAACCAAGTTGGCAACATCATATCTGGATTCTGAAACATGGTTACATTAGTAGGAGAGCATAATATAATTCATATTAATAAAAACATTACATTTTATGATTTATCTTCTCTTGGAAACTCTCATCTTCAAGCCATGCTTCATCGACGTAACCACCGAAAGTGCTGGCTTCACGGGATGGCCCTCAACCACCTCGAGCTTGTAGTTCCACAGGATAGCACTGGCCAGCGACTTGAGCTGAAGGAAAGACATTGCCCTCCCCAAACAAGTCCTTGGTCCGGTCATGAACGTCATGAACCTGTGGGATGGCACGGGCAGTAAGGTTCCATTTCCACGATCGATCCACCTCTCCGGTTTGAACTCTGCACAGTCCTCGCCCCATATCTGTGGCATCCTGGCCATGGAGCATATGGAGAATATCATCCTCGCTCCCTTTCGAACCCGATGCCCGCTAGGTAACAGATCCTCTCCCATGGCGCATTTGTGCAGGAATGGCACCGGTGGGTACAACCTCAACGTCTCGCAGATTGCTGCATGGAGGTACATCATTTTGTTGGTGGTCAACTTACCCTTGCTCCAAAAGGCCGCTTTTCCATTCACTGCCACAAATTGTTCAATTTCATCCAGAATCGCTCTCTCGACGTGAGGGTGGGTGGCGACCAGCCAGAGCAACCAGACGAGACCGGAAGATATGGTTTCCTTTCCCGCTAGTATCAGTGTGAGTGCAGTGTCTCTCAGGAACTTGTCAGATTGTTTCTCTACTACTGCTTCTCCTTCTCTTTCTTCTTCAACCATCAAGCATTGAGTCAATACATCGAATTTCGGTCGTGGTTGACGATCTTTTCCTTTGCTCTTGTCGTTGTTTGCTAAGGCTAGTTCTTGCTTCCTGGTCTTGACGCACCGGTACAGGAAGCGATCCATGGCTCTCCAGCTTCTTCCCATCCTCTTCTCCGTCCCTACTTGAAACCAATTTTGTAACCTCAAGATCCACACGGGTACAATGTGACGGAAGGCCACTGCCTCCGTGATCTCGTCGCATGCTTTCACTGCCCACGACACCGACGAGCTCATTTCCTCTGGATCAAACCCTAACACCAACAAACAAATGGCGTCGAACAAGAACCTCTTCACCACGTCCTGCACGTCAACAACCTCGGTTCCCTGCAGCATGGACGACGACGCAGCGTCGTCCAGGACAGGGAACAAGGCCGTCTCGGTCTTCTCACGCAGCGTCTCCATCATGTGGCGCTCGAACTCCTCGTTGTTGCTGCCGATGAGGGATTGAAGGAGCTGCCTCTGGTACTTCCAAAGCTCCCCGTCGACGTTGAAGATGCCGTCCCCGAGGACCTCGAACATGTAGTTGAAGTCCTGGCCTCTCTCGTAGTTGCGGAAGTTGGTGCTGAAGATGTGGCGGGCGTTCCGGTGGTCGCACGTGGTGACGAAGTCGAAGTTGCAGAATTTGGGGCCCTTCAACACGTAGGTCCCGCCGTGCTTCTTCATCACTTCGTTGCACAGGTTTTGGAGGTCGTCGGATGCTTTCCAGAGTAGGACGGCGAGGTCCCTCACCACTTCTCGCCACAGTCGGTACACGATGGCAAGGCAGAGGACGGCCGAGGAGGCTACTATCATCGTCGTCGGCATTGTCCAACATTAATTGCTTGTTTCTATATGGTGATTTCGTGGTTATAGAGGAATCTAATATATATATATATATATATATATATATATATATATATATTGTTTTCACTGGCAATTTGGTCCAGGACTGTTTGGTTTTACCCGAAACCGGACCTTATAATCCGAACTGGGACCGGATAGCAAACAATCCAATCTCATAATCGGGCTTAGATTTGAGGTAAAAAAACCCGGATAAAGACCGGATAATAGAACCCCAACACTCAAATCCCCACAAACTCAATCTAAAATCAAAATCAAATTGGGACCGGACCGGGTCAAGACCGGAGTGTATCCAATCCAATCTTTGATCCTTATATTTCCGAAAAGACCGAACTAAGACCGGATCAATTTGGTCCAATTTAACCGGACCGGACCGTATTGCCAACCCTAGTTTTCACAGATAACAACGCTTCCATGCAATCCACGTAAGGTGTATGCCAATGCCATGTAGAATAATAATTAATCTGGTGGCTAATCTCTATCGCCTTTACACGTTACTAAATATGAAACGTTGGACAATTCAGTGGAAGTTGGACATATGAAATCGACTAGCCATCTTGCACATGGAGATCGCTCATAACGAATATATTCTGTTCCATTGAGGGGCGACTGTTTGGTGAGCTAATAACTATGTCGATGTACCAATTTATAGAGGGAAGACACTGATCAAGGTGCCCTAAAGTAAAAAAATAATGATGGATTCTTGGAATTAAATTAATGAGGCGCCTAAATGAGGACCCGTCAATTTCATAACCCAAATCTTCAATTCCTCAAGGCATATATAGTTATCAATTTTGTGGTGAACCTATTGCTTTCACATCTTACTATCTTAGCAACTAGTTTCATTCATCCTACTAACATGGCAACTAGTTTTCATTTTTTCCGTCCTTAGACATAAATGATAAAAAACAAATATATGAAATTTAAATTTGAGTCAAGATGTAAAATGTGGTCATGTAAATCCTCATTGATAGAAGTTGGTGAGATATATGATCAAACAAATCTCATTTGTCGTATAAGATGATGTAAAACAAGTATATTTTGGTGGGGAAAATGTTGATGAATTGACGAATGACGAGATTGCGCGAAAACATTGATTACGTGCATGAATATGAGCAATCGGTAAATTTAAGAGAAAAGTAAGATATGTATGTAAATATTTTTGTGCCAGAAAATATCATCCACTCGGATTCTTTTGTGCACATCAAATTTAAGAGTACAAATTAAATTTGGTTACTAGTTTCAGGGCAAAGCAAACGAACGTGTTAATTGCAAGTTTGCAACCACTTCACAAACTTCTTATGATGACCATAATTTGGGCCTACCCAAGCTAGTTCTATGTATATTAGGTGGACTTGTGTGAACTCGTCGTATACATTTCTGAAAGCAATAGATTAGCGAGCAGCTAAAACTAGTTAATATAATATGGCGACCATGTATAAAAGAAGTAGGAGATAAGACCATGGTTGCATTGATATGTATAGAAACCAACTTGTTGGTGGCTAAATATAAGTCATACATTCTGTCTTTTCTTACTTTTCTTTGTTGCTTCCCTCTTATTTGGGTAAGCCTTTTAGGTTGTGAAACAGGTAAGGTAAGACTTTATTTTTCAGTTTGATGCAGTTTCACTATTATCAAAAAGATATCATCGCCACAGACAATGTATCTTTTTTTATTTTATTGAATTGACTATGTATGTTCTGAAATAAAAAATATGAAAAAATTATATACTTAGGTCATTTGAACAATTAATTGAGATACACAATATCAACCGTTGTTATGACTTGAAAACAAATTTTTTTTTTTTTTACTGAAAATGATAACCACTGTACCAAATTGGGAACCAATTATTGATATGTGTATGAGGGACAGTGGGAGAAATAGAAAATGATTTTCACACTTTTCGAGCACATGAAAGTTTATTTACTAAGCAATGCCATATTTATAAAACAGATTACAAGAAAGAAAACTTCACCACACTCGGAAACCTATAAAGAAACAGTAACAAATTAATGAAACAACAACTTTTACTAGCCCACAACAAATCAACATTATTATTGTCAATTATTTCTCTTAATGACTCTTGCCTTCAACCCATCTTTCATAAACATGACCATCCCGACCGTTGGCTTAACTGAGGGACCATTATCTATGAGGTCAAACTTGTAGTTCCAAAGGAGGGCACTAGCCAGGTACTTGACTTGAGTGAAAGCCATGGATTTTCCCAAGCATGTCCTTGCCCCAGTTATGAAGGTCATGAACTTATACGAGGGGATATGTAATATCGTTCCTGTCTCCGAAATCCACCTCTCCGGTTTGAACTCCATGCAATCCTTTCCCCATATATTTTCCATTCTTCCCATGGAGTATATGGAAAACACTATCCTCTCTTCTTTATGAACTGTGTGCCCGCTTGGAAGGACATCCACCTCCACGACGCACTTGTGCTCGAATGGAACTAGTGGGTACAACCTTAGTGTCTCGCAAACAGTTGCATGGAGATACACAAGTTTGTTCAACTCGTTGTTGTTCATAAACCCCCCTCCTCTTTCTTCTTCTGATTAGCCAAAAATTACTTTTCTCATTTAGTATCTAGAAAATGAAAGCTGAACATTAAATTCCATGATTATGAAAAAATTTTCCCTTACCATCAACCTCGGTTGGTGGTCGAGCCGCTATTGCTAGTCCCAGCTCTTCCAAAATCCTTTTTTCAACGATGGGGTGGTTCACCACACACCATATCAGCCAAGTAAGGCTTGCAGTGATGGTATCCCTCCCGACAGCAACTAAGGTGAACATAGTGTCCCTCAGAAAGTTGTTGGAAGTTTTATCAATGATTTTTTCGTCACCCCTGCCATCCTCGTCTTTCATGACCAAAACTTGAGTTAGCAAATCCCGCTTGTCATTGCCGACGGAGTGTTTCTTCGTTGCTAATTCTTGCTTCTTCATGTTGATGGTACCATAAAGTAACTTATCTACGGTGCTCCAGGCTCGAATGCACTTCCACTCCATTCCAATACGAAGTCGGTGTTGAAACGTCCACACGCATATTGGAACCATGTATCGGTATATCACCACCTCTCCCAACTCATCGAAGGCGTTGCTACACGCACTCTTGGGGAGCCTTCCGCCCTCGAACCCCGCGGGGAGGTATTTGGGGTCGAATCCCAATACCAACATGCACATGTTGTCAAACATGAACCTCTTAAACACGTCCTGTATATCCAACGCCTCGTCCCCGCCAACTTTTGTTGCTGCTCTGTCGAGGACCGGCAGAAGGTTGCTCCTCATCTTCCTTTCGAGGGTCTTCATGGTGTGACCCTCGAACTCGGGGTTGTTCAACAAGGAATGGAGGAGCTTCCTCTGGAACTTCCACGAGTCATCATCAACATTAAAGATCCCGTCGCCCAGAGGATCCATTATGGCCCTGAAGTCGCGACCCTTCTTGTAGTTGGCCGCGTTCTTGTTGAAGATGTAGTTGATGTTTGTGGGATCACTCGTCACCATGAAGTCGACATTGATGAAACTGGGTCCCTTGAGAAGGAACGTTCCCCCTGTTCGCCTCAAGGCTCGAGTGCAGAAGTCGTGGAGTGTGTAGTTGTATAAGCTTAAGAGGAGGCTAGGGAGCATCCCCAGGAATGGCCATTGGTAGACGGGTGAGTGCTTGTTTCTGAGGAGGCAGTGCCATAGGAAGATGGCTAGAGAAAGGAAGACCAGTAGTAGTTCTGTTGCCATGTCTGTGCAACAAGTTTAGCTAGGGTTTAGCTAATGTAATAGTGTAATGCATTTGTGTTGAAGACTAGTGGGCAATAAATAGTGGTGGTTGCATTTTTTTTTTGCATTATAGGGAGGCTAAAAGCCAAGAAAAAGAAAATTACATGGAGGTGGGAAGAGGGGAAGAAGAAGTAGCAACCACCCTACGGGTACTGGTAATGCCCATCATGTCGTCTCTGATCAGCGAGTTAATTCCTGGAGGCGGGCTCGTTAACTCATGCATACCGTAGGGATAGACGAGACTGTGCTTCGAGAGCCAGTCCGCGACTCTATTCCCTTCCCGGTAAGTATGCGTTAGGCGAACCAGCCAGTCACGATTGAGCTTCCTGCGAATGGCGGAGAGGAGAGTAGCATACGGGTGAATCGGGTCATGTCTAGCCTCAATGAGCTGCAGCGCCAGCTGTGAGTCCGTCTGAATCTGAATAGCTCTTCCTCCGTGCTTCCAAGCGATATCAAGTCCGAAGGATATCCCCCAAAGCTCCGAGAGAATGGCCGTAGCAGTGCCGAGGTTGGCGACAAAGCCTGCAACCCAGTGTCCCATCTGGTCTCTTAAAACACCCCCAGCCCCTGCTGGCCCAGGATTGCCGTTGGAGGCTCCATCAGTATTCAGCATGATCCATCCCTCTGTCGGTGGCTTCCAACCCACCTCCTTCTCTACTCTGTCAGCTGGTCGATTCCCTTTGCAGGGAAGGAGGGGAGGGGCGAGCCAAGCATTGTGCCACATCTTTGTCTTTGCCAAAATCGAGTGCTCCAGAGAGGGCGGGGTGAGAGCGGCTCCAGAACCCTGCATACAGAGAACACAACGGTTTTTCCAAATAAGCCAGAGCGCCGTACTAAAGAAAGCAGGCCAAGTCATCCCTGTCGCCACCGTATCCGTCCTCAGGAGATTGCTACTCAGCCAATCTCCCTGATCGAGAGTGAAGAAATCCTGCTGATGCAAGCCCGCGGTCTGCCGGAGCCAGAAGAAGGTAGCTGGGGGACAATCTCTGAGAGTGTGCAGAATCGTCTCTGGTGACCCCGGGCACCTCGGACAGCAAGGGCTCGCCGCTACTTTCCTGTGAAAACGCAGACTGTTAGTGGCAATTTTCCCGGTGCACGTTTGCCACATGAAGACTCGGACCCTCTCCGGCACTGGAAGGCGCCAGATCGTCCTCCACAGCTTCTCGTCCGGGTCTTGCGGCTGCGGAGTGATGAGGTTGAAGGCCGACTTGGTTGAGAATTTCCCGTCTGGGGAGGCAGTCCAGAAGAGAGTATCCTCCTCACTGGAAAGAGTGTCAACCGCCACACTGAGAATCTTCTGGCAAATCTCGGTTGGCAGAAGGGCCTCAAACATGTCGGTGCGCCACGTTCCATCAGCTGTCACATAATCAGCCACTGTCATTTGCTCCACATCCTCAGCTATATGCATAGTGGCCACCTCCTTCAGGCTCCCCTGCAAAACCCAAGGATCCAACCAAAACTTAGTGCGCTTACCATTCTTAATGTTCCAAGCACACCCCTGCTTTAACACATCAACAGCTTTAGAAAAACTTTTCCAGGTAAAGGAACTTCCCTGAGAATTGCCAAGAATATCAAGGTTCTCCCTCTGACGCCCATACTTGGCGTGCATGATCTGAGACCAGAGAGTCTCCTTCTCTTTGATGAGCCGCCATCCCCCTTTAGCCAACATGGCCAGGTTGGCCTGTCTGGTAGGGCGGATGCCCACACCGCCATGCTTCTTTGGCACTGTCATTTTATCCCAAGCCACCAGGTGCATCTTGTTCTTATTCTCCTCCTCCGCCCAGACAAAATCCCTGTTCATCTTATCGATACTGTGACACACCCCACTCGGAATCAGCTCAGAATTCATGTAATACACAGGTATAGAAGCGGAAACCGAATTAACCACTGTGATCCTCGCAGCAAAAGAGAGACGTCTAGCTTTCCAGGGCGCCAACTTCTTCTGGATGCGAAGGAGAAGGGGTTGGTATCTCTCCCTAGTCACACGCCCATGAATCGCCGGAATGCCCAAGTACTTGCCAAGCGCCATCTTCAGTGGGATATCGGCTAACTGGCTCATGTGGTTAGCTCTTCGGCGGCTGATGTTTGGGGAGACATAGAGGATGGACTTGTGATAGTTCACCCTCTGGCCAGAACTGTAGCAGAAGTCATCCAGAATCCGCTTGATGACCCTGATCTGACGAGTCTCAGCCTGCGCAAACAACAACAGATCATCTGCAAAGAAAAGGTGAGTGAGAGGCGGGCCATCCTTGGACAGCCTAAGAGCTTTCCACTGACCATTAGAAACAGCTTCATCAATCAAATGGGAGAGGCGCTCCATGCAAAGAACAAAAAGGTAAGGGGATAAGGGGTCTCCCTGGCGAACTCCTCTAGTCGGGGTGAGAGGCTGGGAGAGCTGCCCATTCCACAGTATCTGCATCCTGTTTTGAGTAACACAGTGCATGATACCACTGATCCACGTGCTTGGGAGCCCGACCTCCTTCAGAGTGTCCCGAAGAAAGTCCCACCTTAACCTGTCGTACGCCTTTTCCAGATCGATCTTGAGGATGATACCTCCCCTCTTTCCTTTCTTCTTGTGGAGTGAGTGGAGCGCCTCCTGGACCACGATAATGTTATCCGTTGTCTGCCGGCCCGGAATAAAGCTGCTCTGGCGAGGGGAGATCAGACTCCTCATAATCGGCTTGAGTCTGCTAGTCATAGCCTTGGTGATCGCCTTCAGGCTGACGTTGTTGAGGGAGATCGGTCTGAGCTGGCTCACCACTTCAGGTCTTTCCACCTTGGGGATGAGCACAAGAGTCGACTCAGTGACCGCCTCGGGCAGAGTACCTGTCTCAAAAAACTTCATAGCCATGTCAATAAGGTTCCGCCCAACAGTCCTCCACATTTGCTGGTAAAAACAGGCCTGGAATCCGTCGGGGCCCGGAGCCTGAAATGGCTTCATGTCAAAGATGGCTCTATGAATATCCATGCCGGTGAAGGGCCGCAAGAGCTCAAGCAACTCAGTCTGGCTGAGACGGGGAAAAGCACCTTTGGGCATCTTGTCTTCATAATTATCCTCTTCCTGCATAGAAAGATCAGCAAAAAAATCAAAAACAAGAGAGGCCAGGGCTTGAGAGTCAGTCACCCAATTGCCTTGAGCATCCTGAAGAGCCTCAATCTTATTGCGACGCCTCCTGATGTTTACTTGCTGATGGAAGTAGCCCGTATTCCGCTCCCCGAACTGGACCCACTTCTCCCTGGAGCGTTGAAACCAGAGGAGCTCCTCTTGTTCCATGACTTGATCAAGTTCAGCCTCCAACTTGGAGTGCAGCTTAGCTAGCCCAGGGGAGAAGCAAACAGCTAAACGAGTCTCGATCCCTTTGATTCTGGCCAGAAGCCGCCTCTTCCGTTGCTGAACATTGCCAAAGACATTCTTATTCCAATCCTGGAGTTTCTCTGCCAATAAAGGTAACACAGTCTGTAAAGGTGTCTCCGGCTCCCAAGAGTTAGCAACAAAATCAAACAAATCGGAGTGGGTCAGCCAAGCTGCCTCAAACTTAAAAGGACGAGACAAAGTTGAGGGACTTCCCTGATTTGAGACAGTAGTTAAGATCGGATTATGATCCGACTGAAGCCTCGGGAGGTGGGTGACCGTCGTGTTGGGGAAACAGGAATTCCACCGGATGTTGCAGAAGCTTCTGTCCAGTCTGCTGGCCTTATAGGTTCTGTCCTCCTCACCCCTAGTCCAGGTAAAGGCAGGCCCAGAGAATCCTAGGTCGATGAGCTCAGCAGTATTGATCCGGTCATTAAAGATCCTGCATCTGCGAGTTGTGCTTGCTGTGGAAGGGCCTGTTTTCTCGTTCAGGGTGCGAATGGCATTAAAATCCCCCGTGAGGATCCAGGGAATGTTAATCCATTTGCTTTGGTTGATCAAGTTGTCCCATAGACTCTGCTGCTGGCTGTACTGGGGAGACGCATAGACGGCAGTCAGGATCCATGGCGGGCCGCTACCTCGAGAGACATGAAGCGAAATGTGCTGATGGCAGGCGGAGAGCAACTGAACCGAGAAGGCCCCTGCATCCCAGAATATCCAAATTCCCCCCCTCCGACCATCCGCATCCACTCTGATCGAGTTAGGATATCCAAGCCTGTCGCACACGGAATCCGCAGCTCTTCCGCTAACTTGGGGCTCAAGAAGAACAACAAAGTCTGGCCGCTGAACCTGCAGAGTCAACTTCAGGGCACGAAGGAACGATTTGCTACCTGCTCCACCAACATTCCAAGAGAAGACTTTCAAATTAAAATTAGAAATGGAAGACATTGATAAAGGCATAAAACAGAAGGAAAGAACAGAGGAAGGAGGGGAGGTCTAGTGGCTGCTGTCCGCCAATTCCGTCATCACGTCCTGGCGGTTTGAGGGAGAAGTCTCGCTGCTCCGAGCCACTGGGTTCCCATCGCCGAGCTCCCTGGCTCTCTGATTCTTTGCTTCCGTCCATGCCGATATCTCCTGAAGAGTTAGGGAAGCCATTCTGCTTTTGGATTTTGGCTTCCTGTCTTTAATTGGTGACCAGACTTGAAGAGGCTTCCTTGATTTGAGCTTCGCAGCGGGAGATTTGGCCTGTCTATCCTTGCCCAGTTTGGTCTTCTTGGTTCGCGATCTCGCCGATGGGGATTGAGTCTCCGCTTCGTCTTTGGAGGAAGGAGCTCTCGGCTGTATCTCAATTATTTGCAGGGAAGTACCATTTGGGCCATGCTTCTCGTGGACTAAAGGAGTGTGGGAGATTGGAAATGGGATCAGACTTGGGGAAGAGGGGCCCGTGTCCTTCTTGGAGCAATCAGCTTTGGGCTCGTCCCGGCCCACAGTAACTCCATTGCGGCTTGAAGACATGTCCGAAGGGCCTCCAGAAACTGAGGAAGGCCCTGCTCCATTTCTGTTTTTGTTCACGGGCCCAGGCCCAAGGAGGCCCGCCTCCAACCTAGGCTCAGAGCCCACTTTTTCTTTCCCCTTGCGAGAATCTCCACTGGCCCTAACTCCGCTCCTTCCTTTCTTGTCCTGGCCGCCGCTCTTGGTGTTCCGGGAAGAGATAATGGTGTCGTTGAGAGGTAGGTTTTCATCACCCTTGATCCCCGCTATTTCTTTCCCTGTTTTCCCTATATGGACGTTGGACGGGATCTCCGCCTTTCCTTTCACGGTGAGGTCGCGGGAATTACGCCGACTCTTCCGCGTCACCAACATCCAAGGGCCGAATCCCGGCTGTTCCTCCGTCGTCGCCGCCGGGGAGGCCTGCACCGCTTTCACCGGAGACGTCGTAGGATGAAGGAGGGGGCAAGCGGAGGAGACATGTCCGATTCTACCACACTCGAAGCAGGCCGCCGGTATGTTTTCGTACTCCACCGCCTGCCATTCGTCGTCGAGCCAGATCCTTGGAACCAGAGGTTTGCTCAGGTCCACCTCCACGGCCAGTCTTGCGAATTTAGCCCTCTGCTGGGTTAGGGTATGATAGTCAAGCTTTATCGTTCGCCCGATCAAGTTCCCCAGCATATGCAGGATTTCTTTGTGGTAGAGGTGGACTTTGAGTGCCGGTAGCTGCACCCATACGATCATCTTCTTCGTTTGGGGATCCGAAACCTTGAAATTGGGTGTCCATTGATGCACCACCAAATAGTGGTCATAGATGACCCAGGGGCCGTCTGTTAACGCGCGGAAATAGTCTTGCTCATTCGAAAGTTTCACCAGGAAACAATCATGGTCGAGGTCCATGGCTTCCAACGATCCAACTGGTCTCCAGAGCGACCGGAGGCGGGAACAGAGGGCGGCGAAGCCGATTTTGCATCCGAGGAGTTTCACGACGAGAGTGCGTTGCCATGGCTCGCATATCTTGTTCTTGAAAGACGCCGAGATTCTCAATGCCGGTTCCCCATTCCGTTCGCCCGGGATGAGGTCGTGTTCCCCGACAGGGGTCCACAGACTGGTAGTAGTTCTCTGAGCAGTCGCGTTGGAATGGCCCGCCACCGCACTAGCGTACGAGACCAGCGGTTGCGACACCACCGGTGAAGGGGGAACCTCAACTGCCATGTCCGTCGTTGGAGCAATTGTTCCGTTATTTGTCTGATCCGTGGAATCCGTCGAAGGGATGGCGATCGTGATTGCAGAGTCCGGAGGCCGTCCCGATGGAACAAGGGCCGGCGCCGGAAGAAAGCTGTCAGCTAGAGAGGTCGAGAGCATATTCAATCTTAAGTTCATGTAATAACATATACCAAACACAAGAATTCATTTGACAAAGAATTCTACACAAGTGCATGAATAATGATATGTGATAATCTATTGCTTTAACACTCCACCACCTTGGCGAAGTTTCCTTTTTTGCACTTGACATAAATGATAAAACAATTAGATGAAATGTAATTTGAGTTAAATAATACGATTTGGTTATGCATAGCATTGTTGATAGAGTTTGGTGAGATATAATATCAAACAAGCCCATTTTTCATATAAGATTATTCATAACAAATATATTCGGGTGGAAAACGGCTCAACAAACAAGTTGTGGCATAAATTAATAATTGGCGCAAACTAGTTTTTCTAGTTCAAATATTAGAATATTGTTGTTTAGAGTATTAAAATATTTTACTTAACAAAAGTAACGTGATACGGAACGCATGGTTGATTCAACTATGTGAAAAACTTGGTTACGTACGTCATACGTGACCACGAGCTGATCTATTTGAACAATAGGTAAACTTAAGCAAAAAGTAGCATATAGATGTAAAACATTGTGCAAATATTTTCTGTTGCAGCTTGTGCCCCGAAACCTCATCCTACTGTTTTGATTCTTTTGATAACATCCAATTTAATAGTAACAGGTTAACCCACACTAGCTTTATGTATATATGAAAGCAACAGGTTAACGACCAGTTAAAACCGATATAATTTTTTTTTAATGTTAGTATTTAAAATATTCATATCTGAAAATTTCAAGTTGAAAAACGATAATAGTACACCTAGAACAAGTTTTTATTCGTTTTACTTTTCTTAGTTGAGAGACAAGAAGTTCGTTGAGTCTATTCCATTTATCGCATGACATCGAGTGGTTGATGAAATTGTGTATCTTCTATAAAAATATTAAAAGGGTTTGAGATTTGCACCCCTGCCACATCAGCTTTAAATTAAATCTACGCTTCTACGTCAACACACCTAGAAATACAATAATTGTCGTTTTCCCCCTTTCAAACTCTCTAAAAAATAGCGACTGTTCGTGAAACACAAGAACTCCCGATTTCCCATTATACAATTCAAACCCTCTAAAAAATAGCAACACTTCGTAAAAAAAAAAAATTGGTAACTGATTCTCCAATTTTTTTCTTCTTTCTTTAAAAAATGTACACAATAAAAAGGGGAAAAAGTAAGAGCGGATGAGGTGAGAATGAGAACTGTGGGCAAATGATAATAGCAATTTGCATAGTTATATATGATTATTTATGTAAACATCAATTACATGTAATTAAATTATTACTTCCCACATTTTATATGGATTATTTGCTTCTAAGAGATCAAGCAATGGAATTGCAAAACCAATTATATGACTAAAAAAATATTGCAAAAACTATTGTATATATGTTATCCCTATTGTTATGTTATAATTTATGCAATACAGCTCATATTAATTTCATTCTATTACAATTGCATATGTGAGGAGTCTTAATGTTTATATAATAAAAATAAATAAACGAAAATAAGAAATAATTTTGTTTTCTATTTGGCTACAGATTGATTTTCATCAAATGCAAATTTACGTGCTCACTACATTTGTGAAATTCTCTTTGCAATTGCATATTGAGTTTCATGTAAGATTTATAATTTACCATTGATGTGAATGTAATAAGGTATGTGATTTTGAACTAAAGGTTTGTGTAGTATACTCAAGAAGAAATGGTTGTTATGAATAAAAGTTTAGTATTTATAAAGAGAGAGTAACTTAATAGTAAAAACCATTTGCATTTCATCAAATAATTCATAAGTTACATTATACAAAATAAAAGATTGCCTATGAGATTGTGGTTGATGAAATTGTGTATATATGATTATAGCTTATGAGATTGCATGAAAGAGACGCGGATATGGTCTCTCCCCCGGCCGAGATTGAGGTAAACGCGGTTTCTGTTAGAAGTTTAGGTACTAGATTGTAATTAACCACCCTATTTATTTGGTTAATTACAATTCGCAGGCCTAGGGTTAGTGGAAGGCTTGTATATATTTGGTGATTAAGTCGTTTGTAACCTTTGAGGACTCTAAGCTACGTAACGTAATCCCAGTGAACCTGAGAGTTTTCCGCCTATCAATAGATTAGTCTCACTGTTATACGTTGAGGAATCTTGTGTCTCATTTATGTTTCCATTTCGTATTTTGACAGCGTCCCTCTCGGAAACTGATTGTTGGATCTTTTAGCAACAATTTGATCATCTTTAGCGACCATAGTTTACATTAGCGAATTTGTAGCAACTAATAGCACCCGGGTTTCCCACCACTGATTCTTGTTTCATCTTGTTCGTTTGGTTTATTGAATTTTTTATTAATATTTTTTTGGCGTGACGGTATACAATTAAATCAACAGATTTTGAGATAGAGATGGATGGAAAGACCGCTTTATTGTTCACTCAATAATATCTTATTAAAACGTGCAAATAAAAATTTTGTGACTGTTTTGTACTAAGTGCATGGATTTTTGATCGTTTACACTAATTACCCAAAGATTCATACAATAATTTCTTTTAAGAATATTCATACAATTTTTAGCATGTATATCCTATGCTTGTAATCGGTTTTCTCATCACTAAGACGCAATCAATAGTGACAACCTTCTCCCGTAACAAATTCTAAATGTTTCTATGAGTTTGTACATACATCAAATATATTTCACACTGTCACTTGTTTAAGTTGTCACAAAAGCATACTTATGTGACAAGAGTATCGTTTGGACGTGACAATTAGAAATAATAAAATTTAAGCTTTCATTGCCAGTTTGGGTGCAAGCTGCATCAAACTCTATCCTATGTCTCCTTCCAGAAAAGAAATTCACGGTTAACATTTAACAATACCTACTCCCACCCCTGATCTTGGCAAATGTTTCCATGAAAAGATGATCTGGTAGACAGGAGCTCCCATTAAGATTTCAGCTTTTAATTAACTAGTCTTTAATTTCAAGGAAAAATACTTACTTTGACCACCTGATTGTTCGAGGATGGACCCTCCATAACCATTGTTCTATCTAGGACTAGGACTGACTATTTAGTTCGGTCTGTTTGGTTTTACCCGAAACCGGACCGTATAATCCGGACTGGGACCGGACTGGGACCGGATAGCAAACAATCCAATCTCATCTTCGGGCTTAGATTTGAGGTAAAAAAACTCGGATAAAGACCAGATAAGAGACCCCCAACACCTAAAATCAAGATAAAATTGGGACCGGACCGGGTCAAGACCAGACTGTATCCAATCTAATCTTTGGTCTTTATATTCCCAAAAAGACCGGACCGGGACCGGATCAATTTGGTCTAATTTAACCGGACCGGACCGGATAGCCACCCCTAGTTCTACCTGCTTTAATTTGCACCAGCTGAGTCTGCTGCTCACTTGCTCAGTTGCTCCTACATTGCTGTTCTACAAACCAGGTTTGGAATTACTTCTACTTTCGACTACAATTACTATGCGTCGAGACCGCGACTTTGTAAGAACCTATGCATGGAGTGAGATTTCATTGTCAGGGTTTGTTGCTTCAGAGAAGTCATTCGACTTCTCCCATTGATTACATTTTGGAATACTTGGTTTAAAATAAATGCAAGTTTCTTCGGAGATAAAAGTAGCAGTGCTTACAAGATTACCATCAAAGTCAGTACAAGTATTATAGAATTTACAAAGTTATTTGACAATAGCGGTAAGCTTATGCTATTCTGCCACCATGAGTTGAATCCATTGTAACCGTTGTGAGCTAGGTCTTCCACTGCCACCTTTCTTTGTCCGTTATAGGAGTTAGTCCACTACTTTTGGACACTCCAATTTTTTATGAATTATATTACCGCATTCATCAAAGAAAGAAATACTTTATATGTGTAAGTGGGAGATGATTTTTCACTCTTAGAACACATGAATTTTTATTTATTAATATCCACGCTATATTTCATAAACGGTCAAAGAGTACAACAACAGTACTTATCGAAATAGATAGCATGCACTGATAACAAACAATAACATGAAAGAAAACTTCACATCACTAACGAAACCTTAGCCAGACATAGTAAAGACTAACGAAATAGTAACTTTTACTCGACCACAACAGACCATCATAAATTAATAGGAAATCAGCAATATAATTATCAGTGATCTCTCCTGGAGACTCTTGCCTTTAGCCCATCTTTCATATACAATACCATCCCAACCGTCGTCCTAGCGGAGGGATTATTATCAGTGAGTTCAAACTTGTACTTCCACAGGAGAGCACTGGCCATGGATTTGATTTGCATGAAAGACATGGTCTTGCCCAAACAGGTTCTTGCCCCAGCCAAGAAGGTCATGAACTTGTAAGATGGGACATGCAGTATTGTCCCTCTCTCCGAAATCCACCTCTCCGGTTTGAACTCCATGCAATCCTTTCCCCATACATCTTCCATCCTAGCTATGGCGTATATGTAGAACAATATCCTCTCTTCTTTACAAACCGTGTGTCCGCTTGGAAGGACATCCGACTCCACAGCGCACTTGTGCTCGTATGGCACTGGTGGATACAACCTTAGTGTCTCGCAAACAGTTGCATGGAGATACACAAGTTTATTCACCTCGTTACTTCTCAGAAACCCTCCTTCGTCCCCTGGTTAACCACAAAAAATAGTTTTTTTTTCATTTAGCATACTGAAAATGCAAGATGAATTGTTCAAATTCCTTGATCATAACAACATTTTCTCTTACCGTTAACTTGCTCTGGTGGTCGCGCTGCAATTACTTGTCTCAGCTCTTCTAGAATCCTTTTTTCGACAGTGGGGTGGTTCGCCACACACCATATCAACCATGTAAGACCCGCAGAGATGGTATCCCTTCCAGCTACAAGTAAGGTGAACATATTGTCCCTCAGGAACTTGTCGGATGTTTTATCAATGATCTTCCCGTCACAACTGCCATCCTCATCTTTCATGACCAAAAATTGTGTCAGCAAATCCGTCTTGTTTTTCGGCTGCTCATCATTGCCGACGTAGTGTTTCGTTGCAAATTCTTGCTTCTTCATCTTGATGCGACCATATAAGAACTGATCAATCGTTCTACTACCTCGAATGAACTTCCACTCCATTCCAATACGGAGCCGGTTTTGAAGCCTCCACATGCATATGGGAACCATGTGCCGGTATGTTGCCACGTCCTCCAGCTCATCGAATGCTTCGCCACACTCATTCTCAGGGAGCCTGCCGCCCTCGTACTCAACGGGGAGGTATTGGGGGTCGAATCCCAAGACCAATAGGCACATGTTGTCAAACATGAACCTCTTAAACACGTCCTGTAGGTCCACCACCTCGGCTCTGTCGAGGATCGGCAGAAGAGTGCTCCTCATCTTCTCAGTGAGGATTTGCATGGCGTGACACTCGAACTCGGGGTTGTTCAGCAAGGAATGGAGGAGCTTCCTCTGGAACTTCCACGACTCGCCGTCGACATTAAAGATCCCGTCGCCCAGAGCCTCCATTATGATCTTGAAGTCCCGACCCTTGTCGTAGTTGGCGGCGTTCTTGTTGAAGATGTGGTTGATGTTGGCGGGATTGCAAGTGACCAGGTAGTTGGCGTTGACGAAACTGGGTCCCTTGAGAAGGAACGTTCCCCCGGTTCGCCTCAAGGCTCGGGTATACAAGTCGTGGAGTGTGGAGTTGTAGAAGCTGAAGAGGAGGCCAGGGAGCATCCCGAGGAATGGCCATTGGTAGACCGGTGAGTGCTTGTTTCTGAGCAGCCAGTGGCATAGGAAGATCGTGACCAAGGAAAGGAAGGTTAGAAGTAGTTGTGTTGCCATGTTTCAGGATCAAGTTTAGCTAATGGAATAGTAATGAGGCGTTGGTGTTGAGGACTAGTGGACAATAAATAGTGGTGCTTGCATAGTAGTGAACGATAATATGGTAAATGGTGCCAACCTTCATAAATGTAAATGCTAAGACTGACTCCAACCCTACAGCTAAAAAGCCATTTACCCATTTTTAGCTCTTTTTTGGTGCTCCAACCCACATTATTTTGGGGAGCTAAAAATGGGTATTGGTGAATTGGGAGCCAAATTTAGCTCCCAAAAGAGTGGTAAAGCCAAATTTGGCTAGAGAAAATGGTGGACCCGCGGCGGGTACTCCTTTATTTTTTATTTTTTATTTGTTTCTGTGGAATTTTCTCATTGGTTGATTGTGTTGTTTTCCCTTTTTTTTGTGTGGTATTTTGTCATTGGTTGATTGTGTATGTTGTTTGTTTAATTGTTTGAAAGAAGATATGAATTGTTGTATGTTTAATTGGTATTTTCTCATTGGTCACGAAGTTAACGGTAACAAAATAATGACTAATTTTCTGAAATATTTTGTCTCGGAATTTAAAAAAAATTACATCGATTTTTTTTCAAAAGTAATAACTAACTATAGAATAATTAAAGTGAAATATAAAAATTAGAGGTCAAATAACTATGGTTTATTGTAATAAATTAAAAAAAGGAAGATGAGAAGCGAAATTTAGCTTTGTGTAGGGTTGGAGTGAAAATGGGATTTGGGGAGCTAAAAAGCCATATTTGACTATTTGGTACGGGTTGAAGTTAGTCTAAAGGGTTTATTATCCTACGGTGGGATATCCTAGCATTCACGCACATAATTTGACTACATTAATTATGAGGTCCACCAAGCTTTTATTTTGATAAAAGAGGTCCACCAAGCTAGATCTTCTTTCCTCTTGCAGTAAATTTGGCGCTACACCTAACTTGTGTTCCCTCCATACCATATTTGGTTGTATAACTTTTTACTTAAAAAATAGAAGGTGTCAAAATAATTTTGCATTAACCCAAAAATTACTGTGTCATGACAAATAATTTAACAGTCAAAACTTTTATAATGACATTAAAAAATGTACCTATCCAATGGAGACTAGGCAGTGCCATCAAGAGTTAAACGATGGCGCATAAGGTATTAGAGTTTCACTCCACAATCTATTTTTTCAAGAATGCTTTGATATTTCGAATGATAAATATTAATTCGGTAAACTAAAAAATGAAATAAATATGTCTAATGTATTGCTTCGTCAATAAGATGACTAATGTCTAATTGTAATGAATGGTGGCTTTAATTTTCTGATATCATAGATTGTATTTTTTTCATAGGTTTAGATATTATTAATTTTCAAAAATAAAAGGTGTCAAAATAATTTTGCATTAACATAAAAATTACTGTGTCACCTCAACTGCCCATCCGCCACTCCACTGCGTTGGTAGGTTTCCATTTGTTTGCTGGGTTGTTTTCCTTATCATATTGCAGGAAATTCACATCTGTGTTGGAATATCTTTTGTCGAGTGTTCAAATGGGCTAAGTTTGCGTTCTCCTATTCCTGGGCCTCATGTCCACTGCCATACACTAAAGCTCAGAATTTGTCGGGCCATCACGACCGTTATTATTTTTTTTTATAATCCAATATGCACGCATTACATTTTGCGATTACCGAGCGAAACCAAACTTGGGGCCACCTGCACATTTTACATGCCAACAAAGCTTTACCCACAACAACTAAATTACCCACAACAACTAAACATGTCTTTGGGAACACAACAGTGGCCTCGAGGGGCGGTCAAATACGGGACCTCCAACTTTCCGCAACGAGCGACTACGAGCGTTCATCGCTAGGCTATGTGACCTTCGACACCATGTTATTGATTTTTCAAGACGGTTATGGTTTCCGATGGGTGAGATTAATTTTTTCAAATTTATTTGAAAAGGAGTCTCAAGTTTAAATTCAGTCTCCCTACTTCCCTTTTTACTTATAAGGGGATATAAGTTTATTTTTTAATTAGGTGCTACATTAAGTATTCAAATATGAGACCTCCAGTTACATTATGCTAGGATCAAATTCTTATTCGCCTCGTTCCTTCATTCCTAGAAAGGCAATTTTTTCAATTCAATTTTTTTAAGAGCATGACCTATTAAAAATATAAATATGATGACATATATGTGATACCAATTGAAAATTCAATTCTTAGATATCTCATGTGGACTTATATGAAATTATAACAATCAAAGAGTACAACAACCCTCACAAGAATAGCATAAACATAGGGAACCTAGCTAGTTCCTCCCAATATAATAAAACACATGGACAACACAAATTATAAAAAGAAGTAGAGACCTCACACGACTCATTAAACCCTAGACATACTGACAAATGATCAAGCACTTCAACTAGACCACCACAACAAATATATATTAAGAAAGCAACATGAACAATATTATTCTCAGTGGTCTCTCTTGGAGACTCTCGTCTTCAACCCATCTTTCATAAACAACACCAGGCTAATCGTTGGCCTTCCATAGGGACCATCATCTATAAGTTCAAACTTGTAGTTCCAAAGGAGAGCACTAGCCAGGGACTTGACTTGCGTGAATGACATATTCTTCCCCAAACATGTCCTTGCTCCAGCCAAGAAGGTCATGAACTTGTACGAGGGGACATGTAGTATCGTCCCTTTCTCAGAAATCCACCTCTCTGGTTTGAACTCCAAGCAATCCTCTCCCCATATCTCATCCATCCTGGCCATGCCGTATATGGAGAATATTATCCTCTCTTCTTTACGTACCGTGTGCCCGCTTGGAAGGACATCTGCCTCCACGGCACACTTGTGCTCGAATGGTACAGGTGGGTACAACCTCAATGTCTCACAAATGGTTGCATGAAGGTACACAAGTTTGTTCAATTCGTCATTTCTGAAAAATCCTTCTCTTTCTTCTCCTGGTTTGCCACAAATATTAATTCTATCATTTAGTATATAAAAGACCGAAAAATATGTGCATTTGCCTATATTTAAATATTTTATCTTACCATCAATATCACTTGACAATCGTCGAGCTGCCATCACTTTTCTTAGCTCTTCGAGAATCTTTTTCTCAATAGCGGGGTGGTTCGCCACACACCATATCAACCAAGTAAGGGCGACAGTGATGGTGTCTCTCCCGGCTCCAATTAACGTTAATGTAATGTCCCTTAGAAACTTGTCGAATTTTTTATCAATGATTTTTCCGTCAGCACCGTCATCCTCATCTTTCATGACCAAGACTTGTGTCAGCAAATCCAGCTTTTTTCTTTCATGCACATCATTGCTAACGGAGTGCTTTGTCTCTAATTCTTGCTTCTTCCTCTTGATGCTACCATACAAGAACTGATCTACGGTGCTCCAAGCTCGAAAGCACTCCCCCTCGATTCCAATGCCAAGCCGATGTTGAAGCCTCCACAGGCATACGGGAACTATGTGTCGGTAGATCGCCACCCTCTCTAGCACGTCGAATGCCTTGCCACATTCACAATCAGGGACGCAGCCTCCTTCGGACTCCACGGCGGGGAGGTAATGAGGGTCGAATCCCAAGACCAACAGGCACATGTTGTCGAACATGAACCTCTTAAACACGTCTTGTAGGTCCACCAACTGGTCGTTCTCCGTCGTCCTCCTCCTCGCTGCTCTGTCGAGGACCGGCATAAGGGTGCTCCTCATCTTCTGTGTGAGGATCTGCGTGGAGTGTCCCTCGAACTCGAAGTTGTTCAACAAAGAATGGAGGAGCTTCCTCTGTAACTTCCACGAGTCGCCGTCGACATTAAAGATCCCGTCGCCCAGAGCCTCCATTATGGCCTTGAAGTCCTTGCCCTTGTCGTAGTTGGCGGCGTTCTTGTTGAAGATGTGATTGATGTTCGCGGGATCGCTCATGACCAGGTAGTCGGCTTTGATGAAGCTAGGCCCCTTGAAAAGGAACGTTCCCCCGGATCGCCTCAAACATTCTATGATGAAGTCGTGGAGTGCGTACACGTTGACGAGGAGGCTAGGGAGCATTCCTAGCAATGGCCATTGGTAGAGCAGTGAGTGCTTGTTTCTGAGAAGCCAGTAGCATAGGAAGATGGCTAGGGAAAGGAAGGTTAGGAGTAGTTGTGTGGACATGTTTCAGGAGCTGTCTAGTTTTGCTAGGGTTTCGCCAATGGAAATAGTACTGTTGATTATGCGTTGGTGTTGGAGACTAGCGGGGAATAAATACAAGTTCTTGCATGGTGCGTGTACAGTAACCTCCATTCTCCCACCAACAAAAGTATTAACCATTAGAGAATTTATGTAGATGGAGCTGCACAGCCTGCACTGTAATAGCTACGTTGGATCGGAGAAGGGTAGATAAGGGGTAATGGTTGAAGCAATAATAATGGGGATGCATACGGTAAATTTTTACGGCAATAAGTTTCACCTATATATAATTTTGGTAGGGTCAAAATATTGAAACCAAGACATCAATGCTGGCAGGCAATAGTAAAACCAAGCAGCTGCTATGCTATGTATCTGCCTTCTGCCCAATCTTCATAAATATACCAAAGACAAGCAGAATTATATTCCTACGATACTACAATGTTGATATATATGTGATTATGTGAATTGATGAATGGCAACGATATGATATGATATGCTATCACGTACCTAATTGAAATGCATGTGGATAAATTTATTCAACCAAGTATTCGTTACCTTTTATTGTAGGTTGGTATATATTTAACAAACTTGTGTTTGTGTTGGTGTTAAATGTTGGAAAATAAACATAAACATACATAATACTAGAATAGCCAACCTATCCAAAAAGCTCTTTGGTCCACAATACTAGATCGTATCAGATTAGCATGTTAATTAACAGCCAAAACAATCATTAAAATGGGTAAATTTCACGTTTGGGTACTGGGTTTGGTTAGTCACTAAAAATATTTTATTTCGTTCATAGTCATTAAAATTAATTCAATAGTTTAAGTTTTGTCACTCTCCGTTAGTCTCCATTAAATTTATTTGTTGTGACAGTCAATTTTACTGTTAAATGAGTGACGTGATAATTATAAGTAAATAAGAAATAAAATTTCCACCTCATTTTAACCGGTCACCACTATCAAAAAAGTCAAAATCAAAATTAATTTTTCCATCGGGAATAGAATAAAACAATTGTTCATGTTATAAAACTAATAAAACAATTGTTCATGTTAGCTAATTATAATACTGAGTCCGACATTTTGTGAATACGATTGATAAAGATGTTGTTGGGCTGTGAAGTGACTTATATGTTAGTTATTTCGTACGTAGTTTATTAGTTAAAAAATCAAAGTTGAGTGACTGATCTATTAATGACCCAAATCATTATATCTAGTGACCACAAAATTAAGTAACTGGCCAAGATTAATTATTACTATGGCGATTTTCTTGTGAGTGAATATTTGACACGATGATTTTCATGAAAAAGGAATTTTCACTCCTGTGGGACGTACACGAACGTACGTATACGTAGGCCCATATCCATGCATGATAAATATTGAATTACAAAACAGTATCGCTCACTGACGACCTTATAATCACCTGCCAGGGGAGAGGGAAGAGATGGTCTTGCCACTCTAAGATCCACTTGGTCAGTGATGAAGATAAAATCTTGTATACTATATTTCGAGTGAATCTAATTGTTAGATGTATTTTATTGAACTTCGTTGGATTAGAGTCACAGAACTCGCTTTAATTCGTGTTCTAAATATGTATATCTCGCTAGGAGTATTTAAAATATCATGCATTCTGCGAGTACACCAGTCTGAACTATATAAAGTATGTGTGTTATCAATGGTCGGATTATAATTGACCACCTCTTCCTATGGGGATGATCTTGTGTTTGTGTTGTGTGGTTAACTTATTATGTGGATATTAGGTTTTGGTGTGTCTTTTACTTATTAATGTTTGTAAAACTAAACTGATATTGATCCCATGCAATAAGAGATATGGCAATGGGTTGGATGTCTCTAAATTCATAATGGCCTCTTGCAACTCCCACAAATGTGTTGCGTTATGTATTAAAAGAGTTGCGGAAACCTATCGCAACACTTTTGGTAGGGTTGCATATAGTGGGGGTTGCAAAAGGAATAGGCAACTGTTTTTTCATTTTTCGCAACCCAAATATGAAGGGTTGCGTATTCTTACCTTTTACGCAACACCACTTTAGACAACACATTTCACAATTTTTGCAACACATTTTTGTAAAATGGGCAACGGTTTTTTTAACTTTTGGCAACATTAATATTTGTATACGTGACGGGTCTAAACCGTCACGAATAACTAACTCAGTTGTGACAACATTGTTCGTAACAAAAATAAGAACTTGCGTGACAATCTTATTGTTAATAAAAATTCTTTTTGTGACGAGGCAGTCTAGTCCCGAAAACTACTCTTGTGACATGTCTACTTGTCACGAATAGTTACAAATGTGACCATAATGTTGTCACAAATACACATTTTGAAATTCAAGGTAAGATTTACGGGTTGAGTTGGTTGTCATTAAAGTAACTATTTGTGACGTAATTTACTGTCACGTATATCCCTCATGTGTGACAAATTTCGATCGTCACTCACAATATACTTTTGTGATTATCTAACTTTCACAAAAGAATCAATTTGTGACAATTTATGTTATCACGAAAACACCTTACGTACCACAAAATGATGTCAATTGTGACCAATATTTTGTTGCAAAAGGATATATTTGGTGACAACTTTAGTAATCACTCAAAGCAGCATTAGTGATAAATTGACGGCACGAACTTCGCAAATCCCATTCAGTGGTGACCAACCTTTCATCGCAAAAGGTTAGCGTTTGTGACAACTTTGATAGTCACTAATAAAGCAATGGTGATGCATCACTGAGTTATCACGAATGTATTTCTATTTTGACAATAAAATTATCTTTTCAGCCTTCTTTTGTGACAAGAGTTGATGACACGAGTATACCCCAAAAATGACGATACCGTATGTCCTACATGAGTGCATTTTGTGACAAGATTTTAGGACACATATTGCTACAACACTCTATTCAGTGAGAAGATGTGTCGTCACTTCTATTAATTGCGAGAACATGTTTCGTCACAAATTTAATGGTTTGATGACTAACGAGCTTCTTTAGTGACAAGAAATTAAAATACGAATATAGTCATTGGTGTCAAGTTATACGATTATGTGATGATGTACGTTGAAAAAAAAATCATATTTTGTGACAAGAATGGTCACCAAAATAAAAAAAAATCAAATTCACTAGATAATAGGGGAAAAAGTCTTAAACTCAAATTTGGCTACTAATAATTCTAAATAGTATTTGAAATCAATCAAAATCACAAATCTAACACTAATGAGAGGTTGTTGATCTTTATAAATCATCCTACTTTTCTCGGACGCAACAGTTGCATCATGTCTTCATCATGTTGCTTTTGCAGGTCAGCAAACCTTTGTTCCCATTTCTGGTTCTGCTCTGCTAGCCGGGCCTCAAACTGTTGGTTTAACTCGGAATAGATCTCATTTCTTATCCCAGCTCTAACTTCTTCCCCAACCACAACAATTTTCTCCCGCCTAACACGTCGAGACGAGGGCTTGCCCTTGGCTTTAAGTATTATCTCTTTGTTAGACAAAGAAGTTCCTTGATTGACTATCTCTTTTATTCTTTCCTGTAAAAGAAAAAAAAAGAAATTATTCTATTTTATGATTTCAGAATGAAGTGTATATAAATGTAAGGCATTGAAAAAGTCTATGAAAGTTTACTTACGTAAATTGCTTTTGATGCCTCATCGCACCATATCATCTCTCCTTCTTCATTCTTCTTCATATGTTGAGCACGCCACACTTCATCAACAGACTTCTTAATTCCAGTTTTTGGATCTATCTATGATTTCGATTTCATTATTCAACTTAAAGAGTGTTAACAAAACAAAAAAATGTGATATGAGGTAACAAAAATAAAATAAATTTAGAAGTTAAAACTAGAAGATCATTACCATATTAAATTCAAATTCATCATGAGATCTTGATCCACACACATTCTTCACTTTCACCTGTGATCTATTCTTCTTATTTCTCACACTCTTTTTCTGTATAGCTCACATTTTAGGATTAATAATAAATTCAAATAAACAAATTATAAAAGACTTAGAAGGAAAAAAAATTAAGGATTAAAATGTGCACTTACTTTGAAAAGCTCTGATCCCCAATTGACAACAGCTTGCTTCCAATCTTCTTTATCAATGCCGTCAGGAACATAACTTTCCCTTTCATTTTAATCCATATCTTGATATTTCTTGCGTAAGTTGTACAGCGTAGTTGAATATGATTTTTTCATTTTCTTAAATATAAAAGATCTTAGCTTCTCATTGCAATTGCTCTTGAATTTCTCCTACAAACAAAGTAACTCAAGAGTATAAGATTCTTAAGAATAGTTCAATATGCAAAATATTAACAAAAAATGAAAAGTGTGAAAATGATTGATCGTACCTCCACTAAGGAGCACAATTTATCACCAATTGTTTCTTCAACCTCATCCCAATTCGTGGCACTCAACTTAGCATGTTTTTTTATTAGAACCCCACAGAAACTAACTAAGTGCCGAGCATTCTTACCAACAGCCTCTGTCCCTGTGTTGGGAAAATAAACCTCTAATTTTTTCCCATCTTGGGTTGCTAGCACAACAGCATTACAGGTTGTGATACCCCTCTTATTCTTCACTGTAATAGTAAATACGAGACAAAGTTTTAATGACTTGATTTAATAATAAGAGCATATTCAAATATGCTACTCCAAAAGTATTAAGTAGGCTAACTAGAAAACGACGTTTACATCTAGTTAAACTATTAACCAGCAAACCAGAAATCAACAAACAAAAAAGACTCAATGTAAAAAAGAGCAGATTTGTATTATAGTGAATCAAAAAAAGGACTCCAATTAATTAAGTTGACTAGTTACAATTTTTGGAGTAGGGATTCACGTTCACATAAAATTAAAGGACTTGATCAGGTTTTAGGGTTTATGTCCTCTCGATTATCCGCCTCGCCTAATTACTTCTTTCCTGCTCGACTGCTGGTGGCTCAAAGTGATGGAAGGATGTTGGCGCCAATAGTTGCCGCCAAATTAAAGGACTTGGGCATTAGTAGGACTCCAAAAAAAGGATTCACATTCACAAAAAGATGCATGCCGCTCTATATCCCAGGACTTGGGCATTTTTTTAATGCGTATCATTTAACCAAAAATTGGTACTTCTTTTTTAATCTTGATGTAATCTTATCTTAATGAAAAATTGACCAATGAGATAAATAATACAAGCCTATCAAGCAGCCTAATAGGGTCGGACTGTGATTTCTATTCCTAGTCGCTCCAACTCATCACAAACGTGGGACGTACTCCGCCAAAAGAAAATTTTGGACTCTGTATCAAATAAAATTGGGAGTTTGCAGTAGGGATTCACATTCACATAAAATTAAATACGGTTCTTTGGCAATTAAAAGATGAACACGCAGAACAAGAAATAGCTTAAACAACAAACTAAAATTTCACGTACCTTTTGGACTCTGTAACACCATGCTACTGCAAGTGTGATCCTCCATTTCCTAAAAAACAAAAAGCATACTTTCAGGGTTAGGTACAGGCTAAATAATGTCTCAAAGATATTGCACCGCACTGCCAAAGGTCTGTAGAATCACCGGATTAAAGGAATAATATGCTTAGTCAGAGTCTTCATAGAAATCATCGGTCATTTCAGCTTCACTTGAGTGTTCATCTTCATCACCATCACCATTTTCAGATTCACTTGTGTACTCTTCTTCAACCTCTAGGATTGCAGCTTCACTTGTGTTTTTGGGTTCAACAGCTGTCGTTTCAGTCTCCTTTGTAGCAAGATCGTCCTCCTCTTCCGCATCAAGCCCCACTGCATCTTCCACTTCAGTATTTTTCGATTCAGGAATTTCAACCGTTATTCCTTCAACGTCATCTCTTGACCACTCAAGCTCCTCATTGTTATCAATTGGCAGGACAGGCTCTATGCTAGGTGCTCTTGAATTAGAAGCATACTCATCTTCTAAGCCATCAACTCTCATGTCAAATAAGTCTCGAGGAAGTGTCTCCATGAAATAATGCCAATCTTGTTGCATTGGATCTTGCACATAAAATCCTTGCTTTACCTGATTTGCCATGACAAATGGGTCATTTTGATACTTTAACCTTCTAAAATTCACCCGAGTGAGCCCATAACCATCCTTTTCTGAATCAAACCACTTGCACTTGAACAGAACTATTTTGAAATGGGAATAGTAATCCAACTGAATGATCTCATCGATAGCTCCATAGTAAGTAACATCAGCAAGCACTGGATTTTTATCCTTGGAACTTGCATAACTTGATGTCATTGCTGTCAGCGTTACCCCACTACTTTGCGTTTGCAAGTTCTTCTCGCGACTCAAAGTATGAAACCTATAACCGTTAATAAGGTATCCTGAGAAGCTCTGAGCAACATAATTCGGACCAGAAGCTAGGTGTTTGATCATCGTAGAAACATGTTTGTCATTTTGAACGCACAACTCTAGCCATTGTACTATATCTTGTGCTTGACTTTTTTCTCTTGCCCAATTCCTGCCCTTACGTTTTCTGCTTTGTGATTGATCAAACTCACTACAAAAACCAGTACATAATGAGCATAAAAGTATAAAAAAAAATATAACGAATTTGGTTAGATTGACAAAATGACAACAACAAGATAAGCTTTGTGATTGCTTAAAGGAAAGAATTTCTAATTACAATAAGTTCCCCCACACACAGCCATCATTGTAAGACTACATGAAGATAAAGTTCACAAGGAAAGGAACTTATGAATAACATAACTCAGCAATGGTGGGGAAAATTAATGAAAATATATTGGTACCAAATATTCAATGCAAAGAAGATATTGTATACTAAATAGAAGCAAGAAGATCATCTTACTCGATATATGCAGACAGCTCAGACAAGTTATCCTGACAATTGATGATAACATATCGCCGAGCTTGGGTAAGAACCTCATCATTCAATTCAATTAGTTTACCCTTCCCATTCTTTTTTGCTCCAAGCGGTCTGCCTAAAATTGGGAATAAATCTGCAGAGTTTTCCCCTGTGACAAATCCTTCATGGTTCCTGGAACTTCGAGTGAACCTCGTATCACCATTATCACTCAAATATCTTGAGCAAAAGATTAAACATTCCTTAGCAGAGTTGCCTTCAGCTATGCTTGCTTCAGGCTGATTTCTATTCTTCACAAAATCCTTCAAGACACCCAAAAAATGCTCAATTGGGTACATCCACCGAGTTTGTACAGGCCCTCCCAGCCTAACTTCTTCGACCAAGTGAATTGGTAGATGAACCATAACATCGAAAAAGCTGGGTGGGAAAATCCTCTCAAATTGACAAAGAGTCTCAACAATTTCAGTTTGCAACTTATCCAACTCGCTCAATGATATGACCTTCCTACAAATGGCTTTGAAGAATTGACCAAGCCTAATGACAGCAATAGCAACATTTTTGGGCAAAGTCTTACATACTGCGACTTGAAGCAGGTATTGCATCATAAAGTGGGCATCATGACTCTTGTACCCAGATAGTTTCCTCTCCTTTAGGTTGACACAATGAGAAATGTTTGATGCAGCTCCATCTGGCACTTTAGCTCCTTTTAAAACCTGACAAAAAATATCTTTTTCTTGGTTGGTTAGCCAAAAGCAAGCTCTAGGCAATACACTCTTCTTACGATTTGATGATTCAACCGGATGAAGCTTCTTCCTGATTCCCATATCACGTAAATCCAGACGAGCATTCAGATGATCTTTGGTCTTTCCAGGAATGTCTAACAATGTTCCTAAAACATTTTCAAAGACATTCTTTTCTATATGCATCACGTCAAGATTATGACGCAATTGATTTTTCTCCCAATAAGGCAACTCAAAAAAAATGGACAACTTATGCAAAGGAAATCTTGTCTCGCCTTTCTTATTGTCCCTCTTGCCAAAGTCATTGATGAATCCTGATAACTTTTCCTTGATCATCGAACCAGATAAAGGTATAGGACTCCGCCCAAACTCAGTTTTCCCGTTAAAAGAACTCCTGTCCCTCCTCCATTCATGATCATCATCAAGAAACCTACGTGTCCCCATATAACACATCTTATTGCTGTGACTCAACCGCAAAGAGCATGTATCATAATTACAATTTGGACACGCATAGTATCCTTTTGTGCTCCAACCAGACAACATGGCATATCCCGGAAAGTCACTAATGGTCCACATCAAACAAGCACGCATATTAAACATTTGCTTCCTATGAGCATCATACGTCATTACTCCCTCACTCCATAGCTTCTTCAGTTCATCCACAAAAGGTCCTAAATAGACATCAATATCATTCCCTGGTGATTTTGGCCCTGGGATAATCGAAGACAACACCAAGTACTCTGATTTCATGCACATCCAGGGTGGCAAGTTGTAGATTGCGACTACCACGGGCCATGTGCTATGATTACTTGTCATGGTCCTGAATGGATTGAAACCATCAGAAGCAATGGCAATCCGCACATTTCTACAATCAGCTGCAAAGTCCGGATGCAAGTCATCAAAATCTTTCCATGCTTGACCATCTGCAGGATGCCTAAGATTCCCATCTTTGATTCGCTTTTTCTCATGCCATCTCATGTATCCAGCTGTTTTCGAAGACATGAACAACCTTTGGAGTCTCGGTATCAAAGGAAAGTAGCGGAAAATCTTGGCAGCAACTTGTTTCCCGGAAACATTATCATCTTCACCACGATCCCCATCATCCTTAGAGGGTAACTTGTATCTGGACTGGCCACATTTTCTGCAACTCTTCAGCTTACTATCCTCATCACCATAATATAGCATACAATCTTTTGGACAAGCGTCAATCCTCTTGTAGTTCAATCCTAAACCCTTAATCATTGTTTTCATTTTAACAAATGATTTGGGAATCTCTGCATCAGGAAAGGCCTCGATCAACAAAGAAAGGAGAGAATCAAAAGAGGAGTTACTCCATCCATTAAGGCACTTTAGAAGATATATTCGAATGGTGAATGAAAGCTTGGAAAAATTTTCACAGCCCGGATAAAATTCTTTGTCGGCGTCTTCTATCAGAGTGAAAAAGTGCTTCGTCATTCCATCAGGCTCTGGGCCGACACTAGCTGCAAGGTCACTTAATAGACCATACATATCATCATCATCTACCATATCATCATTGTCACTATCTTCAACTTCATTCTCTCCGTGGAAAGTCCAGGTTAAGTATTTCTTCACAAATCCATGACAAATCAGGTGTTCATTGACGACATTTCTGGTTTGCCAAAACATATTCTTGCACTTCACGCAGGGACACAAAATCTCATTCCCCTCAGCTGATTTAGCAAATGCAAAGTTCAGAAAACTCTCTACTCCATTACGATAGGCCTTACTCACTCGTGCTTTCGACAACCAACTCTTGTCCATTTTCAATAAACAAACTGCAAAATGAATGACCTGGATTAGTAAATTTACACACTAAGGTCAGGACAAAATAAGTACAATGAGGAAAGCTGCAATTCCAGCAGAAAATCAATATAAAAATACAAACAAACAAGATCAAAATCAAAATTCATCACAATTAGTAAATTTCAGCAGAAAATCAACACAACTGATGTTTAATGAAAACTGGTGGTAATGAGAAGCATTTCACAACGACGCATTGACACTAACAGCATATCACTTTTCTATCAATTGCTGCAGTGAAAATGTTCAGAAACTGGGATTGAAAGGAAATCCAACCGAACATATATTAAGCCTTTAACCGTACAAATCACTTTCATAAGGAGAGTGTGGTTGAGTGAAGAACAACGACTGAACTCTGAGGTACATTTCGATCCTACAAGTTCAGCAGAATGAAGAACATGGCTGCCCCAACTAGCAAACCTCAGAGGCCAAACGAAGATCCGCAAGGCCCTTTCACAAGCCTGCAGCTCGCTTCCTTATCCACGAAAACTCTGAATTTTTTCAGTTGGGATATAAACTATAATAAATCACACCAAGGGTAAGAAAGCAGCATTATGCCCAAATTGAAAACCTCTGCAGAGCTGCCTCTCGGCTCTTCTTTTAGTTCGCTAAAAGCAGCAGTTTGTGGATCTTCACTCTCGTCAATGCCACCCTGCCACAAGTAGTTGTTATTTGTTAAGAATAATGGGACATAAACCATGATGGAGGTACATGGAGTCTATATGGATCTCAATTTCCTAACTCCAAATTCAATCTCCTTTTTGATGCATATATAGTATCAAAGTTGCAATTGCTCTGCTATGCTACTGTAACCCCCTAAGTTTGGAACTTAATTTTTCTTTTTTTATTCTTTTTTTACAAATACAATGGATGGATATATGTATGTATGCATTGCTCACTTGGTCCTTGAAGGGTTGAGGTGTGCGGTAGTTGTGACTATGGATTTGCTTTCCGGGCCACGACTTGAAGCCTGCAGAGTGAATAATTAAATCCACTTGTAAGTAGCAACCAAGAAAATTAGGAGGTAGCCAGGAACGAACTGTATCGGTATAAATTAACCATACTTACAAGACTATAGCAATGTTGATTGTAGCTTCATTAGCCGGTCGTTAAACAATTCCTATTTCTTCATTAAGTTACAAATCCAACTACCTAATTCATTTGGATTGTATATAAATGATTCAGTATATAACTACTAGACCGAGCATGATATATAATGTACTTAACCCGCAGGGGAAAACTCTAAATCATACCGTCCCCATAAACCCACAAATTAGCACAGTAAGCAGAGAGATAAAGAACTCCACCCAAACAAGGCATTCAGGAACACATAATAGTCAAGAACACAAGCGACAAGAAAGAACACAATAGATATTGCAGCAAACAGCAGAAAAAACACTCGAATCAAACCCCAGGCTACTTTAATTTTTCCCCTCTAAGGCAGCACTCATTAGAACAAGCTCAAGAACAAGCTACAATAACCGAAACCATCTTCAGCTTTTAAGCCAGCGAAAAATAATCTACATTTACAAAGCAAGTAGAACCGCTACAGAAGATCGGGTGAACCGGTGAAAGGAGAAAGGAGAACCCACCGCGGTCGACGGTCGAACAGGAATTTGAGGATGATTCTTGATGGTGGGGTGGGTAACGAAATTCGTACCGTTGTTCTTGGGGATATGACCTTCAGAGGAGGATTGATGGACTCTGATTCCTAGTTGCTGGCTGGACCTCTGCTATACTCGTCGATTTTGCAGCAGATAAACACAGGGGAAGCTTTTTTGTGAGGGCAGAAGCACAAACTATGGAGAAGTGCGATAGAGGAAGGAGAAAAGGGAGGTAAAAAGTAGAGTAACGAGACTAATTTGATTGGTAAAGTTGGGTGGGTTTTTGTTTGCTTTTCCTTTTCTTTTCTGTATTTGGGTCGAAGTTGGATTTTTTATTTTTTGGTGTTTACCTTTCCTTTGCTTTTCTGATTGGGATGTACGTACATCAAACGGTAATATAAATATATGTTTTTTGCAACAAAATTTTAATAAGTGTTCCATAACTTATTGAATTAGGCAACCCTAAATTTATTTTTGACATATGTGTTGTGTTAAGAGAATAATTGCAACATATAATTAAATTGAGTTGCGTAAACTATCCAATACGCAACTCCAAAAAAAAGTGTTGCCATAACATATTTAACGCAACACTTTCAAATAGTGTTGCAATCCGAGTGTTGCAAGAAGGCATTTTTCCCGTAGTGAACTCAGTGGTTGTATTTATTAAAATAATTTGGTAAAATACTTATTGGATTTTGGAAGTGAAACTCGGGCACCCACAACCACGGGTGCATGGTTAGCCATGGATTCACGAATTTAATCCTACATTATTTTTTTTGAACACTTACATCTATCGAAATTTTCATACAAATATATCTCTACAAAAACTACTAATATCCATCAAATAACCCATATTAATAGATTTGTATTGTCATAAAGACTAATAACATCTATAAATAATTCATATAATCATATTGTTCTGGTTAGATATAAAATTATGTCGTTTTGCTTTATCGGTTGGTGCAGAGATGATGGAAAATTGGTTGGATTTTGGCAAAACTCACGGCCGACCCAACCCACCAATTTAAAAAAGAAATGAGTGAAATTCTCACCCAACCCAAAAATCATATGTACTAAATTCTACCCGCTTTGACTAGGTAGAATCGACTTGGATAGTTGTGAGTTCAGATTGAATTACCGCAATGAGTTCTCCCATGGATAAAAGTAGCATTTTCTTAGGATGTCGCAATCCTGCCTTCTAGAAGAAGCTGAGGCAATCAAGAGGATCCCTATTGGTTCGAGTGATAAGAGCACTCGTGGGTGTGGCATCCAGAGAAATATGGGCTTTTCTGTAAAGTCGGCCTACAAAATCTTTAAAGCATATGAAAGAACTAGGACCGGTTTGGACGATCCTAATCACCCTCACTGTTCCATCAAAGCATGGAAGTGGCTTGGGAGTTTATCCCTCCCACTAAAATTTTCAATTTCATTTGGAGGATCACTAGAAACGCAATGGCGACAAAGAAGAATCTTTGGTTTCGAAAAGTGATTAACTCACCTAACTGCACGCTTTGTGATGGTGATATCAAGGATGTGTGGAATTGCCTTTTTGGATGCTCCCATGTTATGCACTTCTGGCAGGAGGGCTTTGTCGATCTCCATTTTCCTCTAAGCTTCCTCTCTATCCATACGTGGCTCTTCAATCTCCACGAAGTGATCCCTTTCAACTCTTTAGTGGCAGTGCTGGCTCATCTGTGGGCTCTTTGGAATGCTCGAAATGAATGATTGTGAAAAGGTATTCGTCCACAACTTCGGAAACCTCTGCTAAGGCCTTTGGATACTTTGCTTATTGGATTGCTAGTGAAGTACCATTGGCTACTTTTCCTCTCCTCTTCGGCCTTTTATACCTTGTACAATCCTTGATCTACCACCTACTTATTTCCAGCAAGATATATACTGTGATGGAGCTTTTGTCTCGGACTCTCAGGTGGCGGCTTATGGTGTTGTTGATCGAAATCATCATGGACAAGTTGATCGAAATCATCCGGAGAAATTAGGGGCTTTTCTGTAAGAAATATATAAATATTTTAAAAATAGACATTAATCTATTACAGTTAATTATTTTTTAACGGTGCCCCACCTCATCGTCCACCTTAGCCTCTAATAAAATAAAAAATCATAAAAATGATTTCAAAATAAAAATTAAAAAAAAAACTCTCCCCTCGTGTCTTCCCACAACCGTTCTGTCCTTCCTCCCTCTCTCCACTTCTCTGGATCCCCTTTCCGTCTCGCCGACTCCTCTGCTCCACCCTCACCACCCTCCGCCTCCTCCCTTCCCGCTCTTCCTCCCTCCTCGACACTCATCATAGTAGGGCTTCCAGTTCGACGTCATCGACTATCTCCTCAATGATAAGGACGATGGCGCGGCTCCTAGAATACCTAGGCAAATCTCTGGATCTACTCGAGTGAAGACATGCACGATGGGGTTGATGGAAGATCGAGTGAAGGCATGACTGTGTCGGGCGTCGTTAAAGTAGTCAAGCAGTTCATATGCCATCATCTCCGCAAGAGCATATTGAAGAACGAAACATGTTTCGGGACTCGAAGACGATTCAAAGCACTTTATGTTTTACAATTTAATTAATGCAGTTAGTTATTACTAGCCTGTCGTTGCTTTTCAAGTGGAATTGTAATCGTTTGCTACCGTTGGTAAATAGTAAAACTTGAACTGCTATAAATAACAATCTCACCCAGCTACTCTGGCCGAGGGTTTCCGATCCATTTCTCGCCCAGCTCGATATTTTCTACATGGTATCGGAGCCCTAGATCTGAAGATTATTGTTCCCATCGGCAATGTCCGGCACTACTAAGCCACTGGTTACTTCAAGCAGCGACAACCAGTCGGGTGCTAGGTTCCAGTTTGGGACTTATGCATAATCTTTAGCTCCGGGTGGCAGAGGTGAGATCAAATTCGGGAATCCCTTCTACCTCAATGGGAAAGAGAATCTCTCTCAGTCGACTATTTTTTAGGTTTTGGATGGTACCAATTACTCGATGTGGATACGTGCTATGCGGATGGCCCTGAAAACGAAGGATAGGCTTGGTTTTGTGGATGGGTCGGTTAAGGCACCTCCTACTACTAATGACTTGTTTCCCTTGTGGGATGGCTACAACACCTTAGTTCTTTGCTGGATTATCAATTTGCTCCAGAAAGAAATTGCTTGCAACATTATGAATCATGAGAACGTGTTCTTTGTGACGAATTGAAGCGCTGATTTGGGCAACCTAATGCCATGCGCATTATCAATTTAGAGGATTAGATCCAGGCCTGCAAACAAGGAGATCGCACCGTCACTCAATATTACACTGACATCAAGGGTCTTTGGGAGAATTACTTGCAATTCTCACCTATTGTGCCTTGTTGGGTGCTCCGGGTAATCCCAAATGCTTGTGCTTCCTCAGAGGCCTTCATCCGGATTATGATGTTATCAAGACGCAGTTGATCATGCTTTTACTACTTTCTCGTCCAACATTTTGTTGAAAGTTGAAGTTATTTCTGGAAACCACCAAAATAATTAATTTACAATAAATAACAAAATATAGATAAAAGGAGTGGTGATAAATTTGTTAGATAGTGTCATAAACCAGTTGGCCCCAGTTGGTGGGTGTTTCACCACACCTCATTGGTGGGAGGTTTTCTCCACACATCTTACAACTTACAGGAATGACTATTTATAACCTTCATTATATGGAATATCACTTCTCACCCTTGCTAATTTCTTTCTCTTTTTTTTATTTTTAATAATGACACTCATTAATATTTCCAACCTATTAGTTGTCAAAAATCTCTAACTGTAAAAAACCCTTCACAACAAAATGGTAATGATTCCATTGTTCCATTCTTGCTCTACCGCAATTCTCCATTTCCAAAAATAAGTTTTCCAAACAATTATCCTACATTTCTTCCTTCACAAAAATACCCACTTCCCATACCAAAAATCCAACACATTTTGTGGTCAAATAATTTGCGGTCGTCGGCTGGATATTTGACTCTTTTTTGTTTGGGTGGTTGGAAAATGGAAAGGAAGACTCTTGCGAATGGGAGAGACTGTGGCCTTTAGGAAGTTATCGGGCAATGACTGTATGTATGACCAAGAGGTGTATATATATATTATGACAATGATACTTATATTTTATTTATCAAAGTAAAAAATAGGAAAGATATTTTTGTATTGACCATGATTTATTATGTGAGATTTAGCTAAAAATGTAAGGAAGTGGTTAAGTATCATACATGAGCCTGTATAAGGTCCAGCATAACCTTCTCCCAATAACTCGAGTTATTGAGACCAACTTGTTTATGACATGGTATCAGAGCTGGTTTGTCCTTGAATCACGTGTTCAAGTCCTCACGACCCCAAATATTAATCGTTGTCTTTCAAGCACATGGTATGGCGGGCTTGTGCAAACTTCAAGCCTATGAGTCGGCTTTTGTTTGAGAGGGCATGTAAGGAAGTGGTTAGGTACCATACATGGGCCTGTATAAGATCATGCACAACCTTCTCCCAATAACTCGAGTTATTGCGACCAACTGGTTTATGACAAAAAAAGATTTTATACAAAATTTTAGTTTTTACAACTTATCTAGTTAAAAACTTCGCTTTAAAACTTAAAAACTTATAATTTTACGCTTTTAGATCACCAAAATGTTTATACTTATAAACTCATTTTTTACTACATTGCTCGCAAGAATAACATACTACCAATAGGGAACATATATAGCTAGTTCATCCCATGCAGTTGGATGAAACATGACAACACAAATAATCAAAAGAAGTAGACCTCACACGACTCATTAATGCAAACCCTAGACATAGTGACAAATAAATGAAGCACTTCCACTAGACCACCACAACAAACATACATTAAGAAAGCAACATGAACAATATTATTCTCAATGGTCTCTCTTAGAGACTCTAGTCTTCAGCCCATCTTTCATGAACAACACCATGCTAACTGTCGGCTTACCGGAGGACCCATCATCTATAAGTTCAAATTTGTAGTTCCAAAGGAGAGCACTTGCCAGAGACTTGACTTGCGTAATTGCCATATTCTTTCCCAAACAGGTCCTTGCCCCAGCCAAGAAGGTCATGAACTTGTACGATGGGACATGTAGTATCGTCCTTTTCTCGGAAATCCACCTCTCCGGTTTGAACTCCATGCAATCCTCTCCCCATATCTCCTCCATCCTAGCCATGGCATATATGGAGAATATTATCCTCTCTTCTTTACGTACCGTGTGCCCGCTTGGAAGGACATCTGCCTCCACGGCACACTTGTGCTCCAATGGCACCGGTGGATACAACCTCAGTGTCTCATAAATGGTTGCATGAAGATACACAAGTTTGTTCAACTCATCGTTTCTCAAAAATCCGCTTCTTTCATCTCCTGGTTTGCCACAAATTAATTCTATCATTTAGTATCTAAAAGACTGTAGAATATGTGCATATGTCTATACTTAAATATTTTATCTTACCATCAATATCACTTGACTGTCGCGCCGCCATCACTTGCCTCAGCTCTTCGAGAATTCTTTTCTCAATAGTGGGGTGGTTCGCCACACACCATATCAACCAAGTTAGGCCGACAATAATGGTGTCTCTCCCGGCTGCGACCAACGTTAATGTAGTGTCCCTCAGAAACTTATCGGATGTTTTATCAATGATTGGTTTGTTACCACCGCCGCCCTCATCTTTCATGACCAGGATTTGTGTCAACAAATCCAGCTTGTTTCTTTTAGTCACATCATTGCCAAAGGAGTGTTTCGACACTAATTCTTGCTTCTTCCTCTTGATGCTACCATACAAGAAGTTATCTACGGTGCGCCAAGCTTGAATGCACTTCCACTCCATTCCGATCTTGAGTCGGTGTTGAAGCCTCCACACGCACATCGGGACTATGAATCGGTAGACCGCCACCTCCTCCAGCTCGTCGAACGCCTTACCACATGCATTGTCAGGGAGCCTGCCGCCCTCGGACCCCACGGGGAGGTATTGTGGATCGAATCCCACAACCAACAGACACATGTTGTCAAACATGAACCTCTTGAACACGTCCTGTAGGTCCACCACCTCGTTCCGGTCGAGGACAGGCAAAAGGGTGCTCCTCATCTTCTCTACGAGGGTCTGCACGGCATGACCCTCGAACTCGGAGTTCTTAAGCAAAGAATGAAGGAGCCTCCTCTGGAACTTCCACGAGTCGCCATCGACATTGAAGATCCCGTCGCCTAGAGGCTCCATTATGGCCTTGAAATCCCGGCCCTTCTCGTAGTTGGCGGCGTTCTTGTAGAAGATGTGGTTGATGTTGGCGGGATCACTCATGACCATGAAGTCGGCTTTGACGAAACTGGGTCCCTTGAGAAGGACCGTTCCCCCGGTTCGCCTCAAGGCTCTGATGTAGAAGTCGTGGAGTGTGTAGTTGTATAAGCTCAAGAGGAGGCCAGGGAGCATCCCCAGGAATGGCCATTGGTAGACCGGCGAGTGCTTGTTTCTAAGAAGCGAATGCCATAGGAAGATGACTAGGGAAAGGAAGGTTAGTAGTAGTTGTGTGGACATGTTTCGGCAGCAATCTAGTTTAGCTAGCTAGGGTTTTGCCTGTGTAATAGTAATGATGACGATGTGTTGGTGTTTGGAGAGACTAGCGTGGAATAAATAGTAGTTCTTGCATGGTAGTGAATGATATACCATGGTGTGCAGTTGCGTTAGACGAACCTCCATTCTCCCAACAGCAAAATTATTAATTAACCATGACAGAATTTATGAAGATGAAACTGTACTAGTGTACTGAAATAGGTTGGAGAAGGGTGGATACGGGGTAATGGTTGAAGCAATAATGCATGGGGATCCCTACGTCTCTCTTCTTTCCATTTCCACAGGGAATATCTGTGATACGGCAAAATATTTATGGCAATAAGTTTCAGTTATAATTTTGGGTAGGGTCAAAAATTGAAACCAAGAAATCAATGCTGTCAGGCAATAGTAAAACCAACCAGCTGCTATTGGCCTTCTGCCAATCTTCATAAATATAGAAAAGACATGCAAAATTCGTATGATACTACAATGTTGATATATATGTGATCATGTGAATGAATGAACGAATGGCAATGATATTCTAGCTCTTATATATTGATTTTAGTTATTCATATATTTACCTCATTGAAATGCATGTCGACAAATTTATTCAGCGAAGTATTCTATGTTACGTCACTAGTATATTAACAAGTTGCGAACGATAGTTAACGAACTTGTTCGTTTGTTAAATTTTGGAAAACGAACACACATTTTAACAACCGGTCTTTTTCGATAATTAAGGTCTTTCGGACACAATATAAGATCGTATTAAATTAACTTCAATGCTGCAGGCTCCTGCCGGAGGTAGAGCCCAGTTAGCTGCCGATTACTAACGGGAAACTGAATTACTACTGCAGGCGAGCGTTGGGTTTTCTTGTGAGTGAATATTTGAGATGGCTATATATATATATATATTCATTAGAAGGAAGTTTCAGTACTGTGTAGGGCCATATGCATGAATACCAAAACAATAAACACACAAAAAGACAGAGAACTTGCACTCTATCAGGAGTGAAAGAAGATGTGGAATAACTGCAAGAGTACCTAGTCGTGATACTGTTGTAGGATAGCTAGGACGATGTTCGTATATGTACATTTTGTTTTTTAATTTAAAAGACTTGCGACTATGATCTCTAGATTCAAGACTAATACTAGTATGATTACTAGACCAAGTTCTTGTATCGTTAGATGTTCATATATCGAAACATCCAATCAGAAATATCTTTGATATATTCATGGGATCACAAGTACCACAACATGTAACGAAATGATTGTAATATGTATTTGTTCCCAGGGGCGGACCTAGGGATAGGGGCGCCCAGAAATTTTGTGAAAGACCTCCATTTTTCCGGTACAAAAAATTTTAATTTGAGACTTCCGACACCGCAATAATTATAAGTGACACACCTTCATTATACAACAATATTTTTAATATTATAAAGTTATTCATCATAATTAGTAATTAACAATAATAAGTAAAATCAAATAAGCATGCTTGTTCTAAGTAACCCACAACCCAATTTAACTTGTCAATTTGTGGTTAATAGGTGAATTGCGTAGATTTATGGGAGATTTTGGTTTGATTTTGGTTAATTTGTTAGAACTAGAGAAAAAATGCTAATGATATTAGTTTACGCATACTTTGTTTTGTCTAAAATGCCAATTGGTAGATCGTGGTTTACTATATTTGATTATAAACTAATTTATTTTAACTTTGATTTTAGATGTGGGTAGATTCTCTTTGGTTGAGGTTGAGTGACTAATTTATGAATGATTATGTAGTTGTGTATATCGAAAAATGTTTGATTTGCAACATAAGCGATAAATGTATTTTTTTAAAAATCAGGATATGAAAAATCGTTATAATTTGTAGTAAACATGACGTTGTCAACTTAGAAATGAACTTCCAATAATTTCTATTAAATTTTTATTTTTATTTAATTATTATATTTATTATAAGTTTTTATCGGAGACACCCCTCTTTAACAATTCTAAGTTCGCCACTGTTTATTCCTGATTTGTAGATCCAATAAAGTTTTAAGTTCCGAACGTGTCGTAAAATGAATGCGATTATATAGGGTATGTGAATTAATTACCATGATCACGGGCATCTAGCTAGTACTTGTTAAGACGAATGCTATGTCGACTGTCAGTCTGTCGGAGATGACCTTATCATCTTTCAGGGGAGAGGGAAGCGATGGTCTGGTCTTGCATGCGAACCAGAGTGACCTACTCAATAACTCATCACCATGTATGTAAGTTGTAACCCTTCTCACTGCGTCGCGACTCGCCAAGGGACGTTTATCGAGCGGGGCTTACTCTAGGCTCCCATTTGGCCAGTGAAGAAAAAACCGGCAATAACTTGCATTGTGTACTCGAGTATCAAATGATTTAGCTATTAGCTAGATCAATTTCATTGTTCGATAGAATCAAAATCGTTTTTTATCAAATTGATATTTGGGTTTTGGTTTGAGAAATCATTGTCTTGGGTTTATCCATTAATGGTATATCCATTCGTGATCTAGATAGAGATATGAGATATCTCATTAGAAGTACCCGAAGTATCGTGTACTCCTTAAATACATCAGTCTGAGTCATATATAGCCTGTACGTACTACGTACTGATGGCAGAGGAGCGGGGCTAGTACCTCAATACTCATACCCGTCCCCGCACTCAGCGGAGTTCGTTTCTGTTAATACCCACGCGGATACGTAATATACTCATACCCGTCCCCGCACTCAGCGGAGTTCGTTTCTGTTAATACCCACGCGGATACGTAATAGAGCGGAGCGACCCATTCTTATATGTTTTTTTGGCAATAACATATAGAGAAAATACTTCATAAACTAATGATTAGTATTATTAACCCGCAAGTTTACTTAAGGTTCAATTACTGTTCATTACGACAAAATACTTCATAAACTAATGATTATTATTAGTATTATTAACCCACAAGTTTAGTTAATACCCACGCGGATACGTAATAGAGCGGAGCGACCCATTCTTATATGTTTTTTTGGCAATAACATATAGAGAAAATACTTCATAAACTAATGATTAGTATTATTAACCCGCAAGTTTACTTAAGGTTCAATTACTGTTCATTACGACAAAATACTTCATAAACTAATGATTATTATTATTAGTTAGTATTATTAACCCGCAAGTTTACTTAAGGTTCAATTACTGTTCATTACGACAAAATAGCGGTAACCACATTTTTACCGGAAACTATAACCCTACGGCGCCGTAAGACACAATTTTACCGAAAATAACGACACTTTAGTCGGGGAACACTGTTCATCGCCGGATTATTGAACGATTTAATTCCATGTGGCCGTTTGTAGCGTAATTCCGTGGGAAGGCCCTGGCGGCTGGGCAAGCATCAGGTGAACTTTTCATATGGGGTCATGAAGAGGAGGTGGAGAGAAGGGGAACCGAAGAAGCATGTAGTCACCAATCAGGTCGGAAGTTTATAATCAGTCGCCGACCACCGGAAAACCTTCTCTGGTGCTATGTATTCCCACATGCAAAGAACTGTAACCATAAAAAAAAAGATAAGGAAGTACAATTGCATTTTGTGTGAGACGTCTGCTAATCAAACCGTAAAAAAATGAAGGTAGAAAATATGTCAACAGAACTCAAGCTAATAATAAATCTCTCTCAAGTGGTGGTCGGAGACATTTTCCTAACTATATTCACCTTCTTCGCCCTTTAAATCACAAATGCAAGATGGAATGAGATTGCAGAGCAGCTTGAAAAGGAGGGGGGAAGAGAAGGGGAAAGCGAAACCCTCATAATCATAGGTGCTGTCGATTTCGTTTGAGTTGCCATCGCAAAGAAGAATTTGGCCAAGCGGTCGGGGATTGTAAACAGAATCCATTGATGAATGAATAAATGGATATTACTCTTCTTCTTCTGACTATGCATTTGCATGAGGGACACATGTTCACATATGAAATGATAAAATGCCACCTGTCTATGTCATGACTTGCCTTCAATTTCACCAATTAAGGCTCATGCTTTAATAAAACTGAGGATTTATTGAGTTACTAAACTGCACACCTCATATATATGTTGATGCTTCTTTCTTATACGTTTTTATTACTTTATTTATTTTGGTTTTGTATATTTAAGGGCCTTTCCTGATTTGGGTATTGATGGAAAAAAAAAATGAACCTTCATGAATCAAGCATGCAAAGAGTTGTGGTAACTGGTAACCATTAATCAACAAGAAAGGACGAAATGAAAACAACAATAAAGAAGAATTTCATAAATTAAACATTGAAAGAAAACTTGGCTTCGTTATAATTTTCAATTTTAACTAACAACTTAATCAAATGTCACATTTTTTTATAACTTAATTCCTTTATTATTAACTACCATATTCATCATTCAGTCAATTACATACATGTTAGATAAAATAAGTTAAGTTTTGCATAATAATGTAGTTCGATATTTTTCATAACTAAATTTTATTATCGCACCACATATTACAAAATTTTGTGTAATACTGTTTTATAAAAGTTATGTATATTATCAATACACTAAATATATTAAGTAAACCTTATGGAGAATAGTTATTTCAATTAAACAAAATGTATTGTTTTAGTCATCTGTAATGATTAAGACACTACGTAGAGGGATATTCATTTCTTTTGTACCAACTAAACAAATATAATTATGTAATTTTTTCTTTTGTATCAATTAAACAAATCACTATTTCCTTTGTATCAATTAAACATATCAATTAGACAAACATATTCTGTCAGTTTTTCGTAATATAAGTTTGAACAAAAAAATTATTTATAATTAATTAAATTGTTGATCATAGCATCTGTATATATTATATAGAGGATTTGTAAGATTAATTATATGTTACATAAAAATTTAATAAAAATTTAATATGTTCTATAACTTAATTATTTTCATTGTTAACTGAAATTCTATAACTATTACCTACTCTATGCATCAAATGTTATACTTTTTCTAACCTATTTCTTACATTATTAACCAAAATTCCTTAACTATTACCTACTATATTCAACATCTCATCAATCTGCATTATGCGAAGGTTCAATAAAGTATGTTAATTTTTACATATAAATATAATCAACTGTGATGTTTTCACAACATGATTTTATTATTAGACCACACATTGCATGAGATTTACATCGTTCTACAGCTACGTAAAGTAAATATATATTATGTAAAAATTATGGAGGAATAGTTATTTTTATGGACCCATTAAAGTAACATATTACGTAATCTTCTGTAATGATCAAAACACTATTAAAGTTTATATAGATATCTTACCCAAACTATTTCAAAAATTATTTGATTTCAACTACATAATCAAATGAATGGATGAAATTTTAAATATAATTAATTCATTACCGCCGCGAAGCGCGGGTCAAAAACTAGTAAATATAATAGAAGGAATACTTGAGTCTAAATAATTGAAAAATGGAGTTTACAAATTTATTTGAGATGAAAATATGATTTTAGAAAGGCCAAAAGAGAGAAATATACACGTAGATATTGATGCAAATTATAATAAAACATGAATTCCAATATCACAAAACAAGTAAAGGATTTGAAAAGGAACAAGCTTTGCAAGTCTGTTAGATTTATGAATTCACAAAACAAGTACAGATGCAGAAATCATGTGGTGGATTAAAAACCCAGACATTAATGAAGTAAAGGGCATTAGAGTTAGGTGTTGAACCTATTCGCTTTGGTCAGCAAACACTAGTTAAGCAAACGACCCGACCCTTAAAGAATCAAAGTGGATAGAGCAGCAGCTAGCTACATCGAAGAAGCTCCTTGCTCTCTCACAAAGCAGCAAAGGCTTTCCTTCCCCATTACACAAAGTCACAAACATAGCTAGCGGCACTACTTTAATTAATGATCTACTCTTGCACAATAAATACCTCAATACATTCTTCAATAATCATCTCAGCTTACGTGCTGCCGTGCTGGAAAATCAACTTCTCCTCAAACAGTCATCTATGTGAATATATTATATGGTGATATTTTTGTGATACCAATTGAAAATTTAGTTCCTAAATATCCCATGATGACAATCAAAGAGTGCAATAACTCTACGTACTCACAAGAATAGCATACCAATAGAGAACATATATAGCTAGTTCATCCCATAGAGTTGGATAACAATTAACAAAGCACGTGGAAAACACAAATAATAACACAGAAGAAGCCCTCACACGACTCATTAATGCAAACCCTAGACATAGTGACAAATTGAACAAGCACTTCCACTAGGCTACAACAACAAACAATCATGCATCAAGAAAGCAACATGAACATTATTCTGAATGGTCTCTCTTGGAGACTCTCATCTTGAGTCCATCTTTCATGAACAACATCATGCTAACCGCCGGCCTACCGGAGGAACCGTCATCTATGAGTTCAAACTTGTAGTTCCAAAGGAGAGCACTAGCCAGGGACTTGATTTGTGTGAATGACATATTCTTCCCCAGACAGGTCCTTGCCCCAGTCAAGAAGGTCATGAACCTGGACGACGGGACATGTAGCATCGTCCCTTTCTCAGAAATCCACCTCTCTGGTTTGAACTCCATGCAGTCCTCTCCCCATATTTCTTCCATCCTGGCCATGGTGTATATGGAGAATAATATCCTTTCTTCTTTACGTACTGTGTGCCCGCTTGGAAGGACATCTGCCTCCACAGCGCATTTGTGCTCGAATGGAACCGGTGGGTACAACCTCAGTGTCTCGCAGACGGTTGCATGAAGATAAACAACATTGTTCAACTCGTCGCTTCTCAAGAATCCTCCTCTTTCTTTTCCTGGTTTGTCACAAATTAACTTATATCATTTAGTACATATCTAGAAGACTTGGAAAGAATGTGTCTATATAGATATTTAAATATTTCCTCTTACCATCAGTCGCGTTTGACATTCGCGATGCCATCACTTGTGCAAGCTCTTGGAGAATCCTTTTCTCAACAGCGGGGTGGCTCGCCACAGACCATATCAACCAAGTAAGGCCGGCAGTGATAGTGTCTCTCCCGGCTATAAGTAAGGTAAATGTAGTGTCCCTCAGAAACTTGTCGGAAGTTTTATCGATGATGTTTTTGTCACCACCGTCATCCTCATCTTTCATGACCAGGATTTGTGTCAACAAATCCAACTTGTCTCTTTTTGTCACATCATTGTGTTTCGTAGCTAATTCTTGCTTCCTCCTCTTGATACTACCATACAACAATTGATCAAGGGTGCGCCAAGCTCGACTGAACTTCCACTCCATTCCAATCTGAAGTCGTTGTTGAAGCCTCCATACACACATCGGAACTATGTGTCGGCAGAGCGCCACCTCCTCCAGCACTTCGAATGCCTTGCCACATGCACTATCAGGGAGCTTGCCGTCGTCGGACCCAACGTCGGGGAGGTAATGGGGGTCGAATCCCAAGACCATCAGACACATGTTATCGAACATGAACCTCTTGAACACGTCCTGTAAGTCCACCAACTCGTCGTTGTCCATCCTCGACGCTCGGTCGAGGACCGGCATAAGGTTGCTCCTCATCTTCTGTGTGAGGATGTGCATGGAGTGAGCCTCGAACTCGGAGTTGTTCAACAAAGAACGGAGGAGCTTGCGCTGTAACTTCCAGGATTCGCCCTCGACATTGAAGATCCCGTCGCCCACAGCCTCCATTATGGCCTTGAAGTCCGGACCCTTCTCGTAGTTGGCGGCGTTCTTGTTGAAGATGTGGTTGATGTTGGTGGGATCGCTTGTGACCAGGTAGTCAGCGTTGATGAAACTGGGTCCCTTGAGAAGGAACGTTCCGCTGGTTCGCCTCAAAGCTCGGGTTAAGAAGTCGTGGATTGTGGATAAGTTGAAGAGGAGGCTTGGCAGCATTCCCAGCAACGGCCATTGGTAGACCGGAGAATGCTTGTTTCTAAGAAGCCAATGCCATAGGAAGATTACTAGGAAAAGGAAGGTTAGAAGTAGTTGTGTGGACATGTTTGAGCAGCTATCTAGTTTAGCTAGGGTTTTGCCGGTAGAAGTGGAATAGTAATGATGCTGATGCGTTGGTGTTGGTGTTGGGGAGTAGCGGGGACTAGATATAGTAGTTGTTGCATGGTAGTGAATGATATATTATGGTGTACAGTTGCTTTAAACAAACCTCCATTAATTCTCCCACCAACAAAATCATTATCCATTACGTCTCTTCTTTCCATTTTTGAACGGAATATATGTGATACGGTAAAACTTTTATGGCAATAAGTTTACCGTATAATAGTGGTCGGGTGAAAATAATTGAAACCAAGAAATCAATGCTGGCAATTATATATATAAAATAAAATAAAATAAAAACAAAGCGGGCGATAGTAAAAATTAACCTTCTATATATCTGCCTTCTGCCAATCTTCATAAATATACCATTGACCAAAGACATGCAAAATTCGTACGGTATTACCATGCTGATATGTGAATGAATGAATATAATGGCCACTAAATTAAGTAACTGGGCAATAAAGATTAATTGTATGTATAGGAGGAAGTAGCAGGCAGTGACTGATGTATATATTAATTTCCTAATCTGATTACTGTGTCGTCTGGACTGGACATCTGCAACTGCAACTGCAAGCCCGACGATCTGCCGACGTCCAGCGTTGGGGTTTCTTGTGAGTGAATATTTGATTGACACGGTAAATTAAATTTTCATGAAAAGGAAGTTTCACTGCTGTGGGGCGTACGTATACGTAGGACCATATATGCTATGCATGCATGACGAATATTGAATACTATAACTACTGTATTCCAAAACAGTAAATACACAAACAGACAGAGGACTTGCACTCTATCATATCAGGCAGACAGGCGGTAGCTAGCTGTGCTGTGCTAAGATTTTTGTCTGCCTACTGTGACAATTCAAAATTAATTATATAGCAGGAGTGAAGAAAGATCATGTGGAATTACTGCAATATTTTTTTTTATGTATATAAGGATGACATTTTTTATGGGGAAGGATTATTGGGTTTGTGATGATAGCACCATCACCAAATCTTCCATTTGTGATGAAATGATGACGTATTTGTGTCAGCACAAACTTATCACAAATGTATAGTATTTGTAACAAAAAAAAATGTCACAATTGTGTAGGACTAGTGAAAAATAAATAGTAGTTCTTGCATGGTAGCAGGGATGGAAGTTTGGTTTGCGGGTTGCAGGTAACTTGCAAATCACACCAAATCTCATACTTTGTGGATAACAAATCCACAATTTATGGATAATGAGTTGGGTGTGGTTAGCAAAATATTGATTTTTGTGATTAATGGTTCACCAGTCACCACTACTCGTTAATCCCTAATAACCACACTAATATATTTATGTATAATTTCGTTGATCCCCACATCTAGTCTTTTCATCCATTTTGGAAAGGCATATATGTGATACTGTAAAAATTTCACGGACGTATAATTTCAGTGGGTCACAATATTGTGACCAAGAAATTAATGGTGGCAACAGTAAAAACCACGCGATCTGCCTCTGCCAATCTTCATGAATATATACCAAAGACATGCATAACTTTAGTTTGTACGGTTCTACAATGATGATATGTGAATGAATTAACGAATGACAATGGTATATATGCTAGCTAGTTCTACTTGTTGATTTTACCCATTGATACACATAATCAAAAGGCAACTCGATAGTTTATTCAATGAATTACTCGTTACCCTTCATGGATATGTTGGTATATTAACATAGAGGGAATTGAACTTTGGTTATTAACAAACTCTTATCCTTCTGAGCACCAAAAATTCTTCGGACTTCAGCTTTCAGATTGGGACATAATTGACAGCAACAAACAAGCTTCCATTTCGGCATTATCTGTTGTTGTCTCTGGAGGGACATGAACGATGGAGTCTTCAGGCAAGATTGTACAAACTGGAGCTTTACTTCAGTGTGTCCAAACGTGGATAAATGCAATGATAAATGACATAGACATGGACACGGACAAGCTTGTTCACATGCCTCGTCCGCTTGCAAGAACGAAGGTGGGGATCTCGTAATAACTGTCTTCTCTCAAGTGGTTTAATTTGCATCAATTCAAGTGATTCTATTCACTCGAACTCTTGTTACGTTGTGCTCTGTGGTTTGATTAGCTAGAGATCAACGATCATGATGCATTGTCCCCTTTGAACCTAGGGATTTGTTTCATCATTGGGACATAATTGAGAGGCGTCGTGTAAGGGCTCTAGTTGACTTGCGACATAGGCGCTACAAGGTTCAAGATCAACTAGATTCCTTATGTGACATATATATGTTTCTTAATTGTGATTGTGTCGAGTTTCATGATATAGATCATCAATCGCTTTCAGGAGTTGTTTGATCAAGATTGGGAAATGTCTCCCATATATACATATATGTGATAACATCAAAGAGTACAACACCACTCACAAGAACAGCATAGCCATAGGGAACCTAGCTAGTTCCTCATGCATTTGGATAAGAAAACACATGGACAGCACAAATAATGGAAAGAAGAAGACCTCAAACGACTCATTGATGCAAACCCTAGACATAGTGACATATTGATCAAGCACTTCTGCTAGACCACAACAACAGACAATCCTACATTAAGAAAGCAACATGAACATTGCTCTCAATGGTCTCTCTTGGAGACTCTCATCTTCAGCCCATCTTTCATGAACAACATCATGCTAACTGCCGGCCTAACAGGGGGACCGTCGTCTATGAGTTCAAACTTGTAGTTCCAAAGGAGAGCACTAGCGAGGGACTTGACTTGCTTGAATGACATATTCTTCCCCAAACAGGTCCTTGCCCCAGTCAAGAAGGTCATGAACTTGTACGACGGGAAATTTAGTATCGTTCCTTTATCAGAAATCCACCTCTCTGGTTTGAACTCCATGCAATCTTCTCCCCATATTTCTTCCATCCTAGCCATGGTGTATATGGAGAATAATATCCTGTCTTCTTTACGTATTGTGTGCCCGCTTGGAAGAACATCCGACTCCACAGCGCACTTGTGCTCGAATGGCACTGGTGGGTACAACCTGAGTGTCTCACAGGCGGTTGCATGGAGATAAACAAGTTTGTTCAACTCGTCGTTTCGAAAAAATTCACCTCTTTCTTCTCCTGATTCGCAACAAATTAAATTCTATATATCAATCTGTATCTAGAAGACTGAAAAATATGTGTTAATGTCAATACTAAAATATTTCTTCTTACCATCAATCGTGCTTGACAGTCGCGTCGTCATCACTTGTCTCAGCTCTTCGAGAATCCTTTTCTCAACATTGGGGTGGTTCGCCACACACCATATCAACCAAGTAAGGCCCGCAGTGATGCTGTCTCTCCCGGCTGCAATTAAGGTAAATGTAGTGTCCCTCAGAAACTTGTTAGATGTTTTATCGATGATGTTTTTGTCACCACCGTCATCCTCATCTTTCATGACCAGGATTTGTGTCAACAAATCCAACTTGTCTCTTTTAGTCACATCATTGTTGATTGTCGCTAATTCTTGCTTCTTCCTCTTGATGCTACCATACAGTAATTGATCAAGGGTACTCCAAGCTCGACTGAACTTCCACTCCATTCCAATCTGAAGTCGTTGTTGAAGCCTCCACACGCACATCGGAACTATGTGTCGGAAGAGCGCCACCTCCTCCAGCACTTCGAATGCCTTGCCACATGCACTATCAGGGAGCCTGCCGCCATCGTCAGACTCCACGGTGGGGAGGTAATGAGGGTCGAATCCCAAGACCAGAAGACACATGTTGTCAAACATGAACCTCTTAAACACGTCTTGTAGGTCTACCAACTCATTGTTGTCCATCCTCGCCGCTCGGTCGAGGACCGGCATAAGGGTGTTCCTCATCTTCTGTGTGAGGATGTGCATGGCGTGACCCTCGAACTCGGAGTTGTTCAACAAAGAATGGAGGAGCTTCCTCTGTAACTTCCAGGACTCGCCCTCGACATTGAAGATCCCGTCGCCCACAGCTTCCATTATGGCCTTGAAGTCCGGACCCTTGTCGTAGTTAGCAGCGTGCTTGTTGAAGATGTGGTTGATGTTGGTGGGATCGCTAGTGAGGATGTAGTCGGCGTTGATGAAGCTGGGTCCCTTGAGAAGGAACGTTCCCCCGGTTCGCCTCAAGGCTTGGGTGAAGAAGTCGTGGATTGTGGATAAGTTGAAGAGGAGGCTTGGGAGCATTCCCAGCAACGGCCATTGGTAGACCGGAGAGTGTTTGTTTCGTTGAAGCCAATGCCATAGGAAGATTACTAGTGAAAGGAAAGTTAGTAGTATTTGTGTGGACATGTTTCAGCAGCTAGGGTTTCGCCGGTGGGATAGTAATGATGATGATGTGTTGGTGGCCGGGGAATAAGTAGTAGCTCTTGAATGCATGGTGCACAATTGCTATAGACGATCTCCATTAGTTCTCCCACCAACGGAATATCTGCGAGACGGTAAAATTTGTATGGCAAGAAGTTTCACGTATAATTTGGTAGGCCAAAAATAATTGAAACCAAGAAATCAATGCTGGCAATAGTAAAAACCAGCCTGCTATATATCTGTCTTCTGCCAATCTTCATAAATATACCATTCACCAAAGACATGCAAAATTATTACGGTAACAAAATGATAGTTTTTTTTTTTTTTGGGTGAGACAATAAACAAAATGATAGTTAGTAAATTACTATATAAAATACATATGAGTATTTTGCTTCATTTTTAAACTAACGGTATATTTAATAGTACATCAACAGTTATAAAATAAATTAATATATAAATCATACTTAACTTAGCAATTTGATTCATTAAATACGGATATAGGCTGCAGGCTCATGCCTTACTGCAGGCCAGCATTCGATTTTTTTGTGAGTGAATATTTGATATGGCGATTCTCATGGAAAGGAAGTTTCAGCACTGTGGGTCGTACGTACGTGAATTCCAAGACAGTAAATACATAAACTGCAAGAGAGGAGTCCCTGGTGGTGATACTCTTCATCATGATTCCAATATTATCTCTCATGCAATCCTTCTCCCTACTCCCTAGTGTCACGAATGGATTTTTCCCGAGAATGTCATTCTTTCGCTACAAATTTTCCACTGTACAACACTTCTTCAAATATTTTTCAAACTACTAGAGTTTGGTGAAGTTCGTTGGTGTCAAAAACGAACATGTATAATATATTGCCGAAGTTAAAAGCGATTTACATGAATTACTGATAAAAAAAAAAAAAAAGCGATCCATGCCATGGTGGATCACTATTACACCCTCTTGCTGCTCTTATTTGGCGTCCGAAAAAATGATTAATGAGTATTCTTATTTTGTGGACAGTCAAAATAGTCGATTGTACCCATTTAATTATTCGATGAGTCAATACATTGTCATTCCTTAGTCGCGGATAGTTTTGCATTATGTGTGTTACAAATTGGGTCAAACATTTAGTCTAGTACTTGCATAGTTGCATTGGGTATAGGATAAAACAGT